GTCTTTTGCACGTCTAAGTTCGATGTAGCATCTTCTGCAAGGAAATGTGGTGGCCGGCCCAAGCAATCCGCAAAGTTCTGAATGACATGGCGTGTCAGCCTCAATCCAAAGGATGGGAGCAACAACCAGAACATACTCATTGTCTTCAGCGGAGAACATTTTTACACCTTTCTCGAGTTTCTTAAAGTCATCAACGATTGCTGGCAGAAGAGACATACCATTTGCACCATCTTTCTTAGGGATTGTAGAAAGAAACTGGATGTTTGCTATCGAATTTCGATCCTTAAAAGGCAAGGCAGCGCATCTCATTAACCAGCTTTCAAACGGATTGTACTGCTTTGAACGATTGCCAGAAGTGTCGTCTGTAAAAAGGATGATTGAAACAATCCTAACTTTGTAAAACACTGCATCGCGATCTACATTACCGGGCAAAACAGAAAGAGGCATAGGCTTCTTCATTGGATGAACTCCAAAAAGAAGAAAGTCATGAGCAGGACTCAATCTGGTAAGGCTACTTGAGATACTGTAGTAGTGATCTCTTTCAACAGGAGTGGTGTCAACGTGAGAGATCTGCTCTACTCTAAGATTGGTAACAGCAACCTCAACGCCATAGCATACAATCGAAATCGCTCTGACCAGATACCCTCTCGCAAAAATGTTTTTATTTGCCGTGTGGAACGATTCAACCAAAAAGCGGATGCTGCAATCGTTTGTCTTCAAGTAAACAATGTTTCCAAACCAGACATCTATACCATTTACAGTGTGCATAGGCTGCTGAAAGAGATGGTGGGTTCTTCACTTTTCACCTTGTTCCAAACAGATCGATTGGTTTGGGGTACGATCGGGCATGGACGAGATCAACTTGGATTTCTTTGGGTTTGCCATAAGAAATCTCAAGTGGTCGGACGGAAGGTTAATATGGGCGAATGCGTTCCCGTTTGATCCAGGTACTGATATTCTTTGTGAAGGAAAGACAGGCATCTTGGACTTCTTTCTTGCCTGATAATTTAAAAGAGCATCCAAACGAGGTAACTTAAATGTTCTTCCTATGGGAGTTTCTTGCTGGATCTTAATGATCAAGTTCATCGCAAGCAGTATCTTCTTCAACATTCGCTGGGAGATCATGTCATTATCCCCATCGATAAAAGCGAAAAGGATCATGGTTTGAAGATCGCGAAAAGGATAACAGCTTGTAGGGTCATTTACAGCGCCAATTGTCTCAAAGACTTCTTCCGGGATCTCAGAGTCATCATCGGTCATTGATACCTCATCAGCAGCAGCAGCAGAAGAAAACATGTCAGAGAACGCGTTGAAAACTGGATTACTGTTCATTTCAATATCAAAGAAATTATCGACAATATCGTTTTCCTCGTCTACAATGTTGTCTTCTTCATCCCCGATACTGGAGGAGTCATCTTCGTCACTCGAGTAATCAAATGCATTAGCATCCGGAATAGTGTTCTCGACTATCAATTCGGCCTGCTCGGGTTCGTCGAGTACAGTATTGGTTGCCATTTGATTACTTATATGGTGAACCTTCGAATGCCTTTTCAGTAACCAAGGCTTTTCGAACTCTTTTTCGCATTCAGAGCAGGTAAAAACACCTGAATTGATGCTAAAGTTAAGTTCGCCTTGCCTTTTAGGGGGGCGAGTCTTAACGATTTTATATGTTTCTTGTCTTGTATTCTTTTGCATAATAGTAAATTGATTGTAAAAACAAAGGGGGGAAAATGACTTTGCGAAAATAATTGAATTTATAAAATGTGGAAAGATCGATATTTAATGTCAGCGGACCAATTAGAATTTTTTTTACTTCTTTTCTTTTAAGAAAATATCGCGTGTTTTTGTCTTCTTTTTCATTTTACTTTTCCACAAAATATTTATTATTTGCATGAGCTTCCATTTGTAAGATATTCCAGTATACTTATAGTATTTATAGAAGCAGAATTTTGCTTAAAGACCGTAAGCTCAAAGGTATTTATGCTATCAAAGTTTTTTATGTCATTGTGTTTATTAATCATACAATTCTAGTTTATAAATTAGTTTTTCATCATCTCGGTAAATCAATAAAGAGGTAATAACTACATGTTCCTCTTACAAAGCAACAGAAGACTAACTATTTACTCCTCACTTGCAGAGATTTGGCTGCCTTTTATTGCAAATGCCTTAATAGAGTCAAAGGTAAAATTCTGTTAAATATATATAACTAAGTTTAATTACTAATTATTAGTTCTTCTGCTTTAGCTTTTCTCGAAATTCAAATCTTTATGCTCTTTGGGTTTATTGGAATTTCTGGCACCGGGTCTCTTGGATTAGCTAGACATAGTAGTTTGCAGCAAACCGATCACGTAATTTACAGGCATAAGTACAAACAGTTATACTACTAGTGTTTCTAGTGGTACGAATATACTGGTGTGCTACTGCCTGTGGATTTTATGGTCCAGTCTAGCTTTTTTTTAGCCTAATTTTTTTCGAAATAAAAAATAAATTTTTTACAACCCAAAATTATTTGAAACAAATTAAAAATTTGAACCATTTTTGAAATTGTGCAGTACATTTTTTAATCGAAATCTATTGGCCGAGAGTAGTCCCCCCATCCCCCCACTTTTCAGTCCCCCAAAAAAATGAATTTCCTGTTATGGGCAAAATTCGCCCCGTATACAAGAATCCTTTTAAGGAACAAGATTACACAAAAAAATCTGCTGTGGTGTAAGTGAAATGAGATGGGGGACGGGGGCTGTCAATCACCTGCTCCGTAGCTTCATTTTGGCTTCTTACACTCTGTGAAACAATTGAATAAGGTACATTTAAACGTTGCTTTGCCCTGGCTGCTTTTCAATTTTTTTTCTTCTTCTTCCTCTCTTTAACTTCTTGTTCCTCTTGTTCTTTCCTCTCTTATCTTTTAAGAATCCTACAAGACTTTCTCTCTCTCTCTCTTTCTCTCTTTATCTTTGAGCCGTTCACCCTTTTTCTGTCTAGTGATAGATCCACATTACCGTCCTCTTCTGTTTAGGTTAGTTGAGACTCTGGAACTAACCAACAAACTCTGAATCTCATCTCTCCTCATTCATTCAATCGCAATCTAGCCATGACAGAACCTTTAGATAAAAGTGGAAACCAACAACGCACCTTGGGCTTGCTGAGACCAGACGCGCTAGAACAAAAGGAAATCGTTCTTAAGTTGGCTAAGGATGCTGGTCTAAAGCTTCAGTTTGAGTCTTTGCGCACGCTTTCAGAAGATGACGTCCGAAAGCTGTTGGCGGTGGACTGCGACCCAGACACTGTCACCGCTTGGAGCAGGTGAGAAAAAGGGGATCTTGTGACCTCAGCCAATCGGACACATTCTCACCCATCGTCCTATTTTCTTCAAACTTTCTAAAGCCAGCCTGTGTATGCATTTGTGTTGGAAGGACCCAATGCAATTGAAGTGTGGAAAGGAATCTTGGGATCAGAAACTAGGTATGATGATGATAATAATAATAAATATAATGGCGATGACGACGATGATGATATGATCCAATCGATATCAGAATATAAAAGAAGAAGAAATTTATTGATGTATCAATCTCCTGACTGACACTTACACTATATTTATATATATATATATATTTATAAATACCTTTATACATACATACATACATAAATACACACACACACATATATATATATATATATGATTATACAGCAAGTCTTCTGGGTTGTGCATATCGTGCGTTGCCAGTCGGTCAGAAGCAGTTGCAGCCCGCCAGATCAAATTCATCACTAGTAGTACCAGCAGTGGAAGTATAACCAGTAAAACCTCACCAAAAACAGTCAAGCGTATGTCGGGTGGCCGGAAAAGTGCCACAGGGCCTAGTGGGATTGCAGCCCCTGGGCAGCCCAAGGGGTCCGGAAGAGGATCCGCCAACAATGCAACACCAGTTACCAAGACAGTCGCACCAAAACCAACCACACAACGTCCCACATCTGCCGCCGCTTCAGCCAAGTCCACACCCCCACCAAGAAATGCTGCCAGTCAAACTGCCGGTATCAAGCCAGTCACCAGTCGACGCCTCAGTCAACCAGTCCGCAGACCATCGTCTGCTTCTTCACAGCCACCCGCATCAGTACAAACCCCACCTCCCACCGAACGCAGGTCTTCTCTTGCCCGCGCCCGTACTACACGTCCTCCTACCACCAATGATGACCCCAAGTCGGGTTCCACCGCTAGATCGTCTAATCTCGTACGTTCACTTTTTTTTTTCTTTTTGACTCACATGTATTAGTATTTTTTTTTAAAAAAAATTGACCTTTACTCACTATAAAAAAAAACATGGTGTTACATGACATGATCTTTTCACAGAACGCCCGCCCAACCTCAGTCCACCTCACTCGTACCGAACAAGGCAATCGTCGTGCTAGTAGTGTTTCCAATGCGGCATCTGCTAGAAAATTGTCTACCACCGGCGGAATCTCGAAACCTCCTCTTTCTGTCTTGACGGGCAGAACTCGTAAGTACAGCCGAGCAGAAAAGCGCCCGGATGAAAAGTCTCTTGGAACGACTCCGATAGAAGAAAAATCACAACGTCAACCTCCTCATCCCAAGATCGACGAAGTTGAACCAGAAGAGGAGGCGAAGGTTAAGGAAGCCGAAACAAAAGCCGAGTCCGAGTCCGAGTCCGAGTCCGAGTCCGAGACTAGGCCTGAGTCTGAGCCTGAACTCAAACCGGTAGTGGCCTTGTTTGAAGACGATCATCTTGTGGCTCCAGTGCCGGACCCCACCGAGAGTGTTGCTTCATCTGCCGGAACTCTCAGTGACATTGAGTCATGGTCAAAAGATTGTCGTCAGGATGATAGTGAACATGATGCGGAGGTGGCTGCTGCTACCTCGGCTGCCATTCCTACACTTGAACGACCTTCTTCAGCAAGAGCATCATTCTCGCCCAACAGTGTGGCCTCGTTACCTCGTCCAGAGACACCCGAAGTTGATCAGCTCCGACAGAGATTCGAAACACTTGCCTATAGTCCCACGTTTGAAAAACGCAAGACACCCACCATCTCACCCGAGATTGCCTCCAGACTAAAGGACCTTCGGCCCAGAGGACCGACAGGTACACGTGTCAAAACCATGGTCAGCTTCTTCATGGATGAGAACCTGCATAAATGGGAATTCTAGATTTCATCCCCTTTCCTTTCTTTTTCTGCTCAAACCTTCAACCGCACTTATTCACTCACTCACTCATTCAATCAAATTCTTTTCTATCTACCTACCTACCTACCTATCTTACCTTACCTATCAATCAACCAACCAACATTTCACTTACTCCATTCATTTTTTTTTATAATTTCTGACATTCCTTTCTGGCTCTTCATTCTTGCATTTTCTATATGCTCATTCTTTAAAACTCCCTTCTTTTTTTTTTATCTTTTCTCTTATGGTTATCAATTGTGAGCCTATAACTTATCATATACCCTAGCCCTTCTTTTTTCTTCATAATTTTCTTGGCAAAAAAAACAAATTCAACAAACAGACAACAAAAAACATGAAAAAAAAATGGAACAGACCAAAAAAAAATTATCTCTTTTTTTTTCCTTTCTATTTCTTATATTGAATGGATTTTTATTAAATATCATTATAAATATGTATATATTTTGTGATATTCAAAATTAAACAAGAGAATGTGATTGTTGAGCTATAGGGTATGCAAGGACTACCCATAAAAGGAAAATAAAGAGTAAAATAATATACATATACACAGAAGAAGAGGTGTGAGATAAAGATAAAGATAAAGATATTGCGATTGAGATTGAGAGTGAATGTGCTTATGCGCGTGTGCTTATGCTTGTGATTGAGTAATGAATGAATGGTATGCAGAAAGATAACCAAAAAAATAATAATCAGTAAATATCGTATATATTATATAAATGATCAATATTTGAAAGTAATTCTGTGTGTACCCTTTTTTTTTCCTTCATTTCATCATGAAGTTTTCATCTTACCTTTTTCTCGCCACAGCTTTATCCCTTATTTGTGGCTCAAATGGTCAGGGACCCAATGGTGAACTTCAACTAACTCCATGTCAGGAGAGCAAAGGCAAAATTATGTAAGAAATAAGAAAGGAGGTTGTGTGTTTTTTGTTGTTTGTGGTGTCTATTGTGTCTCATACAGAATCTTAAATTCTGTGTATTGTATAATGTAGGGTCAACAGACTTACATTCGATCCTAACCCTCCTACGATTGGTAAGCCGGTCTTGCTCAATTTCAATGGCACTTTTGCAGAAGACTTTCCACTCGGCATGAAGGTCAATCTTGAGTTTAGCAAGGATGGTCAAGTATTGTTTCGACAAGAAAAAGACTTTTGCCAGATGGTCGAATCGCTTTCTCTCTTAAAATCCAGTATCCTATGTCCCCTTGTAACCGGAACACACAACATATTGGCCAAGATGAATGTACCTGGCTTTATCCGTAAGTCTATGATTATTTCTTTTAAAGCAAAAATTGTATCTAACCTTTTAATTTTAATTTTTGCTTTTGCTTTACATAGCTTCGGTATGCTATTCTATAATTTCGATTGAGAATTAAGAATGTTCCTTCACTCTTTCCTTTTGACTCACCAATTTTTATTTTTTATTTTTTTTTAATTTAGAGCCTGTATGGAGTAAATGTCAAGATCACCAAGCCAGACAATGACGAGGTTATATGTCTTGAAGGAACAACCCATTTACAGCAGCCATTAAAAGCATAAGGAAGAACAATTAGAATAATTCCATTTTTTAACTTATTTAATTTAATAAATATACAAATGTGCTACACACCTATCTTGTGCCTTTGTTTTCTTTTATATATATATATATGTTCTTGGGTCAGAAAATACAAGGTTTTTATTAAGACCAATACAAAAAGAAAACAAAAAAATAAACATAGAAAGAAAAATTAAACACAATCCAGTTACTGCTGGGTCTTTCGGATACGGTCAACAAGAGAATCCATTTGGTTTTTACATTGTTCAACACTATCTTTTAGTTCCTTGTCTTTGTCTGTACAAGGACTCAGTGCCTCCCCGAGTTTCACAACCTCGGTCTTGAAAGCTGTCTTGTTCTTATCATGCCAGCTTTCAATATTTTTCACCACATCTCTGGTGGACTCTAACAGACTAGAGCGTTCATCCCCTAGCGATTTCAGCTCATGTCCACCCTGTTGAAGACGCTCAATAGATTCCTGGCCTTCTTTTTTCAAGGTACTCAAGAGACTCAATAGTTGTTCATGAGCTAGTTTTTCATGTCGACGTTGACCCGAAAGTCCTTTTAGTGAGTCCTTGAGAGCCTGTGTCTGGGCCTGGGCCTGTGCCGCCTTGAGCTTGGCGCGAGAGATAGCCTGTTTGTATTCACCTGCTTTCTTTTTTAACTCTGCTGTTCCCATACGTTGGGTCTCGGCTGCCAACTGGACTGAGCTGGCATATGTTTTTTGATCATCGGCTGTGGTCTTGAGAGAATCAATTGCAGTCTGCTTGGCATCAATTTCCATTGCCAGCCGGTTCATCTCCAGTCGGAGCGTGTCATTCTCTGCCCGAAATACACTCTGGCTAGCGAGATGCATGTCACGGGTCTCGGCTGTAGTCTTGACTTCTAGTGCCATGGCATCGCGCTGTCGGGTCAAAACTTCATGTTTGCTTTTGAGAACAGAGACCATTCCCTTGGTGCGTGCACTTCTCGATTCCTCTGGTTCGATCGAATCAGCTGTCAACTGTTTTCCTGACTGTACTTTTGCTGTCTGATTGAGATCATGCTTCGAGGACTGGCGTGGGTTCATCTGATCATAACGGAACAGGTGTCCGTAATTTATCCGAGACACATTATTATCGTGGGAGACCTGCATAAGAAAAATATAGTAAAAAAGGAGTCCAAAACAAGAAATATAAAGAAGTGTAGATACAAAGAATAAAAGTAAAAGTAAAAGTAAAAGAAAGAGAAAGAGAAAGAAAGAGAGAGAGGCTTAGGGTCGACTTGTGTGATAGCTGTGCAGTACAGTACAGTACACTATACTGTACTGTATTATTATTATTATTTTCTGTTAGACTTAGAGGCGTGACCTGACGTGAAGTACCGTCAAAGCCCAGTTTGGAAAGGGTTTATGAGGCACAAAATCATAATTATCCAATCTAAACCAACACACAAACGAGCACTGTGTCGTTTGGCCCCAAATCAATGTCTCCAGCACGCGCATTCGGATTCCTCCACTCTAAATCAGCCCAAATTACTCCGACACTGCAGCAAAATGTATGGCAAAAAATTATAGTTATAATAATAATAACAGTAAGTAAAACACAGAATACTTAAAGAAGTGCTACGCCTATTTTACACATACATACATTATTACTATTATTGTTATTATTGTTATTGTTATTAATAAGGTAGCCATATAATAATAACAAAACCAAAAATAATGAGAAAGAAGCTACGGGGACAAAGAAGCCATAAAAGAAAATAGCCTCACAGAAACTATTTAGTCATTTAGAGTAATAAATGGATCATGTAGACCAAAGCTGTATTTAATCATCCAGAAACGGACTGTGCGCTAAAAAAGGCAGATTCGTTTCAACAGGTCGCACATAACGATCATTCATTTTGGTCGTGACTTCTGAATAAAATCTGCCAAAAAAAAAAGACAGAGAGAGAGAGAGAGAGACGTCAAAATTATAGAGAAAGAGGAAATAGAATCAAATAGATCATGTCACCATCACGCCTAGCCCTCGTTCACCTTGACGAGAAATACACTAAAAATGCAGTTGTAAAAGCACTTGACAACAGTGCCATTGACTGGACAATTGACAGAGAAATTACAGAAGACAATGCCGAAGCTGATCTCAACTTGCCCTTTGTGTCTCTTCAGTGGCTTGAGTACGAACAAATAAACTGGTTACACCTCAGTCGCCATTCAGAGACCACAATGGCCAATGCGTATTGCATTCGTAAAGGATTAATTCGCAAAGCTCAATTAGCATACAACATGACAAAGTATCTTTCAAAGAATCCCGAAAGCATTCTTAAACAAGCTATTCCCGAGACCTGGCAATTTGAACTTGATCATGTAGACTATTTTGAAGAAGCCATGAACGAAGTATTTGAAGTTGAGAGAGATCTCCTTGAGAATGAGGAAAAAACCGAGGATCGACACATGTTTATTATCAAACCAAGCATGGCAAACAAAGCCGCCGGTATCTCTGTTTTTGATTCTATGGACCAATTAAGAGCCATATTCGAAGAACCCGAAAGTGACTCTGAAGATGAGGAATACGATTCTGATGCAGAGGATCTAATGCAAGTCCGCGAGTGGGTCATCCAACGCTATATCGATCGTCCGTTGTTAGTAAACAAGCGAAAATTCCATGTCCGTGCGTATGTACTCGCTGTCAGCAACATCCAAGTCTACCTGTACCATGATATGCTTGCCTTGTTCGCTCACAAGGAATACTCAACTACCGACTTGTCAGACTCATTGGTTCATCTGACTAATACATGTATTCAAACAGACGAAGCTGACTTTGATGAACAGTCTTCTGTTCGTCTCTATTGGGAGTTGGAGCGTCTGGGTGTTCCAAAGGCTGATTTGGAAACCATGTTCGGCAAAATGCAGCTCATTTTGGCAGATGTATTTGATGCCTGTGTCAGTGAGATGACTACCTTCCAAGCCATCCCAAATGCCTTTGAGTTGTTTGGTATCGACTTTATGATGGATCAAGATCTTAATGTATACTTCCTCGAGGCTAATGCTGTAAGTTAAACAATCGCAAAGAATCACAAGAAAAATAACATTTTTCTTTTTATTGATATTTGCTTTCGATTTTTTCTTTCATTGAATTAGTTCCCTGATTTTAAGCAAACTGGTGCCAAATTGCAACATGTCATCCAGGAACTATTTGATGCCACCACAAAGACTGCAATTGAACCTTTCTTTAGCGAGAAAAAAGCAGTATCCGACAAGTTTGTCAAGGTTTTTGAAAAGGAGCTCTTGTCCCTCTAAAAAAAAAAGCGTGGCCCCACTTTTTTTTTGTGTTTTAATATTCTGTACCATTATTCCATATCATATTACATCATACTTTTTTTTTTCTTATATGTGTATAGATATGTACTTATACATACACATATTTTATATACATCTGGCTCGTCATCTACAAGTTGTCAGCATACACCTTTGTAAGATCCTGGACACCTTGAGGTGTTCTTTGCCAGGTTACTGGGCATCGATTGTGTTCTTCTACGTAATGGTAGGCGCATGTGTAGCAGAACACATAGCCTGAAGGGAGGGCGGTTGGGTTAGGAATGGGCTGACTCAGACACACAGGACATGTGTTGGGTGTAGATGGTAAAGGAACACCTCTTGGATCAGGCTAAATATAAATATATATAGATGAAAAAGTTAGGCGGGATGATGAAAAAAAAATACACAGGTACTACTTGCTTTAGTATTTTTGGGTGGAGGGATAGTGGCCTTGGACTCTTCTTGGACCCCACCGCCACGTGCAAATTCGGAAGAGTACCACCACTCAAGGAACTTGAAGAAGAAGATTGACATGGGCAATAGCACCTTTAGGAATTCTATCAGTTTCCCGAAGACCATCGGGAATGCTTTCCACGGTTTCTTAAATAGAGAAAATGGCGCCTTGGCCTGCCCTGATGTAGCTGCCTTTTCATAATACTCACGCTATTATTGGGCCAACCTTGTCGTGGTTAGACGATCTCTATAGACACGTTTGTGTGTAATCATCTTATTGTAACTCACATAATCTGACATGCTCATACGTTTAACCTGAAGACCAATGAGATGGAACCACGGCGAATAATAGTCCGTTTTACCAAACATATATCCAATGTTATACACAAGATTAGATCCATAGTAAAGTGCATTAATGTAGGGATACACTTTGCGGAATAAGCGTGTTAGACGGATAACTAGTATGCGGGCAAAAGGAGTCGTAGAATCGGCGAGTTGTTCTCGTTCTCGCTCTTCTTGTTCATTGTCTCCCAAAAGAGAGGCCGAAGGTCCACCCGATATGCGCTGATAGAATAAGTCAAGGCGGCATTTGATATAAGGTAAACCAACCAGAATCAAGAGAGATCGTTGGATCTCCTTTGAAGATAGAGGGGGTGTGGTTTCGGGTCCCACCGAAGAAAACTTAGGTCGACTGGCGAGGTGAGCAGAGGATACTCTCTTAAGTCCATAAAAATTTTCTGCAAATGAGGCGCCTGAGCTCGGACATAATAATAATAATTATTATTAATATTAGTCATGAGCATTAGAGGGACATTGCAGTTTTATTTTTATTTTTCTTCTTTACCCCATTCCTTAAGGTAATGGCGCTCAATGAAGAACATGAGAACGGAATAGAACTCCTCGTGGTTGTTAACTACCCGAATAAGTAAACGTGGGTAGCGTTGTGCATAGATCTGCCCGAAAAGTCAAGAGGTCAGGAAACCACGCTTGTGTTTTTTATATATGTATGTATGTTTCTCGGTTCTTCACTCCCAAAACGTCTATACTATATATTTTATGTGTATGCGTATATATTCAGGGAGCCAGCTTACAGCCAATAGGTACTGGACTGCTGGTTGCAATAGTTCCCGGAGCTTCTCCTGGGCAACTATTTCGAATAGAGAAGGGCGAAAGGCATCTTCGCCCGAACCCAAAGCGCTCATGAACTCCATCGTCTAAAGAATAAATAGTAATAAAGAAATCCAAGTGCGGGGAAATATACTATATAATAATAATAATAAAAATAAAATAAAATACAAAAAAAAGGTGGCACTTTTTGACATGTGGGTTCCTAACGTCCAAATCCAGTCCCTTTGATATTTCAATCTGTGACGTCTTCCTTTGCTCGTTTCATTTTTTTTTCTTCAATTTCTTATTCATTTCTTCCCCCCTTGTGCCTTGCTAGAGCCAATTTCTTCCTTCGTTCTTTTTGCAGACCTCTTTCTTCACTCCTTACTCAACTACCGTAAGTTATATATTTTCGAAAGCCTTAGATATGAATTGAGATTAGTTTGCCTTGCTCACGATCCTTACTGAACATTTTTTGTAGTCCACCCTCCATCCCCTTTGAAAAAAATATCAAAATCCCACTTTCCTATTCATCATGAGAGAAGTTATTCACGTTCAAGCTGGTAAGTCATCATCCAAAAATCAGTTTTGAAAAAAAAAATAAACAATCAAAAAAACTAATCATTGTGCTGGATCATCTAAAGGTCAGTGCGGTAACCAAGTAAGAATCAACAACAGAACCAGCTTACAGCAACAACGTAAAAAGAAAAAAAAAATAGACATGTCCCTAAACAATACCCTTCCCCCTTCTTTCTCCTTCCCATTTTTTTGGCTACCTCCTATGTAGATTGGTCAAAAGTTCTGGGAGACAATCTCTCAGGAGCACGGTATTGATGTCAACGGTAACTACTGTGGTGACAACGATCTCCAGTTGGAGCGTATCGATGTATTCTACAATGAAGGTTACCAAGGAAAATATGTCCCCAGGTAAGAAACTTGCGCGTTATCTAGGCTGTAGATTTTCAATTAAACTCATAAATACACAATTGCATTTTTTTAGAGCTGTCTTGGTAGATCTTGAGCCTGCTACCATGGATGCTATCCGTGCCAGCCCTTATGGCAAGATCTTCCGTCCCGATAACTTCATCAACGCTCAGTCTGGTGCTGGTAACTCATGGGCCCGTGGTTACTACACCGAAGGTGCCGAATTGGTCGAGTCAATTATGGATGTTGTCCGCAAGGAGGCTGAAAACACCGACTGTCTCCAGGGTTTCCAGCTCTGCCACTCCCTTGGTGGTGGTACCGGTTCCGGTCTCGGTTCATTGTTGTTATCTAAGATTCGCGAGGAGTACCCCGACAGAATTCTCAGCACTTACTCGGTCGTGCCTTCCCCCAAGGTCTCTGACACCGTTGTCGAACCCTACAACGCCGTACTCTCTGTCCATCAGTTGGTCGAGAACTGCGATGCCACCTTCTGTATCGATAACGAAGCTTTGTACGATATCTGCTTCCGTACTCTCAAGTTGACCAACCCTGGCTACGGTGAGCTCAATCAGCTCGTCTCTGCTGTCATGTCTGGTGTATCTACCAGTCTGCGTTTCCCCGGTCAATTGAACTCTGACCTCCGTAAGCTCTGTGTCAACATGGTTCCCTTCCCCCGTCTTCATTTCTTCATGGTTGGTGTGGCTCCTTTGACTGCTTTCGGATCCCAGCAGTACCGCAACCTCAGCGTCCCTGAGCTCACTGCTCAGATGTTCGATGCTCGTAACATGATGGCTGCCTCCGATCCCCGCCACGGCCGCTACTTGACCGTCGCAACCATCTTCCGTGGTCGCCTTTCCACCAAGGAAGTCGAGAACCAGATGTTGGCTGTTCAGCAGAAGAACTCTTCATACTTTGTTGAATGGATCCCCAACAGTGTCAAGTCTTCCCTTTGCGACATTCCCCCCGTTGGCTTGAAGATGTCAGGTACCTTCATTGGTAACAGCACTGCCATCCAAGATTTGTTCAAGCGTGTCAACGAGCAGTTCACAGCCATGTTCAGACGCAAGGCTTTCTTGCATTGGTACACTTCTGAGGGTATGGACGAGATGGAGTTCACTGAGGCCGAGTCCAACATGAACGATTTGGTTTCTGAGTACCAGCAGTACCAGGAAGCCACTGTTGATGAGGACTATGATGAAGAAGAGTACATCGAGGAAGAAGATGATATGCCCATGGAGGAGTAAGGTGAGCTCACTATACCAATCAATGGTGAGAATATCTACCCATCTCTCTATCTCCACTCTCTCTCTCTCTCTCTTTCTACTCTCTCCACTCTCTTTATCTATCTCCATTTACCTATTTCCTTTTTTCTCAAGAAACAAATTGCATAACACCCAAATAAACTAATGACAATTCCTAAGATTCATTTATTTCCAATGTGATAATTATATGTGATAGAAAATAGAAGTAAAAAGGGTATTTTAGAAAGGATCATCATCGATTATATACACATCTTGTGAAGCAATCTTTTTGGTTGGCTTTGACTGGGATTTGATCTCATAAGCTTCAACTATGTCCGGGTATGCTGTTGAAAGTATGCTGGATTCTACCCATTGTCGACAGGCAGGTGAGAAATCGTCTTCATTTTCATTTGGATGAAAGGCATTAGTGCCAAAGTCATTTTGGAGATAGAAGTTCTCTACAGCTTTTAGTTTTGTCCGAATAGGGGCGAGAAATTGATCAAGGGCGGTATCATGCCATTGGACACGATAAAACTTACGGTCCATTACAATCTTGTGCTGCCAGATGCGTGCAATGATCGCCTGATCGTTTTCAGCATTTCGATAATCCTTAGTAGATCGATAAAAAGTATCGACTGTTGTCTGTTGTGTTCGGAGGGGGTGTTTTTTCTTGAATGATCGACTTGGGGTAACAGCTTTCCATGCTTTTAGGCGCACCTTGTGAAGAATATAAGCTGGATATAGCTTGGCCTTGAATCGGGTCAAAACAACCTTCTGAGACCATTCGAAATTCTCTCGACAATAGGGGCCCAGGGATCCAAAATCTGGAGATGGCGCCTGATCTCTGTCAAGGAATTCTTTTAATTTATGTGCCTGGACAACAAAGTCTTTGTTCTCGATGCGTGTAGTAGGATTGATGAACTCTTTGAGAATCCAGAAATGTTCTGGTGATGGACTAAGATCAATATTCTTGTATGTGCGTGACAAATGACCGGACTTATTGGTTCTTATTTCGCATGCAAGTGATTCAAAGAGAGCATTGACGCGGGGATCATCAAAGGAGAGTGTCTTGTCATTCTGCATTGCTTGCATGAGCAATGTGTGGTGTTTAGCTCGTGCAAGTCCCTCCGCTAATTTGATACCAATACCCTTGATGCCGTCCTGGTAATCGGAACCCCTGAGAATGGCGATCAGGATAAGGTCAGACCTATCGAGGTTAAACCAGGAAGTATCATAGCATCCGCATGGAAAACCATCCTTGCTAGGCCAGTGGCGGAGAACACGTCGTGCACCAAAAAGGAATACGTCTACATCTCCTGTCATTACAAGATCAACGTATCCTAGTCGTTGTAACACCGCACATTCTGCTTCTGCTTCTCCATATGCCAACCATTCTGCAAAGCCGAACAGTTTAATAAGACTTTTGAGCTTTCTCATTGCAATTGTATCTGGGATTCGTGTGTTGACGAACTGCTTTCTTTTCATATTCGGCCTCCCTTCCCCGTCAAATACAAACACAGGTCGTATTCCCAAATGATAAATCCGACAGAACCGATAAAACATTACATTCATGTCATAACTCCTGTCAAAACACAGATACTTTATTTAATCCAAAAAGAAATCGATATAATTTAAAATAACAAAATAAACCATCAAACATATATTATAAGGCAAATGAAGTAATTTGAGATATTCTATAACTTACTGATCATCATTGGATGCACGCTTTGCCTGAAAAATCCACAATGCGACATCAATTGCCATTCGCAAACCACGTTGGTGGCATCGTCCATGTCGATCGACCAATCCTTCAAGACTAATCTTCTTCTCGGCCGGTAGAAGCAGCTCCCATAGATTAGGAACCCCCATCCCAATATGAGACCGGAGAGTATGAAAAAGAGAAAGTGTATATATAACAATAAAACCTCATCCAACATGCTTTTTTTCTTACTATGGGCTCTACAGCGGGAATTTAATTCATGTTGCTTATTTCGTAAAGTAAATTTCCGTTGTCTGGTGTGTGTATTCGGGTAGTCATGGTAAACTTCGTTTTTATTCTTAAAAGCATCTTTATATCTCTTTACGTATATTTTTGCTTAAGACGACAATAAATACCAAAAAAAAGGCTTTTCAAAAAGCTACCAAAAGCAAAGATATTCAAATCTATGTTCCAGCTTTAAAAATCACTTGGTTAAACTAAAAAGTTTAAAAAATAAATTAATTCTTCAAATCAAAATTAAACATGCAAAATAAACAGACGGGAGGATTCTTTTTAAAAATCTTTCTGTATCTTTAAAAAGTTGGGATATAAACACGTAACTTAGATTCTGCCTCTAAATTCTCTGCAAGTCTTCATACCATTTTACAAGCACATCGCTTAAAGTCTATTATCCATTCAATAAACTGCTCAACTCATTTTTACACATTAATTGTAATATATAGTAGCTAAACTTTTCATAACGAAGAGTTCCATAAAACTTGAGGGGAGAGGGAGAGCTCTACCTCCAAAAAGTATGCTAGTTATTTATTAATTTATTCTTTATATAGGTCTATAAATTCATCACAAAAAAGTGTGTGTGAGAGTGAATTTATGTGTGTCTGAATGAATTTATGTGTGCCTGGGTAGATTTGCGTACCTGGGTAGATTTTGTGTGTATGTGTAGATTTTTTGCGGCAGACGTGGCATAGCGGAGGTACAAATATTAAGAGAGGCAAATTGAATGGTAAGAAAAAGAAAGTCTTCATCGATTGATATATATAAGCATATTATTCTATCTCTTTAATAAATAGCACTCTCACAGTATATAATCTTTCTAATATTAAGATACTAGTCCAAAATAAGTTCCAGGTACCTCGAATATTATTTTAATTTTCTTTAGTAAATAACATACTCACAGTACCTATTTTTTCTAATATTGAGATACTAATCCGAAATCAATCACAAATACCTTAATTGAAATGCAGTATAATATTTAAATAAAATTATAATTGGAACAAGAGGGTCAATTACTTGTTATCAAATAATAATAAAAAATTAAAGACTAATTGAAAACTTGCAAAAAAAGCAAAAATGAAAATAAAAAAAAATAATTAATTTAAATTTCAAATCCCCAGTCTTTTTGGTTGATTGCAGGGCATTTTTGGAACTTAACCGGTCTAAGATGTTTTTAGTAATTTAAAAACACCTGGGAGCGTAGCAATTTTGTGAGGCTAGCAATTCTCGTACACAAAAAAAAATGCGGCGGTGATTTAAATTATTATTTCTCCTAATGTCGTATAATAAAAAAAGTAAAATATTCTCACTTCGGAAGTATAAGCGTACTTTAGAAAAAAATGTACTAAACTGTCTATTTTTTATGTGCTACAAATAAAGTAGCAAAAAAGGTCGGCAAGTGAAAATTAAATAATTGGATTTTACATATAATATTGCACTTTGATGTGAGTATATCTGTTTTTTTTTTAAAAAAAAAATAACTATATCAATTCAACTTTTTTATCTTATATTATAAGACATATATTGACTGTTTGGCCAAAGGCTTTCTTCCCAGGTAAGAGGAATTGACAAGAGATACCAAAAGACGGTCCTCCTAATTATACTGATACATATGGTACATTGAATTATAAATAAAATTATCTATCTAAAAACCTTAGCTTTTAATCTACCAAAGGATCCGAAATTCCATTACATTAAACATAATTTAGAGTAATTTTGGGTATAAACTACACAATGTTTGAGAAAATAATAATAATGAATGCGAATGCACTTGTATTGTTTAAATCCAACAAAGATGATTTGATATGCCAATTTGCTTTTGAAGAATATTTTTGGTCAATATGTAAAATATATAATCGAGAGCTACTGTCTTGTGTCTGCTTCGAGTGTAACCAGTGTTTGTGTTCCTGACAGAACAATTATTCCGTAAAGTTCAGTTTTTTCATTCAAGATTTGATCTGTTTAAATTGTTGGTTTTTGTATACGAAAATATTTTTTATTTATTTATTACTTGTGTTTCTTAAAAAGAATATTTAACTTTCGGTTTGTGCTCAATAAATTGAAAACAATTTAAATATTTTATACAGATGAGGGGTAGAAAGCTAAGTATATTTATGTACAAGCTGTCTTATAAAAACAACCTTTTTGTTTGTGGACTTGGATATCTGTAGATAACACAATATGCATGTACTTATTCTTTAAAGAGATGATATTATTGGTTATATAACTGTATAATCATTGAACGATTTATAAATTCTTTTCTTCGAGTAATAATGCATTTATATGTATATTATAATCTACCTGAATTTGGGATAAAAAGACTTTAACTCCACAGAACAACAAACTTGGGACCGGGGACTTAAAACGAAAAAGAATCCTCCTTTAGTTATCTTGGTACCTCCACCGCAACCCTGGGACGATCAAGTATAAAAAAAAAGTTTCTTTGGTTTAAACGCTTCTCCAATCGGATCATTTCTGTAGCGGATATTTATCCATATCCGTTCAAAGTTCTGTCTTAAAAATCCCCTTTCACTCCACACGAACTTTAGCTGTAAATAAAACCACTATGTTTTTATATTCTCACACCCTATCTCCTTATTATATTGTTCAAACATGCCTACAAAATCAGACTCGTACTATCTCGGTCTTGACCTGTCCACACAGCAGTTAAAGTGCACCCTTATTGACCAAGATCATTCCATCGTTCTCGAAGAAGCCGTCAACTTTGACAATGACCTCCCTGAGTTTGGTATTCGCCATGGCGCAATTCAAAACGGCAATGTTGTCACATCTCCCACCCTCATGTGGGTCAAAGCTCTCGACATTCTACTTTCCAAACTAGAGAAAAGTCGATATATTGGAAAAATTAAAGCCATATCAGGAGCTGGTCAGGTAAGAAAGGAAGGAGCATGATATCTTTCCCATTATTGAAGTATTATAATACGCGTTTGAATAAGTATTTATTCTAGCTTATTTGACTTGTAGCAACATGGAAGCGTTTATTGGTCTCAGCATGGCATTGAGAAATTGGGTCATCTAGACCCTAGGCTCACCTTGACCGAGCAATTGAAGGACGGCTTTTCGATTGAACAATCTCCTATCTGGCAAGATGCTAGCACAACGCGCGAATGTCGTGCTCTTGAAGAATTCTGTGGTGGTCCTGAGGCATTGGCTAAGCGCACAGGCTCAAAAGCATATGAGCGCTTTACTGGAAACCAGATCGCAAAGGTAAACTTATATTTTGTATATACTTTAAGTAACACGTTAAAGAGCAATGAATATTAAAAAACATCACTTTAATAAATAGATTTATGCAGAGAGCGGAGAGAAATATAACGAAACATCTCATATTAGCCTTGTAAGCTCTTTTCTCGCAAGTCTTTTGGTCGGAAAGCTGGCGCCAGTCGATTCAGCAGAGGGATCGGGCACCAATTTGATGAACATCAAGACACATCGATGGGATGAGCAGCTTTTACAAAAGTGTGGTGGGGATCAATTGTCAAAAAAACTTGCTCTGGAACCTGTTGAAGGAGGTGATGTGGTTGGTAAGGTCGATGGTTATTACCAGAAGCGCTATGGATTTTCTCCAGGTAAATATATGAACCAGACACTTGGATAAAGACAGTCATTTAACTCTTTTTTTATTTCATAAGAATGTAAGATCCTTCCTTTCACTGGCGACAACTCTGCTACCCTAGTATCGATGAATCTTAACCAAGGAGACTGTGTAATCTCGCTTGGAACTTCTGATACAGTATTGGTATATTTGAAGCAAGGGGAGGCTGAGCCCACTACTGAATCCCATCTGATGGCACATCCTATTGATACCACTGGATTTATGGGCATGTTATGTTATAAGAATGGATCTCTTACGCGCCAGCACATTAGAGATCTTTATGCCAGCCATGATTGGGACTCATTTAATAAGCATATTCAAAACAAGGCACGAAACACCGATGCTTTTGGATTCTACTACTGGATGCAAGAGATCATTCCGTTTGCAAAGGGAATATATCGCTTTGAGAACGGTAAACAAGTACAAGAGTTCTCAGACCCCTCCATTAATGTGCGGGCTATTCTCGAGTCCCAATTCTTGTCGATGCGTATTCGTCTTGGACGTATGACCCATGACGGAAAGATGAAGCGCTTACTGGCAACTGGTGGAGCAGCAGCAAATCCTCATATTCTCCAGGTCTTATCGGATGTATTTGGTGTTCCTGTTTATAAGCAAAAAGGAATGAATAGTGCTAGTTTGGGAGGAGCACTTCTTGCAAAGTATGGTACTTTGGACAAGCGCTCATTTGAAGATATGATGAAGAACCACACCACAGAACCAGAGCTGGTGTGCAACCCGGATTCCAAAGAAACAGCTTATTATGATACCAAATTAGAAGAATATATTCGTCTTGAATCTGTTGTACTGGCCGATAAAGCAAATGTATAGATTACAACTCAAATAAATTATGTATAAAGTCCAAGAATACTGAAATTGATTTTTTTTCTTCTGCCACTAAACTGGCTTTCTTTCCAGCCAAATAAAAATAAATAAAATAATTTGCAATTATGTCTCATTGGTTGGTACGCGTCATGATTATTAGTATTATTATTATTATTACTTTTATTAAAATCCGTTCTTGTATTGCTGTGAATTTGAGGCAACAGGTGGCTGTGCGTGAGTGTGCCCACCAAGTGTCGCGACTGGCGCTGTTGCCGCTGCTGGCGAAGGATTGGATTGGTCAGGCGAGGAATCTGGTTTCTCTGGAGGGTTTCGCAAGAACATCCAATGATAGTATTGCATTCTATGTAATTCTTGAGTGTTTTCCGATGTACTGATATATTCTCTAAACTGTTCGTGCTGAAGCATATCTAAGAAATGGAGTGCATGGGGATAGCTAAGGCACATCCAAGCCAATCATGAAATTTTACAAAGAAAAATATCAAAAGAACGTCCAAGCAAAAAGAAAGAGGTAAACTTCTTTTACATTGTCACATGCTATATACCACCTGGGGCTATACTCTAGACTTCTAGTTAACTTACACAACGAATTTGGCATATTCTGGTTGCTTCCAGTACTGGAGATAATCCAAGTAACGAAGAAAGGCAGGATCTTTAAAATATTGTTGCTGTGCCAAGTCTACAATAATGTCAATGCAATAATGCTCAGATGTAAAGATTGCATGTGTCTATTGAGATTAACTTACGATTAAGATACCATGGATTCGAAAGACATTGTAGAAACTCAAGTTCTACTTGGAATCGTTGCTTTTCTTCATCGCCATCCAGTTGTGCCATGGCCAACGTTTCCGCACATGGTCAGCAGCGGAGAGCAGATCTAGTCAATCACAGTGGCTTGTCACACTTCATTTTCTTATGGACACTTAGTGTAGAATTTTCTATTTGAAAGTGTGAAAGTGAAATAATTCCTCTCATACGATATGACCCTCGCTATTTTCATACGGTCTATTAACAAAAACCTGCCAATATTTAGCATTAAATTACTAAAAAAAATCCTTTTACTGCTGTATTGATATTTATATCATTACAAAACTCATACTTTGTTGGTATATGAAAGCAGTAAATGTTATCTAGCTGCAATTATCCTTAATAATCGACTGTATGCGCTCTAAATTTGTAAAGACAATGAGAGGATATAACCTTATTAAAATAACGCTGAGTATAATGCCCTTCCTCAAAGTCTTCATTAGTAAGTTAGACTTTTGTAATTTGATTTTTAGATAGTTTCCTTTACGAAAGTTGATTACGCTATATTTCTTTATTTATTTTTATCTTACTTCTATATGAATTTAATAATTACTAATACATAAAATACTAAAACTCATTCTTATATAGCTTTATAAGGGTGCTCATATTTTGTATATATGCAGATGCAACTATAATAAATCTATCATACGTAAAAATAACACAATTTTGAAGGTGGTTTATATTTATTTGTTTATTGATTGATTGATTAAAAAAACATTACTAAATGTCGCTGCCACACAAAACTTTCAAGAGAGGAAATTTATGAATAGCTTCATGAATATATGGTCTTAAAACCTTGAAAGGAAGGCTATACCGTATACCTAAATAGTGAAAGTTCTCAAGAACAGGATAAATAAGGATGTGTAATAGGACAGATGTGATGAAACGCCTAATCCACAAGGTGATAGACGAACGCCTCCAGAATTCAGGAATTTTCTTTGATGCAATGTGGCCAACTAGTAGCTCGAGCGGTAATACAACTCCAAATAAAATAAACTGGGTCATATGTACTCCGAGAAAACGCTCTTTATACACAGGCCACCCGATATTCCATACAAAGATGAATTCATGCATGACCCCAGAGATAACAAATACACCAAATACACCAGCGGCACGAGCAAGTGGAGCAGGGTTTTTGATAAATTTGGAGAAGAACCTCTTGGAGAAATCATAGACCGGCTTGTAGACTAAATTGACCATTGGAGAGCGTGCTATTCTGTGCCAGCGAGGGGCCCAGAATTCATTTAATGATTTTGCTAGTATAGGGTTTTTAGCCAATGGCCGCCATTCCTCTACACAACACAAATAACAACTTTTAGATTTTTCTCTTTTAATTTTCGGTGATAATGTATTTTGTACATACTTGAAGAGTAAGATCCACCTTCGTAGTAAAGAACATATATAAGCTGCGCAGGATAAGCAAGTGTATTAAATACAGTGGTAAAAAGTATGATTGTCAAGCAGTGGAAAAGCAAGGAAGCCACAGATATATTGCTATTAATCTCTTCAATATCCTTCATAGTGTATGTAACGCTAAATGATGTACATATATCACATATAATAGCGTTTCCAATCCAAGCTAGTATAATGTCGTAGTATCTCTAAAGAAGTATCAAAGTAAATATACATAATTAAGTATGTTTGGATTTACTTAGCAAATTACCTTGTCTTTAACATTCTCTTGTTCTATATACTTCTCTTTGGAAGCTATATCTTTTGATTCGGGTTTATAAAATGTTCGAATTGGCTTCCAAAGTTCTTCATGTAGATACCCAATTGGAACGTAAGCGTCGCGACCATATATAAAAGGCCCTGTCCATATAAGCTCTATGAATCTCATCAAGCTAGCGAAACTTGCTAGTCCCATTCCACAAGCAACAACTATTTTTGAAGGTTCTTAGTACATTTAATAGTCTCTGCGTATATATGTTAAAAGCTTACATCCTATGTCGACCTTTAGGAAAGCAGGAAAGAAAAAATTTACAAGAAGTATCGGGATTGAAATTGCTCTCTTAGCATTTGTCGAAAGAGTCTTGGTAGGAATTGTAACAAGATAAGTCAAAAGTCCTACTATAGAAGTCATTACTGCTATATAACCTAATGCCGACAAGGAGACCCTATTTTCACCGCCTTTGAGAATATCAGATATTTCCATAATAATTACAATCTGAGAAAAATGAAAGGTACATAAATTAGATCTTTAACAGAGGTGTGCTTATATAGTCATCATCTCGTAGAATATTCACGTAAAATAAAGATAAGCAAAACTGATTTCTAATGATCTATGAATAGACGAAAGATTTTCCTTCAATTGAATACAGCTAAAAAATATACTAAATGTTTTTTACCCTCGTCTATAATTTGAGTTGTCGATTTCACCTTTCTTTTTTTCATGTACAAGTATGTATGTCTTTGCTAATGCCTGGTTGTATTTTATAAACCTAATTTATACTAGTATAATAGCTTTATGCTAACTTATAAACGTTAACTTTCTTTGAAAAAATAAACTATATTCTTAAAGCTTTTGGAACAACACTTTTCTTTTTTTTAAAAAAAATATGGCCGTTGAAGTGTTGGTATAATAAACATTTATTTATAGAGAATTATGTTTAACTCTTATAATTGTTGATACTTATGGCATATATTGTTTAAGTATAAAGCACCATGTTTAATATGACCTACAGAAACAATATTCTCATAATTAGAAGAGAATATGATCAAAAATAGTTCTAATCATTAATACAAGAAACATCGTATCCCAGAAAATAATTAGAAAGATCTTGTGCAGTGAGCATAAGGTATAACTATTTTTTCCCTTTTGCTCATATAGTAACAATACTAATAAGAACTTTTATTTAAGACATAATTACCAAGTAATTATTAAAATAACACCAAAGAAAAACTATTCTTTGTTTCTTAATAATTCACTTTTGTAACTTAAACTGTAAAACTCAAGGTATGATTTTTTTTTGCTTTTGAATACCTTGATAAATGAACCAAATCATTCGCCGTGCTTTTTTATTATTATTGTTCATTTTTTTCTTTGGTTTATTTGTTTATAATAACCACCAGTATATTAACTTGGACTATGATCAGCTTTAACTAAACCATAATAACATAATCTGCTTAAAAGTGCTAATCAAGGATTAATCTTAATAATATGTATCCATTCTGCCAGAAGCTTTGAAAAAATGACAAGCACCTGATACTCAAATATCAAAAGCTATCTTTTAGGTAGATCTATATTTATTATTATCATTAGAGTCAAACTTTCTCATTATAAGCATATAAAGATACGATAGCACTTCCAAGTAATTATCATAACGAGACCACATTAACATACATATAGCAGCCATGGATAATAATCATACTTAAACACGAACTTATTTGGGTGAATAAATTACTAGCTCATATTATATAGGGCAAAGGGTTCATAAGTACAACTATGTACACTTATAAATGGACACAGACATGTGCTTATAACTTATTGAATGGGTAAATAATAGGTGAGGTATTTCATAAAAATACTATGGTGAGGTCAGTGCTTGCTTTGGCTTAATAAAATTAAAGTCTTGCTGAAAGGCATAAAAGTATTTTCGTACTAGATTTACATTAATACAATTAGAGTAAAATGAAAATCTAGGCATGACTTTTTAGCTTTAAATATATGTTTATACTATTTTATATCTAGCTGTACACACAAATTGCTATGATAAAGAATACCGTGGAGGTACCATAACTATGCAATAAACTATTAGTTCAGTATATTATTAGAAATATTAACTACTGGTTGCCATTTATATCTGTTTTTCATACATAATTTAAAAGGAACATCATAGTAGAATTAGCCATAAATATCTTGGGAATTTGATAGGTGGTCTTAATATGAAGGGCGGTTTCCTAAACCCTTATTCCCAAAGGGATCTGTTGGTTAGCAAAGTAAAGTTTTGTATAAAACTAAAAAAATAAAATAATGGTTTCTAACTCTTGACGTGTGACTCGCTTGTCATTGAATTTCTCTTTTTTTTTTATCAAAAAAAGGGGTGTGTAAGAAAATGGGTTGTGGTGAAGGCGAGCAGCTAGATCCCTTTTAAAACAATATACATTTCATATGGGTGACGCCGGATTCTTCAAGGTAAAATTCTACAAGCAAAATTGTTAAAAAAGTCTTACACATATAAAAGGGCACGAGTAGTGACCAGGACAGTCGCTTCAGCAACAAAGAAAAGAAGTTGTTGAAATCGATGAGTTTCCCTCCGGAATTCGATGCCAAGGTAAAATCATCTTGTTTTGTAGTATCTATTTCTCTCTACATGAACATCCTTTTTTTCATCTGTAATTCACAACAGACAAGGCGGCATTAGATTGTTTTGATGATCTTACGAATGGCTATTAGGTTGATATGAAGAAGGTCAATCTGGACGTCATTAAACCATGGATTAGTAATCGCATCACTCAATTGCTTGGATTCGAAGACGAAGTAGTGATTGATTTTGCCATCGGTCTGCTCGAAGAAGAGGTGGCATAGAGATTTTATTTTTTGTGATTCGCGATTTATTCATTTTTATTTTATTTTTTTGCCTTAGAATCCTGATCCCAAAACTATGCAAATCAACCTCACTGGTTTCCTCGAAAAAAGCACACAGCCATTTATATTAGAGCTCTGGAAGTTGCTTATTAGTGCACAAACATCACTTGGTGGTATTCCAAAGATGTTTTTGGAGCAGAAGAAAGAGGAGCTTCGTCAGAAAAAGGTGTGTAGTTCTATAATCCACTCGTACGTGTGGATAGTTTTCTCATATTACTATATAGGATCATGAGGCACAACTAAAGATACGCCAAACAGCTGTTATGGATGCCATTCGCAGACGTAAAGAGTCAGATATGGAAGATATTCGTGGAAATGAGCAAAAGGAACGAGAGAGACGATCGCGCTTTGTAAGGATTTTAATCGCGTGTCTGTGTGTATTACAAATGAGTCTAGGGATTTATTATTGTTTTTATTATCATAAAAATAGAGTGACCGCCCAGAAAGACCAGAGAGATCAGAGAGACCAGAACGAGCAGAGAGACCAGAACGAGCAGAAAGAGCAGAAAGACCGGAGAGACAAGAAAGACCGGAGAGACAAGAAAGACCGGAGAGACAAGAAAGACCGGAAAGATCAGAAAGATCAGAAAGATCGGAAAGATCAGAAAGATCAGAAAGACCAGAGAGACCAGAGAGATCAGAAAGACAAGAACGCCCCGAAAGACCTAGACGTTTGAGTCCAAGCAGAAGCAGATCTCCTCCAAGACGGTATCGATCACGCTCACGAGACGACGGTCGTAGACGAGATCGTTACAGAGATCAGGGAAGAGATGGACGTGATCGTCGTGAAGATGATAGACAATTCAGGAGTTACCGCAGAGATCGTGACGACAATCGAAGAGAAGAAAGGTCAGTATCGAGAGGTAGAAGAAGAGAAAGTCGAAGCCCGAGTTTGAGAAGAGTGAGAAAGAGGAGTCAGGATAATGTCAAAGAACCCGCACGTACTTCGAATGAAAAAGAACAGACAGATGAGAAAATTGTTCAAGAGGAAGTAAGAGAATCTGTACCCGGACGTGTAAAGTCTAGATGGGATGAAGATGACCAAACAAAGATTGACAAAGAAAAGGTAAAGAAAGATTTTTTTTTAAAAAAAAGGGAAGAAAGAAATGAAGATAGAAAAAGAAAAGGGAAACTTGAATCGTGAAGGAAAAGGTTAAAACCAAATATATTTTTGCTTTTATAGGAAACTTCTCGACTTCGTGACAAAGTAGCCGAGTCGATAAAACGACGACGTGATGCACACTAAGCATCGTATATATTTAATCGCTAAAGAGACATGAAAAATACAAAAATAAGAATAAACCAAACATAAGGAATATTGGTGCGTGTGTTTGCTTTCTGTAAGAAAAGGTGACTTTAAATGGGTTTCTCTTTTTTTTCCAGCTAGCTAGAAGTAACGGGTGATGCCAGAATATTGGCTATTATACATGTAAAAGTAAAACTGCTTGGTTTTCAGTCTTCGTCAATCTTCCACAACTCTGCAGAAGCTTGTTTGCTGAGCTTTAGATTGTCAGCGTGTTCCTGCTTTTTTGCGCCCCGTTGGATGTAAGGTTTCAGGTTCTTACCAAAATTATACATGCATATAGCACCAAGTGTGCCAGTTGTCTGCGATTCAACACACATACTTTAATAAGGCTGAAGAAATTTGACGTGTGTATTAACTTACCACTGCAAGTACAATTCCTAAAAGTACTGTATATGTATATATATAATGTTAATTACCAAAGTCTAGCTGTATATTTTGGTTCGCTTACCAAAGCATATCCATGTGTACCAAAAATTGTGTGTTCTCAATGTCTGTCGGAGCACAAGTCCAAATTGAACAACCACAACACACTGGAAAATAATAAAGACAGTCATCCGTTTGCTGCTCTCGACAGATCCCTGCAAGTGATGTCCCGGTTGATTAGATGAGGATTCGTGTGGGTTATTTTCTTTTTTTTTCTTTTTTAAAAAAAGGAAAAACTTACTGCCATTCGAGCAAAGTATAGCATTGGTAGCATTAAGGCCGTTGCTCCCAATTGAAACCAGATTTCCCAGACAGGATCATATTCTTTTGTAGCAAATTGAACGAGATAAAAGCAGGAAACCAAAAATTCAATAAATATATCAAATTTGAGAGCCAATACAAAGAATTGAAAGATTCTGTACATTCCTAATTAAGGAAAAAAAGGAATGTTAGTATAGTACGGTACAGGGAGATTGAAGGGGGGGGGGGGGGGGGTTCTTCTACTTCTTCTTCTTTAACTTGCTTTGGATCTCGACGTCTGCTCCAATTTTCTTGTATATAACCCAACCAAATTCTCGTACAACCTCGTAAGAGAGATACGCAAAAGCAATGGCAAATAATGTGAGTAAGACGGTAAGGGTTATCTCGAGATAAAAGGCAATCTCAAGCGGCTTTGTAGCGAATGCTATTCCTTGGACTTCATTCATGTGTCGTAATGTAGACAGCCACCGTCTACCGTCAATGACCTCTAGTGCGCCAAGCAGAGCGCACATGACGTTCATAGTTGCTAGAGCAATAACTTCTGCTGCGTTCTGGTTAACTGTCTAAGGAAATTGGTCACTAACATGTTTTACTCGAACCAACTGTGTACTTACTGCATCAAAGGACATGCCTACGAACCAAAACTGGAATCCAACAAATGCAATATTCTCCCACTTGATTCTGTTAAGTCTGTCTGTGGCTTCGTCTACTTCTAATGCTTCGTTTTGATTGGCTTCGAAGGCAGCGGCTAGACTAGGGCTTCGTTTTGTGTCAGAGGAAGGAAGTAAGGAGGCCTGGTGTGTGTTTTGATAGGCAATTACTGATTGTAATACGATGATCATCACACCTTGAAGACAGGCAAGGAAAAGGTATGTTTTTGTCCATTTTGATTGGCTTATTCGTCGTTTCTATATAATACGTTAGAGACATGAAGATTTGGTTGGCTACATACAAATTTTTCAGATGTCAGCATCTTAAATATATAATATATAATATATTTTATATATATCTATGTGTGTGTGTGTGCGTATTAAAAGAAAGAGAAAAAAAAAGTAAAAGAAGAAAAGAAATAAGAAATAAGAGAAAGAGTGAGTTTGGTCAAGACATTTAGTTTCTCCTTTAATTTTATTTTGCCATCCTCCTGTTGATTCTTTTTCTCTCTCTTCTTTTCTTTTAATTTTCATTGGAACTTTCTTAACCTCCCCCCCTTAATCCTCGTGATATTTCTTCCTTATTGACTCACTAGAGCTTAAAGTCTGCATAATATACGCTATCAGCCAAACAAACAGGGTAAGAGACTTGCCTCTTGACATCAAACAAGATAAAAAACGTGTACATCTATAAATATCCATAATTCTGAAAAATTCATATCAATTAGGGATCAAAATATCCATTAAATATTTATTTTTTTGCTGATTTTGCCCTCAACTAATGAATATCCTTTGGCAAAATCATGACACTATTAAAGGCTTACTGGAATAACACTTGTTCCCATATATATAAGAGCAAGATAATAATAATAATAATAATAATAATAATAATAATAATAACAATAACAAGGCTTGTTTTTCTTTTTCTTTTTTTTTTAAAAAAAAAAGGCATTTTTGATATATTTTTTTGCTCATCTAACTAAAATCGATATTATTTTGTTCCATTTTGTGATAATTTGATAGTTAGACTAGTAGTTTCACAGATAACTTATGCTAGAAGATATCCTCTAAAAAAACTTCTTTTCTCTCTCTTATATATTCAAATATCACACTATCAAGTACTGATATCATACGTTCAAAAGCTAGTAAATAAATAAAAATGCTTTGAAAAAATCAAATAAGCCTATAGAGTAGCTAGTAGATTTATGGGATAATTTATAAGATCAAGAAGAGTTTGTTTTTCTTTAAAGAGGCATATGAATATATATATATGATTTCTTTCAGCTAATAAATTTTGATAGATAAAACTTCTTTTTGAAAAAACCAGAGTGCGTAAAGTTGGTTAGGTTGGGTGCAAAAGGTGTGAAATGTATTTTGGACTTTTATAATCCCAGGAATTTCGTGTCTTTCATTTCATTTCATTTCTTCTTCTTTTTTGGGACCATGTCATTGAAAGGGTGAACTTCAGATCAGTTTTGAATTTTTGCAGAAGGTGAGCTGAGGTTTTTTTTTTCTGCCAAGTTTAAGGGCCAATTAGGACTTTAACTGTGATAGTAGATATTACTATATATCTTTTGTATGGATATAAGGAAATGTTGTAAGATACAAATATTATCGATACAAAATGTGTGTTAATAATAATAATAATAGCACAAATAGAGCCAATGCCTAGCCTGGTTTACCTTTACCAGAATAACTGTTTCCGCCAACCAAACAAATAGAGATTTTACGCCTTTTTGGTGGCAAAGTCTATTTGGGTTTACAAACACAAACACACATATATTCAAAATCACAATTATTTCTCTTTTGATGCTCATCAGACTATTATATATATATGTGTGTGTGCACACGCGAAAGTTTATGGGATTATAATCAAAATTATTCAATTGGAAAAAGAAATAAGGAAAAGCATTGGTCTAAAGAACAAAGCCGATATACATATACCACTCTCTAATAGAATAATAAGATCTTTGCTATACATATTTTATGCTAAAAGGTTGACCTGGGTTTGTCATCCATAAATTTGTTGGTGATCGCTTTTCTGGATTTCAAATTTAATACTTGTCTCCTTTCTTGTTGTGTAGGCAAATAAGTCAAGGCTCCTGTTGCAAATACGGTAAGCCAAGTGTTGGCTATAAAGTATATGAGTGACAAGGTCATAAATTTACTTGAGCTTTACGATTCTTATTTTATTTTATTCTTGTTCGTTGACACACGATAATAACGTAATTGACTTTTTTGCTATTGGAAAATTAGAGATGTTCTTGAATAAGAATTTTCTTTGGTGTCAAGTGTGGTGTCTTGGCATCTCTTGGTAATCTCACTAATTTCAGTAGCTGCCTAAAATCCAAGGACACAACAAAATGTTACCCGTGTATGGTGTAAGTGTCAGTAAATAAGTACGTTTAGTTATTTTAGAAGAGTGGTAGCCAAGCTACCTCAGCAAAAGCTTCTTTGTATCGATCAGTGTAGTAACACAGCAATATTATGTATACAAACATATTCAAACGGACTGTAGATCATCTTGAAGCTATTTTTACTTGAAAGCATGGCTCTGTGTGTACATTGTGATGGAAAGCTGGATATTTACAATTATTTTAATAAGCATTGCTAAGCTATATATTAGCCGGGAAATTGATCATTGGGAATTGGATATTTAGAAAAGCCTATCAAGATATATACTGCAGTTATACATGATGTTTGTGAGGATAATATTATGATTTGAAGGGTGCTCTTGCTAAATAAATATTAGACTACTGATAAACCAAAACCAATTTGTCCTGTTCGGGCTTGTCGATCTCTACCTTTTTAAGTAAATATAGTATAATATAATATACAAGTGGAAGGATTTTACAGCCTGATTTATATGCGTACATACATAAGGGTTTATGTCAAATATCTTGGTAGTATATGTAGTATGTATATCCACTGATTACAGCAAGTGTTCCTTTCATAATAATTTAATGGTTTATACTTCAAAACCAAGAACCAAAAATCAATAAGCAATCAGCAAAGATTTGAGAGCCACTTCGGCTTGGTCTAAAATATTCAAATCAAGGAAAGAATATATATATATATATATAAATAATATAATCAAAATTATGCTAATTTCAAATCAAAATTCACGCACCTTTGTATTATTCAATAAAAATCTAAAATTGCACTAAATACACACATATATATATATATAACATATACAACATTTACATTTATTTATATATAAAAATGTATGTATTTTATTATTTATTATCATATACGTTTATGCTCACAAGGACTCTCCCTTCCTTCCTTTCTCTATTCAAAATATTGTAACTAATTTGTGCATACAAATGTCTTTATATATTATATATATATATTAAAATTGAGATTGAGATTGAGATTCTTTCTTTCTTTTTTTAATAAAATTTAAAAAGCTAGTGGTGGGACTAGTTGGGGGGGGGGGGGGGGGTCTGTGACTCTGGTGCTCATTCCATCCTTTGTACTCAGCTTGTGAAATTACAGTTTGTCTTGCTGTAACCAACGAACTTAACATGGCTCATCAACAACAGACTGGTCCATTCGATGACCCCAAGAATCCCTTTCAGGATCCCTCAATCACTGATGCTCTCAACTCTCAGAACACCGAGCGTCTATACCAGTTTGAGACTGACAAGGTCCAGGTCACAAGCAATGTAGATGACTTTTCTGGAACGTCTTACCAGCAACTCTCGAGCAGTCATGATCCTTATGCCGTCCAGCAAAGTTCCAAGCTGTCTCCCAACCCAGCATCGAACAATGAAACGACTACCAGAGAAGAAGCTCTGCGCAAAAAGGAGGCCGAGTTAGCTGAACGAGAAAGAGAGCTGGATGAGAGACAGCGCCAAGCTGTTCGTCCAGGTGCCAACAACTTCCCGCCTTGTTTTCCTATAATGTACCTCAATATTCCAGTTGAGATTCCTATCCAGCATCAGCCAGTGGTCTGGTGGCTGTATCGCGAATGGCTCTTATTCGAAATCACCTTGGTTCTCAACTTTATTGCCTGCTTGTGTGTTCTCGTCTCACATCCAGAGTCTATCACAAGCGCCCCAACCAGCATGGGGGTAGCTGTTACTGAGCTATTCACACACACTGCTGCCAGTTTCTTCCTCTGGTACAGACCTGTTTATAACGCGTATATGAAGGACACCTCGCTCTACTACTGTAAGTTTTGTACTGTATTGAAAATATGTCTAAGCATTTTTTGGCAGACTTCTTTTTTGTGTTCAACGGTTTCCATATTCTCTATACTTTTTACATGGCCATCGGTATTCCTTCTACGTAAGTTAAAGAAAGAAAGTCCAAGATAATCTGAATCGGATCTATAGACTTGTGCGTTTGCATATTTGGCTAATACATGGATTAGTGGAGGTGCAGGACTTATCTTGCTAGTAACTCTCTTCTCTGATCACTTTATAACATCTGCCATATTTACACTTCTGGCTACCATCTGCTGGATTGTTATGGGATTCATGGCACTGTTCCTGTACAAGAAGACCTATGACCATTACAAGGCTGCTGGCCACACATTCCAGGAAGCCAAACAAGAAGCCCTTGTCAAGATGGGTAGATCTGATACTGTTCGCGATGCTGCAGTGAATGTAGCATGGCAGAGTGCCACCCAAAGACATTAAGAAAAGAGAAAGACACAACCAAAAACCAAAAACCAAAAAAAAAGGCAAACAAATCAAAAGCTAAATTGTATTTGACTAAACTTGCCTTGAATCTACTATATCCTACCTATATTAATATTAATGTTTTTTTTTTCTCTTTATTTATTATTATTATTATTTTTACTGATAATATACTATAATATACTATACTATATTATATTATTACTATTGCTGCCATTGTTGTTATTGTTATCTTACTCAAACCTACACACACACATGCATATATTTAATGTCATAAAACCAGTCAATATATCAAATTGCTATTCTTTTACGTCAGCCTGGCACGACACTTATTTTTACTTATTTATTTTTAATTATTTTATTTCTTCTACTATTGGCGATCATAAACATGAGCTATAAATACCAATGTTTCCGTATTCCTTTCAAAATCCTCTCTTCTTCTTCTGCTTCTTCTTTTGCTTCTTCTTATTTTCTATCTACATCTATAAATCTCAAATGAGAAGTAACGTCGCTGTAGCTTCAAACTATTCTAGACCGCACAATAAAGGTCCTAAGGAAGTTCAATACAGACCATGGAATGCCAAGGCTATTATGGAAGGTCTGAAAATCAACTCTACAAACAATTTTGTACATCATACATAGATATTAATATTTCTAACACTTCTATTCCATAGCAAGAAAGGCAAAACTCAAAGATAGTCCCCAAGAAATAATTCAATCCACAGAAATCAATACACCAGAGTTGATCAAATCATCTTCAGTGAGCAGCGACTCTTGGGTTCCAAATATCTCATGGGAAGAGCCAGAAACACCTGGGTCTACTCCTCCCAATATCCCTACAAATATATCCGAGGGATCCACTTATTCACTAGCCAACCAAGGTAGGCAATCACCACAAACATAAAGAACTTTATTTGCTTCTTCATTACACACACACAAAAGTTTTACATAAAAAGAGATACAGGTAAAACATCAAATTGATTAACAAGAGATATATAAAAAGTAGATCACGTTAGCACTACTAGTTCAAAAACATACAATAACGCGCACCAAGATTATGTGAGCGATGAATTTAATATCCAAACGTGTTCATGGCCAAGTGATACTCGTCCGGTATCTCCAATCAAAAACATCGGTCCGCTTCTGGATCTCAGTACGGATACTGTATCAAATGAACAAGGTGGATACATCATACTTGGCATAAATTTTGACAGCTTATCGACCTGTAAAATAATACTAAACTTCATCTATCTATCTATATATCTATCTATCTATTGTATTGGTATTACTGAATGTTTGCTTTCCTGACAAACATACAAGGCAAGAACAGTCTAGACACAATATTCTCATACGGTAATAAAAGAAAACAATAAATCAATATAGTTCCAAGTAACCTCTAATAGATTGATCATGGGGGGTGAACGACTTTTTGTAGCTTATCTTAGCAGACCGGGCATTTCATCTTTTATTAAAGACCTTGTTTTGCTTGATATTGATGATCTAACCTATAGTACAGATGAATGCGGCTCTCAAGAGTTTTCGAAATATGACGCTTTCTCTAGCAAGAGTTTTACATGCCCCTCTGTGCATTCGGCACAGGATAGTATGACAGGAAATGACATGTCTACTGGGAACTCGACCACAAATATTGTATTCGGGCACACAGCCTTTGAAAAGAACCAGGATTATATGGGCATTTCGTTCCAGCAACAGTCTAATAGCTCTGATCCTGCTGCTCCTCGCTCTCCGTCCCTTATAGGACGTCAGACATACAGTCGAGATGAACTCATGTCCCTCAATACATACAGCGAGAACATCAAGGGAATCGAGGCTGGAAATCTTATTGATACGTAAGTAATCTTATCTTAATCCAAATACATTTTATATAAAACATTTTGTTATCATTATTTTTTTTTGCTTTATAGATTTATCAAGGATGGAGCTACATACTACCACCATTCACCATCCTATGGAAACCGTAGACGTAGTGATTCACGTGAATATCTACAGGACCAAAAGGACAAAATCCCATTTATGCGCATTATCCGCCCAGTAATTAACCCTCCGGACAATGTCACAAAGGGATTTGCTCCAGGCCGTTGCCTTCCCCAGCAAATAGGGAGTATTCCACTTTTCGAAAACCTTTAGGTCTCCACATTCCTTGATTAATCCCTTCTATGCCTCCTTACACTACATGACAAGTATATGTCTGACAAAATACGGACACACATATTCAAACAGAAATAAATAAGTAAATACAAATAATAACAATAACAATAACAATAATAGCAATAATAGCAATAATACTAATAATAATAATAATAAACAATAATAATAATAATAAATAAAGGCAAAGGCAAAGGCAAAGGAAAAAAAACAGGGACAGGGACAGGAACAAGAACAAGAACAAGAACAGAAATAACAAGGAAAAAAAAAGACAAGGACGAAAAAGAAGTACAAAATGATTGGCAATATTTAGCAAGTGAACAAGTACAAATCCATTAAGCTCTCTTGCATTGTCTTGTCTTCTCTTTTGTCTAATTTGGTTTGATTTGGTCCGTTTCTATCCTACTGCGTCTTATTTCCTCTAAACCGCATACGAGGATCAATCTAAATATTAAGCCGTGATAAAATGTATCATACAAAATACAAAAAAAAAGAATGAATAAAACAGAATAAAGTTACAGCAACAAAACAAAATCAACAGCAATAAAAGAAGAAGAAGAAGAAGAAGAGAAAAAAAAAAAGGCTTGATTCTTACCATTCCACGTCTGCATTCAGCATAACTCTTTCGGATGCTCTGACATTCCTCGGGTACTTCTCCTTCTTTATCTTTTTTGAAACATTCGGCCACAGTGTTACGCTTGACAAGTACACAGTTTGACTTTAACATGCAATCGATTAGCTCTTGGCGAATTTCTTTGCATGAAGAGGGCATTTTGTTGTTTGGCTGGTTGTTAATCAACTCTGATCACCATGTAAACTTCTCTTCCCCCGCCCCCCGTCTCCCCAACCTTTTTATTTTATTTTATTTTTTTAAAATTCTACCTCTCTACCATGTTACTTGTGGCTCTTAATTGAGTTGCCCAGTCACGGTGACTCTCGAATTCTTTGGACAGTTGTAAGCATTACTGTATTAACCATATGTTGGAGTAAAGATCAAGCTAAAATGTATAAATATATATGATATGTACATAGTACTTGATTATGGTACCCTATACACTCTAAGACTTCTTTTATTTCTTTTTGATTTTCTTTAGCCAAATCAGTATTGGTGACGAAATACTATACTCTAAAAAAAAAAAAAAAAAAAAAAAGCGACCTCTCTTTGACCAAGCCGGGAAGTTGATTTTACTCTTATTTTTTTATTTTATTTTTGTTTACCGGACCTTTTGAGATTTCGGTATTTCTTATTTCTTTGTTAGATACCGGACCAAAAAAAAAAGAAAAGAAAAGAAACAACCAAACAAATTAATACATCTGGTCCCTAAAAATTCGTGTAGGCAATTGATTCCTCGGGTTTGGTATACATTTTATGATGGCTTTTATATTATAAGCCTATACTATTTTTCATATATATATAAGCATTATACCAAATGTATTCTGTATCACTATTAACATGAAATATTGGTATATATATATATATATGTGTGTGTAAAGTATAGCTTGAAAAGAAAATTGATACCAAAATCATTCGATATTTATTATTATTTTTATTACAATAACAAATTGTATATCCTTGGCAATATTTGACAGAACCAAAGAAAAGATTATATTTACTTACAGAGAGAAATACATATGTGTTTATACCTTTGATAACCGAGCGTATATATATATGCTATTCATTAACATTAGATTGTGTACTCACCCTAAAATAATTTCTCATGCAACAATAGCATTCTTCACATTAAAGAAAGTTTATTACTACAACAATTGAACATTTGACAAATTCCAGGCATATTGTTTTTATTTTTCTATATTACAGAAAATGTTAATTATATATATATATATATATATATTTCAGCTACTTTTACTATGCTTATTATGACTATTGGGTGCATATTTTTTTAAGGGGAATTGAAGCTATCATGTATGTAAGAACCCTGTAGAGGGGGAGGGGGGGGGGGGGGGGGGGGGGAATGGAGGGAAGGATATGGTACAATTTTAGTGAGATCTAAAGTCAAATAAAGAGTATGTGTTGCTTAAAGAGATAAAGATTATTGTTTCCCTTTTTACGATTCACTATAGAAACTGTCTTGGTGTCTCTGTCTACATATATATATAATGTATATATTAGTTTGTAAATATTATCAAATATTACGAGATCATTCAACTCGTGGTATCTGTACCACAACATGGGTCATGTAGGCTGATTATTAACAAGTCCATACTTACACTACAAGTCTAATTCTAATATATTCTCTCTTTTATATATATGTATATATATATATATATAATGTGTTAACAATAAGAAAACAAAAACAAAATATCTTGGATAAAATACATAGCTATTCATTTGTATATAAATATGTGTGAGTGTGTACATGTGCATGTATTACAATTATTAGCTCTTTATATTAATAATAGTATATATGAATGTATATGATCTTAAAATGTTAATAATTTGACTACACTACTTTGGGTGACGGTTCCCATTGGACTGTGAAGGAGTGGAAGAAGGGGAGAAGGAGAGGGAAAAAAAGACTGGGCACACAAAACTTTAATTTAATTTAATTTAATTTAATTTAATTTAATTTTTGTCATATATTTTTATTTTACTTTATTTATTTATTTATTTATTTATTTAATTTTTAAAGCTTGTCAATTGTGTGTGTGTGTGTGTGTGTGTGTGTGTAAAAGAGTGTGTGCTTGTGTTTGTGCATATATATAATTATATAGTAATACCAATATACTGGTTATGAATTGTGTACAATATTATGAGCAGCCTCCTAGTTATGAAAAGTTCCTTCATCATCATCTGATTCCAAATCTACCAGCCCTTATTGGACCATCACTAACAGCTGAATGGGAGGCAACAAAGTCATGGGTTACTGTTGAACAAGATAAAAGTGATTCCAATCGTTCTAGACGCATTCCAAACTATGAACATCTCCGAACTATCTATGGATCCTGCAAGGTACAAGTAGCCGACTGCAATGACCGGTACTTTACAGATCAGAAGCGAAGTGAGATGACCTTTGATGACTTTGTTGATCTGTGGCAGAAAGATACTGGTAAATCTCGATTCTATCTAAAGGATTGGCATTTTGTACAAGCACGCCCCGAGATAAAAGCATATGAGGTACCAAAGATCTTTGAAGGTAAGGAATTAAAGAAAATGAGTTGATTTTTATATATCTCTTATGGTTTGGCTTGTTGAAATTAGATGACTGGCTAAATGGATATTGGGTTGGCAGGAAAATGGCCGATGGTTCTGAGGATGACTACAGATTTTCTTATATGGGAGGTGATGGCACATTTACCCCCTTTCATGCCGACGTCTACAGGTAAGAAGAAGAAGAAGAAGAGAATAACAAGTATAAATGACAATTATATACATATGCAAATGTGTGTATTTTTGTAATGCTCTATATAATCAAGATATGTATTTGAGTAGTGACTATCTTTATTTATATATATATTAATTTTAATTTTTTTTTCCACAAATGAAAGGTCTTATTCTTGGTCAAGTAACATTTGTGGTGTCAAAAAGTGGACACTCTTTAGACCTGGACAAGAACATCTTTACAAGAACAAGCGTGGAGATCTTGTGTATGATATCCGCAATGTTGATCCACTAGAGTTTCCTGATTTCGAAAGGGCAGAGCGGATAGTCCTTTATCAAAAAGCCGGAGAGACGCTGTTTGTACCAAGTGGATGGTTTCATCAGGTAGAAAATCTGGGACCTACTATTTCAATCAATCACAATTGGACAAACTCTACAAATGTCGAAAAGACTTTTGAGTCTCTTGCGAATGACCTTGTGGATGTGCGACATGCTATTGACAATCTGGAGGATGAGATGAGTCCTCTAGAGTTTGTTGAGCAATGTCAGGATCTGCTGCATGTCCACAGTGGCTGGCATTGGAAGTTGTTTATTGAGATTGCCCAGAGCGCTGTGGACAGAGCTGGTGAAGAGAGCCGACCTGGACGTGAATTCGAATATGAATGTCTGAGGCGGGTTATTAAAAAGATGGAAGACAATGAACCATTGTTGATAAAGTACTTTGAGTACAAATCGCTAGACTGTTTAGATCAATTGAAACATACGATCAAATATGGTTTATAAAATAATTGGTTTTAATTGCCACATGGCAAAAAGTCTTCTTTCTCTTTCTCTCTCTTTGTCCTCTCTCTCTTTTTTTTTTATTACTAAATTCGACTGTTTTTTTATACTTTATATATATATATTTAGGTTCATTTTTTTTATACACGCCTGTATACACATTTATATATATTTTTTTATATATATTTTATTTCCCAGAAAATTTTTACCTTTTTTATTATTTTTATTTTTATTATTATTATTTGACTCTGCTTCTTCTGCTTCTTTCCTATTTTCTCTCTCTACCTCTTCTTCTTCTTTTACTTGTCCTTGTTCTCGTTTTTTTTTGTTGTTGTTCATTTTTCAGTTTTCATTTTCATTTTTCATTTTTCTTTCTTTCTTTTATTTCTTTTGACTTGACTTTGTATGATGGATTATCCTTACGACCTTACACAACCACTCTCATCCTCATTCTCTCCACCATCTTCCTTGTTTCTTGATAATGGAAGCAAGACAACATTGTGGTACGAAACTATAGTACATGCTTTTGATCAATTATTTAAATGGAAAGTTTAGGATGGGTGAATTAGAACCATGGATGGATGAACAAGTCATTCGTCAACTGTGGTTCAACCTTAATGAAAAGGTCATGGTCAAGGTCATCCGAGACAAAATGACAAGGTACACTCAATAATAATCAAAAAAAAATAATCATAATCATAATTCCTTTCTGTACCAATATACTGTACTGTACTGGATTGTACTGTACTGTACTGTACTGTATGTAACTGCAACTGGTATAACTATACTATACTATACTGCGCTGTACTGTACTGTACTGTACTTTACTTTACTATACTGTACTGTACTATACTTTAATATACTGGAGTGCACTGTACCAAACCGTATTGTTCCACACACTTATTCTTACTCAACTGCGCCCTTTATTATATTATATTGTATTATATTGTATTGTATATATATATATATATTATATTATTACTATTTTTTGTATTTTTTTGTATTGGCTAGTACCAGTGCTGGATATGCCTTTGTTGACTTTGGATCAACTTCAAGCGCCTTTAATGCTTTGAACACCTACAACGGAGCTCTTATTCCAAACACTCACAAGCCCTTTAAGCTCAATTGGGCCTCGGGAGGGGGACTTATTGACCGACGGTAACAATGCATTCTCAACAACCTTGTGTACACACATACACAAACACAAGAAAAAAAACACACGCACACACGCACACACGCACACACACTATTTCAGAGAAAAGAAAGACTAATCTTCTTGTGAATTTTTAATCTACCAAAAAAATGTAGTGAGGACAGACAGCCTGAGTACTCTATTTTTGTGGGTGACCTGAGTCCTGAGGTCAATGAATCTGGTCTTTTGGTAAGAACACAAACTAATGTCAACAAAGATTTATTTTATTAATTATGATTTATTTATTTTATTTTATTTTTGAATTTATTCATTTCATCTTTTCTTTTTATTATTCTGTAGGTCATCTTCCAAACTCGCTATCGCTCATGCAAGTCCGCTAAGATCATGACAGACCCACGTACGTCTATGTCTCGTGGATACGGCTTTGTTCGTTTCAGCGACCCAGTAGAGCAACAGCATGCTTTGGTTGAGATGCAGGGCGTCTTTCTCGGTTCCCGTCCGATCCGTGTCTCCGTCGCCACCCCCAAGAACAGTCGTGCAGGCCATGCGCAATATCCCGCCCTTTCACCAACCTCCTCTCTCCCATCCTCACCCTCTACTCGGTCACCTCCTCTTCAGCAACAGCTTATGTTCACGGACCCCACAAACACGACTGTCTTTGTCGGAGGACTGTCTGCACCGATCAGCGAAGAGGGTCTTCAGCAGTACTTTAGCTCGTTTGGCGAAATCATTTATGTCAAAATACCAACTGGTAAAGGTTGTGGATTCGTTCAGTATGTCTCTAGACAGTCTGCCGAGATGGCTATTCAGGAGATGAATGGATATCAAATCGGAAACTCCCGAATTCGTCTTTCCTGGGGCCGTTCCCAGCAGACCGAACAAAAGCCTTTGCCTGTCCCACCCACCCTGCCACGGTAATAATGCCTCTCACAATTTCAACAACAAAAATCAAAAATCAAAAATCAACAACAACAAAATATAGAAAAAAAAACCTAAATAATAGAATCTATATATATTTAGCTGACTAATATGCTCAAAGATTACCCTATATATATATATATATATATATATATTCACAAAAAAAGAATGAAGAAGAAAACAAAATAAGGCCCAACTAACTCATATTTTATATTTCATTTCTCTTTCCTTTCTTTCTTTCTTTTTTTTTACTGTTACTTATTTTGTAGCAATAGTGCATTCCCATACAATCCTCTTGCCTACACAACCTTTTCCTCTATCCAACAGCAGTTGCAACCAACCATGAACCCTCCTCAACCCACTTTCCCTTCTCACGTCTTTTCGCCACACCAACGCCATCAACAACAGTCCTCCTTTGACAACACCTACCGCAACGACACATTGGATCTCCTGCGAGACACTGACAACCTCTTCTCGACCACCTTACTTGACAAGAAGACGTCTTCCAATGCATCTGCTTGGAGATTCAACCAGATCTACGCTCAATAATTTTTATTTCTTTACATTCTTTTTTTTTTTTGCTTTTAATATCTTTATTCTCTATTCTATTATTATTATTATTATTGCTACTATTTTTTTGTCAAGACTTGTTCTATCTCTATTTTATCTATTTTATCTATCTATCACTATATCTATTTAACTATTTAACTATTTCTTTATTTCTTTTATTATCTTTTGCTTTCTCGTTATCTCCTTGCTAGCATCTTTTATTTCGCATGTACTTTATATGTGTTCCTCTTTAGTTTCATTCTCGTATCGTTGTGATTTTTCTATTTTATTTTTCTTTATTTGAATTGCTTATATCTCTTTATCTATCTATCTATCTATCAAGCTCTATTTTATATTTTTATATATATATATATCTTTTATATACATTTTCTTTTTCTTTTTCTTTCTTTCTTCTTTCTTTCGTGCATTGCCTTTTTCTGTGTCCCCGGTTTTATACTTGTTATTACTGTAAGACACTATTTTTTTTGGGTGGTGTTACGATCCCTCCTTTTTGTAGTCTTGGATTATTTTTTGTACTTATTGGTTTGTTCGTTTTGTGCGACCTAACAACACAAAATGTATAGAAGAACTAAAATAGGATATAAAGGGAAGAAGAAAAGAAAGGGAAAGAGTAGAGAAAAAGACTGGACTTTTAGACATTTGATTATATAATTTGTATATAGGTTTATACACATGAACAAAGGTACATACATTTATATATATATATATATATGTTCAAGTGCAAGTTCAAGTGCTTGTTTGAATGCTTTGAATGCAGTTATTCATAATTGGATATATCCTATCTCTTAAAGACGTTTCTTTGTTTTGTTTTGACTTTTTCTTTTCAATTAACATGGCTTGAAATTGTGGGTCCAGTAAAAAGTAACACCAGCCAAGATCCAAACGGGGCACATCCAGAGTACGATCACATCCCACGCTCGAGACTCTATGCTAATACAAAAATAATTATAATATTTTATACCATATTAAAATCATTGTAATTATATATCACAGCAGTCAAAGTCTCTATGTACCTTTTTCTTTCTCCATCTATTATACGTCTACTAAAAGAAAAAGAGAGAGGACAATAATGCGTTTCAAAATAAATGTGTGGAAATACGAATTGAACAAATTTTAGCCTTGTATTTCGTGCATTATGTCCGAGGGATTGATGTACAAATCCAAAGAGAATGACTATTATTCTCCTCTTTTTTTTTTAAGCGACCTTCATTTCCTTTGTAAATTTTTTCTTTAATAAATGTATTTAAATTATGTGATGAGCATAATGGACCTTTTGGTGGATTTTGTCTATCTTATTATCTCTCTCTCTCTCTCTCTCTCTCTCTCTCTCTCACTCTATGTGTTTGTGTATATGTTTCGTGACTATATTGAATACCTTTGACTAAATACAGTGCATAATAGGCTCACTCTGAATAGACCTGATTTATGTAAAGATGCGCAATAAATGATCTAAATTGGTGATATATACGTATATCTATTTGATTTTCTGTGTTCAGGAATAAGTCCATCTTTAGATTTTAAAGGGAAAAGTTGCGCAGTACTTTCTCTTTTTATATATATATTGTATTTGCTGTGGATAAATGAAAAGGATTATATTAAGAATAATATATTGTCAAAGTGAATAAGAAGAAGAAAAAGTCAAATTAACTTAAGGTTAATCAAGGACCCCCATACTTTAATTTATTTATTTATTTATTTTGAATAAACAACACCTCTTTTAAGACCTATAGGTAACTAGGCTATTAAACCTGTACTATTAGTAGTATTATTAGCATTATTACCATTTGTTGAGAAATCGAATGAGTTTAATATAATATAATATAATATAATATAATATAATATATATATATATATATATTTTTACAAGAAGTTTAGTCTAGATTCACATGTACAAACAGTTGTGCATGTATACTTGTAGTGAATAGATAAAGAAATATATACTAGTGTGAATTATACTTTATACACTAGTTTTTTTTTTGGAGGAAAGGGAGGAGAGAGAAAGAGAAGAAGAAAAAAAAAGCAAGGGTGGGTGAGTAAGTAATATTGAGTAAAAGGGTGCGATTGTGTGATGGTGTGATGGTGTGATGATGGCGGTGATGGCGTGTGTGTATTGGTGGAGTATTATACACCACTGGTGTAATAAGGATTTGGATAAAACACGATGCTGGTCGGGTCCAAGACCCCTGCCTGGGTTTGCTGTGGGCTGGTAAAGAAAGTAACAAGGTTGTAAGTAATACCAGCCACAATTATGGTAATCCAGATTATTACTGGCAAAGCTTCCTTGACTCGATACAAGAATACGTTTTCCCGCTTTCTCTCGGCTACAGATCTCGCACTTGTTCCCCAGCCAACATCCCAGAGTGATACAAGAGCCCATATTTTGGCTGGCACCAGGCCAAGGAGGTAGTAGACCGAATAAAAAGGAAAGGCCAGGAATCCCAATGATTGCGAGACAACCAGTGAATATAGCGTCTTGATAGAAGCAATGACAAACAGCGATATTAACCAGATTGCAAGAACAATAGGTGCATGGGCCCACAAGATGTACAGAATCGAAAACAGGAGAACAAATGGATAGAGACCCTGATAAAACAACTCGGCTGCCATCCACGGACTGTGTTTATGTAGGCTCTGGACGTTCCAGAGCAACTCGCGATAGAAACTCTTTGACCACCGTGTCTGCTGCTTGAACCATCGTAAAAACTCGGTAGGTGTTTCTGTTTCGCAGAACGCTAGGTGAGTAAAAACCACTCGATGTCCACCCATCAAGACCCGGTTTGTCAAGTGCCTGAATAACAGTGATTTCGTTGTTGATGATGATAAAAGAGAGAAAGAAAAAAAAAGAAGAAGAAATAATAGTAAAAATAAAATAATAATAACAAATACTAATAACAAATTTACATAAATTTACATAAATTTACATACTACATGAATTTACACACATTTACATACATTTACATTTACATATATAGATATATAGATATACATATGTATATATATATATGTATGTATGTAATATGTATGTAATATGTATGTAAATTCATGTAGTATGTAGATATATGTATGTATGTAGATATGTAGATATATGTATATATTTGTGAATACGTTCAAAACTCTCTTCCCTCCTTGTTGCTTTTAAAACTTATTCTTTTTCCCTCTTTTCATTTTCATTTTAATTTTAATTTTATTTTAATTTTATTTTATTTTATTTTATTTTATTTATTTTTTACCTATCATCGCCATATGTGCACTCCATACCCAAGAAACGCTGCTTAATCCAGGGATCGATTATGTCTTTTAGAACGCTGGATTTGTACAATCCCATCGGACCAGATACGCAGGTAACGCAACGATGTATACTTTGGGCGGCTCTTTCGATATTAAACGCCATCCAGTATCGCAGTGAAGACATAAAAGACAACAAGCTGTCCCTATTATTCCAGATTCGCACATCACCAGCAGACGCACCGATATTTGGGTACCAATAAAGAGCCTGCTCGAGTTCCAGCAGCGCACTAGAGTCAAATTTTGTGTCCGAATCGGTTGTCATGACAGCCTCGCATCCGGCTGCCATCAATACTCTAAAGGCTGTATACATCGCATGTCGCTTTCCACGGTGAGGCTGCATGTAGCACACGGCACAGGTGTCGGTTGGAAGAAATGTTGATTGCAAGAGCTCTTCGTCTGTCATGGGCCGGACTTGTTCTTTGACAGTCTCTTCGGAAGATGGTACAGAAGGGTTGCTGAGGTCGTACACTGGGGTTTCTGATAACAGATGTTCAAGACTGATGATAGGGCAGCCAGGAAAGGCCTTTTGAAACAGGGTGGCCATTTCACGATCTTGCTCTTCGTTTCCGTCTATTACGACGACAATCTTGATAGGATCTGGATACTTCAATTGCTGTATTGACTCGAGGCACTGAGAGAACAACGTGTCGTCTTCGCGGTAACCCACCACAGCCAGACCGATGTGAGTTGCCGGCCGCTCCTTGAAGTCATCGGTGACAGTGATCTCTACCTTTTCAGAAATCTCATGTTCTGCAAGTGACCCAGGCTTGATGATTTGCTGGTCGGTGAGGTCTTTTTCGACTATTGTTTCCTGTGCGCTCGCATTGACTAGGCGCCGTGAGACGAGACTTGGAGCATTCCTTTTGTAGCGATATATGAAGCAGCGATTGAGAGTAGCAAAGATCAACTGAAGAAGGATAAAGCTAAAGACAACAGTTCCGTATATTCCTAGGGCCCAAAAAGAGTAGCTCGTGATGTGAAGCTGCAAAGCATACCCCACAATTGCTGGAACAACAAATATGCATGAGATGACTACGGAATAGAGGATCTTGAACGGTAGCGTCCAACTAGACAGGACTTCTCGAGGCATTGATAAATCCAGAAGAAGATAGAGAGGGAGAAAAGCTGTAAAGATCTTTGGTTAGCACAGCTTGTTGGCACGTATGTTCTGGTAATAAGAAAAAAAAGTACTGATAGAATAGAATAAAAGAAATAAATAAATAAATAAATAATTAAGGACAAAGGGTAAGAGTAAGAATAAGAATAAGAATATGAGGAGTTAGACTTTAGTAGCAAATAAAAAGAATAATAAAAGAAAAGACAGAAAGATGAGAAGAAAGAGAAGATCCCTCCCCCCAAAAAAAAGCAAATAATATACTGCATGGCTTTGAGGGTATGGAGAATATTAGAGACATGCTCCACATCATGGTAAGATCATTACCCGAGGATATTTTCTTTGCTTCATTCTTAAAAACACATTCTCATAAAACACACCCACAGACAAACAAGTTAGACCATATAATTGGATTTGTTTCTTGAATAAGGTGGTTTTTAATATGATCAATACGATTTACAGCCCACTTACAAATCAGCGAAAAAAAAAGAAAGAAAGAAGTGAATAGCTAACGAGACTTGAAATCATACACTTCTTTTCTATCTTTTTGAGATCTGTTGTTGTTGTCTTGCTTATATTTGTTATTGCTCTTCTTATAGGTAATTCTGTCGTGGATCTTGACTTTTTTTTGCGCTTTTATTTTATTTCTATTACATACTACATATTGTACAGCGTTTTAATGTGTTAACAATATATACAGAAGTAGAAAATTGTGTGTAGAAATGCAAATATATATATATATATATATATATATATAAATCTTGAAATTCATAGAATCATCATTCAATTATCGATGATCTATCCTAATTAATTCCTTTTTCCTTTATTTTTTAATATTTTTTTTATTGTTATTACTTTTAAGGGCTTATAAAATGATGCGTTTTTTTTTGTTTTTGGCTGATACCCTTGTTAATATATAGTCTTTTATTACTCTTTAAGGGTCTTGACATTAGGTTCTTATTAAAGAGGTCCCTAAATCTGACTTTTCTTTTCTTTTTTGGTATATGCAAAACCATTTCTATCCCTAGTAGAATCTTTTGTATAATAAACAAGCCATGGTCCGCGTATAAATGTTTTCTTTCTAAAAAACCACCTAGAACATTTGAATTGGATCAATTGGACTTTTTGCAAGTTAGTCTTTAGATAGCTATAAGTAATTTAAATACACATCTGCATTATTACTATTACTATTATTGCCATTATTATTACCCTTATCATTATTAATATTATTAGGATTTTTACCATTATTATTTTATTAGTATTTTTACCGCCATTATAATTATAATTATTCTTATTATTTCTATTGCCTTTATAGTAATTATTAGTATTATATGTATACATAATATATTTACAATTCGCACAGAGCAATTGAAACTTGAATATCTTCCACCTGTATTTTCTGCAAATCGATATATATATATGTATATGTATATTCATGTACAGGCATGTACAATCATGTACAGTCATGTACAATCATGTACATTTATGTATATTTATGTATATTTATGTATAACCCTCCAGAATCGAAAAATTGCTTTGAATTTTTCTTTATTTGTATGTACAACCCCCTTTGAAAACTATAACCCATCGTCCCATTCCTTGGATTTTTTTATTTTATTTTATTTTACAAGACATTCTTTCTTGTTTTCTTTTCTTCTCTAATAATCGCATCAGACTATGATGGTTTGGCCAGGTTTCTATTTATTTAAAATAACAAGACAAAATATACGTATATTTATATATCTATATTATATTCATTCACAGAACAATGCACTACACTACACTACACTACACTACACTACACTACATTACATTGCTTCGATTTTTTTATTAGATTTTATGATTTTATCCTATTTGAAATCAACCTTAATTTATCTTCCCTTGATCATAGTACACATGTGTCAGGATAATCTTTAGCTTGGCTTTTGTACATCATATTACTGTAAAACCCCAAAAGATCCAAAATAAATATTTTTTGTGTGTCAATGTCTCCAGCTAAATTTCCTCAAAAATCCTGGGGTATCTCCTGGTAATCTCAATTAGTGATGATAATACTATACACGTTTATAGTGAATTATGTCGATCAAAGATAATTAGAATGAGGCATTAGTGCCAATCTTGAGTGCAAAATCCAATAAAGAAAGAAAAGACATATCAAATCAAATCAAATACACATTGTAGGGCAATCCAAAAACACCTAACAAACACACATAATGGTAATAAGAATTAAGCTATCCTTTTATTCCTTTTTATATATAAAAGAAAAGGCACTCTAATTAATCATTGAATTTTGTGAGTATGGATATATGATCGGCTCAATTTGTCTGCTTGTCGAATAGGCTCTGGTACTCTGTACTGACAGGTAGCTAAAACTACTCTAATTGCAGTATCTAGACTAATTCGATGGCCTTGGCTGACAAATATTGGATTCGTTGAACTAGCTGTGGCCCTCAATGCTGCCCCATATATAGTTCCAGAAGTGCCCACCAGATCTAATCGATCCCCACATGTCTTTAGTTCCTGCTGGCATGTCTTTTTTACGCTCATCTGCAGTAAAGGTCCTTCAGATTCAATCACCAAAAAGTTCTTTCCTACTCCAAGAGTAGGCAAATCGGCCAAAACTCCTACATGGCAGGCTATTCCACACATTCTGGGATGCAGTCGGCCGTTACCATCTACCAAAATCAATTGCGGAAACAATTCGGGAGATTGTTCTTTGAGGTCAGAGAGGAGTTTGAGAATAGGTTCAGCTTCACGAAAGGCTAGAAAGCCGGGTATATAAGGCAGGTGGAGCTTTGTCTCAAGGAAGGCAGTGTAGACTGTCTTGTTTGTTTAGTTGTTAGTATATTGAGCAGATTCTTTTATTTTACTTTGTTTGTTTATTTGTATGTATATACATATATGTATATAAATAAAAAGAAAAATCTTACTTTGCAATCTGGAAATGACATCACAACAAGACATGCTACTGCATGTACCTCATCATTCTCTCGAAAGCTGACATCTACTCCACCCACAAGATTCAAATTCTCGAGACTGATGGGATCGAAACTGACATTGTCTTGCAATTCAATCCGATCCCGCAGCTTATTCTGCTCACTGTGATGATAGGGTAAGTTTAAAACTGTGTATTGGTTTGTTTATTTATTTATTGACATACTCACTCTTCCCATATTTCGCGTTGTGCTCTTGTGGGATCCGGATCGTACTCAGGTAAAGACATTATTGTCTATTTTATCTTTCCTTTTGAGAGACCACAATATTGAACCTAACCAAGTATTAGTATTAGTATTAGTATTATTACTATTATTATTTTGAGTTTGAGTTTGGGTTTTGCTTTAATCCAAATAAGAAAATATATCGCTCACATGATTCGTGGTAGCAAATTGATTTAACCTATGCTAGCTTGAAACACTTGAATAGCTTCCTCGTCTGCTGTTATTATAGTAGTACTTGGTTTGGTTTGTTTTGCTTTGCTTTGCTTTGCTTTGCTTTGCTTTGTTGATTTTAAAATTTTTCGGGATGAATTTAAGGATGTAGTTTATTTAGTATATTAAATGAAGTCTTCATAATATTTATTCTAGTGATATTGAGTAGCACATCTTGTTCAACATTAAGCTTGGACCAAACTAAATATCCTAAATTTTAAGCCAAGGTTAAACATATGTATCTATATTGCTATCCTGGTTACTATTACTATTTGAATATAATCCTATATTTTGTATTTGGTTATTATCGCTATTGATATTGCTATTTAAAAATAAAGACAGAGAGAGATAGAGATTATAGGCTTGAGCTTGTAAATATGCTCATTCATTCATTCACTCATTCGCGTATTCGTTTCCTTACCATTGTGGTTTAAATTTTGGTATAAGCGTATAGTCTATTTGTGCTTATTGTGGATTCGGATAAATTAGTGTGGTACGATTTAGATACCTACAGATTTGTTATTTCTTTGGTTATGTGATGGTTCATCGTGACCCTTTTGTTTTGTTGATGTTTTTGCGGCACTATTCTAATATATGGAAAGCGGTTGTGCTTCGCATCAACAATAACAGAAAACAACAATAATCATAATACTTTATGGATCTAATCTACAACTACAGAATTCAGTCATTAAATGCTATCGTATCAGAATCACAAGCAATCATGATAGTAAGAAGATTTAGGATATGATTGACCAAGATAAAGAATCCAAATACAAGTGTGTCTAGGTAGTGACAGAGCCGGAAGCAAAACAAGAGGTATTTACATCTATAGTTTACAAAGGAAGCCCAGGCATATTGTTATTAGGCGCACATCACACTATACATACATACATACATACATACATTTATATATATATATATATATTTAGAGGCATACAGATTTATATATAGATGTATAGATGTATACACTTTAAATCAAGCCTTGACTGCCTCCAAAGGTCATCTGCTCAACAGCAACAAAAGTGCAGATAGTATACCATATAAATCCCCCTTCTCTTTTGCTCTCTCCCCCTACTTGCTCTGTTCTATTTTTCTATTATTATTGTTGTTGTAGTTGATTCAGTGCTCTACTTTATATTCTACCCATTTTTCTCAACCTTACTCCCATTATAAGATGCTTCGTGTCAGTGGTATTCTCCAACTACAGTCCGTCTGGACCCACCCTAGATATGTCAAGTCTACTCTACAAAGATCATTATCACAATCACGACCAGTATCTATTCATGTTCATGACAATGTTCATGTTCATGTTCAGGAGCCATTGTTTAGCAAGGAACCCACGAGTCCTCAAGTACCATTTTTCCAACCAACTGAACGAATTGATACAGGCAAGTTATATATACTTTTTAAAAACAAAAAGCAAAAGCAAACATAAATTACATCTTTAAAGATATGCGTGTTTTTGTGTGTATTTATCAATCATTCTTTATCTATCATGATACAAATGTCAATGATACTAATAATTATATGATATACAGCAATTCCTAATGCTCTGGTTCATCCAACAGAAAGTCTAAGCAATATTTCTACCTTCCCGGCTATTCTTGTGGTTCCTGAACCCAAAGAAGATTTCGAAAACACAGATCCTGTTTGTGGTGGTATCAAACAAGAGTTTCTACAACATAACACCAATGAGAGCTCTAGACAATTAACTGGAACAGTCCCTGAGCATAAAAATCAGGGGGATTTTGAGGACATCACCATGGATTTAAATCAAGACAAGCCAAGAATAGACGAACAGCCTAAAAAAGTGGCTACAGAGAATATCATGGAACAAATCATGGACTATATTACAGACTACCTTGCCGAAGAATTTGACCAGAATACCAATACCAATACCAATAATGGCAGTGGTTTTGAAAAGATTAAAGATAATGCTTTGGAACACAAGGCTTCTAAAGTGATCGCGGAGACAATTGACGAAAAATTGAATAGAGAAGAGACGGCAGAAAAGGAGATCCTGGAATTCAAAAGAGAAGGAGTCCAAGACATACTAAAAGATATTTCAGAAGAAACTGCTCATGATGCCAAACTAGACTTTCAAGTCGGCCATAAGGTCCATATCTTGAAAGAGGATTCCCAGAAACTCATTTCAGAAAAGCCAATGTGTGGCGTTCCGGCTTACTCGTCCCCACCTTCATCGTCCTCATCCTCGACATCGTTCTCTTCTAATTCTACCGTGTCTTCATCTTCATCACTATCTTCATCTTCATTGGCATATTCACCCGTACCAGCACGATTATCATCACCAGCCCAACCATCATCACCATCATTAGCTGCCTCATTATCATTATCATCATTATCAAAAGGAATATACAAGACACAGCTGGCTATGTCATCCATTGATAAAGAATACAATACATTAGGTTCGGTTCCGTCCGTTCTGCATGACGAAATATTGCCTAGCTTGAAGAAACCAATGAGCCGACTGAGTCTTCAGACAGTTGGTGGTCCAAACACTCCTCAGACATCATTTCCCAGAAAAGAATCCAACCTGCTGATGCGAGCCCGGAGCCTTGGTGCTTTGGCCCGACGTATTTCGATATGCAATTCCCGAGACACGATACCGGATCTAGAGAAATCTGAATCTAACCAGCACTCCAGTTATACAAATGGATCCGATTATGTCCTCTCTGCTGACCTTATCCTGCCATCTGTTTCTACTTCCTTACTCTCGGTGCGCAAAAAGGGCTTTCGAAAAGACCAGCTCAAGTCAGCTCTCAAAGGAAAAAACCTGTCGATACGATTAAAGAATGCCATGTCACTTAACAAGAAATGCAATGATTAGTTTGTCACATTAGTTAACTGGTTTTGGTTCGGTGCTCCTTGTCTTATTATTATTATTATTATTATCTTGTATCCAATATAAATATGGTTAAATACACATAAGGTGGTCCCATTGTAATCGATAATATGCAGTGTTATGCAAGGAGTATTTACATTTATTTCTATTCTACCCTGTTGTGTTTATTTTTACAACACCTTTCTTCTTCTTCTTCCTCTTCTTCTTCTTCTTTTATTTATTTATTTATTTATCTATTTATCTGTTATCATATTATTCTTTATTATAAATTATTAATTATCAATTATCAATATCATTACCACTATCATTGTCATTGTCATTGTCATTGGCATTACTATATATTTCTTGAAATGAACTCTCATTCTTGTTTGAATAAAGGGGGTGGGGGTAAAGAGGTTGTATGAGTAATGGTCTTGGAGATTGATATTTATTACAGTATGTGCAACCTACAATATGTTTATCAATATCGATCTTTTTCTTTCTTTTCTTGATTTCTTCTTTGGAACTTTTGAATTTGATCGTAAAAGGTACATTTAAATCTTTGAACGCAAATTTGAGTGGCCTGGTTGTTGCTTACACCATCTAAAGTCACTCTGAAATCTTGACAGACATGTGTATTGTCTACAGCCAGATATAGAAGGATATTTTTAATAGAATATTCAGAATGATCTAATTTAGCTATATGTTTTCAGATAACCAATGTCTACATTAAATACTCGTATTAGTATCGATACTTTTGTAATATTTCTTATGTTGTATCCAAAGTACATATATTTATATACTTGAACTCTATTTAATTTATTTGTTATAAAACAATTTCTAAATATTTAAGAATCAATTGTGGCCAATCATTGTTCTCTTTATATATATTCTTCTTATTGTTTTGACCCCCATTCTAGATCGAAATATATGCCTTGACAATTATAATATTTAGCATACAGTTCTTTTTTAACGACACTGATTCAATTGACAATACTAACCAATAAGAATTGTGTGTACCAATTCATTCTTATTCTTCTTCTTCTTCTTCTTCTTCTTCTTTTGGTTATCGAAATATGCTACACAATGGCACACACAAGCACATATAAATATCTTAGTTACAATATAAAAGAAAGAAGAATAAAAGAACATTACAATTTCAAATCACAGGCATGTGCAAAAAGTAAAACAGAAATTTTGTAATAGAATAGAAATAAATCAGATCGGGTCTATAATGCCCTCAATAAACGCACTACAAAAAAAATTCAAGCATAAAATTATATGACAAGAATCAATCGATTTTAATTTCTGATATATCAATATTTCTTTTTTTTTTTTTGAACTATTGATAGATTAGCGTGTGTACTAGCTATCTTACAAGCCACGACTATTATCATGTAATAATAACTTTTTTTTTCTTTTTTTCTTTTAGCTTTTCTTCTCTTCTCTTCCCTTTTCTCCTCTTCCTTATTTTCTTCTCTTTTCATGACTGACTTGAAGAAGAAGATTATTATTGTTGGTGGTGGAGCAGCAGGTATTCTGGCTGCCATGAATCTTGGGTGTCACAAAGACAAGGATAAGATGGAGATTACTCTTGTCGATAGTAAAGTAAGCATGAGACCCAATTTCGTAATAATAATAAAACAAAAAGCATAGTCTTTCTACGAATACACTCCTGGCTTATGCTCTGTTTTGTACGAGCCAACTGAACAAAAGTTCCTTGAACACTATGGCAAAATAACTGCTACTTATGAAAGTCTTCTCAAACCCCTTGGCATCACTTTTATACTGGGAAGGATAGAAGATATAAAGGACAACAAAGGTAATTATTATCATTATTACTATCTGTTTTCACTTGGAAGCAGCCCAATTACCCTCGCATATTAATTTAACCATCCAAATAATAAATCAATAAACTATTTTTTTTCTCTTGTTGCCTTTTTGTAAAAGTGGTATTGCATGACAGTCAAGAGATAGAATTTGATTATGCTATCTTGTGTACTGGATCAAGTTACGCGGCACCCTGGAAATTAAGCAATCTCGGTGGCAGTGATGGTGATGGTGGCGATGCTGGTGGCGATGATTCAGAGACGATCGAATTGGGACAGAGAATCGATTACCTGACGGCCCAAAGAAAACGATATCAGGAAGCCAAGGAAATCATTTGCATTGGTGGTGGACCTGTTGGTGTAGAAATTGCAACCGAGATCGCCCACAGATCACCGACCAAGACCATCACTCTCGTCAACAGCCAGGACTACGTTCTAAAAAGCGCACCATCCAGTTTGGGAAAACACTGTCAGACGATTATCGAGAACACTAGGCCGATTCATCTTATCTGTGGAGAACACGCCAGCCCTGTTGACAACAATGCAAAACCAGATGCGGACGGGAAATATCATTATGAGACCGACAAGACGCACACACAAATCACGGGCGATTTGGTTTATAATGCTATTGGTATCAAGCCAAACACGCACTTTTTGGCAGGGTCACACTCGGACTGGCTGAACAGCAAAGGTTACGTCAAGATTGATCCTTTTTTGCACGTCAATGGCACGACAAACATTTACGCGATTGGCGACATGAATAATCATGAGGATCCAAAGATGTTCTTTACCGCACACATGCAGGCTGTGCATTGTGTCCACAATCTGCACTTGGAAATCAATAACAAAAAACCAGTTGAATACAAGGGTTCCAGGGTTTCTATGATTGTGTCTCTTGGACCAACGTTTGGGATTGGATATGTATCTGGACTGACTCTTCGCGGCAGACCATTTGAGACAAAAAAGGGGAGCAGAATAGCAGCCCAGATGAAGCATCTTATTGAACGGGTCACGATGAATGACCTTCGCCTCAAACAGCCTGTCAATTTTGCACTGTACTACACTCATGAGAAAGCCCAGATCCTTGCACGCATCAATAGCTTAATAGATATATTCAATTGAAAAAAAAATTGTACAAATACATGTGTGTATGCTATTTCAAAATAAGAATGGTTACATGAACACGCAATCCATTGAACTTTATTATCTAAAGAAAATGTAGCAATACAAGGACATCCTTTAAGCTAAAGGAATTTTGTGTTTTCTAATGAATTTTGACCATTCTAGAAAACCAAGGCCTAATTTTATTTTAATTTTAATGTTAATGTTAATGTTAATGTTAATGTTAATGTTAATGTTAATTTTGATTTTCTAAGTATGTGACTCGTTCTCTGCCGTGTTAATTTCTTTTCTTTTCTTTTTTCTTTTTTAAAGAAAAAGAAATGGTAGTAATTATCATTATTGGCACTACCCTAAGCATCGATTATAAGTAGATAGATTGATAGACGGACAAAGGGAAATTGTTTGTGCCTGTATATTTTCAAGCTAAAATTATAGTTTTTTTTTAATAAGATCTCATTGGCTGTGGTATAAATTTCACTCTATTGAATTGGCTTGTAACTCTTTATTGGCGATGTTTTGTATAAAATTTACCAAGTTTTGATTAAGTAAGAAAAGATTGAATATATATAGGTATATATACAAAACAAATTAGAGTAAATTAGAGTATGGTAGAATAAATAGCTAAAAAGAAGAATTAACAAGGTATTATGCACTACCTTTTTGGACCCGACCAGATTGAAAGAAAACGTAGTCTATATCTGATTTTTCTGTACCTTTCTTTCTTCTGTATAAATACACCACTTAAGATACACACCGCATATATGTAAATTTACTAGTTGGGATTTGGAATGAAGCATATTGAATATCATTCTTTACCTAGTTCAAAACGCCTTATCGTATATATATATATATATATATATATATTTCTTTCTTTTTTTGTTGTAATTAATCTATATGCTTTATAAGATCTTTCCATTTACTTGCCTATTCTTATATATATATACATATTAAAGAAGTAAAAACAAAATTATATAAATACAGCCTAGATAGATATATTTCTTTCATTTTTCCTTCTTTTTTTTGTTGTTAAAAAAATCATAAAAAAAAAAGAAAAAGGTTAAACATACTTTCATACGCCTTTACGCCTTCGTGCTCTCACGCTCTCTCGTTCTCACTTATAATGGGTGCCAAAGAAGGATCGATTTCATGCTTTCATGTAAACCTTCGATTAGATGGAATAATTTCGTTTCTTGCGGGTCTACAAGTGGTAAATACATACATACCTACACACATATACATATATCTTCTTCCTCTCGATCTCTTGGTCTCTTGCATACTTTACGCTATACCTCCTAAAAAATAGACTTTTATGGTTTCATACAGGTCAGGGTACTCTGGGAAATCTGGGCTTCTTTAGACAACACATGGCCAAGTAAGTTCCATTGTTTTTTTTTTTTAAAAAAAAGAATGTCAAAAACCAAACTAAATAAATATATATATATAGGTGCTCTCGATAGAACCATTATGCCAACTGTGTATGGATCCTGTATTCTCAGTATTATGTTGATGATTATTAGTGTGTGTACTACTTGGGGAGTTTACAAGGTAAATTAATAGATATACGAGTGAATAAGAATTGACTTTATATATATATATATATATATATATACTTGGTAATAGAAAAATATAGCTGCAATAAACATCAGTTGGTGGACTTATTACGTCTTGACTGTACTGGCATTCTTCAACAGTGCAGGACACCTTTCGATTATATGTGTTACCAAGGGAACCTTTGTGGCCGAGTGTATAAAAGAATCTTCTGTGAATCTTGTTCTTTCGGCCTGTCTGCAACGTTGGGAAGCATTATTGGTGTGGGCTACAGTATCCACCATGCTGGGACAAATAGTCAATGTAAGTGTCAATACAAATAAGCTAATAAAATAAAAAAAGGCCCTTTTTTCTGTGTGTGTGTGTGTGTGCATAAAAGATCCAATTTAACAACCTTTTGTTTTTCTCTAATTGCCATTTGATGTCATATATCTATGTGGCTTTGTAGATTGGATTTACATATTGTGTATATCGTTACAGAATACTCCACCCTGCTAAACTTGACATGACTCAAGTCAGGCCTGGTGTCTTGCCTCTACACCGAACCGAACGATCCATAATTGATGACGAGGGTTTTCAGGTTGTAGAATTGAAATAGACTTTTTTTTTAAAAAAAAAAAAATATATTCGCGCAAGATATATAATAGCAATCACAAAAGCATCTATTCTTCATTAACTGTACACTCTATTGATAATATTATCATTATCCTTAGCATTACCATTGCCATTATCATTAACATTACCATTACCATTACCACTATTAACATTTAATAACTAAATAGTTCATACTCTATCCTATTTTACCCTATCACAAACTCTTATTTAGTAGCAACAGATCATTTAATACATATAAATATAAATACAAGGAATGAATCAAATAAAACAGCAAAAAAAAATTGTACTAAATATGCTCTAATTATACATCTATTCTTTCTTTCTTTAATAACCCTAAGCCATTATTCTTCTTATATATATTATATTATATATTATATCTTATTGTCTCTCGAGACATTCTAAGAACAGACGCTCGCACTGACGAACATTCTCTTGTGTGGTGATCTGGGATGTCATGAGGTAAACAATGTTACCAAGAGGACGTACAAATAAATTGATTCCTTCTGTAAATTGACCATTACGCAAGTCCTGGACAATATTTTGGGATGTCATGGAACCATAACCTTTACAACAAATAAAGAAAGAAGAAGAAGAAAAAAAAAGACAGTCCAGATGATATATATATATATATAAATTAATATTAATATTAATAAATGTAATATAATATAATGTGTTCAACTCTAGTTTTCTTTTTCTTTTTTTTTTCTTTTTTCCTTATTTCTCTTACCTGCATTGAGATCATCCTTGAGTTCAACAGCCAGTACTGAACCAAGAGACATGACACTCTCGACTTGCTTCATGTGAGACAGACGGTCGATAGTTTCGCGAGACCACATTGACCAAAGAGTGCTGTCCTTCCATTCTTTGCGGAACGGAGCCCAGGCACCTGTAGGGGAGGCCATCTTGTCAAGACTCTCGATTGACTCCTTGGCAACCGCACAGCCCATTGGGTGGGCAGTGTAAGAGTGTCCGTGCAAAAGACAATCCGGCTTGTTCTTGGACAAGAAGACATCATAGATCGACTCCTTTGTCACTGTCAGGGCCAAGGGCAACAAACCACCTGTCAGGGTCTTTGCATAGGACACGATATCTGGAGTCTATATAAAGTAAAAGGGAAAAAAAGGGGAATTTTTGAAAAAATTAATACAGTACAGTACAACAGATAATATTAACAAATTTTGTTTTATAGTATATAATATATATATATATATATATGTATGTGTGTGTACACAACCACAAACTCAAAACTTAATGAGACTTACCACACCAAGGAATTCTGAGGCTGATCGACGACCAAGTCTGTACCATCCTGCAAATACTTCGTCAAATACGACCGGGAGACCTTGCCAGTTGTCTTTGGTTTCGAGAGAATTTGTGACGTTGTAGCCGAGCAGATCTGCGCCTTCGTTACGTACGATGTCGATCAGGGTGCGCTGGAAGAGAGGGTCGACAAAAATCATGCCACCTGCGCCCATGATGACTGGCTCCATCAAGAGAGCACCGATGCGCCGGCCTTGGGCACGCATGCTGTCCAGCTCGGTTCTGATGTAGTCCCCGTAGACACGGGCCAGCTCAGGGTCCCGGGCTGCCCCCTGTTCGTGCACGGAGTAGATTGTATCCAGACTATGATAATCAACACGCAGGCCGGTACCTTTCTGCCCGGCAAGCATCTGGGCAGGTACCCGGACATAGCTCTTTCCCTTTGAGATGTGGACCGAGGGTGCCTTGAGCCAGTGGCCGCGTGGTTGATACCACTGGACCTGGTCGTTGTAGACATTTGGCGCACAGGCATCCATTGTGCCGATTGTGTCACCGTGGTAACTACCGTCGATTCCGAGAATATCAATAGGAGGTTGGGCAGACGAAGCAGCAGAGGAGGAGCGCGACCAGCCGTAGCGCTTTGCGGTAGCGCTCATGGCCATCTTTAGTGACACCTCCATTGCGGTGCTACCGTTGTCTGAGAAAAAGACGCGGGAGGCCCAGGTGTCACGGCTGAGGATCGATTCGGCCAGGGACAGCGAGACTTCGCTTGTGCTTTCGGGGAAAATGATGTGTCCGTAGCGGCCGGCGGCGTGTGCGGCAGCCAGGGTGAGGTTTGGGTTTGCGTGTCCAAGACCCTGGGTCCACCAAGAGGCACAACTGTCAAACATGACCTTTGGTCCCATAACAGGGGCAGGAAGATCGGCATCTTTGTGAACGTTGGACTTTTGGTTGGATTTGTCTGTGTAGGTTACAAAGTGGTCGTCGTGGGCAGAGTCGATGATGGTCACATCTTTGACAGTCTCATGCTGGGTAAACGGCCACCAGAATTTGTCGCGTGAAGATTGGGCCATTGTTTCGAGGCGGTCAAAGCGAGCGTTGTGCCAGTGGTCGAGGTGCTTGATGACCGGAACGAGGTGCTCGTCCAGCTGGGCATAGTAGCTCTCCATCGAGCGCCTGTCGAGGTCTGGGTTGTCGAGGTTGAGTGGAGGGGGTGGGGGTACTGCGGCAACATGGATGTTTTTGTCGGATCCGCTGCCGAGCCGGCTGTTGAGCAGAGAGTGGTTTTTGTACTGCTGGTCAAAGAGCAGGATGGCAGGGATATCGTAGCCTCGAAGGTGTAGGGATTCGTAGGATGTTATGGTGGTCGAGATTCCGCCAAGGTTGCTGTCGCCTATGAGGACGGTTGGTAGGCGGAATGGTCTGTAGAAGTCGGCTTGGGAGGTGCCTGACATGACCGGGCTGTGGACACCACCGGCGGTTTCGAGGAACAGGAAGGAGTCTTTGTTGGCTGTGGGGTGTGGTTTGTTGATGTATTCGAGTAGTTTGGCTTGGGTTCTTGCCAAGACTTGGGTGTCTGTAGGTGGCTAAATGACCCGATAAATATGATTAATTTATAAGCAATTAGATTGGTTTGATATCTTATGTTTTATATTCTTGTTTGGCAAATCTTTAAACAAGTATTGCTTGCCTGGTCTGTGGCTACATGTGGACTGACGGGGTCGGGATAGGCGTAGAGGGTGCTTGATGTGAGATTGCTGTTAAATGACTTGACGTGCCTGTGATAATGATGTATAAGTTTGAATATGATGGATGAATTGATGACAGGTTGGTTTGTATTCTTAGTGTACCTTTCGTCACTGTCGGTAGGATACCCTGTCTGGACGGGTTTGATGTAAAATACAGGGCGGCCGGTATCCTTTCCAAACAATGCGGCTGCTCTGCAAAGACCAGTTGCGAATACGGTCTTTCCGACATTTGTGTTTGCAGCAAACAGCTGGTAGGCCTGAAAAGCCCTGGTTGGATGAAATGAAGCAGGCATATGTATCTATATATTTATATACTTATTTATATATATATAAAAAAAGAAAATTATTGAAACAAGTAAGAAAAAATAAAAAATAAAAATTAAATTAAAAAATTCAAAAAAAATAAAAAAATATTACGAGAAAGAAGAAGTTAAAACGGCAAAACAATAGAAGCCGGAAGAGGTGTTCGGAGGTTTAAATGTTGCTTCCATTTTTGGACATCTGGTTGGGTGCAGATCGAGTGACCCATTTTTTTTTTTTTTTTTTTTTTTGGTATTATTCTTTTACACTAGGAATGTGACGGGTTTGGTTTATTTTGTCTACCCCAAGTTGAGATACGCGTTTATTTTTACTTTATATTAAATTAAATACAGCTTGAATGGTATAGTTCAGTGTACTACAATATATTCTCAGCAAACTATAGTATCTTTGATTATGACTATTATTATTATTCTTCTTCTTCTTCTTCTTTTACCTGTGGATCTGTTTACTGAATGGTGATTTTGATTACTTATTATTAATTTGATTAAATCCCAGTCTAAAGTTGCTTAATAAAAGAGAACATTTATTTTATTTTTTGGGTGGGGTATTTGTGTTGAGAAATGATTGGTTTTCTATTGACAAAGGTGATGATGATGGCATAAAGGACTGTCTCTTATTATTTTGACTGGACGGAGACATTAGAGCTACACAAGAAAGCACAAAATAGAGGTGAAGACTAATAATGACAGTAATCAGAACCATATAAAGAAAATAATCTATATTGTATTATCAAAATCCGCAAAAATAATCTGGAGAAACAAAAGAAATTGAAAGATGGAAACCTTGAATTGGTACCAGGAGCACTGTACTTTAATTCAACATTTTCATCAACCGATTTTTTTTATTTTATTTCCAAATAAATAAATAAATAAATAAAAATATGACACAAATGGAGGGGAAAAGGGGGGTGGGGGATAAAGAAAAAAAAAATAAAAAAATAAAATAAAATAAAATAAAAAAAGATTCCCCAATTCTTTTCTCTTTTACTCTTGTTTTTCTCCCTCCTCTTGTTTAATTTAAATATATATAATATATAATATATAATATATAATATAATATAATATATATATATAGATATAGATGTCTGCCTTTCGCCTTGCCACAAACCCTCTTCGATCTGCCAAGCGATTCTATGGCTCGGCCACTCCTTCGCGTCTGGCCTCCATCCAAAACATCAAGGCATCCGGACCTGCTATTTCTGCAGCCGCTCTCCATGCCGATGGACCGCTTAGAAACGACTGGTCTCGCGAAGAAATCCAAGCAATCTATGACTCACCATTCATGGATTTGATGTACTTTGGTGTAAGCACTAAAGGCCTCTGTCTGTATCTTATTAATCCTCTCTGTATCTAGGCCAAGGTGCACCGTGCGAACTTCAATGCACGCGAAGTACAACAGTGCACACTGCTCTCAATCAAGACCGGTGGTTGCACCGAAGATTGCAAGTACTGTCCCCAGTCGTCGCGTTATGACACTGTTGTAAAGGCACAAAAGATGCTTGACAACGACGAAATCCTCAAAGCTGCCCTCCGTGCAAAGGATGCCGGAAGCACCAGGTAAGCTACATTTATTTATTTATTTGTATCTAAATTTTTCTCTTATTTTGTCTCAAGATTCTGTATGGGTGCTGCCTGGAGAGATCTTGCCGGTCGTAAATCCAACTTTAGCAAGATCCTTAACAACGTAAAGACCATTCGGTAAGTAACTGTCTTTTGGTCATTTAGGTTTTTAGACTGTGTATTTATGTCTATCTATGCTAGTGGTATGGGTATGGAGGTTTGCTGCACCCTGGGTATGTTGAACGAGACTCAGGCCAAGCAACTCAAGGAAGCTGGTCTGACTGCCTACAATCACAACTTGGACACATCACGTGAATTCTATCCCAAGGTAATATTCTTTTTTTTTATTATTATTTATAAACAATACATATTAATTGTTGTGATGCAATGTGGTCTGGATGATCTTTATAGATCATCACTACTCGTAGTTACGATGAACGTTTGGAGACCATTGGTCATGCCCAGGATGCTGGTATCTCTGTGTGCTCTGGAGGTATTATTGGTCTCGGAGAACAAGAAGAAGATCGCGTCGGTCTTCTCCACACCCTGTCCACATTGAAGCAGCACCCCGAAAGTGTACCTGTGAATGCTCTCTTGGCTGTTCCTGGAACTCCTTTGGAAAACCAGACGGTAAATAACCTACCAATATTTTTTGCTTTTGTGTTTCACTTTTATGCTTGATTTTGATCCACTCTATTTCCCCCCCTTTAATGTTTGATTACCATTATTTATTTTATTTTTTATTTATTTTTATTTTTTATTTATTTTGGTTTGTGTAGCCTGTGTCGGTCTTTGAGATGGTTCGTATGATTGCTACTGCACGTATCGCTATGCCAAAGTCCATGGTCCGTCTTTCGGCTGGTCGTGTCAAGTTCTCTGTATCTGAACAAGCAATGTGCTTCATGGCCGGTGCAAACTCCATCTTCACTGGTGACAAGCTTCTCACAACACCCAACAACGATGCCACCGAAGATCAAAAGATGTTTGAATTCCTTGGTAAATATATTTTATATTATATATTTATTAGTTTAATGATAAGATATATATATATATATAAATTAATATTATTTTTTATTTTTTATTTTAGGTCTTGTCCCCAAACCTCCCAACTTTGAGCAGGGTGCTGATAAGATCGATCAGCCATCTTACCAGAATGGTATCAAGATCAAGGCAGAAGTATCAGCTTAAGCTAAGCTAAATGCATACACACATACATACATACATATACACAAACCCGCACACAAATATATATTTACATATATGTATATATTTTTAATAAATAAATAAATAAATAAATAAAAATATAAATAAAAATATAAATAAATAAAAATTGAAAAATTAAAAAATTAAAAAAGGGGGGAGTGAAGTGATTTGTAATAGATAGAGAGAGTGTATGTGTTGTGTGTGCAATATGTATTTTATTTATAATTTATAATTTATAATTATTATTATTATTATTATTATTTTAGTGTGTGTGTATGTGAATGTGTATGGAATTAATTGATTCAAATCATAAAATCATAAAATAAACGCAATTAATAAATATATTAATATTTTAATATTAATAGCTATATATATCTTATTTTATTTTATTTTATTTTATGCTGGTCTTTAGATTATATATTGCAGTCTCTTGATTGATATTCCCTTTATTTCATATAGATATAATGTATACTTCTTTAACCAGCAAGAAGTATATATATATAATGTATACATGTTTCTTTTTTTTTAAAAAAAAATAGAATATAGATATATCTATAGTTATACATTTATATAAATTTGTACTTTATATAAATGTTGTCTCGAGTTCTTTTGGTGAATATAAAAGAGGGGGGGTTACCAAGTATGAAATTATATGTAACACGGCGCTTATTACCATATTGCTTTTTCTCTAATACTACTACTACTACTATTATTATTATTATTTTTGGCGCTTTTTTTTTATATATTTTTATATTTATATTTTTATTTTTATTTTATTTTTTTATTATTATTATTATTTCCTCCCTTTCTTTTCTTCTTCTTTCTCTTTGCTCCATCTTGGCCATCAAGCCAACCTCATTACCCCAGCCTGTCCTTTCATTTCTAAAGCTTCTCTATCCCTCCCTCCCCCATCTCCATCCTCACTCATCCTTCATCCTTCATCCTCACTCATCTTCATCTCTACCTCTTTATCTTTCTATTAAAAAAAAAAGGTGTCTACCAACCACACTTCTTTATTTCCAACTTGTCTGTGTGTATAGAGTTATAATTATATAATTATATACATATACATATAGATATAGATATATATATATATATTTTTCTGTATATAATTATATTTTATATATCCCTATTTTATTACTATAACCACCACCACCATCACCACTATTACTACTATTACTACTACTACTATTCTTCTTCTTTGGATTTTATTATTTGCTTAATCAAGAGCCCGATTGCTCATTCCACCCAACTCTCATTGTGTCCTTTTTTTTCTCCCTTCATTGATCTAACCATTCCATCCCTAAAGGTAAATTTGATATTATTATTTATATATATCTTCATTTGTTCTACTTTACACCCTTACTTGCTTTCTTTACCTCGTTATTCCAACAACAACAAAAAACAACAAAAAACAAGTAATAAATAGCTTGCACATATAAATATAAATATAAATATAAATATATACATCAGATTTGAAATAAACCTCCTTCTTTTATGTTATATCTTTAATTTATCTTCCTTCATTTATTTTATAGCTAGCAACAAAAATGGGCCAGCTTCTCACTAGCCTCAATCTCCGCGGTGGTGAAGCGATCGTACCTGAGCTGGGCTTTGACATTGAGAGTGAGTCACATACAAAATATATTATGTATATGTAAAGATATGTAAAGATATGTATATATGTATACGTGCATGCATACATATCTACATTTATCTATATGTGCGTAAAGGGATCAATTAGATTATAATTGGCTCAGAAAGTAAACAAAGTTATTGATCTCTTTCAATGATATACATTTTAGCTGCCACTCCTTCTTCAGACGAACTTTCTCTTTATAATCAACTCTCCCAGCTGCTCGTACAACCTGGCCCTAGTTTACTCGAGGCACTTTCTCAATACACATCCGGTTCGGAATTGATTCGAGATGCAATTGCAACACCAAACCCTGAAAACGAAAACAGAGCCTGGGAAGCAGTCTTACCAACCGTAGACATGCTCCGAGACTTTTATGAATATGCCGCCGATCTGAGTAAGTCTTTGTGGTTTTTAATTATATCAATTAACAAAAAAAAATTATATATATATATTTAGAAAAAACACTTCCAAGGCTTCTAGATGTTCTCTGTCAGGGCAATGTTAGCAAGAATTTAGAGAGCCACCAAGGATTAACAAAGTTATTTGCTGATCTATTGGACTTTGTGTTTGAATTTGATAATCTAAAGGTAAATATATATATATGTATGTATATGTATAGTGAGATTCAAAGACTAACCAAGTTATCAAATCAAGATGAGAAACCCTACCCTTCAAAATGACTTTTCATACTACCGCCGTATGCTGCAGCGAGGTAGATACAGTTCGACCGATCGACCTTCATTGGACGAACCAGTGTCAGATCTCCGGAGTGCGATGGTAGAAGATGATCGGGCGAATCAAATATCACTCTTTATTGCCTATCCTACACCCATGATGAAATGCGTCATTGACACAACAACCGAATATGTGGAAAAGAATGAGCTCCAGAAGAGTGTTGGTGAATGTCTGGCTGCTCTCTGGGCTGCTTGTTTTCAAACAGTTAGCAAAAAGAGGTAACCACCACTTACAACAAAACATATATATATATATATATATATACTAAATATCAAATTCATCTAGAAACTTGAATCCCGAACTCTCTTCATTTTGTCTCAAGGTCATGGTGGTTTCGATCATTCTCTATGATCACATTGATCCCAACGGTGCCTTTTCAAAAGGATCTCCAATCAATGCAAGTCCTTGTGGTTTACTGTACCCTATTGAAATCAATTCTAACTCGCGCTCTTTAGATAAAAAACTCTGTAAAAATCATTCATACGATTCATGCTCTCAACATTCCAAAAGAATCCAGTGCATCTAATCTTCTGTCTGCGTTACGATACAATTCAAAGCATCTCAATGACGACTCTACCCCGAAAGGTGTCAAGAACATGGTGTTGGCAGCCTAATTTATTTATTTTATCTTATCTTACTTCTTTCTTTTTCTTTTTATGTTCTGTCTTTTATCCCCTCCCTCTCTCAACCCAACCCAACCCAACCCAACCCAATCTTATTCTTCTTGTTCTTCTTGCTCTCTTTCTCTTTCTCTTTCTTTCTTTCTTTCTCTCGTTCGCCTCTATCTATCCAACACCATTCTCATTCAAACGCTAGCGCCAACTCCAACACCAAATACAACACCAAATCCATATCCAACACCAACATCACTACGAACAACCCAAAAACCAAAAAAAAAAAAAGGCAAACCCAAAACCCAAAACCAAAAACCAAAACCAAAACCAAAACTAAAAAAAAATAATCCTTAAATAAAAAAGAAAGAAAGAGAAAGAGAGGTAGTAGCAGTAAGAAAGTATCAATGAAGAAAAACAAAGCGTTTAAAAATAATAATAATAATAATAATCTTCTTCTTCTTCCTCATAATAATAATAATAACCCTAACACAAATACTAATACTAATACAAAATATTAATACAAATACAAATAATACAAATTACATTAATGATATTATCGACCTTTTTTTTTATTTTCTTTTCTTTTCTTTTATTCATTTGAACTTCTTCTTCTTCTCCTATTGGTTAAAATTGTAAAGCAAAACCAATTGCTCTACAATAAAATATTCAAGAGAGGAAGGGTAATATACTTGAATTCTATTATATTACATTAATATAAATTTTGAGTTTGAGTGTGTAATACAGAATGTTTATATAAATAGAGAGAGAGAGAAAGATGGAAATTTGTTTAGATGAAGATCAAAATTTTCTCCAATTGAAGGAGACTTTTCTTTGCTTGTCTCTTTATTTCCATCTCTTTCTATCTCTTTCTCTTCGTTTTGCACACACACATCTAAAGAGGAGAAAATAGTTTGGCGTAATTAAGGGTCAAGAGAGATCTTGAATCTAGTTCTTCTGTATGTGTTTTGTAAAAGGTACTTTTTATCAATTATTAACAAGATTTATAGAGGGTATTCAATCTCAAGTCAACTTGTCTCTTATAAAGAAAGAAAGCCATAAACTCCAATTGAAGGACGAGTATTGAATGTAGACCCTTTGTGCTGCTGTTGTTATATTCTTCTTCTTCTTCTTCTTTTTTTAGTCATTATATATGTATATACATATATCCCCGTGGTTGATTTCCCCATCTCACACACATGTTTTGTATTCAATAGATTCTTTTCTATTTTTATTTGTATTTGTATTTCACATTGAAACATATTGAAACACTACAATAAATTTTCATTTTTCATTGGTTGTTTATTTCAATATCCAATGTTCTTTTTTTAAAAAAAAAAAAAAACTTTATTGCGAAAGTGCTACGGCTCTCGCAACTTTTATCGCAATTTTTTAAATTACTATTATTATTTTAGAAAAAGTGATACGTGCGCACACAGCAGTAAAGAAAGATATTTTGTTTTCTGCTTACTACTATATTATTAATACTAGTCAAATGATTAAGTTTGTAATGATAATTATGTACCCATTTGAACACTAACTATCTACGAGCATATGTAGATCTTAAAGAAGTATATTTGTTTGTGTATTCTGTAGCTTGTGCACTAAATATATTAAATCCATTATAATGAAACAAAACCCTATTCTACACAACCAATATTATTGCTGCTACTACTACTACTACTACTATTACTATTATATAAGAGAAGAATAAGGACTAGGCTTATTATAGATACAATAGTAAAAAGAAAATAAAATAATAATTATGTTGGGCCAAAAGAAAGAAAGAGAAAAAAAAATGCCTCGTGGTGTATTACTTTAATTCATTTTATTTTATATTTTATATAATTTCCCTTTCCGTTCCTTTTATATTTTTTATTTTATTTTTTATTTTTATTTTCTCTCTCTCTCTCTTTTTCTTTTATAAAAAAAATTCATTAAAATATATATATATAATATATTTTTTATATATATATTTATATTTATAAATTTACAATGATGCTTTACAAACTCGTCGTTCTTGGTGATGGTGGTGTTGGCAAGGTAACCTAGACTTCATTAGACTAACGAAATAGTAATAATAAATGATGTTAAATCAATATACTAATCTGAATTTACCTTTTTTGTCTTTATATATACATACATTGAATTCAATAATGAATAGACAGCATTAACAATTCAAGTAATGAAAACAAAAGAACAAAACCTTTCTATTTGTTTTTTTATTTTTTTTATTTTTTTTAGAATTGAAAAGAAACATAATTACTATACTATTGGAAACTAACCTCTTCTTTATTAATTATATGAATATTTACGTCTCTATTCAACAACAACAAAAATATTATGATTCTTACATATAATAGTTGTGCTTGAATCACTTTGTTGGTAAGTAAATAGTTATAATAATAATAATATTTTTTTTTACTATCATTTATGCTCATGTATATAATTGTCTTTATTTTCTGTAGAGGTAATTCAAATTGAAACAACCAAAAAGATGTAGAGATTCCTAATATTCAATATACACCAATTCGACCCTCTATCTCTCCATCTCTCTCTTGTTCTTAATTATCATCATTTATTTAAAATCACTCATCCTCATCCTCATTTAGACCTACGATCCTACAATTGAAGATTCTTACCGTAAGCAAGTCGTTATTGATGACCAACCATGTGTATTGGAAGTACTTGATACTGCTGGCCAAGGTAAGTTATATATATATGTGGATGTGTGTGTTTTTTTTATTGCAGGTATTAATCAATTACTATAGAGGAATACACTGCATTGAGAGACCAATGGATTAGGTAAAATGATAAAGAATATATAATTATAAGTATGCTTTGTGGTGTGGTGTGGTGCTGTTAAACAGCCAGTATTTTTATTTATTTATTTTCATTTCATTTGGTTCATAATTTTGTTATGCTTATATACTCACATAAACATTTGGTGGTAATGATGTAGAGATGGCGAAGGTTTCTTGCTGGTCTACTCCATTACCTCTTACTCTACCTTTGAACGAGTCGAACGCTTCAGAGACCAGATCTTCCGCGTCAAGGATATTGACAATGTACCATTAATGTTGGTCGGTAACAAGTGTGATAAGGTGACCGAGAGAGAAGTAACACGCGAGGAAGGTTGTGCTATGGCCAAACGGTTAGCATGCGATTTTATCGAAACATCTGCCAAGACGTGTGTAAATGTCGAACGGTCATTCTACCAGGTAGTCAAGACCATCCGCGCCCAGAGAGACGGTGTCCGTGTTGGTCCAAAGAGCAAGGCTAAAAAGGAAAAGAAGAGATGCTTTATCTTATAAAGAAATCAAAAAAAAAAGAAAAAGAAGAGAAGAAAGAAAGAAAAAAGAAAAAAAAAGGAAATGATAATCTCTTGATTTAATTCTTTATTTCTTTTGTGTCCTTGTCCTTATCCTTGTTCTTGATTAGTCTTCTTCTTCTTATATTTTTTGTGTGTGTGTGTGTGTCTTTCTTTTGTCTAATCATCATCCTCATCTCCTTACTCTTAGTCTTAGTCTTATTCTTTTATTCTTCTTCTTCTTCTTCTTCTTCTTCTTCTGCTGCTGCTGCTTTTATTTATTTTTCTATTATTCCTATTATATTATTCTTATTATCTACCTTGTCTCTCTATCTATCTATCTATCTCTTTATTTCTACCTCTCTCTCTCTCTCTATTTACCTCTCGATTGTATATGTGTATATTCTTTTATATATATATATATATATTTATCAAATTATTAAATTACATTCTACCTTTTACGATTTTCTGTTTATATATATCTCTCTGTGTGTGAAAGATATATATTGCTTGTTGGCAACGCCTTTTTGCCTAACTATATAAACGGAGATTCGGTTATTTTAGAGCGTCCAATCTTTTGTTGTAATCATCCAAAAAGAACTACTTGCAAGCCACGTCCTGTCTCCGCTTTAATGCCGACAAAAGGACATCAGAACACATGCTTACAAAATATATATATATATATCAAATCAAAATCAAAATAAAAATGTTATACATATAAATAATTAATAGATTAAATCCCCACTCTCTCTCTCTCCACACACACACTCACTAACTCACTCACTCACTAACCCACACTCATAAATATACGCAAATGGCTAGTTATCCTAAAGGCGTAAAATACCATGCCTTGATTTTCCACATCCATACTATTTCTCTCTTTGTTATTCTACTCTGACTATTTAGTAGAGTTTCCGCTGACCATTCATTCAAGTATCATATATATATATATGTTATATATATATACAAGTGAAATGTTTTTTTTAATTCAAATAAATTAGATATATATATATAAGTAGGCTATAGAGTGCAATATAAAAGTATAAAAGTATAACTAAAATTGTAAGACTTGAAGGTCTTGAGAGCATATATTTTTTGATATATATAAATGTATATGTATAGATAAATCCACTTTGATTATGATGATGGGGGATGGGGGTGATATATATATATGTGTGTGCGTGGGTGTGTGCAATGATCAAGCACATCACGTGAGTACTCAGCACAAATAGACTTCAATTCTATAATATTTCTTATTCATTATTTGCTCTCTCTCTCTCTTTTTTTTTCTCTCTCTCTAATATATTTTTTTTATTTCATTTTTTGGTTTTTGTCTTGTCATCACACAATGGGTAAAGCTCAAAGTAAATTGTCACCCGAACAACTCGGAGACCTTCAAAAGTGTACATACTGTAAGTGAATATATTATTATCATTATTACTATAATAATAATAGTAATATAAAGCAAAGGGAATCCGTCATGTTGCTAGTATTAACCAATTTGTTCATTCACCAATAGTTGACAAGAAAGAACTTCAACAATGGTATGTCAATGAATTTTATTTTTTAAGGAAAGAAGAAAAGGGACCAGGACAGGGCAAGACAAGACAAGACAAGAAAGACAATTTCCATCTTCTATTATAACCTCATCCCCACAATGACAACAACAATGACAACATTGACAACAAAAATAATCGATATCTATTACTATTATTAAATCTGTTGTTAATGTGTATTTGTATTGCAGGTACAAGGGCTTTCTTAAGGATTGCCCGTCTGGTCAACTAGACAAGACTGAATTCCAAAAGATTTATAAACAATTCTTTCCGTTTGGTGACCCCTCTCGGTTTGCTGACTATGTATTCAATGTATTCGACAACGACAAGAATGGAACAATTGACTTTAAAGAGTTTATCTGTGCACTTTCGATCACCAGTCGTGGTCAGATTGATGAAAAGCTGTTTTGTAAGTCAACCAAAAAAAAACCTAAATTAATTAATTAATGAAGTAATCAATGAAATTAAATGGATGAATTGGGTGTAGAAGAAGGGGGGGGGGGGAGTGTCTATATTGTATACTATGCATGGAAATTACTTTTAATCGAGCCCTCTAATACTCACTCCCTCGCTTTGTTTGTTTTTCATTGGGATTCTATATACTTTACTGTCTATTACACATCTATTTGAATGTGTATGTACATGATATTATACAGGGGCATTTCAGGTAAATATCTCTGTATTTTTTTTTCTTTTATTTCAGTATACGTAGATATGTTATATATATATATATATATATATATATAGACTAAGCTGTGGAAACTAGTTGGTTAATTAAATGATTGTTATTTGGGCTTGTGTGGGTTGAAATAGCTGTATGATATCGACAATGATGGGTTTATCACCTATGATGAGATGCTGCACATAGTCGATGCAATTTACAAGATGGTCGGTAGTATGGTAAAACTACCTCCGGATGAGGCAACCCCAGAATTGAGAGTCAAGAAGATCTTTGATCTTATGGACCTTGTAAGTAATAAGAATAATATTATAATTTAACAAAGAAGAACAAGTTCCCCTTCGCCCCCTCCCCCTCTTTTCCTCTTTCTCTTTATGTATAAATATGCGTGTGTACGTATGTGTGTATATATGAGAAGAAGGAAAGAGAATAAAAAGAATAATAGAAAGAAAGATAGATAGATACAAATACAAATATGAGATATTATGTAGTTTGTCTAATAAAAAAAATACAAATATAAAAATATAAACGATTATTAGGATAAGGACGGTCGATTAAGCAAGGAGGAGTTCAGAGAAGGATCGAAAAAGGACCCAACAATTGTCCAGGCGCTGAATCTGTACGATGGACTCGTCTAACTTATTCTGTATCACAAAACCAAACACACCCATCCCACTCACCCACCCACCCACACTCATTCACTCATTCACTCATTCACTCACTTATTCATTCACTCCCATATATATATATGTGTGTGTGTATTTGTGTGTGTATGTCTTTTATATATATATATATATATCTTTTCCTCTTTATTTTATCCTCTCTATCTCTTTCATCTCTTTCCCTTTCCCTTTCAACTTCAACGTTAACCTCAACTAACCAATTACTCTCGGTAAAAGTTTCCCCTTGTCAAAAGTTCACAGACCCGGGAAAAGGTCTCATCTCAGTGTAAAAATAAATATAAATATTAAAAAGGGATCGAATTGAATTGAATTGAATTGTATAGATTAATATATATATATATATAAGAAGGAAAAAATAATATACAGAGGATGTATATTTGTATATGAATGAGTGTTGGATATATATATATATATACGTTTGTGTGTTTGCGCTTTTTTTTCGTGTTTATATTTGTTGTTGTTCTTAATATTATTAACATTACTACTGTTGTTAATAGTACGATTATTGCTGGGCAGTGGCATACTATAGAAAAGAATAATATGATCATGATCATTCAAAGTGTCAGTAAATATGTATATATCTGTAAATTATTGTATGCTCTTCAATTACCTTTTTGACGTTTTCCTGAGCGAGCTTTACAAACTTGGCCTGATTGGTGTTGTAAACTTCAGCAACAGAAGCTACCAAGGCATCATCCGGATTAGGATGTTCCAATATATATGCAATGGCCCCAAGAACTACAATGAAATGACAATTTCAAAGAAAGAATTATTAATGAATTAATCCCTCATCCTTTATATAAACTATCTTTCTTATAATTCCCTCCTTTCAACTCATTACAATCCAAAACACCTCTTTTTTTTTATCTACATTATTTTCTTTTGAAGATATTTTAATTGTGTGTTTGTTTGTTTACCTTGATGCACTTTAGTAGCAGGCTTCCACACATCAGCCTTTAGCAAATCAATGCAAATTGACCCATCGTTGTCAATATTGGGATGATAAATTTTGGTGATAAATTTGATCTACAAATAAATAAAATGAATGAATGAACGAACAATATACACCTGTGTATAATTATATCCTTACAATTGGTGGTTTGAAAGGGTAATCATGGCTAAACACGATAGTCAAATGAAATACACCGCCTTTGTAGACACTGTTGGGCTAGATTAACAGTAACAGAAACAGCAACAAAAAAAAGGGATTTTAGAATGACATTTTACGCGTATATATATATATATGTGTGTGTGTGTGTGTAGCTGGTTTACTTACAGGTCCATTAATAGTGGCTATAGAATGTAAGCACAAATAATCATAACAAAATCACAAAAGAAAGAAAGAAAAAGGTAAACTGTTAATGCTTTCAAAATGAATGGTAATAATAATGACAATAATAGATTGATATTTGTATTACGCGCATTTTACCTCTCCAATTAAACAAGTCTTCATCCACAGTAGTTGCACTGATGCCCTCTGGTGGACTCTTGGTAATCTCTGCAAGCTCCTTTGATGTGAATATAAATGTGATTGTGCGATTGCGTGAATGTAATAGACATATAAAAGAAATTATTCAGTTGATTAGCCTTTGTGGTGGTTTGTTATTCAAACAACTCAACTCGTTGAATACGCTTTAATGCCATGGTGTGATGTAAATGTATATGGATAGATAGATAGATAGATAAAGAGATAGTTATAAAGTTAAATATAAGGAAGAAGGGTCTAACCTGGGCGGCATACTTGTTTTAAAGCCATGAATGAATTTGGGACGGTTACATTGTATTATATTATATTACATTACATTACACTACACTACACTATAAAATAAAATAAAAATATCCAAAATAGACAATAATTACGAAATATCTCTTGGTATTAATAGCTATAATTACCATTACATATATAGTTTCTAACAGATGTATGCTCCATCGATGATGCTATAATAGTAATGGTAACAGAACGCAATTTATTAATAAAACACTGCTGCATTACTATAGTATATTGAACTGCGTCACCTTGTAGTGCACTACATATCTTTACTTGACAAGGCATCCTGTAAAACTTGCTGAACAATTCTGTGTATGTTGACAAGATGTGAGACTTTTTTTTTATTTATTTTATTTTTACTGCGACACATTTACTGCGAAACATTCACTGCGAAACATTGGATACGCCACGTTTGCTGCGACAATATAAGCACAGTAAGACTATATGTTATTCTAAATGTAAATTGTGTACAAGTATATACATAGAATACATATGTGTATATACATCTAATCTAAATATACACAGCACCATTCATACGTAAAATACAAAGCTCAAAGTACGCAATACACTACATATTGATGAGAATAGAAAACACTGTTTATTTATTTTTGGTTTAGCTTTGTTTTTGAAAACTAGACTGTGCACATCTTGGCAAGTCTTTTTTGAATGATATCTTGTGCTTCTTTTACAGTTCTGTCAACAAGCACTTGGCATGTTGGGATATCGTGAATAAGACCCAGGACTTGTCCTGCAGTCCACACTCCAGCATCGATATCTCCAGTCTCAAATACCTTGCGCCCTCTTGAGCCGGCTACAAGAGGCTGAATGTCCTGGAATGAGGCATTTGGCTTGCGTTCTAGAGCGTTGACTTGGACTGCGACTGAATTTTTGTAGATGCGCGCCGTGTTGCGGAACGGACGATAGACCAGAGCGGTCGAGCATTCATCTCCTCGCACAATTGCCTCCTTGACAGCCTGGTGCACAGGTGCCTCGGCAGTGCACAAAAACCGTGTACCCATATTGATTCCCTCTGCACCTAAGGCCAGTGCGGCTGCTAATCCAGCACCATTTCCGATTCCTCCAGATGCAACAAACGGAATCTTTAGTGTCTCTGCAGCACGGGCAAGTAGCACCAGGCCAGCAATGTCATCTTCGCCGGGATGTCCAGCACACTCGAACCCGTCAATTGACACCACATCTACTCCCATTCGTTCGGCTGACAGAGCATGACGAATGGCAACACACTTGTGTATCGTAGTCACACCAGCCTGCTTAAACATATCAATATACTCACCAGCTAAAAAAGAAAGAAAGAAAGAAAGAAAGTCAAGCTTAAATTCTTTCTTTTTCTTTTCTTTTTTTAAGAATCAGGCTTTGGTAGATTGATGAAGATGATGATGATAATGATGATGATGATTTTGTTTTCGGTGCTAGTGGATTTTTAGTGATTCTAGTGAGAAACTCACGGTTGTTTCCTGCAGTCTCTACGATTGGAACTCGTTCTTCAATGATAACCTTTGCGTATTCGCGGTACGGTGGTGGTATGATTGTTGGAAGGAAGGTGAGGTTGACACCAAATGGTTTTGAGGTCATGGTCCTGCAGCGTCTGATTTCATTTCTGAGTGCTTCGGGTGTGGGCTGGGTGAGGCCAGTGAGGACACCGAGGGCGCCTGCATTTGACACGGCCGAGGCAAGTTCCGCAGTACCTACATCTTTCATACCACCTTGTAATACAAATGAAATGAGAATTGATTACACATTAAATAAATAAATGAATAAATAAATACCCTGAATTATTGGGTGTCTGATACCCAAGATACGTGTTAGTTGTGTAGCAAGAACCATAATCTTTTAGCCTTTAATTGAAGTAAAAGTAAAGAGAGAGAGAGAGAAAAGATATTGAACAAGGTTGTGAAGTACAGCTTATTATTGTTTAGTCATTTATATTGTTAGCTGTGATGATAGTGGCGGAGGTGGTGCTGGCGACGGTAGCTGTAGTGTTGGTTGTACGGATTGTGTGGATTGTGGGATTTGAAATAATCAATGAATGGACTAATCACAAATACAGGCACATAAAAATTTGTTGGTGAATATCGCAAGTTTTTCCATTTGTGCGTAAAAGGGATTCCAAAAATTATGCGTTTTTTGCGTAACAAGTTAAAACCATTTTTCCCTCTTTGTGTGTGACTAGGATTTTGTAACAAAAAGAAAGGGGTGCCGTTTTTTTTTTGTAGATTAAAATTAACCTCCCACTTTCTTTTTGGATTCTTATTCTTATTCTTATTTTTTTTCTTGTGCGATCTAAAGTCCCACGTTTTGCTTGTGCATCGCATGTCCCACGTTTTGTCCGCAACGTGGCCATCTCGATCGTACAAGGGTCCAAAAGGAGTTGTGCCGATTCATTCAAAATATGGATAGGTGTACATTCTAGAATGAATGGCGCTTTCTACCCCTTACTTGTTTGTGCAAGGGGAAGGAGAAAACTATTATTTTAGAGCTATCACACTGACCCTCCGATCTCCCTCTCTTTCTCTCTCTCTCCTTCTCTTTCCTTATCCATCTGTTTGTCTGTCTATCTGTGTATCTGATTTGTAAATACGAATGCGAGTGTGAATGCGAATGCGAATGAGAATGTAGATGCGAACGTGAATAGGCCGATGGACTGCATTCTTTCGAATTATATTCTTCTGTATGTATATGTATATTTATATGTGTGCGTGTATGTTTATATGTTTGTCGCGTGCGCTCATGTACAGGTGCAGATGTAGGGGCAGGGGAGAGTGCAGGTGTAGATATCTCTGTAGTTGTAGATGTGGTGGTATATTTGTATGTTTGTACTTGTGTGCTTGTGCTTGTGTTTCTGTACTCCTGTGCTCCTGTGTACTTGTGTGTTTGTGTACTTGTACGTTTGTGTGCACAAAGCGCGTTCATGATGAAATGCCAAAATTCAAAAAAAAAAAACCTTTAACGAAAAAGAATGGTTTAAGATAAAAATAAGCATTGACGAATGAGCGCGTTGCTTGGAATTATTTGTTTCTTTTTTTGAAAGAGACTTAAGTGTGGTGATGTAATATGGTTACACTAATTTCCTTTTGTAGGCGGTTCCGAGAATGGAGATCCTGACATCATTGTACAATAATAGGCGTTTCCATGGAAATGTGGTACAAAGAATACAAGTGAATAAGAACAAATATACTGATGTACGTATGTGTGTGCGTGTATGTGTGCGTTTGCGGTGCTCTTACTGTAATTTTTTCTTACTTCTTTCTCTCTGTAGATATGCACGTATTTGAACGTGTATATTTTCATATATTTTTGTTTAAGACAAAGTTATCAAGAGATCTAATCATATTATTTATATTAATATATATATATATATATCTGGTTGTTTCTTGCCCGAGTGTCGAAAGGTCTGATCATGGTTTTGATCAAAGATAAGATAGGTAAAGTAAAGGTTTCTGAGAAGCAGATCGAAATATAAAAGATGTATATAAAATACATGGAAGTGAATATAAAGAACAAGAGGAACAAAAAGAATATAAGTGAGGAAGTGAATGGGTGGATGAGTGAGTGAGTGAAGAAAACGAAGAAAGGAAGAAAGGAAGAAAGAGAAAGAAAAAGGGAAATAAGGGAGCTTTTATATCTTTTTGATTTCTTTTTTTAACTATTATTTGCAATGTAAAAATAAATCAATAAAACCAAGAAATCAAGAAATCAATAAAGAAATAAAATATATATTTATAAATTACCGCTCTCATCCAAGTAGTTGGTTGTATTGTCTTTGGGTTTTGTGATGATTGATTTGTTACAGCAAATCATGTTTAAAAATAAACTTGTTATTTTTGGTAAATAATTTGTAGATGGACATTATACTGACATAGGTGTTTGGTAGGACGCTGTCCCACTCCACAGGATGATCCCTTTTTATTACACTGATGAAATATATAGAAGAGAGAAATCAATAGAGATGAGGCATACAGATATATAAAATACATATAAAATACACATATAAAAAAAAAAGTGGATAAATTATTTTGGTAGTAGGACAAGTCCAATACCATACTGGTAAAGAGCCGACGCACCAATAGAATCGTCGGGTGCTATGATGCACACGTACATGAAAATTCGCTCAAAAAGACATCTAAACGTGGAAAACAAGGTTTATTTTTTTTGTTTGAAGTAAAAATAGGTTCCTGTGTCATTGAATACAAAATATAATCATAAAAATTAAAATCAATAGCAACAACAACAACAACAACAACAACAACAAAACAACAGAAATATTTATTTATATATATATAAAAACAGTCCGTTGCTAGGGACGCACGGGCGGTATACAATGTCATCGGACAACGATTAAGGAACAATAATTAGACTATTATATTTATATACACCGGTTACAACTAGCCGTTGCCCGATACCCGATACCCGATTATCTTTTATTTTGTTCTAGTAATTCTCATTGGTTATAAGATAAAATAGAGGTTCAATAATTTAATAAATAATTAAAAAATTGAAGTGATTTTTTTTCAAAGGTACAACAAGTATTTTTTGGGTAGTTTCACAGATACAGAAAGTATATCTCTAATCTGTGTCTCTAATATAATATATTTATATACATTATGTATTGTATTGTATGGTATATCTCTTTGTGTGCATATCTATCTATCTATATATATATATATATCTATTTGATTCATGCATATATGTATATATGTATATATGTATATATGTATATATTTATATATGTATGTATGTATTCTTGGACCACAAAACTGGTAGGCCACTGACGAAACGTGTTGTACACCCTGAAATCAGGGAAACCTTGAAAAAAAAAAAAGTTTTGGGCAATACGCGGAGTAGCTTTATTAGGCATTTGTACGCCCTTGGCTGCTGATATCATCAATATGCATAGACACTTAATTTTTTTTTCTTCTTTTTTTTGCATCTTTTTTTAGGTACAAACCTTGTGTACCCTCAAATGAAAAAAGCATATATATATGCCACGTTAACGAAAAAATTTCCAAGATCCCCCATTCAGCTCTGCTTCCTTCTTTGTTGCACTACAAATCCTACCATGACTTTCGATATCTCTAACTTCTCCCACTCAAACACAACCAAGAAGGCTTCAAAGTCTATCAAACGTGGACGCGTTCACAAACGCACAACCTCATCTGTCTCGGTCTCATCCTTTTCCTCCAGTGGATCGTCCTCGACTGGACTCTCATTCTCCCCTGTCTCGAGTCCGAAAACCCGGAAGCAGTCCCTGTCCACTCAAAAACTCCCCCGTTCATCTCAGCCAATCAAAAACACCGCCAGTGAAATCGAGCGCCTGGAGTCTGAACTTAATTTTACTTACGACTCCCTTGCTAATGTCAATGTCATGTTCGACAGTCTCAGAAATGCCTATTCTACATGCAAGCCTGAAATCGAGAAAAACAAGACCGAAACACGCCTTGGTGCCATGGAAAAGGAACTTTTGGCTGCTTATGATGATGTCGGTCTCCAAGTAATTCACCTCGAAAGACAACTTGTCAAGCTTGAGAAACGTCTTTTGGAAGTCAGAGCAGAACAACAACAGGAACAACAAAAACAACAAAAGCAACAAAAGCAGCAGCAAGTAATTAATATTAAACCAATCGAGGTACAGCAATGTGAACCAACTATCTGTGAGCAAGAGATCGACCAAAAACTATATCTCGCAACCCCTCCTCCATGTGCATACGATTGCCCCCAGCTTTCTCCCTCGCAGCCAAAAGCACAGGCCGAATTAATTGATAGCTGGACCACACCAATCGAACTCTCTTATCCCGTATTCTCCTCAAACGAAGATCTCTACTCTAAGCATCCCCTCTATGTACCATCCTGCAGCGAATCGCCATACTATTCTCCCCTTCCTTCCTACTCCTACGCACCAACTTCATTTTGGGGAGACTACATCCCTACATGGTCATCTAATGCCAATATTATCTATGCCCCCAGCACCCTATAAACTGCTCTCTCACATCTTTATTATCTCTATCTATTTATTAGTTTATTAATTTCTATATTTATTCCTCTCCTATTGCCCACATCTTTTACCCTGTGAACACATTCACTCATTTACTCATTTACTCACTCATTTACCCATTTCACTCATCATTTCACTCATTAACCGTTTACCCTATCACTCATTTTATTCTGCTCACTCATTCAAACGCTCTTTATTATGTCCTGCTACAACTGCATGCAACACATATTCTTCTTTCTCTTTCTTATATTGATATTAGCCATTTCAACTCTATGTATATATTTATAAGTCGCGACTTGTTTTCTTCTTTCTTCCTTTATATTCTGTTTTGTTTTTATTGTTTTCATTGTTTTCATTTGCTTTATTATGTTTTCATTTTTCTTTTAAAAACAACTCTTTAATTTTTCTCACTCGCACTTTCACACACACTTACATATACAATCATCATTACCTAGCATAAAAAAAACTTCATTCTAATGCATTTGCTTCATCCAACCAAAAAATTATATATTATTAAAATACATTCTCAACCAAAAAAGTGCACTCACACACATACATAAATAAAATGAAATAATAATAAAAAAAATGTTTATTTTACATATAAAAATTTATTAAGCCTTGTTGTTTTTCTAATGATGAAAAAAGGGCAAAGCTATACGACCGAAAAAAAGAAACTATTTGCTTTGTCTTGTCTTTTTTTTGTCGATTTTTTTTCTCGCCGTTAACTTGAGATATAGCAACTATTCACGGAATTTTGAATTTCTTGTAAAAATTGGGGTTTTTTTTTCTTTTTTTTTCATTTTGGAATAATTACATGTTGTTTTATAGGACCCATAACTTTATGCTTTTCTTTTATCTTGATTGTAGCGCATAATTTAAGAATTAGTCCGAGAGGTTTACACACGCACACACACACAAAATAAAAGATACTGAAAGCAAGAGAGTATGATTTATTTTACTTTTTTTTTGGATATCGTGAACGTCTAGACATTGGAATATTAGAACATTGTGAGAATAATAATAATAATAATAATAATAATAATAATAATAAAAAAGAAAAAAGGACTTGTTTACAATTAAGAACTTGTACGCCTATAACATAAATGGCAGTAATACTAATTCATTTATTCTGATCAGTAAGAAAGAGAGAAAACCGCCAAAAATAATAATACTACCAATAATTAATAGTAATAGTAATGTTGATATTAGGAAACAGACCAAGTAAAATGACACCACCTGCTTATGAAAGGTGTGTGATGCTAAAAAGGTATCTTTTGTATCTAGATAGCTCAATATGCTTTGCAATAAGTTACTATGTGTATATATGTATATCTGTATTGGCATGGGCATGGGCATGGGTATGGGTATGGGTATAGCACAACTATTCTATTTTGCTCAAATAAAGAAAAAAGAAAATGGGCTGCCTGTGTTTTCATAAGAAGGTACACAATTAATTCTTTAGATGGAATAACACGGATCATAGACACATTCTGATACAGTTGATTAGGAAATTTGATCATGATTTTTTATTTATCTTTTATCCAAGATCTGATACTCCTAATTCAAATAAAGAAATATACATATATACATATGTCTATGTATTTGGTGGCGTAAATATATATAGAGAGAGAAGAAATTGACGGCGCGCCATGACTTGAAATTTATATAGGCTGTAATTGATATTTTGTAAAGGCTTTCTTATGAGAATTACATACACACATTCATATAAATAAAAGCTGGGGTGACAAGTATTCGCTACAATCCATTAGAAAGGCAGGTATTTATCATAGTGTTACCTGGACATTCTGTACTCTTTACACAAAAAATAAATAAATGCGTACACAGCAATACCTTAAATGGTAGTTGGGGACAGGATCCTATTTGTTGTAAGAAGGAAGAAGAGGAAGAAGAAGAAAAGGTATTCTGTTTCTGAGATGAATATCTTGACATCAAACACAAGGAGTTTTGTATTTGTTTGTACTTGTTTGTACTTATGTGTGTGTTTATACTTAATAAGTTTGGTGTCAATTTCACACACAATAGCTGATATTGTACGATTAAAACCCAAGGACTTTTTCCAACTTTCCTAGAAAATATTTATATATATATCCGTTTTCTCTCTTTCTAGGTATCTGTGAGTGGTTACAGCACTTTAAAAATATGTTGTTATTTATTTTTTTACTGTAAATATACATGTATAAAAAAAGTCTTGTTAAATACCAAAGCATAACTACTTTATTATTAGTATTAGTATTAAGGTTATTTTAAATAAACTTGTAGGCTTGAATGAAACGTGTTTAAGCTGCACAATATAATGCACTTCTGTCTACTCGTTCGTCACTAGCCACTAGTCATGACTTTTAGCTATCATTCCTCCATTACAATTCTGCATAACATTTAAACAACAAGGCTCATTCTTAAAATCATGCGCAGAATTTCAACATATCTGTATTTAACAATGGTAGATCACAGCTTTCGGTGGTTACATCATAGTCATTTATTTTGTTATCTAGTCTAAATGTTAGTAATACCATTAAGGATCTGCATGTATAATTATAGATCCTTTTAAGCAGAATTCTTATAAATATAATAATAAAATCACAAAAGTTTTGCTTAAAATACCAAGTTATTGGTTAATGATTGCCATTATAGTATTATATTATTATGCTTAAATGTATTTACAGTGCAAGACCTGGTTTACATGCTCATATAAATATCTATGAATTAATTCAACTACGTATATTACCTGCCATTAATTATTAGCTTAAATAGTTATATGAATAATATTAACATATTTATATGAATAATATTAACATATTTATATGAAGATAATCTTTACTAAACGTATTTGCCATACACATATACAAGCAATATATATACATTATCTTGGGATCTTAACAGTTTGTAATACTGGTGTCCAAAAGCACCCACGCGGTTCCACAGAGCTGGAATTATTTCTCTCTCTCTCTCTCTCTCTCTCTCTCTCTTGCGCTCTTTATTTTATTTTATTTCATTCCTCTCTTCTTTTACACTCTTGACAGTCTGGCTAATATTGAGAACTATATCCATTAATATATTTGTTGTATCCAAGGAGCTGTAATGGTTTTGATACAGAATATTTACATTTGTGCATATATATTTTATGCAAATAGGTAGAGAATATTATATATAGAGAGGTAATAATAATAATAAAATATATATATAAGAGAAAAAAAACTATTTTTTGTATGTGTGTGTGTATATGTCTACAGCTGTATTCAACTTGACTCTCTTACCTTACTCTATTCTATTACAATCAAAAGTCACAACCATACCCATTGATTTCAATACACTTTGCTGAAGAGTCGGCAATTGTTGTTGTTTTTTTGTGACCTCACGCCCCCGGAGATCAAATTGACTTTTTTTCTTTGGATGTGAGCATCAAAGAAAAAAAGTCAAAAAAAAACCCCCAAAGAGCAAACAAGTTACTTATTACAATACGCACTTAAACTTATACACTCCACACTCCACACTCCACACACCTGTAACTGTACCTACACCTACATCTACACTCATATATACACCTACAGACACCTACAGACATATACACATTTAAAATCAAGGCTATTGTCTACCTACACACACAAACACACACACACTAAACTTCTACACCATTCCAAATCTCGCGTATGTATTCAACAGCACAATAGAAATGCATTCCATTACAACCTACCCTTTTTCTCGGCTTTTTTCTTTGCTGGCTTTAATACATGTTGGCTTGAAAAATAATTAGTATATTCTGACTCTTTGTCCAAATCTGATCTCTTTCTTTCTCTTGTTATTTTCTTTTTTCTTTGGTCATCCTAGGCACATAATGAACAGTTCAATCGTACCGACGAACATCGGCCAGCATTCATTCCCTCCTACACAGCGATCGAGCTCCCAAACAACAATTCACAACGATTCAACTGTGCTTGCGCCCGGCACCAGCATGTGGGCAAACAATAATCATCTCGAGCTTACATCACAAGGACAAAAGGCATCCGGGACACAAACCCATCCTCTTCATTACACCTGGGTATTTTGGTTTATGCACCGAAATCCAAGAGAAAAGATCACAAATTATGAGGAAAGCATGAAGCGCATCGCATCTTTCTCATCTGTAAGTCATCCACATAACATATATGTATATTTTCCTTTCTTTTCTTGGGCTTGGATACTTGGTGATTAAATGTGTTAATGGTCTATACTGTATGAATAGATTGAAGACTTTTGGGCTGTATACAGCCATTTGCGCCGTCCAAGTGATTTACCAAACATTAGTGACTATCATCTTTTCAAGCATGGAGTTCGACCCGTATGGGAGGTAATATTCGTGGTATACGTATATACATATGTACATATGTACATATGGATGTGTGTGGTGTATATGCAATGCATATATACTTGGTGTAGTGTGTGTGCGCAACAGAGGTCCAATGTCTTCAAGTTTTGGAATATTAAGATGTCTTTTTGTTTTATAGGATGAAGTTAATGTTAATGGAGGAAAATGGATTGTAAGATTAAAAAAGGGGTTAGCAAGTCGCTACTGGGAATCTTTGGTAAGGCGTAATGCTATGTAGTAAACAAGATTATTAGGATGAAGGAAGAGAGAGAAGAAGAAAAGGAGAGAAGTTGTATATATATTTGAGAAAAGAGAAATGTTACTGATTCAATTGGGGCTTTAAAAGGTACTTGCAATCATTGGTGACCAGTTTGACGTAAATGATGAGATATGCGGTGCAGTCTTGTCAATTCGTGGCTCAAACGATATTGTGTCTGTGTGGAACAAGACATCTTCAAATGGAAGGATAAACCTGAAGATTAGGTAAAAAAAAAAAGGAATGAGGAAGAGTAGGATAAATAGATGTATAGAGCTACATGAAATTTTTCGTAAAGTTAATAAGCTAACAAATACATAAAATATTATATGACTGTGGCTGGGTTAATTTAGGGACACGATTAAGAAGACACTTGGACTGCCTCAGGACACGATTATGGAATATAAATCTCACAACGACGCTCTCAGGGACAATTCAAGCTTCCATAATACCGATGTTTTCCGATGAAAAATATAAAATATAAAATACAACTATCAACCACCAAACAGCTAACAATTAACCAAGCAACAAAAAACAACAAACAACAAAAAACAACAATAAAAAAGTAGTATATATATATATATATATTGTTGGATACTGGATAATAAAGTACACACACATACACATACAATCTACACGCACGCACACGCGCACTAGTATATAAACCAAAGCAATTTGGTTTTTGGTTTTTAATTTGATTATTTAAAAAAAAAACTGCCGCAAATTATCAAATTTCATTATGCGACAGAAAAGAAAGAAGAAATACAGAAAAAATTTACGCAAATCAAAGTAGTATGTCGAGTGTAACTACTTCAGGACACGCGTTTGTGTTTTAGTCTGGCGCTGTAAATGAAATTATGCACATGTAATCTGATAGCTGTTACGCGAGATATAAAGACTGGTCTTGACACAAGAACTATTTAGCGTCTTTTTTTTCTTCTTCGTTTTCTTGTGTTAGTAAATAAAAAAAAATTGTGTGTAATTAATTTTGTGTACTCGTCCACGTAGTTACAGAAAACCTTTCTGCTTTATACTCTTTCTGGTTTATTTGTAGAACAACTACCTACATCATCATTTGAATGTTTGATGTACAATAATATTAGTATATAATATAATATATATTTATAAAAATAAAAGGTCCGGGGCTACCTTTACACAAAACTTTACATGTTTTTGTAATACTTCCAAAACTAATTCCTTTACTTAAATATCGCTTATTTTGCAACCAAGATATTTAATAAAGCTAGAAACTTGAATCCAATTCTCTGATTTTATTTTAAGAAAAAAGGTTCTTTTAATTATATTTTATAGAAATATTTGTGGCCATTGTTGTTGACTCAGCTGATGATAGAATATTTTTGTATTAAATTATCTTAACAATAAGATTTATCTAGAAATATTTTTACGTTGCAAAGCACATTATGCTCTCATAGTTATTAAAATACTAGTTTTTTATTTACATTTCAGAAAAGAAGAAAAAACTCTCTCTTTTTTGTTAATTAGACTATTGTTATTTTCGATTTTAGCTATAGAATTATACCATTGTCACTTTTCTGTTTGCATTTTATACTTCTTTAAAGTTATTATAAATTAAGGTTGAAAATATTTGTAGATAAAGTTGATTTTCTTTTACTAGAATAGAATAAAATAAGAAGTAGTTTCAATGAGTTTTAAAAGAGTATGCCAAAAGATTAAGATTTCACTTTTACTATATTTATTACTTTCTTCCTAAGCAATAATAACAACTGCGAAATAACTTTTTATAATAATATTAAAGATATTAATAAAGTATTATTTTTATATAATATAATAGTTTGCTGTTGATTTAATAGCAAGGTATAATTATAAGAAATTATAATCAACAATTAGATCAATATATAATAAAAATAATAAAAATTAATTATTATTTATGTTATATTTTTAAAATGTTCATCTTAGAAATATTATAAACTTAAGCTGATATTTATTAATATTAAAAAAAACATTCTTTTGTTTATTATATATATTAAATAGCTCTAATAATCTGATCTATACTATATTTTCTTATTTGATTAATTTTATATGTTTCATATTCTTTTTTTTTCTAGCTTTTACTTCTTTAACAAAAAATAATAATATTACTATTTTTCTTAAAATTCTTATATTAAAGTTATAGTTTATATATTTTTAAAACCTAATATCAAGTTTTATTATTTTATAAGATATATAAAAACTTATAATTATATATAATCTTGTTTTGAAGTGTCTGTAATAAAATTAATTAATAAGTACTTTTGATAAAAAATAGATATTAATATTATAGTATTTTAGATACAAATTAATAGAAAGATATAGATTTTCATAATATAGAATATATAGAAATTAACTTTATTAAAGAATAGAAAGTTTTTCTTCTTAGATAAAATTTTTATTCCAAAAGTTATATTTTTTCAAAGTATATATTCTAGATTTAATATTTCTACTTTATACTCAAGCTATATATATATATAATAATAATAGAAAGAAATATAAAGTAATATAAAAAAACACTTATATATATTATAAAATATTTGAGAAATATCAAAACTAGTTATAATAGATATGTAATATATATGCTGTATCCAACATAATCGTAGATTCAAATAGAGAGCACAGATAATAAAACAAAGACATATTGAATAAGTGACCAGTATCAATTATACATTATTTCTCACACTATCATTAAATAAAGAATATACCAATAACAAGGTCACACACCTTAGTCAACATCACTAATCACTCAAACAAGAGCGTGGGTAATAACTTAACAATATATATTCTATGATATAAGAAAACAGACGTCATATGATATACTTATATCATTATTATAAATACACATACAATGTCTATATAAACTCACATAGCAAATAGCAATAGAATATCATCTTTCTTTTCATCAATAAACAAAGTCTTAACATACTTCTTGTCTACACTTTGTTTTTCTTTCTTTTTAAAAATATAACAATATATAATATTCTTATATATTAGTACAAGAAAAGTATATAACACTAGGTTTACAATATGTTTTTAGGAACTATCTTTATCTATAATCTTTTTTATCTGATTTTTTAAATATGAATCTCAAGTCAACTATTACTATTAAAAGAATAATAATAATATATATATTATAATTGAATAAAGAACAGTCTTTATAGCTAAACTATGATTACTTAGATATTTAGCTATTAAATTTATTAAATTTAAAAATATATTCATGTGGTATTTCAGGTACGAAACAATAGAAAAATAAAATATTTGATAATAGAGACGTATAGAAATACTTTGAGACTGTATTTAAGTTGTCTTTATTCATAAATAAAAAGTGTCCCTTTTTATAAGAAAACACAATCTGCTCTTGTCATTACGTCTTAGTTTCTTAAGGCTTTCTTCCTTTACTATATTTGGTTATTAGAGTGTATTTACTGCTTAACTAGTGTCAGTGTTACAATTATGACATCAAGTCATAAATCGTACTTCTTTAGCTCTTAGCTATTCTTTTCTCTTTTATACTAGAGCTTTAGGACTTCCTACTAAATTAGCTCCATATCGATCTGACACAGTTTACCCGGCAGTATGATATAATTATCTTAACAATCTTTAAGATATTATCTACAGTACTAACTGTAATAATTATTGGGCTGATTACTTAATCGTTTATATATATTTTATACTGACAAGATGATAGCTACTACGCTATCCCAATATGAATATGTTCTTATATGTGATAAATCCAACATCCGGGTGTCTGGATCACCACAGTTTTGTACCTGAAATACCACACTTTATTTACTTTTATATTATTTAATTACTAATTTATTAGTTTAATACAACTTGATAACATAATAAAAGCTTATATTTATTTGAGTATGTTATTTATATCACGTGACCAACCCTTGGTATAAGGAGATTTGGCCGAGTGGTCTAAGGCGATACGTTCAGGTCGTATTCACGAAAGTGGCGCGAGTTCGAATCTCGCAGTCTTCAATATATTTTGAATTTTTTGGCATTGTCGTGCCCGAATTCTTGTCAGCCAATCAGGATGACGATTACACAGAATTCTCTTTTGAGAACGACGACCGAAGTGATTTCCTTTTGCTCACAAAAGAATTAGAAAGCACATAGCTTAACAAAAGTAGAATAGAAACCGAAACAGACATTTATAATGGCTAAGTAGGTTTAGAAAAGATATAAAAGAGAACACTCTTTCATTCGATAAAAGTTATCTGTTTTTATATTTTCTTTTTATTCATTTATTCTTGTTTAAGATTTCCAGTTGGTTTGTCTAATATTGATTATGTCTTTCTATTATTTTTGTTTTTACATTTTTGTAGTATAATAGTACCAGCTAGGATCTTACGAATATGTCAGAGTTGATATTGGTAAGCAAAATCAGAATTTGCAAGCAACTGGTTTAATGGCAGAGGTTCTCCAAGTCACACTTGGTAAGCTATTAAAATCCTTGGATTATTTTATTATCATTCTTTTTTTTACTGGATCTTAATAATGGGAGAAGGTAATTTATAGCTATTACAAAAATATAATAAAAAAGTAGAATATTTAAAATATGACATTTAAGGATCCTATTCATTATCTAAACACTCATAGTTGACATTAGCCTTGTTAGATCTCTGAGCATCGATTTCTCTTTCTTTCTTTTCTTTTCTGTTCATTTCATGTAGCATAAAACTTTCATGAACCGCAAGAATTTTATTTCTGTATTAGATATGTCAAAGGCTAGTTTTCTGGTAGTATTATATCGTTGGATGGCTACATATTTGTCAAGGATAGCTTTGCACATACTATACTATTTGCGTTCTTTGCATCTTGCGAAAGAATAAGATTTCATAAAAGTCAATTTATTAATGCCACACAACTTAATCTGCTTTCTTGATGTTTAATGCCTTCATCATCTTCTTGTTTTCAATTTCCTTGGCTGCTGTACGTTGATGTGTCTCGTGCTCCATCAAACTATAACTTATATTAGCATCAACTCATTATTAGCTTATATGGGTTGCTTACTCTTTCGCATCTCTTGGTAAGATCTTATCAATATTTTTATTTAACCGAGTGCGCAGCTCTTGTACTTTTTCTTCAATCTCATCTTCGCTCAAACTATATAAATGTGGATGAGTAAATTGATCTGATAGTATTTGCCTGTTTGTCATTAATTACCCTTCATCTTCCAACTCGATCTGAAGCTCCATGCACTGAACCTCAACTTTACGTTTACGATCATGAAGAAGAATTTCTTGATTAGGTTGTCTTATTTCAGGCATAGGGGCTTTGAAATCATGGCTCGACAATCGATCGTTTCTGTCAGTAGGTGGTGGTCGGACAAAGGAAAGGTTTCTAACGACATAGCCATTGGTACCTTTAAAGAGTGGATCAGTCAAAGCTGCTTTGTTTTGTTTGTTTGTATTTATAAAATTAGAGAGAGCATCTACCAGATCCACGAGGTGTACTCAAGCCGATTCCGTTATACATGCTTGTTGTAGAGGGTAAAATATAAAAGAAAGGAACCAAATTTTGTAGAAACTCTCATGACGTCTTCATATGTAGCGGCACTTAAATATTATGAGCAATAGGCTTTTTTTTGTTCTTTGATTTAATGTTGAAACAAAAACTACATTTTGAATTGGAACACAATTGAAATAACAACGATAAAACAATAGGAGTTTTATTGTAATTAGATAAGCTGTTTACCTTATTAATGTATGTATACCAATACCTATACCTGTGAAAGTAATAACACTTAGTTTATCAGATTTTTTTTTGGAATAAAAGCGACTATCAGCTTATAATGCTCTATGCATAAATTTCGGGGTGTTTGGCTAGAAATCACCTTTTTTATGGAATAAAGAATTTCTGACCCCAAGTAGAATAAGGTTGGGGCCGAGAGTTATTGTGCTAGGCTTACTTTAACTTGTTGCTTTTTCTTTATTCTATATTGGCTGGTCAGTTTTATTTAAAGAGATTTTCATATGTCTCTAAAGAAGAGTGTGAATAATGTTTGTTTGACTTATATTTTAGAATTAAATATGCTCTTCCATATATAACTCTCTCACATATATAATAATAAAGTTAGCACACGTTATCTTAGAATATACCAGCTATTTTATTGAATGAAATACCATATTATATGTGCATATATTCGAAAGTTACTAGATAAGATCTATATATTATCTAAACCACAATTGTTTTTAAATGAAAAGATATCATACTTGTATTGTTGTCATGTACAGCCAAATACAGTAAAACACTTTTCTGTACTGTTTATTTGAAAAGAAGATCCATTAATAACGACCAGTAACCTAAAAATGCGCCTTGCATACTGTGTTTTATTGTACTACAAAAATAATAAAAAGGGTATATGTAATTCACAAATATACGCATAAAATTATAGACGATTTCTTTTTTTGGTATGTGATTAACAAAAATGAAATGCACAATTTGTCCTATTCATTTAATAAAGTGCCTTATTTATTTTTAGATTAAAACATTATAACAGGGAAATTAATTTAGTTGAATAAATAAAATAAAGGTCAAATCTCCATTACCTAACCAAGAGAAGAATAAGAAGAAGAAAGTCATTACTCTTCATGTCATCCATCCTTCAACACATTGGAATTTTGTCAAATGGTCTGAAGTCTCATTCCAGGAAAATGGTCATGCCATTTCCAACACGTACATTTACGCGCACGTACGCCAGCATTCCACCTGTTGTTTATCGTCCAGTGCCTGTACAGTACAGAAGGTTTAATAATAGCCAGCCATTTTACAAGTCTAAACGCCTATGGGTGTTTGTTGGAACAGGCACAGTTATGTTTGGCGGATATTATGTAACCCATCTCGAAAAAGTGCCAATAAGTGGCCGAACTCGCTTTATGAGCTGTACACCAAGTCAAGAAGAAGCCATGGCCAAACAAGCATATATAGAAGTGATGTCTCAATTTGGAAATAGAATCCTCCCAGCCTATCATCCATATAGTATATTTGTTTCAAAAGTTGCCAAACGTCTGGTGCGTGTCTCGGGTATGGACCACATGCAATGGGAATTTCATGTTATTGATTCACCAGAGCGAAAGTAAGCATATAGACATATACAAGGGCTCTGTATTGAGAAACATGCTAACGAGTATTTAGTGCCTTTGTATTGCCTGGTGGAAAGATTTTTGTCTTTACTGGAATATTACCTATTGTGCAAAACGAAGGTAATACATAAAGCTAACTAGTCCGACTACCTTTTATCTTTATGTTTATTGCTAATGCGTGGGTATAGATGGTATGGCAGCTGTTTTGGGACACGAGATTGCTCATCAATTAGCTCGCCACAGTGCAGAAAAACTGAGTTTTGCAAAGATACTTTTGGCTGGTCAATTTACGTTAATGTTAATCGGAATCGACCCATCGTTTATCTTTAACAACATAACCCTAAACTTTATGATGATGATGCCATTTTCACGAAAATGTGAAACAGAGGCAGATGATATCGGACTCAAATTGATGGCCAAAGCATGCTTTAATCCTGAGGAGGCTACTCGAGTGTGGAGGCGTATGGAGCTAGCTAGCAAAGATCAGATTCCTCAGTTTGCAAGCACTCACCCGAGCAACAAGAACAGGATTGTACATCTCGAGAAAGAGGTAAATATATATATATACATATCATACATTTTATTACTGTATTTGCTTATTTAAGTTACTTTTTTAGATGCCAGCCGCAATTGAGGAGCGTAATTCCAGTGATTGTTCTACAGAACTCAAAGGGTTCACAGATATGCTTCGTAGCCAATGGGTGCGATGGTAGAGAATGTAATGATACATTTATTAATATATATATAAAGACAAAAGTAGTACATCCTAAGCCTCTTGATTTCCCAGAACAAGATCAAATGTTTCTTCAAAGACACTGGGTTCCTGTGCACCAGAAAGCGTGTATCTATTACAAAGTTTGAGTACAAACTATATTAATGTACCAAAAGAAAAAAGAAAAAATATTGCGGGCACTCACCTGTCTTGAATGGTGAAGTTGGGTACACCGTTTATACCTGCAAGATTGCTCCGCTTGATTTCGTTCTTTACATGCTCCACATCTTCATCACTCTCGAGGTAAACCAACGCCTAATATGTTGGTTAGAAATAGATAATTATATCTTTAAGCAATCATACTTCTTCTTTGCTCAAACCGATATTCTCGGCAGCATCGGACAGTATATTGGGGTCGGATATAGATTTTTCATTCTCATGATAAGCCTTGAACAACTCTTCAACCATGTCATCCTGTTTACCAAATGCTTTTGCCCAGTTAATCATACGGTGCCCATCAAAAGTGTTGGAAACTACACCGTCGTATGAGAGATTAATTCCGTCAGCTTTGGCAGTTTGCACCATTCGAGGAATCATTGCAGCCACACGAGACTCTCCGAATTTAGAGGAGTAGTAATGTCGTTTGGGCTGAGGTTCCTTTGACATGTTAGGATTGAGCTGATAAGGATGCCATGTAACTTCAAACTCGACATTAGGATTGGTAGCCTTTGTATTGCGAATGGCAGCCTCCATGCGTCGTTTTCCAATAAAACACCTACATATGTATGTGTCAAAAAACATTCCTAAAATTTTGTCCAGGCACAAACATATTTACCATGGGCATGCAATGTCACTAACAATTGCAATTTTAATCGTGTTAATGGTCGACATTTTATCAGAGATAAGGCTTATGTAAAAACAAACAAACAAAGGACCAACATATTGTACTGTTTGACTTTTATACCCGTTTCACTTGTATTACTAATCCACTCGTACATTTTACTAATATATGATACAATATTGCGAATATTGCTTTCTATGGGTATCAACTTTAAAGAAATGTTCTTTATTACTAAATCATGATTAATTATAATGTATGTGCCTGTTTCAGACCATTTGTTTTTTATTATTACTTTAAAGTGAGTAAGATAAAAAGCTAGATCAGATCAAGATAAGTACAAGATATAAAAAAGAGACCTTTTACAAAATGTTTTTTTTGTGGGTTAAAGACAAGCAAAAGTAACCCGTAATATTATTACTTACTATAACGCATTAAAATATATCCCATTTTCTGTTAACGTGAATCAACTATTCACATATCACTACGACAAATAGGGGCGATTTTTTGTATTTATGACTTTGTTTTTGGCCTATAATAATTAAAAAATCACCAAAAATCCAATTTGAAACTAGAAAATCTCTGTTTTTTGAAAAGGTTGACAAAAAGCAGATTGACCACCTAAAATTAAATCTCCTGATAGACAAAAGTACATTTTAACTACAGATTTTACATTTTTAGTAAATGTAGATTGCAATTGATGACTATTAAAAGTCAGAGGTAAAAGAGAGAAAAATATCTAAACTTTTTGCTGGGAGGATAAAATGTTAAGACAATTTGAAAAAAAAAATGTATTACAAGAAAAAAAAAATTATAAGTCTGCAAGAGAACCAAGTGACAGTTTTGGGCCGCGGTTAAGCTCTGGCCACACTACATATGTTGTTGCTGTTGTTGTTATTGTGTTTATAGTCGCGTCCGACTTCACCAAACCAACTAATTCTTTGACATCTGCCAGGTGGACTACCATTGGCTTCATTTGCCCATTGTTGATTGCTGGTATACTATTTACCAAACGAACTGCATAAACATTGACAAGGACAAGCGGCCACCTCTTGTTGTTGAGCTTGTGCTCAAAGAAAACGACGACCTTCCCAAAGAAATCCTTGTAGACTGGAGAGTAGCTTTGCCCAATGTTGCGGTTCTCATCAACCTGAACCTGAAGTCTGACGTTATGTGCCTCTCTTACACAATTATGGTCGAGTGCAGAGTCAATAACACAACCATTTACAAATGCCTTACGGCTTGTTTTAATGGCTGCTTCAATCATACTACACTCTTCCCCCTTTGATTCGTAGAACTTTTGAAGAATCTCTGGAAGACAAGAAATGCCTCCAAAACTATCAACAATCGTTCTGTTCCTCAAAGGCCCCCAGAACTCAATGTCAGAATCAGTACCAACATTACTACCTTCTCGGTCAATTGGCCAACCAGCAGAGGGATCGTCATACTGAAGGAGAGTTGTTGCTGTTACTGTTGCTGTTGTCGTTATTGAATTTTCAACTCTCATCTGTCGAATCTGTGTCAAGCCAAGCATGATGTTGCCAGCGTTGATTCCAATTGCCGAATTACTCTTTATTGCTCGCGAGTATTCCCCAATCGCCCTCTCGACAGATCGTGCACTATACGCTCTGGGGGGACCATACGCTTCTATCATTGCGGGATAGTGCTGCAGGAGGTGCTGGTTGATCGTAAAGACCTTGAGCTGGACCTCTTCTTTAGCTAGCGAGGCTTCCAGATACGCATTCCATGCGACGAGATTTCTAAAAAAAAAAGATAAGTTAACACAAGTTATAAAATAATAATATTAATTATAATTAAAGCTTACGTTTTGATCAAGGTTTTCTCCTCTGCTGATAACTCCCAGCTCATGAGTAGGTTGCATGTCTGCACCAGGTCAAGCAATGCCTTACGGGCAGCTTGGTCACGGACACGCTCTGCCACAAGCGTGGGGATAACAAACAAGATGAAGTCAGCCCAGTCCACAGCCCGGAAGTACCCTGATCTTGTTGCGATGTTGATCCATGCACCGTGGAAAAATGTCGGAATACTTCTTCTGGTTGACACCATGGCAGTACCAATTTCTTTCTGAGCAGCAAGGGAGAGAGAGAGAGGATGATCTTTTCCATACTTGCCACACACGAGCCCCCAGACCTGTTTGCCAATGCCGTGGCAAATGCCGTGCATTTCATCCAATGCAAAGAAGAACGGACCAGAGAAGGAATCCAGTAAGGAGAAGGGAGATTGGCCAGTTAACCCTTTTTTGCTGGATGAGGCCACCTCATCAAAGTGCTTGAAACTTTCCGGTGTGCGCATGGTGATGGCAGATGGCATTCGGAAATATTGGCCATGGCCAGGAGATTGACCCACAACGTGGCAGATGCGGCAGCCATCCTTACTCATATGGCCCACATGACAAGCCATCTTTCCCAGAGCTGGGATGTCGCCAGTTGTCATTAGTACATGGACTTTTGCGCTAATATCTCCAGATGGTGTCTTCACAACCATTCCACGGGCTTGGAGAACCCGAAGTTCTTTCAGAACAGGCTCCAGGAATGACCAGAAGTCGGCGGGTGCTCTGGGACCAGGGATGATCGCGACTTGGATCATACGGCTGCGCTCGTAGCGGATCATTGGGGGGAAGGTTGAGGTTGGTAACGTGGACAATGGTTACCGAACCCGGAACACTATGGGGAGCAAACCCATCAACAGACAGCGAAATGGCGATGTCGTTTTCACCCGAGAAAAGATGCTTCTTTGACTGGTATGCCTGTCCGTCAAAGACATCGGAAATGCTGCCATCAGCCTTTTGCGTATGATGGTGGCGATACAACATCTCTTTTCTGGTGCGGTCGTTGGCCAAAGCAACTGCAAGCTGTCTACCCAGAGGAAGCTGTATCATTGTGCTGGCAGGAATTGGATTCTCACCAGCGATGTGATCGAACAATGATTTGCAATAAACATGCAAACATGCTTAAGAGGGTTGGTATAGATTTCACCAGATGCCATCAAAATTGGGCATCCATTGCAAGAGTCAGTCATCTCTGGAAAGACCGTCAAAAGAGGCAATTGTAAGTAACTATCCACTGCAGTGTAAAGTAGTATATTTAATATTGGAAGTATATGATGTATTTGACTGTTTATAACCAATAAAAATGATGTATAAAATGTAATGTCTATCATAACAGCCAATAAAAGTGATATATAAAATGTAATTGTGTAGTGTAATAACCAATAAAAACGATAAATAAAAAATATATCCATTTGAGAAACCAATAAAAATGTATTTTTATAAAATACACTACAGTGCAATTATGTCTTATCCAATAAAAACAATGATTAAGCAAGAAATATTTAAAAGAATCTAAATTAAAAGAATAATGAATTAGTAGTAACCAATGGCATATAATATTTCAACTATACTTAAAGAAGTTTTGTCCAATTGAAAGACAAATATTAGCAAAAGAAAAGGTTATCAATATATTAATAGAATCTTAAAACTACCGGTAAGCGGAGATGTATTAAAATGCACATGAACTCAGGGTTGGAAAAAAGGGGGGAGGACACAAAACGCGCCCTGGCTTCCCCTCCGGAACCACCTGTGAAACCACCTCTAAAACTCCTATTTTTTTGGCGTAGTGATATGAACATGACTCATCCTAAAATGTAAAAGTTTAGGCGTCTGTTTATTTATGTACCGAGTAGCTCTTTAGGATATTCTTTACGCTTTCAATGTCAGATAGACCCAACAACTGTACCTTTGAGATTCTCTCTTCTACTTTTTTTTTTACTTAATACCCCAGAGTAGGTTATCGATTGAAACTTATACCATACTAGTAATCGGATAATAGGAGATAACATACCTCTTTGTTAATATTCAAATGGAATATCAATTGAATCCTATGGGGTTGAAAACTTGGAGTTGATCATGCAGTTGATTCAATTTCAATACAAAAACTGGACAATCTTTAGTTTAAACATCAAGACGTTTCTCGGTGATCATGGCGATTGCGCTGATCTAATAGATAAAACATCCGGCTAATGCAGACGACAGTAAGATAGCTATATACTTTTGTGAATACACTGCTTTTACTTGAGATTGAAACAAATCAAGAATGTCTTTAGACGAACTAAATTTATTCTCTAGGCGAAAGCATATTACCAATTAAGACAGCTAAAATTTTTCTCAAGGCAACCAAGAAAAAATCAAGACAATTGTACTTTGTGAATAAAATATGCAGTATACTCTTATAAAATAAGAAAATGGGCAGTTTAAACTTTATTGGGTATTTAACTAAACATATGAAAGAGTATACTGATATTACTGGATCGATTGGCTTCTTTTGTTTAAAAAAAGTGTTTACTAATCTAACTAAGATGATGAAAAAAAAACTGAGAGCATTTACGGCAGTAGTATTTCCATTAGCATTAAATCAAATGCTCATAGGTCACACTGGAGGTTAAAAACAACCAAAAAAATATTCAAATTAAATGCTTTCAAGATTATCAGCTTTGTAGTGACCATAATTTTTGAGAGCTCTTCTAAGCATTGTTACATGTTGTTATTCGATCTGAAGAAAAACAATTGAAACGCAAAGAAATTGTTTTTAAGATTGAACATGGAGATAAATACTATCGGAAATGCTACTACTGTAGGCGATTCTTTGAACAGCATTTCCCAAAAAGCATTTAAATAAGGAAAAACTGAATTTAAGTGCTACGGTTGCAGAAGCTCTTAAATACTCTTCTAATAAATATTATTAATATATTTTCCTTTTAATATAAATTATATCGAAGGTCGTACCAACTTCTATTTTATGCTTACAGCTTAATGCCATATTATTCCTGGGTAATTTTTAGTGATGCAACTATACTTCTCTTATCATAGATCAAAATTACTTAACTGTGCATTAATATATGATTATATATCGAAATATCATTCCTTACAACATCTAATTATCTGACAAATGCCATACTTTCTATACACTCATATCGATCTGATTTACACGCGACTGGGGTTATGTACTACTAATATGTGGATATTATACTTGTAATTATAGCTATTGTATTTTAGAGTATAAATCTCATGTCCGAGATTTAATAAATGCGCACAAAGACTTATAAGTGAAGAAGTGAATGCATTGGTAGAGAGTTATAGAGCTTATTAAGAAACCTTTATTTATGGGAGGCTTTTTTACTGAATTTAAACTATCTCGAGCCTTGAAAATTGAGGATGAGCACTTACTATTATTCGTGAGCAATAGACTAATGAGTGCTAAGTTAGCTAGATATATATTTAAAGGAGGAGTATATTAGCCCTAGTATCTCACACATCAACACAATCCTGACAGGATCGTGTTCTTTTGCAAGTCAACTCGGGGACCTACTCCGCCTCATTAAATTATAATGCTTATGATTTGACAAAAAGTAACTCAATACGAGGATAGATAAAAAAGGGAAAAAAAGAGTGTGGGAAGTTAACAGCCCAAATGAAACTCTTCTTAACCATGTAAATTGTATTTGTTTATGTATAATTTGCTTCTCTCTCTTTCTATGTGTGTGTGTGTGCGTATATATTTATTACATATGGATATCAAAGTCAGAAATCGATGCTGACAGTTCACCAAGGGTTGGTCGGTCTTCAAGTAAGGAGGAAATAACCGCATTAAACGAGTTCTTGTCCACCTTTCCACCGGCTCTCACAGTCTCAAGAATAGCAGTCAGCTGGGGTGTTTCTTTAATACCGAGAGTAGTAATCAAACCGAGAATGTCTTCTTCATTTACTGTACTAGCTAAATAAAAGATATACATATAAGAACAAATCGAAAGAAAAATTAGCCACTCAATGTATGTTTATGTGTTATATTTACCATTGTTCTTGTAGAATTTGATTTCGTTAATGTCAGTGACAGAAGAGGTTGAGATGGATGCAGTGGGAGTTGCCATGATGTATTCAGAGTAAAAGAAAAAGATGAAAGGGATGAAAGTATGGGGCAAGAAAAAAGGGCAGCTTTTAAGCCTTAGACGCAACATGTGAAAGTCGGACAATTCCCAGAGTAGGACAGCAACTACTGGATTTAGTAGAGTGTCCTCTGACAACCACACAAAAAGAGAGACTGGCCGAGTCAGCCAAAAACTCCATAATTTATCCACAGGGTTGTACCCTTTCTTTCTTTCTTTTTTTCTTATAGAAAAAACATATGGCTTTATATCAATGAAAAATAAATGCAATTACTAAAAAATAAAGTATTTATTGGAATGTCATGGACAACTTGTTTCCAAAAGCACCTAAAAATGGTTTTCTTTCTTTCTTGTCCTTTTTCCCCTTCTTTTTCTCCTTTGACCTTCCACTCGATGAATGAGTGCTACTACTATTGCTGCTTAACATACTAGCTTTATCGATATCTAGATTAACTGTGGGGGTTGCAGGTGCAGTGACACTTGGTTTTGGTGTCACAGGTGGGCTAAAGGAGTGGTTTGATCTTGTAGAAGGATACCCCTGAGCACTCATGGAGGTACTAGGTCGCAGTACGTGGAAGGCATGGGAACTTGGGGTCAGAGATGGTGTTCGACTCCGAAATACAGACAGTGTAGGAGAAGGGTGTGTGGATTGGTAGTGACTTTGATCATACACTGCTGTTCGTGTATTCGATTCAAACGTTGATGCATACGACGGTTGATGGGAAAGTGTCAAGCTGGTTTGTGATGAAGACATTGAGTAGTGTGATGGAGTAGAATGTGTAAGTCCATAGCTGTCCATAGAACTAGATATACTGAGCTCCGAAGGGATAGACTGTGTTCGTTGTCGAGGGGCAATCGTGTCTTGATGGTGTTGTTGTTGTTGTTGTTGTTGTTGTTGCTGTATTTTCTTGGCTGCAATCATCAATTTAAGTGCACGAATCTGTAAGCTTGTCTGATGCGAGAGAGCAGCAGTCTCAAATATAAAGGGTGCATTTGTCATATTAATAATTTGGTGGAGAGCATGGTTTGTAAGAGTTTTTAATCGCGGAAGATCATACATGTCTGAAATCAATAGTAATTGAAATAAGACAAACGGTTGGTATTGCTGTGCCGTCAGTAAGTTATCGGTATATATGAACTGCAAGAGAGCGATCGAAACAGGGTATGGATATGGAAGTAGCATTGCGCGGTTTTCTCTGGTCTGTTTGAGTAAAGTATTATTTTGAAGGTCCTCTGCTTCTTTTTTGTTGATCATTTTGGCAAAGTATGGCCATCTTTGGCACAGGATTGCCGAGTTAACAAGAATGCTTTGATTGTCTCGAGTGATAATTTTGAAGTCTGACACGGCAGGCTCATTTAATAGGCGGAGGCCCATATCTTGAGCAAGTGATGAACATGTAACTTCTGGTAATTTGTAGATACCAAAGGCTTCCATGTCAACAATAGCAATATGCTCAAAATTAACCTGCCTATTATTGTAGTCGTCCAGCAAAATTCTATCTCGATTACCAAACACCATAAAGCGGTTGGTTTTTTCATGAAGAACACCACGATTCCATGACCCACTGCCAAACACAGGACCAGTCTCGATGCGTGACCATTTAAATGTGTCGAGGTTTAAGGCCCACATTGTATAAGATTGACTTTGGGGGGACAAATATGTGCCAGAAAGTATAAGATAATGGCCCAATACATGTCCGGTGGGGAAGCGTAATCCCGGGGGCATGTGTGTTCCAGCCATTGAAGATGAACAGTCTTTAAATACAGAAGACAACTCGGCAAACACGAGCTGCAGTTCCCGTTTGACGTCTGAAAAGTTGTAGTTCGTATATAGATAAATGGGGTTTGTGCCTTGGGAGGACAGGTAATTACCCTGGGAATGAAGAGGGTGAATGGTGCTCGTGCGATTTGTACCAGGGTGATCCTTGGCGTCTGTTCTATTATCCTGATTTTCTGCTGGCACGCAGGGAATCTGTGCAGACACTGGTGGGGCAATGACAATAGAACGGTAGGCACCGACATGTTTTTCAAAGGTATTTACATGAATCCACTCCCATTTTTTTAAATCGAGTACGTTCATTTCACCCAGATAATTGTTCGACATATCTTGTCCTCCCACAATAACCATTTCATCCCCAGTTACTGTCGATAAATGGGCATATCGTGGCCGAGGTGTGCAAAGAGAAATAGAAATTTCTGGCCTAAACCAGTCCATAGTTTCAATATCGAATACGTTAATATCGTCTAGGACGCACAGTCCATCTTCAGATGCAGGTGAGTGGCCCATGCCTCCAAATACAATTATTTTGTTTTCGTAAATACTCGCAGAATGGAAATAACGAGGGTGTGGCGGCTGTGCAGAATCAGGCGACGGAATATGTCGAGACCACACAAGTGTGGAGAGATTAAGGACATACATGGTGTTTGTCATCTTACGGGATGCCACTAGTCTCCCTGCAAACACATAGACATGATCACCTACGACCGAAATTGAGGCACCAACTAAAGGCGGTGGGACTTCTCCAGTTGTTGATTGTACTTGGGTAATAATTTCAGAAATTGATTGCATTTGTAATGTTGATTGCATTATGTGTGATGATTTCATATAATGATGATTTGTGTAAAAGGTAGTTTGGTGATTATCAACTGGGAATAATGTAGGTAGCTCAAAGATTTGGGAATTGCGATGATCGTGCTGAAGAAGAAAGAGTAAGCACCAAAAGCAGGTAAGTAACCAAAATAGGATGTCTTCTGCTGAGAGTGAAGGAGACCTCTTTGCCATCTGCTTCCACTCTTTCTATTTGTTTATTTCATTGCCAGCATCATTAAAAGTATATATCCCGGGATAATGAGATTTTTATAAGCACTTCAAGAGAAGAGAGGTGTTCAAAGAAGATGACAGCTATTCACTTTGTGTACAATTTGCATTCATTGGCAGGATAGGAATTACTTGCAAGGTTGCACGACATAGTGAACTTCTCATCGTTTACTCCATAAAGAGACACAGCCACGTTTTGACAGTTGCAAAACGTCTTTAGGCATTTCCAATAATAGCTTGAATAGAATGAAAATCCCAAATGTGTATATGAATAGTTTATCTATACCAGGGAGTTCATCTACTTATTCTTTACAGCACATCAAAATGCCTCTTTTAATAAGGCAAGAATATAAATATATAAAGATATATATAAAATAGTTTTGCTAAATAAAATATAAATATATTTATATTCAGGAAAACCAATACAGAGAATAAAAAAAACATAATCCGGACTCCGATGCCAGCGATGAAATCATATTTTAACCACTCAAAGTTTGGCCATAAAAGATCAGTTATTCCCGAATAAAGTTTTTATATATACAATTACAATTACAATTACAAGACGGCCATGCCAGACATTACAGCAAAAGAAACTGAGGAATCTGTATGTAGTTAGACAGACGAACTAGTAATTCACTCAAGATTTTAGAAATCAGCAGAACAGGCCATTACCAAACAAAAGTATGAAGAAGCCAAACTTGAATTACAAAGTTTACTCGCTCGCAAGAAACAAGTTGACACCAATCTGGTATGCCAAAGACCTAATGACATACATGTATACATTCTAATATACAAGCAGATAAATCTTGAGGATTCAATCTACCGTTTCGAGGGATCATATCTTGAAGATACGCAGCACAATGGCAACATAATTCGAGGCTTTGAAGGGTATCTCTCTAGCCGACCTGATAAACGAAAGCCAAAGTTCACAGAACTCGATCGACTTTTTTCACTTTCGTCTTCTACATATCAAAAGGTAATATTAAATAGAGATTATGATGGTTAATTGATGTCATATCAGGCACTTGCCCAAAAGGAAGAAAAGGAACAAGAATCGAGCCAAGACGATCGGTCAATGCACAGTGGAAGTTCTTTGTCAGTTCGCAGAGATAAAAAGCGTAAAAAGTTATCGTCTGGTGATATTCTACGTAAAAAGAAACGTTATGACTCGATAGGAAGAGAATCAGAAGATGAACTTGATGTATAAAATTCCTTGTATCTGTAAATAAAAGCTGAGAGAGCACTGTTAAAGGAGCTCAGTCTACTACAATCTCCGCTGTTTCTTTCTTTATTCCCATGTTCCAAACAGCAGTACTTCAAAACAGGGCATTGGTTGACAAAGTACTCAAGGTACAATATTTATTATTGCCCCGAGGATAATTTATATTAAAGCCGTACTTGACACTCTAGAGCTTCCAGGGAGCAGGTGGCTATGATGCTCATGTTTTGCCAGGGGTAAGATTGGCAAAAGGGGAATTGTATTCAACATTAGGATGGCTGACATGGTTCATCAGCTGAAGATTACTGGTAGTGAGCCAGGTCGCATTACAGCTGAGTTCCTCGTAGAAAAGCAACATTTGGTAAAATAATAAATAAACCAAGACATACTTTTTAAATAAGTTTTTTTTTAACCTAGCCTCTGTCTTAGAATCGGCTCAAATCAGTACACGGAGGACTTTTGGCTACAGTGGTAAGATAAAAATAGTATGTTGATATGAAATTTAAGAATGCGATTACTTTGTTAGGTTGATCTTGGAGGATCATTGGCTATTGCTTCCAAGGGACTATTTGCTACAGGCGTAAGTACAGATATTAACATCAGCTACATATCAGGTGCAAAGGAAGGCGATGTTGTAAAGATGGTAAGAAAAAGAAAAGAAAGATTTATAATCATTGATTTATTTTTATTAATCAATTGATATCATCAGGATGCCAAATGTGACAAACTGGGAAAAACTCTGGCATTCACCTCGATTGAATTGTCGTCAAATGGAAAGCTTGGTATGTTGTTATGTGAATATATACATTATATAAATACCTGATTTCTTCCTTTTTTTTAAAAAAAATGTATATAGTTGCCCTTGGAAGACACAACAAGTTTGTGGCTCAAGCATATGGCGATCCTGAAAATGAGATCCCTCTGAAAAAATAATAATAATATCATTTCCCCACCAAAAAAGGCTAAATAAATATTTGAGATGAAACGAGGAAAACAATACCTCGGTTTCCGCTTGAAATCTTTGGTTTAAATCTACCCGCTTGGTCCAATCTCACTTGAGTAAAGAATTGGGAAGAGTTATCTATGCAAACATAAAGGAAGTATTGTTTAAGCCTCCGCGACGCAACTATAATTTTTTGCACTTGCTTCCTCCGACTGGTTCTTGGCTCTATTTGTTTCTGTTGACGACATATTTTGATTCTTCTTCTTCTTTCTTCTTCTTTTTCTGTAAAGTGGGATTTTGAAGGGATCTCATGAAAGTAGCATATTATCTCTACATGAACCCTTCTTTTAATTCCACAGAACCCTACATTCCATATCCCCGTCGTCAGTCGAATGTAAGGCACACAGATCGGTCCTGTCAGCCATCCTCGGTGGACTCGGTCAAGGTACGGTAGTTAATCTGGAATCGAAAAGAAAGAAATAAAGAAAAAGAGAAAACCAACTGTTCTTTTCTTCAAACACACATACATGTACATGTACATACAGCAATATGCAACTTCCCTCCAAGCTCGTCTTGGATTTGCAGCATTTAAGATGCAGCATGGGTGGGAAAAGAACACACTGCCAGATGTTGAAGGCCTTTGGAAGAAAAGGCGCCAACAGCATTTTATTTCATTGCCAACTCCCAAAGTAACCCAATACGATATCATCGAGCGACGCTCCTACCACAACTTCACGATCAGTCCAAAAAAGAGACGAGAAAAACAGCGGTTAGCCGCACGCCTGAGACCAACCAGTACTAAACCAGCCACCAACCCCCAATTCTGTCAGTTACATTTTCCAGAATACTCCAATAATGAGAAAAAGTTACTTTCTACCAGCTCACAATTCCAGAAACCAGCTGTCATAAATGAGATTCCACATGATTCCAATCTAGATCCCAGCCAAAATCAGTCCATTGATTCCCTTGGTCAAACAGATCTCGATCTGATGAATCAATCTCTGGTTATGATTACACAGGCTATCGTTGCTGCTGTGGAGGAGCTAGCACCAGGACTTGAGCCATTGGCGGATTCATAAACTCAAAAGAGATTTATGAAATTCTCATGGGCGAAATAGATACATGCAAATGCACGAAGAGGAATCTGACATGATTGGTAATCCCAATCATTTACCATTAACAATTTAAACCCACACATACACGCATACACATACGCATACACACGGACGTTGACATATACTGCATTATCAAGTATATTATAATTAACTGTATGTCTATGGATTCAAGGGCTCAGGAACCACAAAGCCACAAAGCTCTCGCATAATATCATTTGTGGATCATTCGTATGCATGTTTGTAAATAGCCATTCTTCATTTTATCACTTTTACTTATAAGTAATATACACATACAAACACACAATCGATGCGGTCTTATGAGATTTTATCATTCTATTTCTTTTTGCATACTATTTTCATATGTATATATTATATGTATAAAACAAGGAACTGAAGGCACTGTTTGCCAAATTAGCGGCAGTTAAATCGTAATCTACGTCACTTGATAGTTTTGCGGTGATTAAATATTTATATGGTGCATGTAGCTCTTCGTCTTTCATTGAAAGAGAGCACACTCATCTCAGCATTGCGAGCAAGGCCGACAACGAGCGCACAATGAACAGCCTTAATGACATTTCACAGCAAATCCTCGCTAGGCTGCCGCTCTTCAGGCTCAAGGGTAAGCATCCAAGCCTCCGCTTAGCAACCACGCAGATTTTAGACTTTTTGATGCCAATGCCACGCATTGAAAGACCTCATCAAGGCAGTTCGAGCCTGTAAGACCGCGGCAGAAGAGCGAGCCGTTGTCCAAAAAGAATCCGCAAAATTGCGTACTGCAATCAAGGAAGAGAATAGCGATGCTCGCCACACTACCGTGGCAAAATTACTCTACATCTACATGCTTGGATACCCTGCACATTTCGGCCAGATGGAGTGTCTTAAACTCGCAGCTAGTCCAAAATTTGTCGACAAACGCTTAGGTTATCTCGGTATTATGCTGCTCATCGATGAAAAAACCGAGGTTCTTACACTCGTCACCAACAGCTTGAAAAAGTAAGGAACTAAAATACGCACAAATCAATAGGGATATTGAAGGATATTCTGCTTTTAGTGATTTGAACCACCACAATATGTATATTGTTGGTCTAGCCCTGTGTACATTGGGAAATATCTCATCTTCCGAGATGGCTAGAGATCTATGCTCTGAAGTTGAAAAGTTATTGGGAAGCTCCAACACCTACATCCGCAAAAAGGCAAATGATGGCTATATATATTATCTCAATCAATGTTTTTAGTTCTTATCATTATTATATGTATGTATATGTTAATAGGCTGCTCTTGCTGCCTTGAGAATAATCCGACGCGTACCCGAGCTTCACGAAAACTTTATTTCAAAGTCAAAGGCGTTGCTCAATGATCGTAGTCATGGTGTTCTTGTTACAGGTGTGACACTTATTACAGAGATGTGCCAACAACACCCAGAGAATGTCCAGCTTTTCAGAAAGGTATATATGTGGATCTCCAAGAACTTAAAGTAGCTTATTATCCCCTTTTAATCACAGGCTGTCCCTCTCCTTGTCAGACATCTCAAGAATCTTGTAAGCGCTGGATTTTCTCCAGAGCATGATGTTACAGGTGTAACCGATCCATTCTTGCAAGTCAAAATTCTGCGCCTTATGCGTATCTTGGCTAAGAATGATCAAGAAGCATCTGATGCAATGAATGATATTCTTGCTCAGGTTGCCACTAACACTGAAAGCACTAAGAACGTTGGAAATTCGATTCTGTACGAAACTGTACTCACAATTATGGAGATCCAGAGTGAGGCCGGTTTGAGAGTACTTGCTGTTAACATCCTTGGAAAATTCTTGAGCAACAGAGACAATAATATTCGGTACATAATCTAACATTATGTTAATATATCAGATGGGTAGAATACTAACTTTAGATATAGATATGTTGCTTTGGAAACGTTAAATAAAACAGTCGGTATGGAGACCCAAGCAGTACAGAGACATCGCAATATCATCCTTGACTGCTTACGTGATGGTGATATTTCCATTCGCCGCCGTGCTCTCGAGCTTAGTTTTGCACTTATCAACGAGGGAAATGTACGCGTCTTGACAAGAGAGCTTTTGGCATTTTTGGAGGTTGCCGATTCCGAGTTTAAGCAGAGTATGACATATAAAATATCTCTGGCTGCGGAGAGATTTGCTCCGAACAAGAGATGGCACATTGATACTATGCTGCGTATGTTGAAGCTGGCTGGAAACTTTGTACGGGAAGAAGTTCTTGCTGGATTTATTCGCTTGGTTGCACAGTCCTCAGAATTACATCAGTATACTGTTCAAAAGCTTTACGCTTCTTTGAAGCGTGATATTTCGCAGGTTTGTTTATTTGCATTATTTTTTTAGGAAATAGGTTTGTATATTTAATGGTTTAATTGATTTATATATCTTTTTGGAAACAGGAAGGTCTTGTTTTAGCGAGCGTGTGGGTTATTGGAGAATATGGTGATGTGCTTACCACCAGCGGAAGCTTTGAAGACGAGAATGTAACAATGGAGGTATAGTACAAGACTAACTCTATTGACAGAGTTGTATGTTTAAGGTGCCAAACAATATTTAAATATTTTTTCAGGCTAATGAAACGTCTGTGGTCGGCCTTTTGGAATCTATTCTTATGGGTCCTTATGTTAACCAACTCACCCGCGAGTATGTCATGACAGCCCTTATAAAACTTTCATCTCGATTGAATGAGGCTTCAGTACAAGCCAAGATAAAAGACATCTTACAACGTCACACAACAAGCATGGAAGTGGAAATTCAGCAAAGAGCTGTGGAGTACATGAATATGTTCTCTTTTGATGATATTCGCCCTGCTGTTCTCGAACGTATGCCTGTCCCTGAGACCCGTACTATTATTCAAACAAACAACAACGGCCCTGATAGCCCTGGTAAGCTAAATACTTAAATAGCTGTCTCTGCTTATTTAGCTGGGAAACTGTGCCAATTTATTCTTACGTGTGTGTACATATAGCTTTGGAGCGCTCTTCTAACAGACCAGGACCTAGCGACCAAGACGTAAGTTAATTTCTCACAGAAATTTATATTAGTTAATACTTATTTATCTTTTCTTTTAAAAAATAGCTTCTTTTGGATTTGATGGGTGTAGGAACAGCGTCCGGTGGAGGATCCAATGATGTTATGGAAGCATCCCCTCAAGTTCAAAAGGCAACAATTCCCCAGAAGTCTCAAAATTCTGATCTTTTGGCCGATCTGTTTGGAACCAGTGGGTCTTCGGAACAATCCACCTCATCTCCTGCCCCTGCTGCTGCAAGTGGTGGTAGTGCGCTGTTGGATTTGCTGGGCGATATAGCAGGAGAAAAATCAACGCCTGCTGCTTCTACACCACCACCCTATGCAACTGGACTGGATACACTTGCCTCACTTGGACAGTCATTGCCAAATTCGAGATCTCCTGAGTTGAGTGGGGCAGGCCTCCAAGCAAACAATAGTCTGCCTCCAGTTTCTAATGGGCATCAGGCTTATTCTAAAAATGGACTCACCATTTCATTTGTTCCCTCGAGGGACCGCAACAATGGATCAATCATCAATATTCAGGTTCACTTCCAAAATAATGGTTCTCAGGGAACTATTTCAGGCTTACAGTTCCAAGCAGCTGTCCCCAAGAGTCAAAAGTTGCAAATGGCAGCAGCTAGCAACAGTACAGTAGATCCTAATTCAACTGAAAAGCAACTTATGCGGATTCACAACCCACAACAGGTATTGTGTATTTATGTATTAATACTTTTATTAATCATAATTTTATTGATATGTATGTAGACGGCTGTAAAATTGAGATTACGTATATCTTATATCCTGTCCAGTACTGGACAAAGGGTGGATGACCTTGCAGAATTTGGACCATTCCCTGAGGGTGCTTTCTGAGGTTAATCGCATATCCCCGAACCATGAAAATTTAATGATTTGTACTGATACGAAATAAAATGTTCACAAGATTTTATCACGGATAACCTAATACTATACTCATATTCAAAGTAAAATTATCTGACTTATCAAATAATAAAAGTTATTCTAGATGAAATAAAGTATAAATATGTTTATTTCCAACTACTTTCAAATGGTAAAATTGGATAAAGATATTAGTATTAAAGCTAATTAGTGTATTCAAGTAAAAACATATCTATAATGATCATTTTTATGCATTATAAAGTCTTCACAAAAATAATCATACAATTACCCAGTGTAAAGCACTGTAAAAAAATCGTGAAAATATCAAATAAATTAGACGCTTATTAGCAATATAATTTTACAATTCTTTGTATATATCCTGCTCTTACATCTTGCCTTATATTGTGTATAAGCAATAATTCTTACAAAAACTATTACATGTATATATTTCTTATAAAAAGAAGGAAACAATTTCAATATTAATAAACTACTTTGGGTAATATAGTGTTAAAGTGGTTATTTTATTAAACACATGTTCTCAATCTTATACCAATAGATTTCCTTTTTTTTCTCCTAACCAATGCATGTTATATTGCTTTCCATAAATATAAAGCCAGTATTTCTTGGGTAAAAGAATTAGCTTAGATAGACTTTATAAATACTACAAAGATTTGTATCAATAAAAACGCATTCATTTCTCTGCTATTTCTATCTGTTCCTATTTATTCACTATGTCCTAATTAGTGGTAATCTACTATAAAAACTTATACAAGTTGAAATAAAAGAAAGGTATAACCAGTCGAGACTTGACAGATGTCGTTCCAGATCTGGGTTGGTCTTCCTTTTACTGTAACAAAGTCAAAAGGTCAAGCCCACCGGGGATCAAGGAGTATACTTAAAATCAAAGAGAGGATAAAAGATACCTTTTATTGATAGGAATTGAATTGTCTTATATAGTTTTCTAAACTAATACTGCGCATAAAGAAGTACTGCAGTTAACTATCTTCAGATTTTACAAATTAATCAAAATAACGTCCTACAAGTGTCGGACATTATTTTGATGAATCCGAGAAATCGGGATAATTGACCGCAGCAGTTCTGTATGTCAAAGATACCTCATAGATAACGAACCGCAGTAATGTCTTGTAAAGATTAACCACAGTAACATCTTCTGAGCATCAACCGCAGTAAAAGGACTTCTCTTGTAATTAAATATAGTATAATAGTTTACTGCGGATAATGCGCAGTATTAGTTTAGAAAACTATATAAGACAATTCAATTCCTATCAATAAAAAGGACCTTTTATCCTCTCTTCGATTTTACATATACTCTCCGATCCCCAGTGGGTTTGACCTTTTGACTTTGCTATAGTAAAAGGAAGACCATCCCAGATCAGGAACGACAAGAGAACCAGACTAAGTAGCAACAAAAATAAAAATGTAAGCATGATGTGAGACTACCAGGGGTCGAACCTGGAATCTCCTGATTCGTAGTCAGACGCCTTGTCCATTGGGCCATAGTCCCATACTTTTTTGGGTAACACTACAGTATTATACAAAGTACATATTATATGGCATATTATATACAGTAGGAAAATATTATAGTATCCACAGGTTTATATAATTAAAATATTTAAGTCAAACTAAACACACATATTTAAATGAGATAATTTAGACCATTTATAATAGTTTATTTAAATCTGAAGTCGTATCATTTTTATTAGAGTGTTTCAGCAGTTTTAGATATTTCAATTTTACTTTTGCAGTAACTCAATATATAGGCCAATAATAATTGATATGAAAATAAAATTATAGAAAGCTTTTATATTTCTGTTGTAAATGAGTATTGACTACTGCTGTAATTGAGAATAAGTCTGAAGAAAATAATATAAGACCTCAGCTATTCCAGTCAAAGGTGTCTACTGATTACTGTATTATTTAACACACAGGTTTAGCATGTATGATAGTGATTATACTTCATATAATGATATCACCATAATATGAGATACATCAGTGGATTATTATAAGCATAATTATAACTCATAAACATATTTACTTTCGATGTTAATACTTCATTGGGACTACACACATTTATATAATTAATCATACATTAATTATCCCCAGATTACGTTGCTCTGATTAAGGCTCAGATAGGATCGATTATCTGACCCCAGTCATATAATTTTCCCAATCTAAAATAATATAAATAGCAGTAGTAGTTCAGTGTAGGAACCTTGTCAAACTTTGATACAAAATCTTTTCTCAATAAATAAAACCTGCACAAGTTTTCACAAATCTTTAATTCTTCCTCTTAAAAACTTCTTCAACTTCAACCATTACAACAGTAAGAAAAGTAAGACATATTCCTATTACAATGACAGAGACTCGTGTTGACTTTATCCCAACAAAAACAAATAAGATACTAAGTGCAATCACAAGGATAAATACACTGATCAACTATCTGTAAAAAAAGAAACAGGAGACGGATATCAGCGTATTCTTAGAAGAGCAAAAGCTTATTCAACTGCAGTTCCACATATCTACAAGGCAATGCCAATATATTATGTATGAAGACGGCATTGTAGAGACAAACTGAGAAAGATTGAGTAGTCAACAAAAGTTGTACTACTTCTTGAGACTCAAGGAGTTAATTTTGAAATACCAATTTGTTTTACACAAATTCAGAGGTCAATGAGTTGCTGTTCTTCTCCTTCAAGAAGTGATGAAGACTGAACACCAAATGGAGAAGTGACAAATTATACATATTAAATTTAGTGTCATACAAGATATTTCATTAATACTTTTCTTTATTAAAAAATATGCTAGCAAAGTTAAGCAGAGAAGTTCAAGAAAAAGAGTTGAGGTATGTATAGATTATTCAAATGTAAAACTTAATATACTGACTAAACTATATTTTTAAAAGTAGTCTTGGTGAGGCAGAAAGTAGTGTGGCAGTCTCACCATCAAGAAGAAACATGTAGAGCCATCGAATTTATTTATTTTTTGAACTCCCTGTTATTTCCGTCTTCCAGAACAACAATAAAAAATTCTCTTTACAACCTCTCTTTTTTTTTTAATTAATGACAAATCGACTCATTTCCTCTACTTTTTTCCATTACTTTTTCTGTAATCACATTCAAACAACATGCACCACTCAAAATTTAAGACACTTTTGATATAAAATCACTACAATTGTGTTTTGATTTTTAAAAAAAGACTAATGCAACTAGAAAAACACATTTTTTTGCAGTTTTTTTTCAAGCAGCTACTATATAATATACTCTCAACTTCCTTTCACAAAATACAGCCAATGTAAGTTACAGGCTTACTAAAGTGATATTGTATAGGATATATTAAATAATCTGGCTAGCTATCAATCAGTAGGTGCATCTAATTACTTGGGGCTTGTGCTGCAGTATGGTAGCTACCAGACAATCTTTGAATACAAACAAATTATAAGGGTATGCTTATGGGGCTATATGTATTTACTTTATACATTAACTTATTTTTGTAGACTTTGACTTTAATCACAATTACTTGAAGCTATTAATGAATATACTTGAGGTAATTACAAAAAAAATACTTTTAAGTATGTGTGTTCATAGTATTCTTTATTTTAGCTTTACACAACACTGAAACAGGATTGCTTGAACATTCTTTTAATAGAAAAGCATCAACAATTATAATTCATAACAAAGAATTCCGTCATCCATAACTGATATATCTAAAGGTATGTATTACTTGTATAACTAATATATGAGTTAGTATATGTGCAAGATATATTGCTAGTATTATTATTAAGCTTGTATATGAATATGCATTATTATATGCTATGTGAAAGACATAGTATACCATATATTATATTGCATAGTCCATTGTATAGTATATCATATAGTACATTATATAGCCTATTATATATTTCTATTGTATATCCCACTGCGCAGCAAGCATATGAATAAAAATAAAATCCATCAATTTTACTACCAATTTTTCCATATATGGATGTACTACCAATATGTTTGAAACTAAGCCAATCAAGCATGCTGCCTTACTATTCAGTAAATTAGTGGCAATACCACTATGATTAGTGGCAAGCATAGCTCATTTACTACTAATTTCCTCTGCTTTAGCATAGTGTGGTCATTCACCAAATTTCATGCAAATTAGTAGTATTGCCACACCAATTTCATTTATAGTGATCAAGTTCATTTATAAATAACAATTGAGTAAATTTGAAGCAATCCAAAATAGGATGTGTGGAATATCAAGAATTAAAATCCCATTTGGATGATTCTCATAAATTTATTCAAAAATGAACAAGTAGTCACCCTCTCTACTGTATATATATTGTTCTTTTTTTATAAATAAAAAGTGTTTTTTATAAAAACATAATCTGCTTTTCTTATTATATCTTAGTTTCTTAAGGCTTTCTTTCTTTACTACACTATAACAAAAAAAAGGGTCACTGCTGGAGTCACTATTGGGGTCACTTTAGGGGTTACTTTAGGGGTCTTTTTTCATTTGGACCCCTATTTTAACTCTTTACTTTTATGGAGCAAAATGTATCTCTGCTCTTTTAAGGATGTAGAGTTTTATTCACATATCAATAAACTTTTTGATAGGTTATAGTTGTCTTTTTATTGGTACTTATATACTCACAATCAAAAACGTTTCGACCCCCACAAAAAATGCCTAAAAAAAATCGAAAAAATAAAAATAAAAACATTGTTTTCTCCCAATATTATTAATCAAATCCAACATGCAAGACGCAAATTCATCAGAAAACACCCACGGATCATATGAAAAGGCTGATCCCTATAAATACAGATGCATCATGTACATGCATTTAGCAAATTATGGGGCGACCCAGATTTCATTGGTGGTTGGCATGAGTCTGTCAACTATCAAGTGCATCATTAAGAGAGTGGACAAGACAGGATCGCCCGAGCCAAGAAAAGGGTCCGGACGACCTAGAAAGATTGACGAGAGGACAGAAAAACACCTTGTTCAAATAGTTCATAAGGACCCCTTTGCTTCATTTTCTAGGCTAAGGGCTTCCTTAAAGAACATGGAGGTATTTGTCTGCAGAAAGACAATAATCAGTTGTCTGAAGCGTTTGGGCTTTGGGTCATATATTGCAGCTCGCAAGCCAACTTTAACCGAAAGCCACAAGAAAAGAAGGCTGGAATGGGCCTGTGAGCATGTGAATTGGACAGATGACCGGTGGAGAGGTGTAGTGTGGTCAGATGAATCGCGGTTCACAGTTGAGGGTAATGATGGAGGAGCTAGAGCTATCAGGAAAGTTGGTGAAAGGTTCAAGGAAGAAAATATCATCGAAGGAACCAAGTGGGGGAAGGGTAGTGTGGTGATCTGGAGCTGTTTCTGGGCTGGTGGTTTTGGCCCTTTGGTGTTCCTAGATGGTAATGTAAACCAAGACCAATACATGAACACTTTGGCTCAGAACTTCCTCCCTTGGTTCCAAAATCTTTTGCAGGAACAAAACAGGAGCTTCGCGTTTCAAGTGGACAATGTCAGCTGTCATACTGGGTCGTACTCAAGGTGGTGGAAAGATAGCCATGAGATCCAAGGTTTTGACTACTGGCCCGCTCAAAGCCCAGATCTCAACCCCATCGAGCATCTCTGGTGGGCTCTCGAGAGGCGCATGAGTGATGAGAGGGCCAGTATTAACAATGTTGAAGATCTGAAGGTTGTAATGCAACAAGAGTGGCGAAGGATAGGTCTCGAACTTTCATCAACTTTGGCCGGAAGCATGCAGTATCGATGCCAGGCTGTAATTGAGGCCAAAGGAGGTCATACAAAATATTGATCTTTTATTTTTTTCTATATTTCAATAATAAACATATATATAATCTTTTATTTGAAGTTTGAATGCTTTAGCTTTTATTACTGAGGAGCAGTTGCATGTTGAATACATGCCATGATTTCTCTCATGCATTTTTTGGGCTCAGAGGTCGAAACGTTTTTGATTGTGACTGTATATGAGAGCCTTTTTAAACTTTACTTTGATTGGGCATTAGCTTCATTCAAAGTATATACACTATAGGAAAAAAGAGATATTTTTTGTAATTGTGACTTCATTTTCGGCCTATAATAATTAAAAATCACCAAAAAACTAAAATGAAACAAAAAATTCCACCACCACAAAAATTGGAATCAAATATGGTAGTGTAGTACCCAAACAATATTATTGGTCCAGAGAATTTTTCTTTCTATAATTTCGTGAGTTAAATTTTTTTCTTCTAAATAAAGAAGGAAAGAAGGTTTGGTCTTACTTAAAAGTTTTTTGATCACAACAAAAAACTGTTCAAGTAAGACAAAATATTGAAAAAAGAAATGCAGAGGTTTTATTGAGTAATAAAAAAATAATTCTGTTAAAATTTGGTAAAGGCAACAATTTTCAGTATATAAAACGACTATATCAAAATTTCAAATAAGAAAAAATATACGATTTTTTTGTTTCTTATATAATATTAGTAAAGAATACCTAGCACAAACAATCTTTCTAAGACACAACTCAACCCAATAAAGATATAAGTATGTACACATATCTTCCATTAATAAGCTACAGCTGTATTTTCAATTATTTACTGTTAGAATATACCTCTTTAACTTATAAAAATAAGGCAAACCGAGAGAGAATGACTTAGCATTTTATTTAAAAACATTTCTACGAGTTGCAACATTGATATTAAAAGCTAGTAGACTAATGAGAATTCTTTAAATCAATTTTGAATAAGTGTGAGATTATGCCCTTCGCGTTGTTTCTTACTCTACTTTACCAATAAAAGTTTGTTCATTACGTATGTTTACATCTAGTATATATTTTTTTTTTAGGAAACGTGTCTATATATTCTTGTTTTTGAGGTATGTATAATAGAAAAGCAATATTGTACTTTGTGATGCAGTTATTCATCTCGGATTTCATTAGCTAGCAATTAGCCTTTTCATCATCTGTTCAAAATGAGTTAAGAGATAATAACTGCACACCTAATTTACAAAGTAATTGAATACTAATCATCTTTTATTCATTTTCACTTGTAGAGATTATAACTTTTATAAAATTCATCTCGGCAAACTCAAAGGTAAGCTTTCATTTGACTTATATTTTTATACTGGAAATACTCATTCATATTTATATTTTACTAGATTGCTCTTGTACTCCACTATTACAGGTGTTCTTAGGTGCTTTTGTCTTCAAGTATCATGAGCAATGTGGACTCCAAGATCCTATCTTTATCTTAGAATAGCTAGATTTGATTTACTATATATTCCTGTTTATAAATTATATGGTATAGCTATAGCTTAGCATTTTTTCTACTTTGAAACAAAAAATAAAAACCAATTTATTTGAAACATAATTTTTTTGAACCATTTTTGATAATTTAAAAAACGTATTTTTAAATCCATGATTTATTTCGACCAGAATTTATCGCAGATACTTGTGTCTATATATGGACATGTAAGGTACATCTATATTCCTATACAAGAAATTTCTCTGGTGGTTATTTGTTAAAGAGCGGAGTTATACACTAATCCATAACAAGCAGGAGGTGAAAAAGTGGGTAAGTCAACTTCACCCTCCTGGGCGGCCCCCTGGGCGGACCCCCAGTGAACCCCCGGGAGCACCTCTTTTTTTCCTGTAGTGTAAGAATTAATAGAAAATAATAATAATATTTTAATTAATAAGTATTAAATAAATTGATAATAGAAATTACAAAATGGAAATGTAGCTACTAATACATAAAATTATAAAAGTTTACTTTACTTATATATTATAGATATATGTTTATATTATATATTATTTAATATAGCTTTAAGTAAATGTATATTGTATTTAAATATAATAAAAAATTGATTTATCATATACTTGAACTTTGCAAGACAGTTAATATTACTATTGGCTGAACTGTAAGTACTTTAATATATTTTATTCAAAGTATAAAGAGTCGCGGTTTTCTATTAAAGTCAGCCTTGATATATTTTAAGAATAATGAGTCAATAAGCTATTCATATTATATTTAAAGAATCCTACTATAAACTGTTTTGAATACTTATTAATAGTGTTTCCTTTCTTAAACAATTTATAGAATATTTAATAAGAACACAGTTTAAAATACAAGATACTAGTAAAAGTGCAGATGTGAGCAGAAAACATATCAAATGATTAAAATAAGCAAAAAGAAAAAAAGAAAAATAAGATACAGTTATTCTTTTTAATATGAATTTAGAAATATATGAAAAAGAAAACAAACAAAAGTTAGTGCTTGTATGCTCTGATAAAAATTGAATAAAAATAAATATAAAATTACACTTTTTATAGCTTACAGTATTTACTATTGATGAATGTAATAAATACCTTTATACTTATGATAAGTATATATAAATTAAGACCAGTAGTTACTTGATATCAAAATGCATATTATTATAATGATAGTAAGTATGTTATTTTTTACTGAGTTCATCGTAAACATCAAAGGTTCACTGTGTTTCCTAAGAAAATGTATAACATCGAGTTTAAATAAAAATTATATATAAAAATAAATAAATCGTGTTTACAGAATGATAGACTTTACTACTGATTATAACAAGTATTTCTTTAAGATATTTACTCTACTTTATTCCAAAAATATTTACACATTTTCAAACAACTAGAAAAATCATATATTGTACAGAATATTAAAGCTATACTCTTTTTTGTTTAAAACTAATATTTGTGATTACAAGAAGTCTCTACTTAAATAGAAATATTCATATCTCACAATATGCAAATTAAAAAAATCTTTTCTCTTTTTTACATCAAAGAAATAAACACGCAACAATATGACTGCAGTAAATATGAAATCACAAAACCTCTTGGTATACACTCAAAATAATATAACTTCAAATATTTTATCCATGGACTTGCTTTTCCATTTACATTTATTATATAAAAATAGATTGAAAATATGTAAAATTTACTTTATTTAGAAAAAGTGTATTATATATAAAGTATTTGCTTTTATTTAAGAATACAGCATATTTAATATAATTTTTCTAGTGTAATTTACAATGATATTAAAGATGTGTAAAATAAAAAGAAAAAATTGATGCTAGTGTAATTTTTCAGCTAAAAAAAAGCAGATTAGAAATTACAACCGAAAATAAAATATCATTTTTTTTTAGAATTTAATTACATTAATATAACTATCTCACATTATTAAATTGGTAGTCTTTTGCAGTGAATGATAATAATAATAATAATAATACTAATTTAATTGAAACAAATCACCTCAAACGAATCTCTACAGAAAGAAAGAAAGGTAAAAGAAGTGCAAACGTACAAAGATAAAAAATTATAAACAATGTATTTATTTTAAAGCCACAATAGCAAATAAATGGGAAAAATTGAAACATGAAAAAAGAAGAGAAAATGCATCTTTAATTAAAACACTGACAAAATCGAAAAGACCTCTTTCAGAAGCTACCCTCTGTTATAATAATGCACAGAGGTTATTATTCTTAATAAACCAAACTGATAAAGATTTTCCTATTTTTTAGTAAGAAAGTATTTGTTGAATATCTCTCTCTATATTAAATATTCATATCTTCTAGCCTTTATATTTTATGTAGCTATTCATTCTATTGTATTCCTTATTATATACATATATAGCTATTATGAAATACAACTGATTAGAGTAGCATTTACTGCATAGCTATGTTTTGTAATGTATCAATATAAAATACACAAGCCCAATAAGATACACTATCTATGTTATCCTATTAAGTATATAGTTCGCACTTGAAAAACTATGCAAAACTAAATAGATGATACATTTGACTGATATGGTTAATTGAGGGTCCAGAAAATCTAAAACTGCATGTTATTTTACCAACTCAAATTTAAAATAAGAACAAGCAGAAAATACATACACTACTTTATAAATACTTATTACTCAGTGACATATGTTAGCCAATAATTTTACGATAGTCAAAACGTGCCTGAAAGGTCAATCTATGACAAAGAGCTAAGTTTGACTAACATAAGATCATGCAATATGTATCTTAACTTAAGAATTGATTACTAGAAAACGTTACTTTTGTTAATTTTAAATAAAGAAATATATGTGCGTGGTGTTGATGATTTTATTATTATCATTATTATACAATGTCATGCCATGATTTTTGTTTTGGAACTGTCTATCAAATTTGAAGAGCTTTAAAAGAGTCTATTTTTTTTAGGTTCTTTTTTTTTTGGAGATACTATAAGCATTATTTATATCCTCTTGCGAGACGTGATTTTTAATATAGAAACAAATCATCATAAGCCATGTCAGAATCGGAAACCCCACACCTCAAGGGCTACGCATTCAAAGTTAGAGTCGTTGCCGAGTGACGGATTTCCGAATGTAGCACATGACTCTGTGTGCCCATGCATCAAGTCAGAATGAATCCACAGTCCAAACTGGCCATTTCTATTAAATAAATAAATATATAAGAATATGTTTTTTTTTAAAACAAGACCATGCTATATATACCCTCCACCGAGTGCAATACAGTTTTGATTGGAGAATATAAGGTAGTTATTCGCCATTGTCCAAGGGTAGACCTCTACTTTTTGACAGTTGGGTTCAATTTTCCAGAGAAAACTAAGGGAGTATTTATATGAGCTGACAATATTCACCGGCGGATACTTTTTTTTTTAAAAAAAATATATATATTTTATTTAAACTTGCCATTCACCTGATCCATAATAAAGTGAGCCTGATTGAAAAGGTTCAGATATGTATGCCCCAAAGGTCTATATTAGTATAAAAAACCATGTTTGTAAGGGAGATTTCACGCCGAATTTTGTCACTATTCCGAGAGTTTCTTTTTTCTATTTTGCTGCTTACCTCTTCTTCCGAGTTTTCAAGAATTAATAGACATGGTCCCTGATCCTTGAGGCAGCTATAGAAAGTATTTAGACTTGCGCCATGTTGATCAAGGCTGTACAAGAGATCCCATTGTGTTGATGTAGCAATGCGGCTAGGTAGATGTGATCGAAGCTAAAAGAAGAATATCTTAGTTAATTTGTGAAATTCTGCAAAAGTAATAATCTAAAAATAATAAAGAAATGAAAATTTAGTAATTTTTACTTATTCGCACGTTTTCAGCCAAGTTTTTATCAAGACATTCATATGTTTGGGAGTCTCGATGGCCAAATTTAATTGGTGGCAGACAAGGTGCTCTTAAAGGTGGGTTATGTTCATGTAAATTTAAACTGTCGGATATAGAAGAGGCCGATGATATGCTTGTGCACTCGCTCAGTGTTTGCTTTGGTGTCCAAGATGGAGAGCACATTGGTTTCTTTAAATAGCGGCTGAGCTCAGAAGATACTGCGTATGTGTTCATGGTGTTTATAGAGAGTGAAGAATGTCTTCCCTGTTCTGAAAGCTGGTGACCAGAAGTAATTATTGTTGTTGTAGAGTCGACTTCCGATAGAGATGGAAGACTATAAAATCTAGTGCACTGGATTGGAGATGTATCAACCTTAGAGACTATTGAAGCCTTTTCGGTTGCTCTAAGTAGAAGATGTTGTCCTTGACGGATAGTGTGTAATGATATACGAGCCATTGAGATAGTGATACAGCAAGAAGAAAGAAGAAGAAAATTACGAGACTTTTATAAGCCCTAGAAAAAATAATGTCGACATTATATCGGAAGCTCGTGGGAAATCCCGATGCACAGACCCCCTTTGGAGGAGAACGGAAGAGGGGGGGAGGTGGGGAGAAGGTATCAGCCACCATCAAGCCAACTTCTAGTCTGACTATTTGGCTTGTTCAAATCATGATATTGTATTTGTAGATTTTCTTAAATTAGCCATTGCGTCGAGACAATAAATATAAGATAAAGATAAAGGTAAATATAAGATAAAGGTTGCGTTGTAGGCCATTCATTGTGCCATTATTGACCACATGTATTCTAGTATGCTGTTTCAAAAAGGCAAAAGGTAAATAGAAAACCAAGACTAGTAAAGTGAATACAAGCCAATTGTTGTTGTTTCTGTTGTTACTTTTTTTTTGGTTTTCCGATCGCATGTTGTGAACTACAAAATTAAAAAAGAAAAAAAAAGAAAAGCACAAAACATCATGTGCTTCACAAGAACACCTCTTGAAATTCACTCAGTGCACAGGAGCCAAAAAAAAAGTTAATTGACAGGCGTGATTAGAGGGAAAAGGATGCCTTATTGATCGCCAATTTGGCACCGTAGAGCGCTGAGGTATTTGTGTTTGCAAAAAACTGAAAATATAGGCTGAAACACAAGGGTATTACTCGATTTAAAGCGTCTCTTTGTTTATTTGTTTGCTTAATTATGGTTATAGTTACAGTTACAGTTATAGTTATAGATATTATTAGGACTAAGTTTGAGCTGTAAAGAAAGAAGAGGAGAATGAAGAGCAAGAAGAAAAAGAAAAGGAAGAAGAGTAAGAGGGATATACTTGTATTTGTCTATATTATTACTAGACCTTTATTACCCCTAGTTGTTTCTTTGGTGGTTTCAATTGTTATAAATTATTCAGGAGGTAGACACACACCCACACACGCTATTTATATTTGTCTTTCTGGGTTTTGTTAAAAGACTATAGAGTTGTCGTACGGCTTGGCTTAACAAATGTGTTATTCAAGACAAAGAACCTTAATCATCCCCTTGCTATTAGCAGCAACAATTCGGGTAGAATTATTTTTCCAGCACAGAGAACTAACGAATACTGGGGGCTCTGTATCACCAACCTCATTGCCCTTGAGTAGTGTGTAAGTACAGAACTTACATTCTTCCTTTCTCTCCAAAAATTATACCACATCAAATCAGACTTACTATCATATTGTCCACGTCTGGGAATCTGTAATTAGCAACAGGTATTCTGGAGCCTTTGTAGTACATGTACAGCGTATTTGTCTCACTCCCGCATGCGATCCAATCCTCATTAAGCGAAAGACCAACAAAGTTTTTCTCGTTTTGATGTCCGGTAAAGGTTCTTATGCAATCTTTAGACTCAAGATTCCACAGTTTGAGTGTGTTGTCGGTTGAGCTGATTTGATCTACTATAGTCAGAATCTTGTTTCTATTATATTCAATTTAATATCAACTTACGCAGATACTATTTCATCATTGCTTGCCCACTGTACATAAGAGACTGCCTTTCTGTGACCCTTAAAGACACGAAAAGGCTTGTTTGGAAACCTAAGATCATAGCAGCTGATATTGTGGTCTAGAGCGTTTGAGCCAAAAAAAAAACACAAGTAAGATTCGAGAACAAAGAATGCCCTCTTTGTCTTTCTCTCTCTTCTTTAATGCACACACACACACACACACGCACCTGCACTACCAACCGCCAGCTTGTAGCTACTGTTGGGGGCAAATTTGGCACAACACACATTGCCTTTTTGTCCTAGCGTGTGAACAGACTGGCGCATTTGAGTGGACCATATCTTAACAGTAGAGTCATCACTTCCAGAAGCAAGTAAAAGTGGATTAGCCGAGCAGGTATCCACACTCCACACACGACGTTTGTGTTCATTAAATGCCCTAATGCATGTTCCGGATGATGCATCCCAGATATTCACAACCCCTTCATAGTCAGAGCTGGCTATTTGGGATTTGATATATGTATTCCATGAAAGACAGCTACCGCAAATTAATAACAGAAATACACTAAGTATGTCATCCCCACACAAAAGAAAACAAGCCATGAGAAGTTCAACAAATCTAAGCTCACCTTATTTTGTGGCTACATCGCATGATTCTTACCGGACAATGCATGATCGAAGAAGGCCTGAACCTTCCAACATATCCTCCTCCTGAGCTCTCATTATCAGACGCATTGGAGTTAAATATCCTTGCCGGAACATCTTGACCATCTTCGGTACTCTCAGCAAATTCATTCTCGGGTATGCTGGTATTCGGAGCACTACCATCACCCATCATGCTGAAATCATATATCTTGATCTCTTTTGTCACACCGCCGACTGCAAAGTATTCATCATCACGATCAAACTCAATGGACGACACAATTGAAGAGCTAGCCGCAATATCAGTGTAATATAGTGTATCGAGCACCTTGAATTGACTGTAGCGTGTTACTTGGTACAACATCGACGAGAAATTATCGATGCTCTCGGGTGTGCGTGTGCTTCCACATGTGCCAAGATACAGTTCACGAAGATCCTCAAAGCGGTCTTCGATTCTTTGTTTCTTTTTTATAACTTCGTTTTTAGCAATACTTTGTTCAGACGTTTCTCTATAATTAACCCAAGATGTGAGCTTTCTTAGATATTGGTACACAATGGACTTTGTAACCGTACATCTTTTCTTCTTCTTTTTCACACCCTGAATCATCGATATCCTATTATAATTTTTTGTAGAATTAATAAATAAAAAATAAAATAAAATAAATATCTGCGATTTGATTAGTTAGATCTATAACCTCATATCTTCTTTTGTTTCCTATCGAACTCGTCAATTGATGGCCGTCATTGATTCGTTGCTTTTTGAAACCACTCGATTCAATATCTTGAGAAGAGCTTGATTGCACTGACTCATCTGTGCCTGTAGCTCGTAAATCTTCTTCAATACACACAAGCTGGGACTCCATCTCTTTGATTGCCTGTATTAATTGTAAAGAAATTAAAGTTAGAATAAATATAAATAGAATAAATAAAAATATTATACGTTTTATTGACAAACACATGGTCATATTACCTCTTTATTCTTTGCTCTTAGCTTGACAAGAAACAACCTCAGTAAGTTCTTGCGTAGCTGTAGATTATTAGATTCAATTCGTTTACATTGGTCCAATGTTCTGTTAAATAACGCGACAATATCTACTTTGGATAGAATGAGTACATATGGCAATTTTTTAATCTCAAATTTACCCGAACGAGACATGTCTTCGGCCAGTTTTTCTGCAAGTAATTCGTAGTTTATCTTTTTTCCTTTACGTTCGTAAAGACTTGCCATCAGGTTGGCATTGTTTTCTGACTTGGCTAGTGTCCTTGCACGCTGTTCGGCTACTCTATTTACTGTGTGTGTATGTGTTGGGATGTCAAGTTTTGTTGATACTGAAATTAATGCCAAACTTACACTGGAAATTTGGATAGATTTGATTCTGTAAGATTTTTCTTCTACAGAGCGGACAATCTGGGTTTATTTGAATATGCTGTGATATGCAAGCATGGCTACAAAACGGGTTGCCGTTACGCACAGCAATTAATTAAATAATAGTTGCTATCCCACACATCAATCACTATCATACCAGTAAGAGTGTCCACATACTACCATGAACACATCCTTCATAATCTCATGGCAGATTGGACTTTATAAGGGAGAAGATAATAATAATAAATAAATAAAATCAGATTGCCAGATTATTAGACCAAAAAGAAGAAAAAGAAAAGGACTCTTACCATGAAAGATCGTCATCCGAATACTCGTCTATAGTACCATTTTCTTGTAAACCTGAAGTTGTTTTTTCAAAGTCTTTCTGTTGTACAAACGAGCACTGTGTCGAATGATCATGGACATTCGTTGGTCTTTCAGAACTTGCACTACCAAGAAATGGTAGTAGCGAGGTTACTTTGCCCCAGCCATAGCCCTGCGAGTTAGATGCACCCTCAGATGGCTCTGAAGAAGCTGGATCATTATTTGTTTCGTTGCGCGGCAATTCGGACGACCTAGATACATCTTCCGTTGGATGAAGTAAAGGTAGGCTGTGGCTTGAGGTTGTTCGGGATGTCTGATCAAGTTTGAAGCAAGTTAGATATGTACAACAGTCGTGTGATATAGTATAAAACATACCGAGATATGTGCCGTTAAAGCATCTTGCTCATTGCTAATGTTTAAATCCGGCTGATCATCAGGAGAGTTGTATAATTCAGAATCATCCGTAACTGAACCAGCAATTGGTGTTGCTGATGAGGTCTGAGGATTCTCATCGTACATTTGGTTTTCCTCCGGATTACCATTGGTTTCCATCTTATTGGAAGAGAGGAATGAGAGAAGGCGGGTAAACGTATTAATGACTGGAATTGTAAAGATTAGATTGGTGCTTTACTCTGAATTCAACGTCATGTTGCTTAGATTGAATTATATCTTATTATCTATATCTCACGTTTCAAAGCGGGAAGACTAAAGAAGTGGTTTCGGAAAGTATGTGTAATAAGTTTATTGACGTAATGATCGATGAAGAGCTCACTATTAAAAGGCTTTTAGCTTTAGTTCTTTTTTTAAAAATAATTATAATTATTGTAATAATAAAAAAACCAACCAAATTAGATAGCTAAAAACTAAAAACTAAATAATAATAATTATGATTATTCAAAAAGCCAAAAAGATCCTCAACACAATGGATCCCTCAAATCCCTCACGTGTTAAAGCATCGAAAATGTCTTTATTGCTTTATTGCTTGATTTATGAATGATATTTACATCTTGGAGAAAGAGAAGGCCTAGAATTCTACAAAATAAGGTGGCGATATAAAGACACTACGATTGGAAAAACGGATTCCAATATGAACCTGTGTAAACAAAAAAGAAAAAAAAACTAAAGAAGTGTAGGGTTGTAAATATCTTACTCACTATCCAAGTCAAGCCATGTGTTTTAATTGGTCCCGCCACCGTTCTCTGTCGAAGTATTCCCGGCCGCAACCACTGGAGTAGCAGGCTGCACCACAGGAGACTCTATTGCCTCCTCCTCGTTTTTCTGCCTCTTCGCCGGTTGCTCTACATTTGCAGGAATCTTGCGAGCGCAATGTTTTCATTAGCCATCCCCTCCCTCCAATATTTATGGATAATCCTCTATTGTTATACTTCACCTTGGTTGACGGTCTCTTAAGCTTCTTGTCTTCGCCTACGAGATCAGACGGGAGCATAGATCTATAAACAAAACATGAGCTATCATTTTCATTGCTCGACACAACATCCTGACTACAGCACCCTTTAACATTCTTCACTGTGATTTTCATTGTGTTCTCGTCATAATTATCCCAGGTTTTGACTAGCTTAATGAATTCTTGCGTAGGCCACACCAAGTCCAACTTTCGTGTGCCAGTTGTACCAGCTAGAAAAACAAACAAACAAAACAAGACACCAATAAAAAAGCAATTCCATGTTCCGTTAGAATTCTCAGCCGAAATACCGAAAAGAAAAGAAGGAAATTGAACTAGGTTCAAGGTAATCTCAGTACCTGTCTTTGGTTCCACACAGAGACCAACGTAAAATGTTGTGCTGTAAACCGTTTTTATATTCTCTCTCTCTTCTTTTGTCAGACCAGTCTTTTCTTGGATAAGTTCCAAGTGGTCTGTTTCCATATCGCCTTCACTCAATGGGAATGTACGCTCATTTGAATATATGCCGCGAGCAGCATCGACTCTTTCTTTCTCAGTTAGACAATAATGGACTTTGTCTATACCCTTAACATAAGGGTGGGCCAAAACAAGCATTTCGACTAACTCTAGCTTAAGTACTAGCTGACGGAATCTAGATTCTACCAAACCAGACCTATGATATTGATTGTGTTCTTAGGACTTATTTCTTTCTTTTTTATGTGCAGACACACTGTGATCAATGTCTTACCATTTAAGTTGAGTTTCAAGCGAATCAGAGGTTGCAATGACTTGTAAATAGTGTTTGTAGGCATGGAAGAAATCGCTTTTTACAAACAGTTCTTCCCAACTTCCCTGTCCAAGCATAATTTTTTCTGAAAGCTCTTCGCCTCTTTGAAATTCTTTTAGCATGATCGCTTTCGTAGAGTCTGTCACGTTGTGAGTAGCACACATCGATGGGTATGCAGGTGTAATGATAGGCATGCGGTGGTTTCTGTCTGCTGGATAAAGCTAAATAAAAAAAAAACATAGTACAATAAGCTACCTACAGATCAAGTTATCCAACTCCGGCCAGTTTTCTTTTATCTTTTTCTTCTTCAAACTTACTTTAGGATTCCACACTCGGACTTGCAATGGACCATCTTCCAAGTTCTTGAGAAGAACGGGTTGGGGCCATTTCCATCTGTGGAGAATGCGGAAGAATCTGGCGACAATAGTTGCCGAGCATGCATTAGGATACAGCTGACATATTCTAGCAACAAGCATGGCCCATGCAACACCACCCAAGAATCCAATGACGTTGGAGTATACACATCTTCTCTTTGCCCACAATTTTACTGTGCGAAGTGCAGTACGGAATGCTGTAATATTGGGTACAAGACGTAGAATTTCATCTGTCACTCGAGAACCGTTTATACTACGAACACATCGTTCGTCAAGGTTTTTGAGGAGATTGTTGTCTGACAAATCGAGATCATCTGAAACGCGTGCGATTGCAAGTCGAGCACACACAAAATCGATCTAATCCAAAGGGTTAGAAACCTTCTATATCTTATTCTTACAATAAAAAAAACACCTGCACATAAACACACATATATAAAGACACTGTGATTATTTTAATCGAACTTACAGGAATTCCAGAGAAATGCATTTTAATCAAAGGTACATAAGCGTCAGGTACGGACTGGAGAAAAAAGATAGTCGAATTAGTAACATTACTTTTCGAAATGAGAACATCAATCATGTATATATATATATTCCTATTATTGTGGCTCTTACAGTGAGTTCTGTAACTTCTGATCGTTCTTTCAGCATCTCGTACATGATGGTGAAGAATTGCTCTCTTTCAACATGTTTAGGAACAACACATAAAGTATCAATATCCGCACCTGTGATACAGAAACAGAGAGATGAAAGCAAGATGATAGATGAGAGTTTGATTCAAAAAGAAATGATGAAGTTTATTTAGATTAAATCGAATCATCTTACCTGCGCCATGGACGCCCAGACGATAACTTCCAAAAGTAAAGATCTTTCCACCGGCCTCTTTTGCTAGTGAATCGGGGAATCCCTTTGATTTGCTGACTCTGTAGACAAAGTCTTTTACCATTAAATTAAGTTTTCCGAGAACGACAACACTACAAAGAAAGGTCAATTAGTCGATGATTCGTATGATGGTGATGGTATTGGCGATGATGAAGTTTCTTTCTTTCTTTCCTCTTTTTTTTTCTTAAAAAATATAAGGGGAAGTAATCTTCTATACCGTTTTTGTGCATCTTGCTCGCTTTCGAATAGGCCATTGTTCTGAAGAGTTTTTACTAGATCTTCAGATAGTTTGAGTTCTTGTTCTGTCGGTCCCACCAGAGAAATGGGCGCAGTTACGCCCAAAGTCTCAGGCTTCTTGTCGTTAGACATGCTGAGGAATATACGTGTGTAGAATCATACTCGAATACGAAATATAAAAAGGAATATGTCCATGACGTCAGGAAAAAGGTCACACTATACTAATTATGGATAAAATACATCCAAAAAAAAAGGGGGGAGAAAGTAAATGATGATTTGCTATATATATATATATATATATATATATATATAAAGGGATCAATATAAGAGATCAGAGAGGAAGAAAAGGGGGTTTTACTGCCAAATAGGTTTTTATATATAAATCAATACTATATGTATGCTATATGTACTCTAAAACAAAAAGGAGATGATGAAAGTAGAATATGTGCTTATAAAGATGAATATTTAAGAAAATACAAAACGTTCAATTTTGTTAATGAACCATTATTTTATACCTGGTTTTACTTCCTCTTCCCTATTATTTAACCTAGAAATTAATATTTTTGTAATAATTCTGGTTATATTTTAAACAGAATTATAAATAAATTGTTTAAATTTTAACATGAAATATACTGCTACTGCTACTGCTACTGCTACTGCTACTAATAATAATAGGACGCTTCATTTTATCTCACTTAAAGTACCGGTTTATGATATCTATATACTTACTGCTTATTGCTATACATATTAGTCGGGATAAGAACTGTATGCGGCTGTAGCTACTAAACATCTGATAGAAAGATAAAAAAAAACAACCCAAGATATAAAAAAGGGGGGGAGGGGAGGGGAGGGGAGATGATCAAATTTTGAACGGATCTGATGAGACTAGTTACTATGGGTCATATAAATTAAACCTATTTGTTTTTTTTTTTACACATATACACCATATCCAAATTCCATTTCCTTTTTGCCTTATATCTTACTTACCAATAATCATAATCATAACCATAATGAAAATGGAGCTATCATTGCAAGTAAACGTGGTGAATATCTTCAGAAAAAATTGTGAGTGTTATTACTAGTGTTACATCAAGAAAACTGTAAACACTTTTAGCCAATTCCATTAGAGCCTTTGTCCACATTCAGCTACAAGAACAGGCAGATGTACATATAAAGGTAGCACTTACTACAAACTGATTGCACTCAAAAAAAAAAAGATAGATGGTCATTCTGGTATATTTTTAAATACTTTTTCTTTCGCTTATTTTTTAATACACAAAGACAGTTACACAGACAATGTCCACAATACCCCTTTCTGATCTAATAATAATAACAAAAAGGCATCATAATTGACCGCAAAAAACGTGGAATGATTGCTGTCACCATTTGTGATTAAAAAAAATGTTTCACAAGCATAATTACATGTGCTATAGGCAGATAAGATACAACCGGTTTTTGTCGGTGACAATTTTTACTTAAAAATCGAAAAGTCTAATAAGAGAAGGAATCAATAATCGTAAGTAAGAAAGAAAGATATCAAATACTTATAAGAAATTATGTATATATTAAAAATAATGTCAGAAAAGAGTATGAATATTCTTTTCTTTTTTTAAAAAAAAGGTTGATAAACATGGCTTAAAATTACTCCAATGTACAGCAAAAAAAATAATAAGGAAGAAAGGAAGAAAACAAAAGCTCAAATTAGATTTGAATGGAATTTAATATCTTCTACTTACCTCTAATAATGACTGTATGTGTATGGAATCCTGGTGCATTAAAACAAACCGAGTAACTGTTTCATTGTTTTACAGAAATAAAAGGCTAGTGCATCATATGCCTATTTTGTATTATAACTAGACATATAAAATTAAAGCTAATTACCACAAATTAAATTGCTCACAATTAAACATGAAATAAAAATAAAGTAATTGTCATGTAAATCTCTATTCCCATGCATGCATGTCTTTATACATATATAAAAGGCTCTAAAATAAGTGAATCATTTCAAGTAAGTTATACAAATTTCAGCACATTAAATCTATTGTCAAACAGTTGAAATAAATTATAATATTGGATACTTGACATTAAGATTACTGAGGGTTTTGATTTGAATAATATGCTATTAAAGGTCGATAACTTGAATGCAAAATATGGTTTGATATTGTGAATATTTTTTTCGGGAACTTGGCTTTATTTCATACATGTATAGGTTAGATTGATAATATCCGGTGTTCTAAAGTAAACGCCCATTTAGTATTATTATTTAATTTTCATTAAAAAACAATACGATGCCAAGAGTACCGTGAAAGATATATATATATTGTCTGGTATCTAAATGTTCAAAGTAAAAATAATGCAATAGTTTTAAAAAGAAAAGTTTCTAAATTTGGCATGATGAAAAATGATTGTTATCACACCGTTTAAATATAATCACCAAATTAAAATGTACATGTATATATATAGTAAACTGATAACTGCAAATATGAAAATAAGTAGCAGTTAAAGCTTATTCTATAGTGAATGTACGCATGAGTTTTAGTGGACACTTTTTGAAGAATTTACTAATGCAAGTATTCCTTCTATTTAAATAACTGATATGTACATAATGTTTTTCTTTCTTTCTATATATCTATCTCATAAAAACGTACAGTATATTCTGTAAAAACCAGCACCCTGGATTTGCATCTGTTCTGTTCATTCAGAATATCTAATCGAATATTTATTTTGAAGATAATAATAATACTACTAATAATAATAAATATGAAGCACGGAACTAGCGACATTAAAAGGATAATACTTCCTATTCTGTTTTTTAAAGAATATCTGGAAATTTATCATAAATATACGAGATATCTTTATATTGCGCAATTAATGCTTATTGAATACATTGGTTGGCTGATATAAATTGTTGTATGATTTTCTTTATGTCAAAAGATAATAATACCCGAAAATTAATACGCAAAAAATAAATGAATGGACATAAAATGCTCGTGTAAATTAAAGCCGTGTTTCTCAAAACTGCTCAGTTGTCAATTGGTCCAGAATCTAGATTGAGAGCAATTATGAGAATAATAGAGATGCTATTAAATCATACAGAGATAAGATATCTATAGACATATTACCTTAATTAATCCCAGTAATTAATTGACCACCATATACAAGTTCTTTTCTTGCTGTGTCTTTTCGATAATAAATAATAATATTTTAGTTTTATAATACTTTATATACACTAAATTTGGCATATCAAAATTTAAGTACCAAAAAAAAGAAAGATTTATACACACACACACATATGTATATAATAGTATCCTGATCAAAGAGCGAATATATATACATGTTAAAAACAAGTTTTATCGTTATTTTTGCCTGTAGCCTACTAAATTACAGAGCTTTTTATAGCAATATTTCCTCCCATAGCAACTCTCTAATTCAATATTTGTAAGCCCACGACGTCTATTTTTGGGAAACGCGACTTTTTATTCTAAGCAAAAAATAAAAACACGATTAATGAGATTGGAATACTTCAAGCCGCAAGTCAGTACAGAAAGCACACTTTAACTAAATAAAAGCCAAGAATTTATTATCTTACTCGTTACTGCAATATTATATCTAATTTATTATTATTATTACGCCAAAAAAAATATATACTTACACTTGCTATTAATGGGAAAATATTAATATAAAAAAACACGACTTGATACAAATAGTCGCGCAGTAAAACAATTGTGATTTCTATATCATACTGTAATATACTATAAGATTGATCAGCCTGTATATTTACATACGTTGCTGTCATACATGAACAAATACAGAGCTAGATGTTGATTATTTGCGGAAAGCTGGAACTCAAGGTTTGAAACAAAATACTTTTGCCAAGATATAACAGTTATGTAATAGTACAAGCCTCAAAGTTAATCCAACGAAAACCAAACTATTGGTTCCTCAATTATCCTATCATAATTTGTTCAACCAAGAAAAAGGAAAAAAAAAGACATATCATTAAAGAAACTAAAGAAGAAGAGCAAAAAACGGTCTAGTTAGTAAAGAAAAAGTCGGTATACAGCTTTTATGATTTATGATCTATGGCTGTATCTACAATTTTCTGTAATTAATAGATGCTTATTCAAGTGAGTCTTGGGTTGATTATATAGCTTTATAAAGAGCGTATATACACTTTAAATTATATAGTGTGTCGTTTGTTTGTGTGTGTGTATGTGTGTGTATAGATGAGTGTAAAAATAATAAAAATAACTAGACCCTTTTGTTGAGCCAAAATATCTAGCCATACACATTATTTCCAAATTAAACACTTGTCCTTTTGACGATAAAAAATACCCGATGACTCAGAACAAGAATTCCCACAAAGAGAATAAACTTTTGCGCTCTTTTGGTTCTTGGCTTTCTATTTACTATTTAGCACATTGTGTAGCCTTTATATACTTTACTCACCATCAGCCCAGCACTCAGGACAAGAACATACATCACTCACAACACAAAGACTTTAGAATTCAAGTCCTTTCTTTAAAATAATCACACGGCCAAACTTCTTACACACTACCTTTAATACAATAGAAACATAAAGAATAACTAAAATACTCTTTAAAGTGCACAATTATGTGCGCGCATATATGTATAAAAAAGTGATAATGTATTTGCTTAAGTGTTTCTCAATTAGGGTAGTGGAAAAAGAATAAACCGAAGATTGTACCCGTAGAGTGGTAAGGATAAAGGATTCGGCAAAGATACACAAAAACACGAGCCTCGGATACCGTTTTTCTTCGAGGTTCTATTTTTCGGGTACAATTCCCTCTCTCTCTCTCTATATATATATATATGTATTTTATGTTATCAATCATGATTATATAAAGTAGTCTAGATGAAAGCCAGCTACTTTATGTTCTAGACGCAATTTTTCTCTTCTTTTTTTTTTTAAAAAAAAAGAAAAAGGCAAGGGGTTTTCAGATACTTTGACGAACAAATGATAGCAGAATGTCCTCATCACAAAAGAAAATACCCGGTTCCCGAATTATAAAAAAAAATAAAAAGGAAAATGCAAGCCAAAGCCCGAGTTTCAGCTAAATTGGCTTCATTTCTAGCATCTTAATAGGTCAATACAAATACCAATACTGATACAGTTTCACCAATACATTTTGTTATATTGGCTTCATTTACTTGCAAAAGCCAATTTAGTTACTTTATAGATGCCTATATCGTAGCTATATTCATATATTCTTGATAGTTATTGACCATCGATTATTATTGATAGAGTTACCTATTGGATATTACAAAAGTCTACGAGAAAAAAGAACTAATAAACCAATCAGAATAAAGTAAAGTAAAGTAAAGAATCTACTACTAAATTCTTTATCATTCGACTTTCTTTTTTTTTAAAGAAAAGAGAAAAAGATTTTAAAGATTTATCAGCTAAAGTGATTATGTTTTCTATTTTTTTTTATTAATTCATTTGTTTTATGCCCTATAGACAACGGCAAAAATAAAGTAAAAGAGGACCAGTATTATTAGCGATACAGCGCACAGCACACAGACACAAACATATATTTTTATATATATATATACTGGAATATCAGACGCGTCTGTGCCTTTTGATTTGATAAAAGAATGAATTGATCGAATCATAATATAATATAGTATCTTATTCATTCAAAGATTGCCTGGTAACTTGATAGCCTTAAATTTATTAGTCATGTTTACTTATCTTTATATTCTTTTCTTTTATTTGAAAAAGTACGCGTAGAATATATTCATATATTCGTATAGATTACTATAAAACATTTTGCATTTTCATTAGTCATTTAGTTAGCCAGACAGTTAACCACACTCACACAAAAAGAGCAAATAAAGAAAACCGGAGTCCAACCCTACATATAGGGAACCAGTCGGCAGGACCCCGCACTGTAGAAATTGATTCAAAGTAATAATTAGGTACAAGCCAACACAACACAGCACATCATATATTACCTTATATTTGTGTGTATACATATTCTTGGCACCTGTAAAATCAGAGAGAATATTTCTCTTTCCCGAGTCCAGATACATACATATATATATATATGTATATACATAAATTTATGTAAGAACAAAGAGTGATAATGGTATATACGGTGGTAGAGTCCGACCTGACCGAGAATAATTACTGTTACTGTGGGACAACCTAGGCAGACTGCACATGTACTACTCAAAAAAAAAAAGAAAGAAAGAAAGAAAGAAACGAATGTAATGTAATGGTCTTAATGGCATATTAGAGTAATTACATTCTGAATTATCCAAAGCCCAAAAATTAAATAATAAATTAAAAAATTAAAGATATTTCTGTAATTTGCATCCTTATTTTTTATTTTTTTTTTAAAATCGCAGAATAATTGTAATAATAATAATAAAAAAAAACAAATTACCTAAATATTTAAAGGTGTGATTTATATATAGAGCATATCTTATAAAATAGAGTCTTGATCTTAAAAAAAAAAGCAAAACAAAACAATAATTATGTACTTGCTCGGTAAGTCTCATTGTGAATTCTTTCCACTGAGAAAAAAAAAAAGAAACCCCACTTTCACACACAAATGATAGTAATCTCATTTTCCAGAAAGCCGGCTAAAATTTGTGACACACATTTTATGTACAACGTGGCAAGAGGAAAAGATAGAGAGAGAAAGAAGGATTTTAACCGCAAGTTTTTATTTTATATGTGTATAAACATACGTACAGGCTTCTTTAAAAATCGATGGCCAATAAAACATGAAGCTCCCACACACACATACATATATAAAGAGAGAAACAATACTGTATATCACATCAAAATAAAACAAAAAAATAAATATAAATAAAAATCAAAGAAAAATGAGAGACAGGATTGGTCTAAATTGATTCAAATGTTAGTTACACAGGTGGCTAATATACGTGTGTACGTGTGTATGTGTTTGAAATTTATAATGTCTTACCATTGATGCCTATGGAGATCTTTTAGCAGAGCTTTAGTTAGCTAAATAGTTATCTTGCTTATTATTGTAATGAACAATTTCAATATTATTATTATTTTGTCCTTTGTTTATTTCCCACCCTTTTAATGTATAGTTATTGTGAGTTCTATGCAAAATATTTAAAGCTTAAAAGCTTACAAGTATACAAGTATATAAATTATTTAGATATGTAACCATTAGATAGTCAATTTATTAGATTTCAATGATAAGTAGTAATCTGACCACCCATTGAGTTTCCTCTGAAGGGATTCAATATTTTTTTTTTAAAAAAATAAATAAACTTAAATGGGTTACTTATTAAGCTGGCGTGTGTTTGGTTTTGTGTCTGGTTGAGTTGGAATAAGCTAAATTGATTGCAGATAATTTGGCTCACAAATAGTGGCGCCCTTGAGGTATGGTCACTCCATACAAGCTTAGACACACAAACATTCGTATATATGAATAATAATAATATTAAAGCCTATACTTAATTTCGAATTTACTACCAGAAAAAAAAAAGAAAAAAAAAAACCAGATGTTACTCACTTTGATAAAGATGAGGCTGGTAAGCCAAGATCAATAAAATTACTATATATATATTTAATTATTTAATTATTTAATTATTTAATTATTTAACAATGAATATATTATATAGACATATATAATAGTGATAACAGTGATAATGATGGTGGTAAGAATCAGACCAAATTCGAGACACCCTTGTGTCTGTGAACGAGGCGCACTTTATACGGAGTTGGTGCAAATGTGGCTGCGCGATTATCTTTTGGAGTGTAATCATTGAGCAATTCGTCTGTTTCGCGCTCTATCCGAAAACATGCCAGGATACCAGCTGCCACAGTAAACAAAGTCCGTTCAGCCAAGTGAATCCCAACACAGGCTCTTCTGCCGGCCGAGAACCCAATGTGTGGCCGGCCTTCGACCGATTGACTCGAAAAGAGTTTCTTTTCATTATCCAGCACATAGTCCATGTGACGGTCAGGAAGGAACTTTTTGGCATCAGGGTATTTGCTTTCCTCGAGGTGAATGGCATGTACGTTGATTACCACGGTTGTGCCTTCGGGAATGAATGATCCATTGTACACGTCATCTTTACTGGTCGAGTGAGGTACAGAAATAGGCGCAGGAGAACGAATACGGAGTGTCTCGTGAATGATACATTGGATAAATGGCAATTTGTGTTCTGTATTGTTTGTTATTGTCAGTACACATGTGGCAAAAGTCTATATCGAGACAACAGAAAAAAAACCCCCTTTTCCAACCACTTGTCCATACACTCACCATCTTCAGCAGTTGGAAGACGGTCCAAACCAACGTTCTGTTCAATCTCTGCAAAAGCTCTGTCTTGAAACTCAGGATTATTAGCCAGGAGTACCAGCATCCACTCCAATGTAGAGGTTATTGTCTCTGATCCTATTGAAACGAAAATAATCCAGATTAATAACATATAGAAAATAATAATAATAATAACCAACAAGAAACTTACCAGCGCCAACAAACAGAGCAATAAAGTACATACACTGGATATCTGTCAAGACATCCATGGCAAGAATCTCCTTCATAAAACAATCCTTGACCTTGCTAGGATCCTTTTTGAGCCTGGCCTTGAATTCTCTCAGCAGATCTCCATAAAAGTCAAGGATTTCTTGGCGAAGGTCCTGGAACTTCTTTATATGGTTGGGCAGAATATACTTGAGGATAGGAAAGAACTCGACCAGCTGCTCGCTAGGGCCAAGCAGAGTCGCAGACCGCTCGGTAATCGAGAAAACCTCGTGGAGCTTAGGATCACCTGGCTCAAATGAGCACAGATCCGCAAATGCAATGGTCAGGATATTGGTCATCGCAAAGTGTTCAATGTATTTTGTGAGTGAGATGGCCTTTGTATCATCGATCGCACGAGAGATGTTTCCTAGCAAAACCTTTCGTCGATCGTTCAATATAGGCTGATAAAGATCAATTTTCTTCAAGATTAGACCAGAGTGAGCTAAAGATTAATTTAAGATTATTAAAATGAGGAGTTAGATAAGAGGGTGTGTTGTAAAGCAAACGGTCAAGTCAAGTCAAGCCAAGCCAAGCCAAAACTAAAGGCAACGAATAATAATAATATATAGAATTATATTTACCAATACGTCTAAGATTTCGCCACTGTTTTCCATAAGGAAAGAATGCAAATCCACCACCCTTGTCGACTATAAAAAAAACACACACACACATATATATATACTTTAGAATCATACTAGTAATATTAAAACAAACAAGCAAACAAAGGAAAACAAATAACAAACAAATAGAAAATAATCATTACTACGAAATGTAGCAATGTCAATTCCAAGACTAATTCATTTGATAGCTAGACTGGTGTACACGGGTTTCAATTTACCTCCATTCATGAGAGTGTTGACCATTATATCGGGAAGATCTCTAGATGAGTATATGCTTCCTCGATCGACAATAAGATCTTTTACGGCGGCGGCAGAGTTGAGAATAACCCACCGTTTTCTGCCAAGGTAGACAGTGTAGACAGGACCAACGATAAAACTCCATTGACGAAACAATTCGGGAAGGTAGTCTGGCTTCACGAAGAATAGGAGATGGCCTAGGATTGGTAGACGGTTAGGGGCACTCGGAGGCAGGTTCTGGGTGGCAGTGTCTCGAGGCTTTCCGGGGTTGACCAGGTAAAGAATGGTACCCAGAGCAACGGCAGAGACAATGGTGCCAAAGAGTGACAGTTTGGTAGTTGCCCACGGAAAACTCGAATGTAGATAAAGAGACTCCATGATGTGATTCTGGCCATGAATTGTATTTTCAAAGGGTTTTTGTAGAAAAAGTATCTTTTTGTTCGCTGTAAAAGGGATGTCTTTGCTCTTGTGCTTGCATAAGTATCACACATCTTCAACCTCCCTGAATCTTGTCTTACATACAAACCAAAAAGACAAAACAAAGAAGTGGCTATAGGTAATGCAGGGAAAATCACTTTTCTTTTCTTTTCTTGTGTGTGTGTGTGTATTCTATTGAGTTTGATTCCACTTGCCATATTCCTTTACCCTTCCCCCCCTTTCTTTTCATTCATTTCATTTCATTCATTAATTCATTCTTTAATTCATTCATTCATTATCTGTATTTCCGCATTCCATTTTATTTTCTTATATTCTCATCCCTCCTCCACCCTTTCCCTTCTAACTCTCCCCTTCCTCTCTTCTTATTTCTGGTTCCCTCTATACTTCCCCTTGATTCTTATATTATTGACTATTGCATTGCCTCTGATATTATATATTCTCTATTTCTCTCTCTCTATATATTTTCTTAAAGCTCCATACATATAAGTATGTATGTATATATTTAAGTATGTATGTATATGTACCTGATGTTTGTCATTTGGTCTGCTTATAGGCTTTATATCGACACACATACAAATACATACACTTTACAAAACAAAAGAGAGAGAGAAAAAAAATCGCTGCACTGAAAAGACATGCCTATTGCATATTGTATGTGATACCTAATCTTATAATTATGTACATTTTGTCTAAAACATGTTAGACCAAATAATAATAATAATAATAAAAAGAAATAGAGACACTCTCGATCTATTTTGTTTGTACATGAATATATCATATTCTTCTCTCTCTCTTTCTTCCTTTCATTTCTGCTCCCCTTTTATATATAATCTTCAAAGACGAGTTGATACTCTGGGACTGCTAATTGTCACAGTGTTTATTGAATGTGTTTGTATGTGGTTAATGTGAATTTGAATATGTGAATAGGTGAGTGAATAAGTGAATGTATTTATATTATAATTTATATTATAATATATATATATACACATTTTTCCAAGGCAGTTTTCTGTTGACAGATTTGAAATAATAGTAAGCCTTGGTATACAATTTTAATCTTCTTTTATTATTATTATTATTATTTATTATAATAAACAAACAAGAAAACAAATAAAAATATGGCAACCTCACCTGCAAAATACACGTTTCCAAAGATCTTTAAAAGATTGGTCAATCAAAAGGATAACAAGATAAGACATTTTATTGAACTTCGGGAGTCAAGAGCCTACCGACAGCAAAAGGGCAATGTACTAGTTCAGGGTCTAAAGACGATCAATGAGCTTAAGAATGAAGGCTTTAGTTTTGAATCACTTGCTGTAACAGCCACCAAGGATCCTTACACAGAGTCAGACATCAAGTACCCCGCACTTCAGGCAATACAGAATCCGGATGCATTTAGAGCCAATAATCTGTACCTTGTGGATGTTGATTTGACCCGACGTATTCTTGGCACTGCTTCACGGCCTGGGCGACATGAGCTGTTTGCGGAAGTAAAGATTCCAGATCAGCCACTGCCAAGCAAAGAGAATATTGATCGGCTGTTGGTGTTTGATCATGTCAATGATCCTGGGAATCTTGGTACCTTGGTCAGGACAGCAAAGGGGCTTGGGTGGTCTGCAGGAGTGACTACGACTGGTACGTGCGACATGTATAACGACAAGACGATCCGATCCTCAAGAGCGTTGTCGTTGAGATGGCCGTTTAAGCTGGTCGATATAAAGGAGTTGGTGAGCTTCTTAAGGTCGTATGACATGACGCCTGTGGTAGCAGATATGATGCCTGAGGTTGGATCCGAAGCATCAGGAGATTTGTGGTCTCCGGTAGAGGGAGGGATTTCGAGCAAACAGAGCAGAACAACAAAAGCGAACCCTACGGGCAATGTGGGGTTGGGATCAGGCTTGTGGTTCTGGAATTTCCGGGGCAAGACTCAAGAGGTACCCAAGCGAGTGGCCCTAATCCTGAGTTCTGAACACAAAGGAGTTCAGGGGCTGGATGACGAGTTGCGGGTTTCGATACCTATGGCTGGAGGAGTGGAGTCACTTAATGTTGCGAGTGCAGGTAGCATGTTGATGTATGAATTCAATCGATTGCTGGCTGTCACAGACAAAAGACAATAAGGTGTAACGGGATTGACCGCGGCATGCCTGCTTTTCTTTTTCTTTTATTTTATTTTATTTTAATTTATTTATATTATATTTTTAAAACTATTACATCTTACACACATAAAATAACTTTAGGCTAAATATAGAACAGCCACACACACACACACACAATCAAAAAAAAAAAAAAAAAAACCCAGGGCCAGAAAATATCTATAAATAAGTAGAATAAATTTATCGCGCGGCCTTCATCGCTCCTCCCTTTTTCTTCCTCTTCAATTTTTGGTTTGCTGGCTCTATTTTATAATTAGTAACGCAAGCCAAATAATAATAATAATAATAATAATAACAATTATATATATAAATTATACATTATACATAAAAATCAACCAATCAATCAATCAATCAATCAATCAATAAATAAATAAAAAAAATTCTTATTAATATTTAATATACAAGCAAAACACAACAACACCAACAACACCAACAACACACACACACGCACGCACGCACACACGCACGCACACACGCACACACGCACGCACGCACGTATATATATATATATATATATATATATATAAAAGGAAGAAAGTAATAAAAAGGTAAAACAGAAAGTCAATAGCACTAACAATAACAAGTATATAAAATTATAATTATTAAATATTAAATATTAAATATTAAATATTAAATATTAAATATTAAATATTTAATGTATTTATAAATACATATATAAATATAAATATAAATATAAATATAAATATAAATATAAATATAAATATAAATATAAATATAAATATAAATATAAATATCTATATTTATTTATTTATATTATATTATATATGTATTACATATATATATATATATGTATATAAATTATACTTGATAATATGAACAAAAGAGAGAAAGAGACAAATTAGTTTGGTCATTGAATTACCATTGTCAATCTTCATTACTTGATCTGTTCAAACCAACTAGAGAAAATACATAAAATAATAATAATAGTGATCATTTATATTCTATTAATTTATATTATAAAAAACCTATAATTTATTTTTCAATTATTAATTTTAAAAGTCTTTACTCTTCTTCTTCTTTTAATACTTCTTTTAATATTCATTATAAAACATCCTACAGATACAAAGCTAAACTCTACATATAATGGGACGCAAGAAGATTAAAATTCAGCCTATTCAAGATGATCGCAATCGACAGGTATAAAAATATACTTTAGGATCCCCCCTTCACAAAAACTATATAAGATATAAATCTCTACCTTGTTTAAATATAGAAACATTCTTCTAATGATTATTATTAACCACCTTTTTTATTTTTATATATTTTTAGGTTACGTTCCTGAAACGCAAATATGGTCTCATGAAAAAGGCCTACGAGCTCAGCGTTCTTTGCAACTGTGAAATCGCGTTGATCGTCTTTAACAATACAAACAATAAGCTTGTCCACTATGCCAGTACAGACATTGACAAAGTCCTGATGAGATACACAGAGGTTAGATCAAATCAGATCAGATCAGATCATATTAACTAACTTGTCTATAGTATGAAGACCCATTTGAAAGCAAGCGAAACGAAGACGTTAGTACACAAACAAAACAAAAACAAAAGAGATATATCATTACAAACCCATTGACAATCTATCTCTACCTTTAGTTTGAAAATAGTCTCAGCAAGCACAAAGGTGACGACGATGACAACTCTGATCTTGAGTCCGACGGCGAAAGACCACCCAATGCCTCTCCGTTCTCCCAAGCAAGCATTCTCTCAAGTACACAGTCCCAATACCACCAGGCTCAAAGACAAGCACAGGTTCAAGTACAACAACAACAACAACAAGCTCAACAACAAGCTCAACAACAAGCTCAACAGCAAGCTCAACAGCAAGCTCAACAGCAACAACAACAACACATACAACTACAGCAACAACAGAGGCACAATTCACCTGCTATGGTAGCTACAACCCAACCTACTGGAATGTCCTATTCTCCTATGCCTCAAAGACCTGGACACCCAATATCTACAATGAATCAATCTTATGATATGTATAATGGTGCCTATCCCATGTACAATATATCTGTAAGTTTCTTTATCTTTTTGTCTATCCTTTTAAAAATAATAATCATTATAAAATGTAATGCGATCACGTACACTGTACTTATATATATCTTTGAATTATAGTCTATGCCTCCTACTACTACAATGTCTCATCCTTCAATGGGATACACCCCACGTCCTATGGTCTATGCCCAACCTATGATTATTAATCACTCAAATGCGTCTTATCCATCTCCTCCCCTTCCACAGCCACAACAACAACAACAGCAGCAGCCACAACAAGCACAACCACAGCAGCAGCAACATCAACAACATACTCAGACACACCCGCAAGTACACCCTCCAATGTATGTTATTCAACCAAACCAACAAAAACAAGATGGCTCCGCGGGACAGTCTATGTTGCCCATGGCCCCAAATTCTGCTGTGTATCCCACCGAGGTCGACAGTCCAGCCACAACTCCAGGAGGTGGCGAAAAGAGACCCAAACTAAGAGTCCAAATCCCAGAATCAGCCGAAGATGCAGCAGGCCGTAAACCAACCGAACATAATACTAATCCTAATAATAATAACAACAACAACAACAATAATAATAATAATCAGCATCAGCATCATCAACAGCAACAAAGTCATCATCAATCACACATCCAACAGCAATCAAACATGCCTACACGCCTCGCTACACATTCCCAAGTAAGATTTTATAGTATAGTTATAGTTATAGTTATAATTATAATTATATATATATATATATATATCTTATCAATCTCTTGATTTTAGGTACCTCCAACATCATCAGCACGCGGTCTTCCATCCGCAGTTCCCTCCCAATTTGCTCAAAACTTGCCTTCACCATCGACTTTCTATCCGGAATTTTACCAGCAAAATGAATTGCCTAGCCCACTCAATTTCTCAGCCACGCCTACTGCCAACCCAGGTACCTTTAATTGGCCTCCAATCTCGCGCGATTATCGACCTTCACCCCTCGTCAAAGTAGAAACGTAAGACCAAAAAAGAACAAGAGAAAGAAGAGAAATAGTACATTAAATATTATATATATATATAAATAAATGTACCATATCCTTTTTAGATCTTCTGCTTCACAAAAACGTCACGACAGCCAGTCTCACAATGAAGATCCTTCCAAACGTATCAAACTTGAAGCTGCCTAAAACTATATATACATATATATAAAAAGATTAGTTACTACTATTACTACAAGAAGAATAGTACCAAAAAAAAAGTATATAAAAAAAAGCAATACAAAACAAAACACCCATATAACAAATACGCACATACAAGACCCTTCACGCACACAGAGAGAATACACTCACACCCACACCCACACTTTACACATACACCACACCTACACGACATATATACATTACATACGGACATGGACCTTTCTCCTATTCACAAGGCTTTATTCTTTTTATTTTTATTCTATTATTCACTTTCTTTAAACAATATATATATATATATATAACATTAAAGTATACAGACGTACATACCTACAGAATGATAAATATATAAATATAAATATAAATACATATGTATATATCAAGGATACCCAATGACAACAACGAAAAGAATGCACACTGTAGAAATTGACAATGCAAAACAGCATTGCATTCAACTTGGGGTTTCTAAACATATTATACCTTCAAATCTTCCCTTACATTCTTATTATATATATATATATATCTCTCTTGTATCTTTATAGCCTTTTCTTTTCTTTATTTCTATTTTTAGCTGTCTTTATATTTTATTTTTATTCTCTCCCTCTCTCTTTATTTATTTATATATATATATATATATACGATCGTTTGCAATGTTTCAATCTCGAATCCGTATTGATGGAGTCGTACTTTCTTCACTGCTGAGTGAATGTGTCAATGGAACATCAGATCAAGTTAGTTTCCATCAAATTCACGTTTTATTATCAGGCACACAAATATATATGTACATGTATATATATCTCTGTGTGTTTAGGAAGGATTCCTTTTAGGTTCCAAGGTCATTACAACCAAACAAGTAATTGATGATCATTCAGATGTCTGCATTGAACAACTAGAGTCATTTATTGGTAAAATACATAAAATACATATATTTATTTATATGTAAAGAATGCTAATCGATAATAACCTTTTATGTATATTTGTGTTTGGTGTATAAAATGTATTATCTACATCCAAAAAAAAAAAACAGTTATTCATGGATACCACTTTTTGTCCCCTTATCTACCACGTCCTTATGATGCTTCTGGAAATGTGCTACCGAATGAACTCATGAACCAAATCAATTGCCTCCGAAACGAAGAAGACATCCTGGGATACTTTAGGTATCGATCCGGCACTGCTGTCACGCCTTCCGTGAGAGAGGATCTGCTGGCCAGCAGTCTGTCAAGAAGCATCAAAGACTTTGCCTGCTTTGCAATCCTAACTGAATCCAAAAAACCTCTTGTTTATGGAAACAGTTTTGGATTCTGGGAAATCGATCCATCCCAGCAGCCATACTCTAAACCCCAAAGGTTACCTGTAGACATTGTCAATAGATCCAATCCAAACCAACTCGAATACCAAACATTTCTTTCAAGTGCTTCCCACATCGTTCATGGGTAAGTCAATCGTTACCTATACATAAGAAAGAGTTGCTTTGCCATCAATTCTTCTCCTCTCCTTGTACCCTACATAATTATAATCATAATCATAATCATAATGCAATCTTATTGTCTTGTTCCTATTCTTTTGCTTGAATACACTCACACACACATACACACACATATACATATACATATACATACACATACATATATGTATATAGAACACCTAGTATGCAAGATGCAATCAGAAACTCCCTTGGTTCAAATGGTTTACTAAACCAGTATAATCTTCTTTATAATTCTGCTCTGAATGACATGAAGGTTAGTTTTACTACAAACTTTAATACTATATGTATATATTATTATATTTTTATAATATAATATAATATAATATAATATAATATAATATAATATAATATAATATAATGTGATTTAATGATTGTATGCACACACATCTTGTAGAATGCTGCTCATGAGTTGGAGGCTAAAGAGGTGGAATTGGCTAGCTTGAGATATGAACTTAATATGTACAGAGAACAATAAGATCCAATTAACCAATAATACAATCTAAAATAAAATAAAATAAAGAAATGAAAATTCCCTAAATTATATGCAATATATATATATATATATATATATGTTATATATTATTTTTTTGTTGTTATTCTTTATTATTATGTTATTTATATCGTTACTGTTGTTTTCTTTTGTTTCTGTATGATAAAGATCTAAATTTAGTCTTCATCCCAATGACCCTGGTTCTTAGGGGGCTTAGGGCCACCTGCAGGCTTGGACATGATGATCTAAAGAAGTATACATTGTATTAATACACGCACATTGTATCCATATAGAGTTGCACTGATTTCTTAAAAGAAAAGTTACACCCCACAACAAAGAGAAATCATAACAATAATTCTTAATCATGCATTTCTTTCTTTTTCTTTTACCTGATCTACTCTGAGAACTGTTATCGCTGTGTCAGAAGCCAACTTCAATGCAAGCTGTTTGCCAGCAACTGTGTCGTAAATACCGGCCTTGGTAGCATCCAATGTACCGTCGTTCTCATTCTAACAAAACATCATATCAATATTCAATCTTATTTTACTTACAACAATACTATAAAAAAAGAAAAAAAAAAGAATGTACAATGCATTATGCACATATCTATTTGTCTTACCTCAACATCAACGCCAATGCTGTTACCCTTGTCACCTTCCTGGTAATGTGCAGCATAGAGTCTAGACAAAACTGCGACAGCATCCATGCCTGCATTCTCACACAAAGTGCGAGGAACAACCTCAAGAGCCTCGGCAAACTTCTTGATAGCATGCTGGTTGAGACCCGGGGTCTTTGCAGCAACGTTCTGAAGACGCTTGTTCAACTCCATCTCAACAGCACCAGCACCAGCCAACAGACGGCCGTCACGAGCACAAGCCTTGATGATGTTCACACCGTCGTCAATAGCACGCTCAATGTCGTCCATGTGGTTCTGAGTGGCACCACGGATAACAATGGTGGCTGTGCGAGACACCTCGGACTGCTCCTGACGGAAGACAGTTACACGGTCACTACCAATCTCAACGGTCTCCACAATATCACAGTAACCCATCTCCTCGGGCATGGGGGCACCCAAGCGAGCAAGGGCAGTGGCACCAACAACGCGGCACAAACGGCGGATGTCAAACTTGGAAAGGACCTTGATGGCCATAATGTTGAAACGGTTCAAGTAGTGAAGGGCGAGCTCTCCGATACCGTTGCCAGTAACAACAACATTCACACCAGCATCAGACAATTCTTTAAAGATCTATATATGTATAATTATAATAATCACAGCCAAAATTACAGAAATAATACGTCAGTATGCGTATAAATTAAGCACACGTCTCTTTTTTTCTTTTTTCTTTTTTTCTTTACCTTTTCAATGTGCTTCTCCTCATCCTTGCTAAAGTCGAGCATCTCCTTGGCATTATGGATCAGAACAGTACCCTTGGTCTCGGTCTGGGTGATGTCGAGAGGGCAGGTAAAGACAGCAACCTTGGCCTTCTTGACATTCTGGATGGTACCTAGTATGTCACAAGCACAATTTGATGCAAAACATTCAATACAATTGAACGTCTCAATACACCAACACATAACACACTACACCGTGATATATTACCTTCCGGTTCACGACCAAAGACCATACCGCGAACGACACGAGACTCGTAAATGCTAGAACCCATAACCTTGACAACACGAATGTTGTCAACGTTAAAGTCTCTTTGGTTCTTGGGCATAATGCTCAAGGCAGCCTCGGTGACAAGGCCAGACAAGAGCTCTTCGTGACCGTATTGCTTGGAAGCAATGGCGGCCTTGGTGATCTTCAAAAGGTTTTCCTTGTTAGAAAGAGTTTCGATCTTGTCAACGGAAAGTTCTATAAAGAATAGCAATCATAAATCAAAAAACCAAATCTTATAAATATACATTGTAGACACCTCTCTCTTTTTCTCTTTTTCTTTCTTTCTTTATTCTCTACTTTAACCTTCATTCTTCACTCTTCACTCTTATTTAAAGCCAATTTATTTATTTGAAGTATATATATATACACTCAAGTATATAAAATTGTATTAGAAAAAAAAAGTTCCTTTCTTACCTTCAATAATAGCCAAAGCACGGTCTCTAGCCAATTCAAATCCTTGAACAATTTCGGAGGGATGAAGACCTAATCTCAAGAGATGCTCAGCCTTTTGCAAAAGAGCACCGGCCAAGACAATGACAAAGTTGGTGTTGTCGCCAATCTCTGATTCCTGCTGCTGGGAAGCCATGACCAAAAGTTTGGCGGCAGGATGGACAACATCCAATTCACGGATGATGGTTGCGGCATCATTGGTCACGAAAAGTTTCTCCAGATGGTTGATGATCATCTTGTTGCGACCTTTATATGTATTAAAATCAATCAATCTGATCAAGTGCTTTTTCATCTTTCTCATCTTTTCTTCTTATTTTTCCCCATCTTTCTTTTTTTTTAAAAAATAAAATATAAAAAAAAAACACGAAAGAGACTCACCATTAGGTCCCATTGATGTACGGACGACTTCGGAAAGCTCATGAGTAGCCTCGATGTTGCGCATCACTGCTTCATCAACACCTTGCTGGAACTAAAAAGAAAGAAAAAAAAGATTGACCCAACATCCGAAAAAAATAGAATAGAATAGAAAGTACAAATACAAATACAAATGATGAGCGATCATCTATCATCTATAATACACTATTGATGGCTTCTTCCTCTTCTTCTTCTCTTTTTCTCTCTCTCTTATATTACCTTGTAGCCCTCCTTGAAGAGTTGGGGCAAAGTGCTCTTTGGTACACGCAAAGCCATCTTGATTGACACGCGTTGAAATTTTTTTTATAAAAAAAAAGTCTAACAAGAGGGGGAGTTGTACCTTCTCTGGCTTTCCGTCGTCTACTGTCAAAATGTCAATGAGCTCAGTTGGCACCCCGACACGCGCGTCATCACCACGTTCTCTCTATTCTTGCTTTGTATCTCTCTCTTATATATATATATATATATGCATGTATGTATGTATGTATGTATGTATGTATGTATGTATAAGATAAATATGATAAGCAAGTCATTATATATATATGTTTTCTAAGAATATTATATACACACACATAATATAAGAAGTGGAAATATTTTCATTTGGCTCTATGTATGTGAATATATGTATTATTTTTTGTCGTCGTTGTATTATTTTATATAAATTTGTAGAAATAATAATTATTATAATAATAATTGAGGGGATTCAAGACATTTTATTTATTTATTTATTTATTTATTTATATTTTAATTTATTTTAATTTATTGCCATTCGTCGTCATCGTCATCATGGTGAGTTGGTGCTGGTTGCTGTCTTCTAGCACGAATCTATAAGTAAAAAAAAATGATATTAGTATCATTGTTACTTTATCAAACAAAAATATGATAAATGGAGAGATTGTCCAATATACCACGGATAACTTACCGCATCTGCCAACGAGGCAGCTGCATTGGGTGGTGCCGCTGAGCCGGGCCTTGGTGGTGCACGTGGAGTACTGGCCACTCCGCCAGGGCGAGAGGGCACGGATGGCTTTCCTCCAGCACTTGGCTTTGCAGGGATCATTGGTTTAGGAGCTGGAGCTGGAGGTGCTCTTCTTGCGGCAGGTACAGGTGCACCGCCAATGTTACTGACCGGGCGAGGAGCAGGCGTGGGAGAAGGAGATCCATGAGCAGCAGCAGCCTTTCTGGCCTCCAATTCTGCTTTCCAAGGTGGCAAACTAGATCCCCCTCCCCCTCCTCCTCCGTTACTCGAAGATTGTTGAGGAATACCTTGAGGAACTCGGATCGATGGGTTAGCACGTCCTAAGCCTAAACCATTGGGCATAATTGCCGAAGCAACAGATGCTACACTTGGTTGAGAGCTGGCCGCTGGTGGAGGAGGAGCACGTCTGGCAACTGGGGGAGGTGGTGGAGGAGAGCTGCGAGGAGGTGTGTATTCCTCAAGATAATTGCTGGGAACCCAACCTTCCTTACCGTCCTTTCTTGCCAACCACCAGCCATTTTCATCCTTTTCGACAATTTCTAGCAAGTCTTCTTTTTCAAACGCAATCTCGCCTTCTTCTTGAGACTTGAATGGATATATTGCCTTGAACAAGGGAACTCCGGGAGCGGGTTGTGGTGGTGATGGTGCTGCTGGAGCTGGAACTGGAACTGGAGCTGGAGCTGGAGGTGCAGCACGTGCTCTTGATGCCTGTGAACCAGCCATTGGAGATGCCATAGTAGTATGTTGAGCCATTGGTGCAGCTGCTGGTGCAGCAACCTGAGATGGCGTGGGGCGAGGAGCAGAAGTGCGTCCGGCAGCGGGATTTCTTGGTCCTGGTGCTTTGCGGGGAGCAGATTGCTTGACAGGTCTAGGCTTGACAGGGCAAGATGGGAATGGCTGGCTGTTGGCGGGCTCACCAGTGGGTACATGTACAACGTGACTCTTGTAGACATCATCGTGCTTGATTTTCTCATCCTTGACAAACTTCATTGTCACGGACTTGCCACCCTTCTTGGCATATTGAATCTGAGGATTAACGTTAACCTTGATCCGGCCGTTGGTTTGCTGTAACATGTGGGTGAGCAACTCCGTCTTGAAGTAGCACGACAGAATTGAATCACCATCAGGCGAGTTGTCGAGATGCAAGACGACCCAGTCATCGCGCATACTCGAGACACTAGCAGAATTGATCACACTCAGTGAGATCGCCTTTTCGTCTGTCATCTGAACCATTTTTCCATTCTTTGTTGCCACGACGATGTGCAGACTTTGGTTGGTAAGTACAAATGTACGTGGGCTTGGTACGCTAGAACGCATTGGGCGAGGCACCAGTGTATTTCCTCTCATACTAAACACCACTTCCTCTCCACCTATTCAAAGCCGCGTATCTTTAATTAACTTATCCGTCCGTGAAACATACTATAATATGTGTACCGCCCCCTCTACTTACTTCTGAATGTGATGGCATTACGGACCATGGTAGAGAAACCAGAACCATTCTTAATATCCAGATAGTCTCCTGTGAATCGACGCATACTCAACAGTGAGAATCTACGACGTTCCTTGCGGCCTCCCAAGATCTGGTTTCCATAATCACGCATCTGGAGGTATCCAATGTTGTATTTGTTTTGACGCCAGAAACGTTGAATCTTGCGTGCGCACTCGTGCTTGTAACGCACATGAGCGCGCCAAGCACGTTGAATACGTGTTGCCATGTTGTGCCAATACTTGTCACGTAAATTCTCCAAAGCAAATATCTGTGTTTACACATACATAGTGCTTATTAGGTTTCTAAAATTCAAATACAGCAGCGATTCCTTTTTTTTTTTTTTGAAAAAAAGAAAGGAAAACTTACAGTCTCTGGGTGACGAATAAACACCTTGGAGGTACCCATCTGCCATTCATCAGCAGGTATATTGTTGTGCCTGAGGATTTCATTTGCACCAGTGACAGAGTCTCCGTTCCAGATGTTTTCACCGGCATAGCCAGTCTTTGGACAAAGCAAATAGAAGCGCTCAACAAACTTTTCAAATGTCTACAAACCAAATACACACGTTTATCGTTGTAACTTTTTAAAGATAAACAGAAACTATTCCTTTTATAATCACAAAATCTCAAGACTATTTGGAACAGCCCTCTTTATCCAACCCTGCTTCACAACTTGACAACTTACGGTTCTGTAGGCAAATCCTGCACGACGCACACGGATATTCTCACACAATCCAAGATATTGAACCTGATGAAGTACGCGCTTCTGATCATACTCTGTCGAGCTTCTGTTGTCGTTGGGCTTAATGGTACGAATATAACTGGGGTGGCACTGCATCAGTTTTGAAACAAGAGCATTGCAAGAAGCCTTGATCTTGTCACCAGCAGTAGGAGGTCTCTTTTTAGAGTTTGGATCGATTCGTTCAGGGAATAGGGTGTGTGAGATGAATTGGTTGGTCGAAGAAGCGGCCAGATCCAACAGATCCTTCAACAACGAATCCTTGTTCTTGTCAGTCATGCCATCGATGTTGTAGAGTACTTCTCCTGCGTAGTGGCGAATAAGGAACTTGGATCCACGCGATTCAAAGTGAGCATTCGTTGACAGGAAGCCTAATCTTTGCACAAATGAATTGTCAGCAGCACCAGAGTCGGCGTGGGCAGTAGCACATGCGTCGTTGAGAGCTGCAAACACTCCTGGGGGGCGTTTTTCTTCGATAAGTTCGCACACAACCTTGTTGTTGAAGAACTTGATAGGAGTCCAGTGGATCTGCTCACGCACGTACTCCTCTTGTTCGGCTTTGAGAGTCAGTTCAATAAAGATTTGTTGAAGTTTCTCGTTTACGTAGTTGATACACAATTGTTCAAAGTTGTTGTCATCAAAGATCTCAAATCCGTAAATATCCAATACACCGATCATGTATTGAGCCACACCACGAGCTTCCAGCGATTTGTTTACACGGGTAACGATCCACTCAAACAGGCGTTCGTAGATTGATTTAGCAAGTGCGTTACGTACAGAGTTGGCTTGGGTAACATTCAAAGGCACCTCATACACACTTCCTGTAAAATGATAATAAATATATATATATGTTAAACGATCCAATAATTATATATATATTATTTACCTCTTCTTCCACCACGTTGAGTTTCCATCACACGTTGAGTCAGTGCCTTTGACAATGCTTCTCCATCAACCTCCATTAGATATGCAATAAAGTTTGCCACTAAATAAAAAACAAAAGGGTAAAGGATGGTTTAAAATAATGCTTTTTTTATACAACAAATATTCCTTCAAGTTTTACCATCGCCATCAGAGATTGCAGCATTTCCATTATCGTCTTCTACAAATATGACATTTCCCAACCAAAGAATTATGGAAAGCATTTTGAAGATTTCGTCTTGTTCGGTCTTTTGTAAGCCAACTACTCCCATAGCTTTCTAAATGAGTCATAAACAAAGGGTCAGACCAAAATATCCAAGAGAAAGAGAGAGAGAAAGGAAGACGTATTGATATTTGTAGCATATGCAAATGTACATAGACTTACGATCGTTTCATTAAAATCAGTGACATCGTTTATATCGTCAACATCTAGACAGCCACTGCGACTGGTATATAAGAAACTCTCTGGGCCCTGAAGACCAAAGGTTTCTAAATACACAAAAACAAAAAGATCAGATATTTGCTATATTATACAAAATATGACTCCTTTCTTTTGCTATTTATTAATTTGTTTTACCTTGGTATTCTGGAGGTGCTGCTTTTGTAAGTTGGTAAAAGATGTGAAAGTTTCTTTCATTGTCAATTTGTCCCACCACACGATTCTGTTTAATTATCATCGTTTATTTGCACACACACATATATATTTAGTTAGATGAACTGTCGTGGTTTACAACAAGCAAATATACCTTTTCCAATAGATAATTTGTAATGACCGCACCAACAGGTTCGCCTTGGTCGTTGAATTGAATTTCTAGATATTTGCCCTGTTGACACACACACACACACACATACAAAGATATATAAATTTTGACTGACTCGCCACCTTAAATCACCATAACAATGTAACTTACGTGTCTACTTGAGTTGTTGTTGCGAAGAGTTTTTGCACAACCAAAACTCTCCAGTAAAGGGTTTGTGGCCAGCACCATGTCCTTGATTTCCTGGATAGATGAGCTTTTTCCTCCAGATACAGCTGCAATATATTGCATAATACGCTTTGCAGCTTCAGTTTTTCCGGCTCCTGATTCACCACTACAATGAAGTGGATTGAATTGGATTTAATTGAATTGAATTGGATTGAATGAGTCAGTCAATTTAATGAATAGAATGTATGATTTTGGTCAATAAAGGTATCTAATAAATCCTTGCCTGATAATGATACACTGATTCTCTTTGTAACTATTCATATGGTGGTATGATGCTTCAGCAATAGCAAACACATGCGGAGGCATCTAATATAAACAGCAGATGTTTAAAATCAACTCTATATTCCCCTCCTTCTCTGTTTCTTTCTTTCGCTCTCTGAATAATATCTCTTGGCATATTCGATGTCTATTATACAATACTTTTATTACTTTTATTCATTACCTCCAATAGGTTCTTGCCCTTGTAACTCTCTAATACGGTTTCGCTGTAAATACCCAAGTCTTTAAAGGGGTTGACACTAATGAGGACATGGCCAATATATGTCTTTTATATATATATTTGTGGATATGTTTTTTTTATTTTATTTTATTTTTAAAAAAAAATGGATGAATGAATGAATGAATGATGAGATGATAGATTCCAAATCAGTTTATATCTATCTATATACTTCTTTTTTTTCGCTTCTTCTGGAATTGTAAAGATTAAGTGCTTACGTAAATCTCTTGATTGAGCCATCTTTTCATCAAGTTCTCGTTGATGGCTTCATTGGTAATTTGGGACAACAATGTCATGTCGGATACACCAACTTGTTTCTTCTTGACACCTTCTTTCCAATCAGCCCTTGCGGGTCTGTTGGCCTTGATGACCTTTTTTTCGCCTTTCTTTCCAATGATTTTCTAGGAATGATGTCAGTATTTCTCGGTCGGTTGGTAGAGCTTTAGGATAATCAAAGATAAATAGAAAAGTTTAAAACCTTTGCCATTGGTATTCTTCCTTCTTTTTTTTTGTTGCTGTTACTTTGCGTATGTGTATTTAAATGACTGTAAATACAATGTATAAATGACAATAAAAAAAAAGACTCGAGTGTATGTATGTATATATGTATGTATGTGTGGTTGTATTTATGGTTTGGAGGATTCTAAGTGAGTTGAAAGAAGAGCCAGTTCTCGAGGCAAGAAAGAAAATCGTTGAATAAACACGGGATGTGAAATCGAGGTGAAGGCAAGTTTCCAAATGGAGGGTACCGAAGGAGTCAATGAGGTCATTCTCAAAACTTCAAATTGAGACGAGTTTAAATTTATTTCCTTTTTTTTGTGCTGTTAAATTTTTACTTTTATGTCTCAAAGTACCCTTCCATTGAAACAACTACATTTTGAAACCTTTAAGCAGATTTATGAGATATTAAGCAAAGAACATTTTTAATGTATATATATAGGCTTATATAAAGAGCGGCTGAGAATTATTGTCAGGCTTATTAGAAGATAAAAAAGAAACGTATTACTCTACATTGTAATCTGATATAATTTTATTAAATTAGATACCAGTGTACAATGTATATTACATTCATTCTTAACTTCAATCACCATATCATTTATCACAACTCTTGTAAATTTCTCAATGTGAGAAGGAGTATTGGGTTGAATGGGGTACCATTATATTCAAATTATCTTATGTTATTTCCCCTTTCTTCTTCTTTTCATAGTTCAGTCCATAGTAATGGGATGTCCGATTATCTGTCCAAGACAGTGAATTGAATCCTTTCACCTTCTTTATTATACTTTCATATAATATTTTCATATTATATATACTTCATAATATTTTTCTTCTATCTGCCTCTTAAAATTGTTACTTTCTTGGCTTCAAGTATTCTTATTATTTCTAGCAGGGGGACAATACATTTTTTTCTGCTCCACTTCTTTATGTAGCCATGCCTACGAGACATGCTTTTTTAAAATCAACCCAAGTCTTACGTTCAATACTAAAGCAACAAAGTATAAAGCAAAAACATTTTTTGTTGTCATCTTTTGCGAAAAAAAATATATAAATTTACCATTCTTTTTGAACTAGAAGTGGTCTACAAAAAAAATCTTGATTATTGATTTGTGTTTTCTTTATAATTAAAATCTCTTCAATACAATACATATATTACAATTAGTATTTAAAGGCTTGATGGCTATTGGTTTATTGATATTATATATACATAGGGTAATATTGCTAACAGAGTATCTTTTATGTATTTTATACTTCAAAATATGTGCAAGTTTATGGTCCATAACAAGAAGTATGTGACTAAGGATAAAGAGAAAATTCAAGTGCAAAATCATTAGTCCCTTGCTCAGATTATCAAGAAGCAAATAAGAAAACGAGACCCATTATATATATTTTTCTAAGGGGTTTATAGAGCAATTTAAAGAATATTTGCCAATATTAGCGTGAGATTACTCTCAATTTTGATTAAGAGAAATATGTCAATATAATATGACCACCACCTAGAATTATTCTACATGGTTTTTAACATATTCTTTTCTAATAAAAAATTAAGAGAAAAAATAGTACTCAAAAAGTGCTACTTTCATAAAATTTAATAGCAAATATCATTAAAAGTATTTATTCATGAGAGACTCTATGTATGAGTATATATTGAATATAATAGAGAATTCATATATTGATCATAATAGTAATGTTTAGTCTTGAATATATTCAAGCAAAGTATATTTTATATTAACTTTAACTTTACCAAGATAAAAGTAAACATAGAAAACCTTTGGTAAAGATCACTCACATAAAACCCGAAAATTTTGAATATGGAATATATCAAACAAAGTTTCTGGCTTATGTATCTTATCCTTGGAATAAAAAATCAAATGAGTGTACGTGCGTGCGTTTTTCTTTACAGCTTTAATTAAATTGAACAGCAAGAAGCACAAAATTAGAGGATATTAAACAAACAAGTTTTATCATTTGACTGGACTTTTAATGTTTTGTACAAAAAGAAAAGACCTGGAAAAGCTTAAAGGCAATATGCGTTAAAGAAGGCAAAGGTCACCAATGAATCACTTACTTATAGCTATCCCTAAAGAATACAAGACGAATACAACCTGTTCTTATCGCAGAAAAAACTAAGCATCTCTTTTAAAGCTATCGTGTCGTAACTAGCACATCCTACCATTATAAACTTGAAATTATTAACAGATAAATCCGTCTAAATGTTATATTTAAACTTTCTTTAAAAACTAGGTTTATTTTTTGTCCAGGTTGATTTTCGCTTTATCTCAAGATTATATTAAGCTCGTCTCAATCTTGACAGTTAACCACTCTATCTTTATTTCAATTTCACAACTTATCAAAATGCCCTGATATTTCAACGAAAATGTATGTCAAATTAATAAAAACACACGCACCCACATGCACATGCACATGCATATACATATACATATAGAATATCCATAAAATATAAAGTATCTACCATGACTTATCTTGTCTTGCCTTAACCTAATCGAAATATAATTAGCTATAAATCAAGTATATAACAATAGATAGTAGGTATTCAGTTCAAGACGACTATTCACACTTCTTTAGATATTTGACATTAAACGCACACTGAAAGAGTCTTTTTATGGTGTAAGTAGTCCAGCACGTGATTACTTTAAAAAAAATGACCCCATCCATTGAAAATTAAGGAATAAAAAAAAAGAAAGGTTTTTGACATCTACACATTACATTATAAATCATGGTACTTTTTTCTTCTTCTTTCTGCGATTCTTCAAGCAATGATTAGGACAAAAAGATCTATACCAGATCCTTTCATTCTCTCATGTTCCATTTTTATTATTATTGTTATTATTCTTTTTAAAAATTATATACATACAATTCAATTATTTAGATTCTTTTATGAAATACCAAGTAAGAATTAGCCTAACAATGTGCTCATTACACTGTAGGCAGATAGAGCACCCGAGTCAGCCAATAAAGCAGACAACAGAGAAAAGACACCCACTCTTTCTCAATCAGCACGATCAGGTCTCCAGGTAATCATATAAATCAAGTACATAAAGAATAATAACCTTTTGCTTGCTACTCCAATGAGAACAAATCTTATCATAAGAAGAAAAAAGCATCTAATAAAAAAGATATATAAATGTACATATATAAATGCATATGTATAAATAAAAAAAAACATATAACTCTTGCTATTTTACTATATACATACATACAATAAATCCAAGTAAAGCAAAGTAATGATAGCAGTAGTAATAATAATCTTCTAGTTCCCAGTTGGCAGAATTCATCGTTATTTGAAAGAAAGAAGTCGAAACCACACTCGTGTGGGCTCAAAGGCAGCAGTCTACACAGCAGCAATTCTTGAATACCTAACAGCCGAAGTGCTCGAATTGGCAGGAAATGCAACAAAGGACCTCAAGGTTAAGCGTATTACACCTAGACATCTTCAGCTTGCTATTAGAGGAGATGAAGAACTCGACACTCTTATCAAAGCAACTATCTCAGGTGGTGGTGTACTTCCGCATATTCACAAATCACTTATTGGAAACACCAAGACTGGAAAAAAGATTTAGTAAGCCACCACAAAGAAAATGAGGAAGAAAAAGAAGAAGAAGAAGAATAATAATATTCAACATTCAACATTCAACATTCAATATCAATACCAGTAAATTTCAACAACAACAAAAAAGAGACTTTTCTTATTACTATTCATTACACTCCACAAAAATGCATACATACATACATATATGTATGTATGTATGTATGTATGTATGTATGTATGTATATAATATCTTGTAAATTACATAGTCCAGAAACATCAATTAAAATAACACAAAACAAAACACACAAAAACAAAACAGAATAAAACAAAACAAAACAGAAAATTACCAACAATAAATAAGAAAAGATGTGAAGAACAATAATATGGATAACGAATCTACAAGAAATATATAAATAATACTAATACTAATAACGATAAAGAAGTATCATCGTTTCTAATACTATTTTTTTTATAAAAATATAAAAAATCGATTGTGAGATAACAATAACTTATATATGCATGAACAGGAACATGTTCATTTCCATATTCATGGGCATCGTTTTTTTTTAGTTTTAGTTTACCTCTTTAAAAAAGTCATAATTTACAATGGCTGCTAGTCGTTTTGGTGGTGACGACGATGGATTAGGTTGGCTTGGCGATCTCTTTAATTTATTTGAAGAAGTGGGAGATTGGAGAACAGGTCTCTGCTTGGTCTATAATTCATACATGTAAATCCGTTGTGTACATATTGTGTGTGCTGGTAAAGAGATAAAGTACCTGCTGAGGTTGATTGTGTATGGGAATATTAGATTTTGCCGATGGTGGTACGATGGGCTTAGATACCGGTCTTGTATTATTAGGGCGATTGGGTTGTTGAGATATGGTGTGAGCAAAGAGCGTAGAAGGGGGTTGGTGGGATCTAATCGATTCTGAAGGGTAGAATAAGGAGGGCGACTGGGTCGTTCGTCTTATTGGACTGTGGAATATGGCATTTCTGTTCACATCAAAAGGAACCCAGGTAATGATAATAGTCAGTATTATGGTTAATCTTATTTTTTATGAAATTATATCAACATACGCTTTGATAGTTGCCTTTTTGGTGTCTCGGAACAGTTTGCTTGCTCCAGTTGTCCCTAGATAGAAAGCCAAAAAAATTTTTTTTAAAAAAAACAGACCATAAGGCAAATAACCTGTATATTAAAAAAAAAGAAAAAGAAATACATACTTGACTCTTCATAAGTACGGCCACGAATTGGGCCAACTCCCTTAAGAACCTTGATTGATCTAGCAGCCTTTTCGCTCTGTATTTTGCTGTATTGACTTTTGACCTTTTGGCTCACAAGTTGTCTTTTCCTTGCGGCCTCTTCATATCTTTTCTACAATCCCGCGGTTAGATAATATATACATATTTAGTCATTAGAGCACACGACGTACGAGATAGAGCTGTCTCCACATACGAGAATCCTGATATTCTCCGTCTCTGTAAGCTTCTCTTAAATCGGAGTAGCACATACAATGCGATAACCAAAGTTCTTTTTTTTAAAAAAAAAAAAAATAAAAAAAGAAAAGAAAGTTATAATTTGCTGTGTAAAATAAAATAAAAGTATGCAATATTTACCATCTGATTCTGGTACAAGGTGCTATGTACCATAACGTTTAAAAATCATATGAATAAAATTTCAGGTAATACAGCAGAAATTGTATTGTATTGTATTGTATTGTATTGTATTATATACTATATTATATTATATTTATTACCGGACTTGCCCTCTCGATACGATACAGTTGCTGTGGTGTTGCCCTTTTGAGTGGTTCTTTCAATAGCCAATATGGAACACCACCAACATCACTTAGACCTAAATAAATAGCAGTGTTATTAATATCATTGCTGGCTCAAATTATAGAAATAGTAATAACAAAAGTAATAGTAGTAGTAATAACCTTATGAGCTTATGAGTTTATAAATTCATGGAGCAAATAATATGTATGCTATTTATATAGTTGAAATGTCCCATGAAATCTAAGGAGAAAAAAACTGTGTGTATATGTTTTCGTACCTTCTATATGCTTGGCGATCACTTCTTGGGAGATCATAACAAGAGATTTAACTTGATGAGACATTGGTGCATTGAATTCTTGAATTCTTGAGTATTTTATCCAGTGTGTTTAAGAGGAGAAAGGAAATACCTATAAGGCTTTCGTCCTACTCCCGTAAACAACGTCACACTCAGACTGCAATCTTTAATGTTACCTACTAAGATTTTAAATAAAAGAAAAATAAAATAAAGGCAAGGCAAGGCAAGGCAAATCAAGGCAAGCTTATAATGATATTATCTTTATATGTTTATTTTGTCATAACTCAGGATCTATATTGTGTATATTGAAAGCTCTAAGAAGAGGAGCAGTTGAAATACAAGATTTATTCTGATAATATTACTATTACTACATATATACATATATACACATTGGTCAACTACTACGGGGTATTTATTTATTAAAAGAGCACACTAAATTATAGGTATATATATATTAGATATTAGATATTTAAAAAGAATTAAAAAAATAAGAAGCTGATTCGAATCGACTTGATCACTAAATAATGGTTTATAAGCTTTCTTAAATACTAGATTGTATTGATAAAGAATACAAACTATAGAAATGTACAATATAGGGCCTTGTATTTAATATATTTTGACTTAATTACACAGCCTTAATGTATCCTAAGAAAAAAACTAAAAAAAAAAGAAGAAGAAGAGTATACTACATTAGTTGCTTGTAACTTGAACAACTTCTGACATGAATGTAAATCGTAGAGACTTACACTAGGTTAATGATTTTGATCTTGAAGCCGATTTGATTGTAATACATTATTCATTTTCTGTCAATTATTTGTAGACTATCTATATATATATATATATTCGTGTGTGTATGTGTATTATTAATGATAATAATATACTAATAATTCTTGATCCGCGATTTCTGATAGGTATTGTTACTTGAAAATCAAAATCTGTAGTATTGTGTTTCTGATACTTAACCCTATTATTATCATTACTATCTATAATAACAATATTTATATGTATAGAGACACTTTTGATTTAAAGGTATTAGTCAAATGAAAATTGGTTAGAATCTATACTACAAGACTGATTTGAACAAATGTTATCCATTCAGGCTAGAACAACTAATTATGGTATAAAATCTCGGTTTTATTTATATAAATATATATAAATATATATAAAAAAGTCTAATTCAATGCTGTGTCAGTAGATATTTGACTCAATTCTTGTGTAAGAAAAATATAAAATACTAATGATATATAAAGACATCTTATTTGTATTTCGTCTTCCTAAAAAGCAAATTCTCTCTATAAACTGGCTTGAGTTTGGCATTATATATATACAATGCCATGTTTAGAAGTCTCAGAGGCACAATAATTATTATAGTTGTAAACCCAGCCCATTATTATGGTTTGTTTCTTGCGACAGACACCTGTCTTTGTCAATTGGTCATTTTTATTGTACTATGGTTCACTGTTCGAAAAGAAGACCTAGAAATCTGGGTGAGTATGTTTTTAAATATCCGCCTAAAGACATAAATGCTGTTCTCTTCCTTTTTTTGTTTTTTTTTCTCACATTACTTTTTGATATTTAATATATAACTTGTCATTAAATGCATATAATGGCTTAATAGTGAGAGACTTCTTGCTATTGTAGAAATACTTCCTTAACCAGAGAATGAGTAAGACTGGGAATCTTCTTTTTTCTTAAATATATATATATATATATAATGAGTATTCCAAAACTCTCGGATATTACAAATCAGAAAAAATTTACTATTTAAATAAAAAATAAAAATAAATAAAGATCACCAAACATCAAGAAGGATCTTCATGGTTACAAAGAAGCATTTTGCAGATGTGGTGTACTTGTAAAACATCTTTGTGCTTTGTTTATTATTTTTTTAAAAATAAGTAAATAAATGGAGCTATATAGAGTTGTTGTTTTGTACGTGGTCTTGACCCTTAGTTTATACAAACAGAAAGAAATATTATTACAAGGAAAATAAGACTAACACAAAGCACCCATGTAGTAATCAGTTTATTGATTTTGGTGAATGAAACGAGAGTTACAAGGTTTATCATATGCGTCAATGGTGCAATCAGGGTCACCAAACAGCTATTACAATTATGAGTGAGAAAAAAATATATACAAGGAATGTTGGGGGCTATTTAGACAGGTACACACAAAATGATGAGTTTGAGTGAACAAAATATTAATATGAATTCATATTTCTATATGAAACGGTTGCGGAATCTTGGGAACAAGACATATTCTTTATTTACATATGTACTTTTGAATACCAAATAAACTCATACTCACACACCCATTCACCCACGCTCACGCTCACGCTCACGCTCATGCTCACACTCACACTCACACTCACACTCACACTCACACTCACACTCACACTCACACTCATACTCATACTCATACTCATACTCACACGAATATATAGATGTATATATAAGTATATATGTATATTTATGCTACAGGAGCTATAGAATTCACAAAATAATCACCCATGACTTTATTCATGTTTGGGACCTTGTGACTTTTTTTTTTATCTCAAGATATATGTTATGATACTCTCTATATTGGAACATTGTAACATCACTTGCATAGTTTCTACAAGAATGCACTTGTACCTATCCTCTTATTTATTGCTATGGTTTCTACTGGAAGATACAGAAATTAACTAGTGAATACATACATAAAATCACCCAAAAGTCTGGGAAATGAGTGCCATTTGGCTCAGAAGATTAGATATTGCATGAAACATTATTAAAAAGAAAAAGAAAGGAATAAGCTAACCTGCCTATTTAAAAGATAGTGAGCAACGTTAAACCGAACAACTGAAGAAAATTCGTTAACATAAATGGTAGATATTTAGTACTGAGTACAGTAAGAAATAAATAATAATAAAAATAAAATAAAAAAAGGTCGAGGATCTAAAGCAGTTAAGGCTCTTTTGAAAGCGCTACGAAAAAGGATGTGGAAGAGATAAGAGGGCTTTTAACCCAAAAGAGAATATTTTTGTCGAGACGGTGTTTGTATTTGGATTTGTGGGCGTAGAGGTGTATTAAAAATACACTGTTCCAACAGGTGGGTCAGACCCGGGAATAGAGTTTGTCTATATATTCAGTAAAGGCAAAAGGGCCTCTTTTTATTCTATCTAGAAAACACAGGCATGTAAATTCTGCACAAGAACAAGAACAAAAGCAAAGATAATGTAGAGATAAAAGATTATTACTTGTTTTGATTTGGGCATAAAAAAATAAAATAAGATATTGCTTTGAGTCTGTGTAGCATCCTATTGATCTATTATCTTTTATAATAAATTATAAATCGAAATATCAATCACCTCAATAGGTAAATAAAATCGCAATAATCACTGTATATAACGAATATATATATATATATATATATATATATACAACATACAGACTAATCTAGTATAAAATATAAAAATAACCAAAAAAGAAAAGAAAAAAGGAAATAGAAATCCTTGGGTTTGGGAGAAACTAGGCCTGTTTTTGCTAACACGGAGGTTATTCAATTATATTACATTATAGTCTAGTAAAGTATGGTGCCTTTATCTTTATCTTTCATTCAAAAGAAAATTATATACATATTATCCGATTCTATGCTCCTGTAACATAGGAATACACATATAGTCTCCCAATATACATACGTTCCGAACTGATAATTTCTTTTTAATATTCTTGTGTCTAAGAGGAAGTATATGTGTTCTGAATAGCTCAATATGTATTAAATAACTGAATATGAACTGACAATAAATATAGTAATAAAATTGACTTCTTGTGACAAATATCAGCACAAAAAAAAATCATGTATTACAGCCCCAAAAGAACCCTGGACTCCAGATGGTTCACTTGAGCCACCTTGGAGGCACAAAAAGCGCAATGATTCAATTACAGCAGAGAAAACTGTGTGGTTAAATCAGATCGTTTATCCGTCTAATCTTGTACAGAAAATCCCATTAATACACCATTCTGAAGTAAATGTACAGAGCTCTTTATTAAATTTGCACAGTAACTAGCTCAAATATCTTATTATGTAACTGACAGTAATAAATAGATATACACACAAAGAGAGAGAATGAGTCTGTATGTAGCTTTACAAATCTGCTTGCAGAGCAAAAGAAAAGAATATCAATACACAAAACATTTGGCTTGATCCAATCAAATCTCAAATCTATTACTCTAGCTGTGGTAATCAGTTCAAGTAATATAAAATAAAATAAAATAAAATAAAATAAAATAAAGTGTAGGTAGTACACATATACTCGCTCAGTTTGGAAATTTAGTCTCTATTATGGACTAAGATTCCATGTTGTCTCTCAACAAGTGTAGGACCAATGTCAGGAAGTCAACTGAACCGAATCAATCACCTTCTGGGCCTATATATATTTTCTGTTAAAGATTGATAACTAAAATACACACAAAAAGGTACTATTCAGGGTTACGATTGTCAGTTGAGGGAGAATAAATAGTAACATAATTCTACGACCTTCAAGCTTTAACCTATTGGTTATGCCTCGCGTATTCTTAATTGGTGATCTTTTTCAACTCATTTGGCTTGTGATCCTTCTTTCCGCTTGTACACTGTAGTCGTACACGAGCAATGGCCACTCTATACCTCTGTACAACTTCTTTTGCGGATGTGACAGAATCATCTTTTATCCTATTGGTAGTACTCTGTTTATAGATTATCTGCTAATTTGAACTCCAATGCTATCTTTACTCGAATAACCCAAGGAACCAAGAGCAATTTGATCCAACTGGTTTAGACACATCAAGACTATTTGCTCTATAACTCAAAATCAACAAGAACATCGAATATAAATCTATTAGCAATTCAAATATTTGAATGCGATAATAGTTTTTGATAACCCAAAATCGAAATTGAAATTGAAATTGGATTTTCTATCAAAATAACAGTTGATCCAAGTGCGAATACTTCTTTCGGATCAAAGAGAAGATGGTGATTATAATAATTATAATTATAATAATATTGCAAGCAGCTTCTCAAGCTGAAAAATAGGACAAGGCTCTTTTAGTCGTTATTTTCCCAAATAAGAAGTGCTACGTTGAGTAAAAAAAAAAGGGAAGGAAGAAGAAATCAATCAGCTGACAGACAAAGACAAAAGCGAAACTTTTTTGGCATTTTTATTTTATACGTGTGCATACATACTATATGTACAAATGTACCGTATGTACCTAGTTTTCATAGAAGTACCGTGTAACACGGAACACACTTTTTCTATTGATTGCATTGTATATTTCAAATGTCCTATGCCCTTGTGGGTTGGTTGGACAGAAAGATAGGTCCTATCTAGGGATGTTTTTGGAAATTGTAATCTGCTATTCAATTTTACAAAGAAAGAAAAGAAAAAATAGAATTCATATAAAAAGCCTTGATTCTTGATCTTCTTCTTCATTATCTTCCTTTGTGATTTTCATCTCTTTATTTTAAATATTTAAATATTTAATTCTTTAATTTTTTTTTTGTTACGTTACTCTACTTTATTATTAATAATACTATTAATTGATAATAATCTAATTCACCAAGTCCCTCACTCTACCAACCTAATACCATAAAATGGAAACAACTCTCTCAAAACGAGAGGTATCTTCAAAAGCTGCTAGCTTTGAAGAAGGTGAACGATACCTTGATGAAAAGGAAGAAAAGGGCTCCTTCGTCGATTCCCACAAAGGAACCAGAGACCCAAAGGATATTGATTACGAAAACGAAGATCTCGACCTTGAAATTGTCAACCAGATCGCAAGTGTTGAAGATGACCCAAATACCAAAGTTTTAACCGTTCGTGCCTTCGTTTCTGGCTCTGTAAGTTATCAACGTTTCTTACTGCAAATAAAAATAAAAATAAAACACCTCTTAACCATACCTGCATATTTGTTTGTTTTTTTTTGTTTCGTGTCGTGTCGTTTTTAGCTGCTCGCATGTCTCGGTTCTTCCGTTTACCAGCTGATGCAGTTCAAGCCTGTCCCTGTCCCACTTTCCAACATGTTCTTGTTGATTCTCGCTTACCTCCTCTGCCAGGGTTCAACTCGCGTTTTTAAGACCGGCACTCTTCTCAACCCCGGCCCCTTCAACGTTAAAGAGCACACCTTGATCTATGTCATTGTTTCTTCCGCAAACGCATCTGCTTACGGTACTTACATTCTCGGTGCCCAGCAACTTTACTACACTGAATACCCCAGTGCAGCTGGTGGTATCTTCTTGCTGTTTGCTACTCAAATCATCGGTTACGGTATTGCTGGTCAACTTCGCCCATTCCTTGTCTACCCCTCTCAAATGATCTGGCCCACCAGTCTTCCCACCGTTTCTTTCCTCAAGACCTTCAACGGTCCTGGAAATGAAAGCAGATTCCTCATCAAATTCTTCTTCGCCGTCTTCTTCGCTGTCTTTGTCTGGGAACTCGTTCCTCAGTACATGTTCCCTCTCCTCGGTGGTTTCTCCATCGTCTGTCTCGCCAAGCGTGACAGTGTCTGGGTCCAGCGCATCTTTGGTGGTATATCAGTTAACGAAGGTCTTGGTATCGGCTCCATCAGTTTGGACTGGACCAGTCTGTCATACTATGCTCCTCTTGTACTGCCCTTGTATGTCCAATTCAACATCTATGGTGGTATCTTGATCTTGTGGCTCTTGGCTCCTCTTGTTTACTACTTTGATGTCTGGCACGCCAAGAGCTTCCCCTTCTTGTCTAACGGTCTGTACCAATTGAACGAAGAGACTGGTGAAGCTGTCCGTTATCCCCAGGCTCTTGTGCTCGATGAACTCAACAACATCAACCTTACTGCTCTCGAAGAAGTCGGTCGACCTTACTATGGTGCTATCTACGCTATCCAATACATCTTCATTAACTTCGGTGTCACTTCCATGGTCACCCACGTCATCCTCTACCATGGTGCTGACATCAAGAACATTGCTTTTGCCATCTTCAGACGCAAGGAATCCAAAGAGCAAGATATTCACAACCGTCTCATGTCTGCTTACAAGGAAGTTCCCGCCTGGTGGTACTACATTATCTTTGTTTGCGGTATTGGACTCAACATTGGTATCGGCTATGCTAACAAGAGTCAGCTCCCATGGTGGGGTTTCTTGATTGCCATCATCTTGTCTACTGTCTTGTCTCTTCCCTTGAACATGATTACTGCCATTACTGGTACTGGTTTCGGTCTCAACGTCGTCGCTGAGATGATTTGCGGTTTCATGCTTCCCGGTAACCCTGTTGCTAACATGTACTTCAAGACCATTGGTTACAACACCATGTCCCAGGCTGGTGCCATGGCAGCAGATCTTAAGATTGGTCACTACCTCAAGGTTCCCCCAAGAATCGTTTTCTCTGCTCAGATGCTCGGTACCGTCATTGGTTGCATCTTCAACTACATTGTCAACTACACTATTATCAACTCCAAGAGAGAACAGCTTTTGGACCCCAACGGTAACATCTGGAGTGGTTCCACTCCTCAAACTATCAACTCTGCTGCCATCACCTGGGGTGCCATTGGTCCCATGTTCATGTTTGGTCCTGGTACTCTTTACTACTTCTTCTTGTGGGCCTTCATTGTCGGATTGTTCCTCCCAGTTCCTTTCTGGCTTCTTCACAGATTCTTCCCCAAGGTCGGTTTTAACTATATTAACGTTCCTATGATCTTGGTCGGTCTCTGTACTCTTCCTGGTTCAAGTTCATCATGGATTACCCTGTCTTGGGTTATCATTCTCGTCAGTCAGCTTTACGTCAAGCGCCGCTATAGCAAGTGGTACGTCAAGCACAACTACTTGATGTCTGCTGCTTTGGATTCCGGAGCTTCCCTCATGTCCTTCTTGTTGGCCATGACTGTCTTTGGTGGTGGTGATGGTATCGAGAGACCTTTCCCTAACTGGGCTGGTAACAACAACGATATCCCTTACTACGATTACTGCTGCGCTGATTGCGAATAATTCTTACTTAAACATATCTTAATTACTTTTATTTATCTACCCTTCTTACTAAAGAAGCATATTCACACCTTATTCCCTATATTTTCTCTCTTCTTACTATTCTAATGTACGGACAAGTTTATTATCACTGTCCTTCTCGAGCAGGATAACTCGAGTAGTAATCTAATTAAAAGAGCTATACTTTAACAAATAATAAAATAAATTCATTTTGACTTTTTATCGGTCACTTCAATATACTAGAAGTCTATATAAAAAAAGCATCTTTTATATTTTATTATGTATCGAATAATCTTTATTAAATTTAGGCGGGTAATTAATTAATATGTCGTTACCGAGATACAGTGTTTCTACTTGAGATTGAGACGATGCTAGTTTTCTTTTTTGGACAAACGAAAAAGAGAATTGAAACACAAAAGAATAAAATTTGGGATAAAAAGGGGATTTAGTTGAGACAAGGTAAAAGTAACTAGAATATTCTTTAAGTTCGCCCACCGGAGTGAGGAGCAACCACGTTCATTGTGGCGCTTTTTGTTGTTGTTGTTGTTGTTATTGTTGTTGTTGCTGTATTTGGTCTTGGTCTTGGTTGAGGAGTAAACATTTCTGGCCTACCATTGCCGCTCCAAATTTCCTCCACAATATAGAGTATGTTTCTTGCCGCTATGGCATCCCTATTCCAAAAAAAAAATTACAGTTGTTACAAACTAATATTGAATGGATAGGTCTGTCATTGGAATTTCGGAAATATCTTGGGTCTTTGGTCTTACAGAAGTTGCAAACCTACACAATCAATATTGAAAGGATAAAACTTCAAAGAAAAGGTGCACAAATACCTTTGACGTGTTAAATTCATTGGTGTCCAAAAGGTACACTTCTCCGATCTTTTGCTTTACGAGAAGATGCTTGTAAGCTTTCTCGGGTACTCCATGCCGGAAACTGCGAAATCTGACACTTGACTTGTCTGCAAGCCCATCTCCAAAGACAATTAAGGGCATTTTAGAAACGTCTCCCGCTCTAAAGACACGCCGGTGAGAGTTTCTGTAATATTTTAAATTATTAAAAGTGAAATGAGATTCAAGCAGTAAGTAATTCTGTTTTTTTTTGTATGATTACCAAATGAAAAAGACAGGCTTAATTGACTGTGCTTTTTATAAACTATTAACCACTCTATTATTAATACTTTTTAGCAGAATCTCATTTTTTATTTTACCTTGTCTCAACTAAATCCCCTTCCTATCCCAAATTTTATTATATTTTGTCTCAATTCTCTTTTTCGTTTGTCCAAAAAAGAAAACTAACATCGTCTCAATCTCAAGTAGAAACACCATAATGTTCGGAAATCGGGAACTTTATTACTATTACCGGACCTGTGGTACAATTAACAAAAAAAAAGACGTTTTTGATTTTTGATTCTTGTGTTTAGATTTTAGATTTTAAATTTTAGATTTTAGATTTTTTCTTTTAGTAATCTGAATGTGAATCAAGCAATGTAGACTCAACGTGAGAGAATATGGTAATTATCGTGCTCATTGTACAACACATCATTACAAACCAGTCAATTGTTGGCACAATTGATTGTACCTGATAGCTATTTTACGAATCCATATAATTTATGCTAAGCAGTTGAAATTCCCGATAATGGTTTATCATGTCAGTTGTATTTACTTGTCTGTATGGCTTTATGAAGGGTTGGTTTTGGAAACCAAGCATACTGATATTTTATAATTAAAGAAGTTTATATTTATAAGAAAAATAAAGGTGTCTGTGGTATCAGATATTTAATACTATATTAGCACATTCAATTATTAATGATTTTCAGGAGTAATAACGTGTGGCTGGAAGTACATGTTGAGTATTAGAATGGAAGAATATCAACAAGGTTACATGGTCTTGGCATATTTAGTATGTATGAAAATCTACTGAGGTATCTAATGTATCTAGTGTATCTAATGTATTTAAAGACGATAATAAACATGCATGTCTGTTTCATTTAATCTAGAGCTTAATAAAATATTGGGATTCTTATTTATATAACCTTTGATTTGGTCTGTCCTATATTTTCCCTTCTTCTTTCTGTTCTTATAAACGACGAGATTTTTTGAGGTGTGTATAAAAGTACCCTTAAAGCTTTGTACAATACACCTGTATTTAACCTCAATTCGACTGAGCAGTCGTTAAATTCATTTATATATTAAACCTTGTGAAATGTGTAGCTTGAGGCTTGGTATTATACTTATCATTAATTAGCTTACCCACTTTAGGTCTCATTTATTTCCTAGAAAAAATAAATAAACATATCTGGAGATATTGCCAAGACATATCCACACGGTTAATGTCAGATATTGTTAATTCTACAAGGAAAAAGAAATAAAGGAAGCGAAATATGAGCTTGTGTATATTTTAGAAGCAAAACAAAAGGGAAACACATGTATACTAGCAGTTACGCCCTTTATCTATCACAAGGCGATGCACGTTTATCACTTAAATATACTGCAGAAGGCGCTAAGAAGCCTGGGCAGTGGAACACAATATTCTAAATTGCGCTGAATTATTCTCTTGGCTGACTGTTTGATATATCCCTGGGTTGACTATCAGACACTGTTCTTTCTTGCTTAACCATTAAAATATAAAAAAAGCCCGATATTTACGCCTTGAGCTACTTCCTTTCTTTTTTCCTCTAATATATATATATAATACAGTCAAACCAAACCAATACATAAATCCGACATATAGACATAAACAAAGCAAAAATGACAGTGACTCAAGATGAACTTTATAACCACGATGACAAGCAAGATCACACAGACATGAAATCGGCATCCTGTAATGCACAAGACTGGAGAACACCTATCCGACATTCAGGGCGTTGGTTCAAGGACAACTATGGAAGAACACTGTTGATGCGCGGTATCAATTTGGGTGGCTCATCAAAACTGCCAACCTATCCTTACTCAGGATCTACTCATCTTTATGACGAAAAACTCTTTTGGGATCATCGAGGTGTCAGTTTCGTCAATCGGCCTTTTCCTCTAGAAGATGCACATGAGCACTTCTCACGTCTTCGTGCCTGGGGTTTGACTTTTATTCGTTTGATTGTGACCTGGGAAAGTTTGGAACACTCTGGACCTGGCATATACGATGAGGCTTATATCGACTATCTACGTCAATTAATTGAAATGATGCCAGCCTATGGCCTAAAGTGTCTAATTGATCCTCATCAGGACACTGTAGGTGAATTGTTAAATACAAATATAAGAATACCAGAATATTTCTTTTTCTAACCATCCTGTTCTTAGTGGTCTCGCTTCTCTGGAGGGTCAGGCGCTCCCGGCTGGACCTTTGAAGTAGCAGGCATGAATATGCGCTCTTTCAAAGAAACGGGCGCAGCCTATGTTCACAACACAAATGTGGTTCCTGGCGACCCCCTTCCAATGGTAAGAAAATAGACTTCAATTCTACATATACATATACATTTATAGCTTCATTTATTGAAAACCCAATAAAATCATAGGTTTGGCCAACCAACTACACAAAACTGGCAGCATGCACAATGTTTACTTTGTTCTTCGCCGGTGACACATTCGCACCCAAACGTCTTTATGAAGGACAGACGATCCAGAAACTGCTCAACACATCGTTCATTAATGCCTACCAGCATCTAGCTACCCGTCTGCTAGGTCTTGAGGCTATCATGGGGTTTGAAGTTATGAATGAGCCTCACCCTGGCTACATCGGTCTTAATAGTCTAAAAGAATTTGATCCAATTTCAAACTTAATTTTCGGAGATTCCCCCACACCGCTACAGAGTTTTGCATTGGGTTCTGGTATCCCTCAAACTGTTGGTGTTTATATCAAGTCCTGGCCATTCCCAACCAAGAGATCACACGATCGTGTTATTAACGAAAGCAAGACTTCTGCGTGGATCGACGGCCAGTCTTGTGTCTGGAAAGAGCATAACGTGTGGGGTGTGAACAAATCTACCGGAGAACCTGAACTATTGGACTCGGCCTATTTTAGCAAGCATCCTTCTACAGGTGTCAAGGTCGATTTCTATAAAGACTTTTACATGCCATTTGTAAATTCGTATGCAAAGGCTATCCAAAGCGTCAAAAGTGATTGGTACTGCTTTGTGGAACCCCTGGCTAACGAGGTATGATCTTGGGGTGCATGATTGTACATTATCTTTTTCTTTTTTCTTTTTTCTTTTTTAACACTTCATCTATATCTCTTAGAAATCACCAGTATTGACAGAGACGGATCACCATCACAATATGGTATTTGCTCCTCATTGGTATGATCTTAATTGTGTGTTTTATAAAAAGTTTGATGGAAGAATGACCCACGATGTACAGTCCCTCCAGAATGTAAGAAATATCTTGTGTAAAACATTGCATTGCATCCAACGTCACTCTTATCAAACTTATTGTAACTGATCTAGGGTGGCAATGTTCTCACATCGACATACTTTGGTCGAAAGGGAGCCAAGAAAAACTACCGTGGTCAGATCCGTAACATTAGAGAAAATGGTCTCAAGAGTATGGGTGAAAAGCCCTGTGTACTTGGAGAAGTGGGTATTCCAATGGATCTCAATCAAAAAATTGGATTTGAGACGGGAGATTATACTAGCCATATCCATTTTTTGGATGCTGTGATTTATGCGCTTGAAACCAACCTGGTCAACTTCACGTGAGAATTTATTTATTTTTGGTTTTTTTGTTGGGAACGAGTGTCGGTTATATCTAACTATCTTAAACTTTAGTCTTTGGAATTATGATGTCTGTAACGACCATGAGTTTGGAGACCATTGGAACGGAGAGAACTTTTCATTGTATTCTAATGCTATACAACCTAGCAGTGATGCAAAGAGCTGTCCCTTAAACATATCGCCTTCTGCTATCGAGACCGCGGAAAATGATCTGCATGACCAACTCCATGAAGGAGGAAGGGCGCTTGATGCTGCTCTGGTAAGTTTACAAGAAGACATATTTATTTCCTCTAATTAACATTGTTCCATAAGCGTCCGTATGCATCGAAAGTAGCAGGAACACCAGAAACTTCTGAATTTGATATGGACAATCTCGAATATACCCTTATCTTCAAGCCCTTTACAGAGCATGAGATAGAGAGACTAAAAAAGGAGGGTTACTACACCAGCAACCCTCTTTTCAAACGGACAGAGATATTTGTCCCCAATCACCACTTCCGTAATATTCAGATCAGCGTCCAGGTGACGCACGGTGATTGGGATTATGTTCCCGAAAAACAAACACTCTACCACTTTTGCCGTGAAACCACTCACACTTCTGTTACCATTCAATTAAAGGCCGTCAAGGAGAAGCCTACCGATAGTCCCTGCACAATTATGTAGCTTTGCGTAGATATTTTGAGTTTTTTTTCCCTTATATATTTCATTGAAAAACAAATAAATGAATTTTATACATATACATATTTATATATGTACACACACACATATATATATAGAGAGAGAGAGAGAGAAGGGGGGAGGAGGAAGAGATTAATAGAAGAATAAAGTCTACGCTTAATAATAATAGTAATAATTTAAAGCTTAATACTGGGTTAAGATTATTTCAGCTATACTCTGTACATCCTATTCGTGTGCTCTTCTTTTTCTTACACTTCTTCTTTGCATGACGAGAGCAGTAAGTTTTTAAATAAATATACAGCAAGAACTGATTAAAGGACAATAAACAGCGACCTTTTTCAACCACCCCAAACTCTTTGGCAAAGACTGGCGGACTTGTCGGTTCTTCCGGAGAAACAGCCGAAATTGAACAGTCCTTCTCCTCATTTTTCCCTCGTACACGTAGTGCGTCGATAGGAAGAAGTCAAGCAGGGCAGTTACCTCCAATTCAACACGCTAATGCATTGCAAGATTCTGATTGGGATACCGAAGAGATTCCTGATAGAGATGAGCTCCAAACAACTTCAGAACCATTTCGACGTTATGAACTTATGACTGAGTTGTATGTAGTCCAAGTTGCAATCTTGCACGTCAACGCAAATTGACATTCATTGTCCATTTAGCACTAATCTAAAGAATCCTGGACATTGCCCTTTGGGGATGTACATGTCACCCTCAGCTGATAATCCGAATGGTATATGATTACACAATATTTGTTCGTGAAAATCATATTTATCCCAACATTAGTATGGTTTGGAGTTTTATTTGTCAACAAGGGCTTTTATCGGGCAGGCGTCTTCAAATTTCGTTTAGTGATCCCAGAGAACTATCCAAACAATCCCCCAACTGTAGCTTTTATGACGGACATGTTTCACCCACTTGTAGATATCAATGGAAATCTCAATCTAGCCCAAAGGTTCATGACATGGCGACCTTATCAAGATTATATTCTGCATGTCTTGCATTATGTCAAGACGATATTTAAACGAGCAGTGTTGGACGGTTTACTCGATAAGCACTGTACTAACAAGGAAGCCTACAGACTGTGAGTTGTGCAATATAACAATAGTAACAATAAAGATGTATATATGCAATTCAATAACTATCCTGAAATATTATAAATATCTCATCTTCATTATTTTGTGCTTAGGTATCGCAAGGATCCCACTGTTTTTGGTAAACTAGCTCAGCAATGTGCCCAGCTTTCAATTACGGCATCATTTTTATTTGATACATTTCCGGACAATAATCTGATTCGATTCTCTGCTCTAAGCGAGACCAAGTTTGGTAGGCATGCCTTTTAGTCTCAAAAGCATGATAAACTTGGCTTTATATATGTATTTCTCTTTCTCTTTCTTAAAAATGTAGATGAACTTAAGGCACAGATTATGAGAAGCAAATTTGTAAGTGACCATTGTCGAGGGGTTTCTCTTAGGACTCACGCTTCAATAGAATTTGTTTGAGGATAATGACGATGAAGATGATGAAAACACGATTGAAAACCAGCTTCGTAATCGATACAATGATCACCTCACGGCCAAAGATAAAGTGTAAGAAGCAGCTTTAATAATCAACTTTCAAAGGAAAAGTTTATACATGTAAACACAAGAATATTAGCTTGCTTGACCCATTATCACAACAATATCAAAACTATATATTATAAGCCAAAATTAAGAATGGCTTATTAATGTAACTATAAATACTTTTTTTTTGGATATTGGATATTGTACTTGGATTACCCGGACTTGAAGGTCTAGGTCAGGTAGCTTTTAATTTTTATTAGATACTTCATCACTTTTAGATTTTCTCAGTAATACAAAGAGAATGTTTGGCAAAGCGTATGGAGCTATCACTGTAGTAAATGGCAGACATTATAATTCCTACGGTCACGGAGTTATAATGTCTGCCAATAGAATCTTGGATTTTAGTAAATTAAAAGTATTTACAGCGAATACTACTTATGGGAGTTAAAATTACTTTTTATCTAATCCAATAAAATCGTTTAAAGTAGCAAAATTATACCATTTTTAGGTACATATTTCGCTTTTTATAACAAATTTGGATAGTACAATTCGTTGGATTTCAGATTATTTTTGCATATAATCCAATCAAATTTTCTAAATATGGCAAATCTATACCTTTTTTTAGATATCTCTATTCTTATAATTGGTTCAACAAATACACGGTTTTATATTGGAATTTTATAGTTTTTATTGATCAAAATAATACAAGTTGAATATAAAGAAGTATGGAAAGAAGAAGTACTATTTTTTTTATGATATTTAGTAACAGTTTAAGCTATACATTTATTAAGTAATATACATATATCTATTTCTATGTAACACTTACATTTTTTATCTACAAAAAAAGGCTATTCTCTAAGTACTATGATATTGATGAAGATATGTATATTGCTTAATTAATTCTTTTTATCAGAGTATAAACCTGCTTTGTGTTAACATTGTCATGTCTGATTCCTACTTTTGAAAAACAAGACAGATTCCTTGCAATTCTCTAAATCTACCGAGATTTCTAATGAGCATGCGAGCAATCTTGACAGCCAAATTGTACTTGATGCATATATTTTTCTGTCAATTCTTCTCAGATTGCTTTCTTTTATCAACTTTGCTGATTCGTATTTTATTAACACTAGCCTTCATAGTTATTAAGTGTGTTCCTTTTAGAGACTTTTAATAATTTTAGACCTTGTGAAAGAAAATAGAAACAAGTCCTTTTAGATGTACCAATCTAAATTGTTTGTAGAACATGGACGGGTCAGAGGTTATGCATCGTTTGTAGAATCGGGATCTTGCTGTTGTCCTGAACTTCCGACATATACTTGACAATCTGAGATATGATGGGATTATACCTGTAAGGTTCACCCGCGTTATTCGGATTGGATGTATCAGAAGACAAGCAGAAGAAGATCTCCAGGAGCGTCGTCGTTTGAGACAATGACTGACTAGAGTTCAAAGAAGATAAAAAAAATCCGTCCTGGCTACCGCTTAGGACCCACCCAAGCTACCGCTGGTAAGCCATTAGATTTGAATAACTTGGTATTTAGTTTTGTAATGGGTTGAAAAAGCTAAGAAAAAGATGTTTTGCTTTGACTGCAAAAAACACGGTGGGGTAAAAAAGAAAGTAGAATATAAAAGAGAGCGAGAGAGAAATTGGTGCTTAATTAAAATTCAACATTAGACACTTTAAACCCCGGAAAACTTGCAATAATTCAGTAAAATCGCCTATTTTTTTTCTATAGGGTATATTGCGAGCAAGTGGCTATCTTCCGATTTTCCTACAAACTCACATGCAACACCATGTGTGAAATAAAAATAGTAAGATTCAGAGAATATTTTCAGGGCAACAATACATGAAAGTCTACTTCTATAATCCAGTCACTTTAATATGTAATGTCTAATGATAACTAACCTGGCCTTAATTGTATCTGAAGACATAAATAGTAAGATATCAGTGTCATTTTTGTACTGATCCGTGTATACTTTTATTGATCAACCGAATCATTTATTACCATAATAGCTTAATACTCAAGTTATAAAAATTAACTAAGGCTCTCTTTTTGTATAAAGCTAAGCTTTAAGAATTGACCGCCTATCCACATTAAGGATTAAAGAATCCTTTCTTCTTCTTTTTTTTTTGCAAAAACGTCGACATTGCTTTTCGCACCTTTCAGAAGTATATCGCATAATCCAGACGCAGCAGCTTAACGCTCTGCTTAATACACTCTGGTAAAGATTATTCCTTAAAATAAATTCTTTGCAGAAGAAATCATTATTTATGGAAAGTTCTCGAGTGTCTAGTTTGTGACTTAAATATCATACATTTTGATGATATTAAATGCATTTAATTTATGGGAAAACTGCTATCATAGATATATAAACAAGCAAACAAAAAACTGCAAGTTTAAGAATCTGCATGGAATACATGGGAAAACATGATGGTATTGCTTAAGTAAAACTCCAATTTGTGCAGATTTATGCACTTTTTTTCATTAAATCATATAATGATAACACTAAACTCACATTTAAAGACATACCTTTAATCTTAAATAACAGTCCTATCTCTCTCCGTATGTATAAGCAAGCTAAGGAGATATTAAATGAATATGTTTAACCTCTTTTTTCATATCATACAGCTACATTATGAATCATCTAGAAAATAAGTAATATTATATGTATTAAACATATCAAATCTTAGGTTACACATAAGCACTTTGATCTTTAGGTGGTGCCAAACTCGATGGTAATTGTTAAATTACTTGGTGTTATTTGCTGCCATAAACCGTATTAAGTTTTATATTTGATCTTGTTTGTTTGTTTGCTTTAAGCATTGAATTGAATGGAGTCCAAGTAAATAAATGTTATTATGTTGTATATTTTATAGACAAGGTGGAAATTAGTAGTAGCAGTAGCAAGTAAGTAAAGTATTAAAATGCAATAAGGCACTTCTTCCTTACAATATAGAAAAAAAAAGCGATTTTAGTGAGATTGTTGCAAGTTTTCTAGGGTTTAAAGTGTGTTTTACAGTGGGATGTTAATTCAGTACTAATTTTTCTTTCTTTTATATATATTCCACTTTTTACCCCACCATCTTTTTGCAGTCAATACAAAACACCTTTATAAAACATGCTGTGACATAAAAACACTCCTAAATGGAATCAATGGAATTTTTTAGTAATAAAAAACGGCTTGGCAGAATTTACGATGGTTTTATACTGATATTCAGCTGCTGTACTGAGACTTAGAATTATTTTTAAAAGAGTAAACACCAAGTGATTTCTAACTACACTAATATTAAATACTATAGCTATACTACAATACTGCTACGTATGTGAACATTAGTGAAAAGGTATTATTAATGTTAAGATATTTTAATGGTCAATTACTAATCAAAATTCATTTCAATCATAATTAAGCTAGCATCATCTAGACTATTAAAGATATATATAGTCAAAATAAAAGTATTTTTATAGTGTAAAAAGGATCGACTACAAAGCTTTATGTTATTTAATGTTTACACACTAGCATCTTTGCATGTCAAGTTGGTAATTAGTAAATATGGTAATTAGCAGCAGATTTTTTTCACACAATGACAAGAACAAGAGTATTTTGCTGCGATGCTAGTTATTTCTCGTTTCTGGTCTATTGTAAGGAATAAAAAAAGTTATCCTTTGCTCAAGAGTAATGCGCATGAACTTGATAGCATTAACCATCCTTTCGTTTTCTTGAAACGTTAAAAACTGGACATATTAAGCGCCTATTTAAAAATAAAAAAGCGAAAGCATGTTTACTATAGTTTGCAACACCGAAAGACACTCAAGCTGGCTTTGACATCGTGTTGGTCTTTACTCATACTAGGTAAGTAATGAATGTAAAGGCAGAGTTAAAGAATAGGGAAATAGATAAGAAGAGACGTAAACCTTTAAAAGATGTACGCTGATTCAGATGACATCAGCATTTATCTGTGAGGTAATCACTCATCAATTACAATCTTTTTATAATTGAAACAAAATAGTCGATTCCTTCATGCGTAAATATTTTATTACATAAATTTGTCGACATCTTGAATCATTTTATGTTACATGAAACTTGTATATTGCTGCTGTTTTTTCTGCTTTAAAAATGAATACATTGGTACCCAAGAAAGAAAAGATAGGAAGAGTATGCACCTCAATATGTATCTGAGATAGCAGAATGGCTGAGACTTATATATCTAGTATCATTACCTAATGTACTTCTTTACTAAATACGCCTCGAATCAGTTCTAGGCAAACATATTTGTATAAACTGTCAGTTTATTCGTTATCTATAAATAATTTAAACTGATCTGCATTAAAGATCTTTCAAAGTGAGATTCAAATAATAATAACTTAATTGAAACAAATTACCTCAAACGAATCTCGACAAAAAAAAAGAAAAGTAAAAGAAGTACAGGCGTACGTAGATCAAAAGCCCTCATTAAAGCCCCATAAGAAAATTCTTACGAGATCTCTTACTAAAACCGCTCTTCCTTCGTTATTTTTACCATGATGTAAACAAAGCAAAAGTATTAATAAATGGCTTAATAAAAATACGCAGAGAATCATTTTCACTAACTCATGTTTTGTTATGGACATAGCTCAAGTACTCGGTGTTTTTTTTTTAAAAAAAAAGCCGTTATATGTATTCTAGAATCAAACAAGTTTAAAATCAATTTATTAATACCAATACATACAAGCAATGTCATTAATTGGTTAATATGAACGTCAACTTTTTACTATCTTCGTACTATTTATAATATATACATATATTGCGTGTGTGCATTCGTATTGCATAGGACAAATACAGGTTATTGAAAGGATGTTTTTTTTTAAAGAACTATATTACTCAAACCCTGAACGAAACAAAGTTAACAACAAACTTACTTAGTTATTCGTATAATTGGTATTATAAGTCAAGCTTAAAAAATACTGTAATCACTAGAGGCTGATTCATAGCAACAAACCATTATATGAGCTTATTTTACCCAAGTGTACAGAAACTTTGATAGAACATACTTATTTAAATAAATAAAAGTACATATTATTCGGATTAGAAATTCTCGTCCCACTAAATAATGTTAGTAATATTACTAGTTACTCCATTAAAAAAATTGTTTCAAGAATCAATCTTACATCACCAATAGAATATGTTTATTATATAAAATACAGTAAAAAATCTGTATAGCTTTTCTTAACAATTATAGTCAACTGCTGCTGCCTAAAATGGGTGTAGTTAATATGCGTGAGTATTTTTGGAGCCTTAATTAAAAGAGTAAGAAAAAAAAACTTCTGGAATTGTGGGCAATTGGCTAAAAACCTTACTGGCTATGGTCGTATTTTTTTTGTTAAAGAGAACGTATACTGAAACCTGTACTTTATGTATGCATTAGGTGTGTGTACCATCGCACAAAGTGCTCTTCTGGGGGCCATACTGTTTCACATTGATTTTCAACTATGAATTGACTGAATACTAGATCTTTAAAAATCACTTCTCCTTCAAGCTATTATCTCTGAACCATCATGGCATAATTCGTAGCTTGATAAAAATATTAGGGTAAATATCTTGGTATAAAAAGTCTGGGCGCAAATATAAAAGATATGAAAAATTACAAGTTTGTATGATTCATAAGAATATTGAATATTTTTTGAGTATAAGCAATTGAAGATAAAGTTGTATATGGTAATTTATGACTTTACACAAGCATATGATTCACTTTATACAATCAAATTAAATCCTCTTCGCTTTTAAATTATATAGAATCTCAAAGAGAACAATACATAAACAAATGAATAAATATAAAGACTAAACTGTACTAGAGTCATATGATGTTCATATAACTCAGGAGTAAGATCTGTAAGATACAGAACATTAGCTTTTGCTTAGTCTTAAAGCAAAAAAAAACTAATGCGTGTAATGTGGCTTCCATAATTTGATAGAGGAGTCAAAATAAGCGATCCTCTATGTAGCACCAAGATTACTCATTCAAGTAAACTAAGTATTGGAGTATTAAACAAGAATCACAGAATAATCTCTACATGAGCTAAGAATCTATGCTTCTCTAGAATACCATATAATTCTATAGATAAATATCATCTCTATGATTCGCTTCCCAAGATCAGAAAGTATATACACTTACTACGTACCTACACTATGAGAAAAGAGTGGTGATTCCAATGAGGATTTTGGAGAATGTCTATAGCGCTTTCCAAAATCAGCACTAGTATCACTACTCTTTTCTCATAGTGCTTACATATATAACTATATTCAAGTAATGCAATACATCACCCATTTGTAGTCGAACAGGCTTCCTTCTTATACTGGGACAGTGCCACCTTGGCGTAGAACTCTCCCAATTAGGCTGCCCTTCTTGTGACTGCGTGTCTTAAAGGATTGACCAATATAACATCACTGTCTTTAGCTTTCTTCTTTGCTTCTCTTTGCTTTCACAAACGAACAAAAAAAACAGTATAAAATAGTTATTCCGGAATAAACGTTTAAAAATACAGATAAAGAAATGAGTCTCCCTGTAAGAAAAGTTAAGAACATTGAATAACAAAATTGCAATTGACGCTCCTCCTTTATCCCATTGAACATTATGCCGCTTTCATAATCAAGTGTGCTACAAAAACAGACGACTCGGGGATTTCAGACAGCGACGACTCTGTATTTCAAGGTAGTAAAGATTTGATCCTATATATATATATATTGATCAAGTACGTGGATTAACTGAAGAGTACCAGACTACGATAGTAGCGAAGACGATATAGATGACTCTATATTTGATCAATACATGGATGATAGCCAAGGAAAAAAGGAGTTCGAAGTTGAATACACTGTCAAAGATGCCGCAAGTCTTGTCGAAATGCAAGCCCAAAGTATTGATTTAGTCGCGTCTGTTCTTGGTAAGCTGATATAAGAGATATACAAAACAGTGATTAAATAAAATAATAAATCAAGATATGTATATATACTTATATGTATTTACCATTGATCGTTTCAGGTATTCAAAAACGATACGCTACATCATTATTGTGGCAGTTTAGATGGAATACAGAAATACTATTTGAAGAATACATGGAGTCTCCTGAAAAAGCATTGGAAAAAACAGGCATAAAAACCATGGAAGAAATAAAGCTACTTCAAAAGAAACGAGAACTTGGATCACAATCAGAAGAATTTGAATGCAAAATCTGCTTCGATGACGACCCAGAAATGATGACTGTTGGAGTTGGATGTGGCCACAGATTTTGCATCGACTGCTACAGAAAATATATAACATTCGAAATAACCGAAGGAAATAACCGAAATATTACATGTCCTCAAGAAAAGTGCAATGCCATAGCTGATACCGAGACTATCGAGGCTCTGATGATAAAAGATGTGTATGAAAAGTAGGTATTCACAGAAAAATCAGATAAAGCAGGTCTAATTGACAATTGTTTACTAGACATAAGCTATTTTTAAATCAGCTTTTTGTACAAGATCAGGCTTCTATGAGATGGTGTCCTGGTATTGACTGCGAGTATGCAGTGGAGTGTAACATTCCTAGTACATCGCTGGTTTCTATAATCCCAATAGTAAAATGCTTTTGTGGCCATGAGTTTTGTTTTGGATGTGGATTATCTGACCATCGGGTAGCTCAAATTGCATTCTGTAGTTAGTTAACTGATATTAAACACATGCTTATTTTTTTTTCTTTCTCTCTCTATCTATCTCTAGCCTGCCATTTGCGCCTTGGTTAAGAAATGGATGGCCCAGTGTGCCCAAGATCTAGAAACCTTGAGCTGGATTAAAAACTCTACGAAACAGTGTCCTAAGTGTGAAGCACTTATTGAAAAGTGGGGTGGATGTAACCATATGACATGTAAAAAATGTCGTCATGGTTTTTGTTGGGTTTGCAAGGGTAGGTTCTATAAATTATTATTTGATCAGAGCTAAGTAATGTATCTTTTTGCTATAGAACCCTGGAGAAAACACGGTTTAGACGCTTACACCTGCCATAAGTATAAAGCAGAGTCTGTGAACTCTGATGACTGCTCAAAATACGCAAGAAGAAATGTGGAAAGATACTTACATGTGAGTCTACAAGTCCCGGAATATGTAATAGACTTAATCTGTTTTTGTTGAAATAGTATTATGAGCGATACATGAACCATCAAACTTCGGCTAGACTCGACAATGAATTATTCAGAAGAAAGCCGATAGATATAAAAGAGATTGAAGAAATGGAAGAAGATGGAACTCTGCCTTGTTTTCGAGTTAAAACTCTAAAGGACGCTTGGGAAATTACTGTAAAGTCAAGAAATACACTAAAGTGGGCATATGTCTTGGCTTTCTACATGAAAGAAACTAATGCATTGGACTTGTTCGAGGTAAGTTGACAAACTTCTATATTAATATTCTAACATAGCTATTAGAAGAACCAGCGAGAGCTCGAGATGGCTATTGAAAGTCTGTCTGAATCCTTGGGCAGCGGAAATGGCCTTAGATATGACGTTGGATATGAATTGATTTTGGACAAGTATACATATGCAAAACAAAGGCTACAGAACTTTCTTGATTATATTTCCACAGAGATTTTCGAAGAAAGTATTGAGTTTACTGTTGATCTCAGACAGTAACTTTTTGAAAGTTGCATAAGACCAAAATCAAACAAACATAAGAGTATACAAAAATAATAATAAATATATACAAAAATCAAATAGCATAGCAAGCTTTTATTTATTTATTTATTTATTTATTTATTTGGTTTTAATTATGTAACAAATGATGGTTCTATTATGATGGTATATACATGTACCTCTTTATGCTTTTAATCAATAACAACTAAGCTACTGAAGCTTTTATGGCTGACGTGCTTTAGCATATTCTCAACTGGGGTCGTAGGCTCCTTCTTTTCTTTCCCTTCCAAGGCCTCTTCCCCATCTACATCCTCCTCGCCTTCAATGAAATTCTTTAGGATTGACGCAGAAAATCCACAAACCATTGTACAGCCCTTGACGTCTGCAGTTACCGGGAGTGGTGTAGCCACCTCTTCATCATTATCATCATCGGACCAGCCGAGAACGCTATTGTGATACCACATTTGTTTAATAGGGTCTTCTTTAGTACCGCCAAGATTCCACCACACAAGCTCAGGCACATCATATCCGGCTTCTTTATATTTCTCTTCGATAGTCTGATACATAGTGTTGTACTTGGTTCTATCCTCGGTCTCGTCAAACTGCATATCAGAGAACACGAACAGTCGCTTCACCATATCCTTTTGAGAGATCTTGTTCTTCTTAGCCATAGGTAACAGGAGGTCAACAAAGATTGCTTCAAAGTTTGTTGAGTATCCCATAGGTGCCGCCATGAGATCGCTGATTTGATCCACAAACGTCTTGGAATGATCGATCTTGACTACAGTAGGCTCTTCTGAAAATGTAATGATGGCTCCGTCAAAAGGGGGTGCAGCCAGAGTAGCCAGAATTAAGCTCAGGCCTATAGAGCACCAGATAGGGACAACACCGTTGGAAAACTTTCCGTACATCGAACCAGACAGATCGCAGATAGCAATAGAGGATCCCAGATTTGCATTTCCATCCCCAGCCACATTTCGGATAGACTGAACCAGGGTATTCCACTGAGAATTCAACATCGATCTCTCTACCGCCTTGGCCTTTTCCAGCACCTCTGGGTCAGCGATTCCTTTGAGGAAACTCGGCAGCTTTTCTTCAAAAGGATCGGATTTATTGCAGGTATAATAAGCACGTTTGGCTAACTCGTGTGGAGACAAGGTAGCTCCGCTAATCGATTTATTTCCCAAAGCCACTTGCTCAATATACTCTGTAAATTTCTCCGGGGTATGCTTAAAGAAACGGCCAGAATTGTTTTGCATGCAGACAGAAGGAACGTGGCTAAAGTCAATGGCGTCCCACTGGCCGGCCTGCATCTTGCGCTCAGTGACCTGCAATGCTTCTCGAAGAGGACCAAGGTACTGCTTGCGATACAACTCACGGACTTTGTTTAGATAATACTCGCGGGATTCGCCCTCCTTTTGGTAAGTCTCGGGAGGAAATAGGAGCTCGGAAATACTAGTGGCAAGTAGAGTGTTTCTGTCATGGGATCTCTGGAGGGTAGGGGCCCATTTCGCAGCTAGGCTCAATTTATCAGATATAGCGTACTTGTATCGCTTAGGCTCGTCTTTAAGGTCCTGGAGAGTCTCATAATCTTTCTTCAACTGTTCTGCAAACTGCCTGGCCACCGAAAAGTGTAAAGCGCGGTACTTTGGATCGTTCTCCAGAAAACTAATGACTCGCTCTTGCCTGAATTTACGTGCCTGGCGGCGCTCTTGACGGGCTTTCTCAGTGCTCGCTTTCTGGGCTTCCTCGACTTCTTTGGCTCGCTTGGCTCGGCTGATTGCTGCTTCTTCTGGAGTCATGGTACGGTAGCTTTCCCAGATAGCCTTCAGATTGGCTCTACGATCTTTGAACTTGGGATAGCTGAACTCTGGGCGGACTTGATAGAGGGCCTTGTATTTTCCAGAAAGTACAGGGCCATTAATTTCACCAGTCGCGTAAATGCTAAGAAGGTTTGACAAATCTTTCCAATAGCCGTGCGACTTGGACTGACCCTTCAAGTGTTTCTTTTTCTCTTCTGGTCTCTCTTCTACGATATCCCAGCCATCTTTCTTAGCACTAGAATCCTTCTTAGATACATGTGGTACAAATACTGTCCCATTTGTCAAGACTGGCAGGTTGGCTAGGGCAGTCTGAGGATGATGGGTAATTAACCAACCGAAGGCCAAATAAAATTTCTCCTTTGCGGCATTTCCGCGATGGATTGAACGCGCACTGAAGATGATTCGAAGTGTACAAAGAGGATCCTGGGACCATGCCTGTTCAAGAAGGTTGAACATGGTTTCCAAGTTCCAGTCTTCTCCTCCAAGCTGGTAGTGCAGATCCAAGCAGGAATCCAGGGTCGAGACGTGAGCCAGGGCACCATTTGTAGTTCTTGTAAGATTGGTCGTGGCCAAAAGAGAATCCATAAAGGGCTGAGGGGTGGCGATGGCCAAGTCCTTCATGCCGGCAGCAACCTCATCAGAAGGGACATCGGAAAGCTCATTGATATCCTTGGAAAGCAAAACGGGATCATGGAGAGAGGCAAAGAAAGGAAGATAGGTAGGGAAAGTGGCGAAAGACATGGAAGCTAGTGAAGTAGGTAGTTGACAAAAAGGTGATAGTTGACAAAAACTGATAGTTGACATAAACCAATTGTCAAGTTCCTTTTATAAGCTATTAAAAAAAAAGCAAAAAAAAAAAATGACTGCGGCTAACCAGAACCTTAAGCTCCTCCACAATAACCGCAGTCAATGCACCAACTTCGCCACTGCCAAAAATAGGAAATGGGCCGGGATTAAAATAAAGAAAATTTAATATAATGATATAAAATATATATATAAAAAAAATTGGTTGTGTAACTGGTTTTGTCATCCTATATTTTTAAAATCAAAACTGTCAATTGAATTATAACTTTCTCCCGCATATTCGCTTATGCGTATCCTTCCATAGTTGATGTACAACACCATACCTTTAATCCAATCATTGATAGATCTTCCAAATAGTATTTCTGATCCCACCTATTATATGCTTCTTTTGATGAAAGTTAATCGAAAGAAGAAGAAGAAACATGTCTCACCGGTTGGAGCTGGAGTTTGCAAGATAGTCTATGAGAGACTAAAGTTAAAGAATAAGGCAGTTATGGTAGGCAACAGAGGCTTTTAACGAATGGCTGAGGTTACTGAACAGAATATAGTTAGTGGATAATATGGACAGTAGATGAAGATTATGGCGAAGAGAAAGGATGAAAGAATAGCGCTTGCGATAGGTGTTAGGAGCATGTAGAATACAAATACGGAAAGGGGAATAATAAAGATTGTGCATGCGATTCTGTAGCAGTTATAAAGCAGCCGTATAAGCTAAATAGTCCTTAAGTAAGCATTATACATTTAGAGAGTTATACAAATCCTCAGTAAAGAAGCCAAGAAGAAGAAGAAGTGTTAAAATGTGGTGTGAATATGTCTGGAGGGTTTAATGTCATGAAGAACAATTCCTTTGAAGAGCAGGTGGTGTAATAAGAGTGAGTTTGTTTTTGGGTATCCTACTTTGTGGAGGATCCTACAGTTCATAGTACCAGTAATAATTACTGAACACTCTTGGTTTCTGTACCGAAGTCTTGGAAATCTGGACGAAAAAGATGTAAGGACAAGTAGGTCCATGAATGGTAACCACTGCAAGGTTGTAATACCGAAAGCTTTTGTCTCGCCTTTCGATTAAGATCATGACTATTTTACTGGCATGACCTCTTATCTTGGTCAGTCTTAATATTCTCTCCTAGAAAACCTAATAATCGATGAATTTTTTTTTTTTGAGCAAGTATAAGTGTATTAGCAAAAAAAAAAGACAACGGCAAAAATTAATATCTACCAGAATTTTGTGTTTTATTATATTATATCTTAAACATATGCTCTAGTTGAAATCTTTTTACAATTATTTGGTATGGACAAACTGAAAGGTTCAGACGACTCTGACCGGCTAGTCTTCTTCTATTGGACTGGAACTTAAATTGAAAAAAAAACAGACATGCTTTTGATGGAAGATATTGCACTGTGAGCACTTGATTTTATCTAATCTGCATTTGAACTTTTTGGTCTTTCCACACCATAATTTATCAAATTACAATATATCAGCGACATAGATTCGATAAGTAAGACTAGCAAGAAAAATAAAATATTGTCAACTTTTTATTTTATTTTTCTTTATGGAACTTCCTTTAAAACTCACAGTAGTTAAAGGCTCAATCACTTCAATAGGATGAAAGCTGCAATATGTTCCGCGACATATGACACTTGTAGCCAATTTTCATCCCCTTTTATCGCATATTTTTGTCTTTTTGAAGTATATCTTCCTTCATAAACTAGAAGACGAACCTAAGTCTCCTTTATAGAATATTGTTAATGAAGGATTCTTTAAAGAAGTCTTTTGGTCACTCCTCAAGAACTACAGGCCAACTAAAAAGAAGGCTTTAGCAAAATCAGTAGTTTACAAGGATCTAATGCTCAGCTATTGAGACCAGTATTTTTAGTACTGCTTGTATGAACTAATCAACATAAGGTATACTCATCAAATAGCTTCTTACGAAACAGCAAAAATCCTTGCTACTTATCTGAATGAGATCAAATTTCAATTTAGAAATAAAATTCGAATGCTTCTTAATTTACTATTGGAGAAAAACGAAAGAATCGAGGCAATGAAAAATAGTATGAAGAATAGTGAGGAAATCGAGGAAGACATTGCGACAGCTGTAAAAGAAAACAATGATAGAGAGTATAAACTAAGTAAAGCAGGTTATTTGGTCAAGAAACATCGAACACATCCCTGAAGAATTTATTTCCTCTGCTACGCTTGACGTGATTCGTAATATCTTTGACACATATCCACCAGATTATCAATATTCAAAAGGCTCGATATATTATGACAGTAAAGCCAATCTGCTGAAGCACATTAAAGCGTACTACAGATTGTCAATAATGCGAGAAGTACTTCGAGACAAACCATTCAGCTGTTTTCCATTACAAAGATGGCTTATACAATGCTATATGAAAATCGATACACGTACTCTGAATACTCTGATCTTGAATTATTCCGTTATCAGTCACTTTAATAAGGAAGTGGTATGAGAAAGCGTTAGGGATATTAATTCCAAGGCAATAATACCCCAGGGAGAAGCAAAGGACGTGAAGTTTAGAGGGATGATATATACAGACGGTATTGAAGTGTTCGTGCTGAAGAAGAACAGTGAGACTAGAAAATAAAGGTGCTAGTAGCAAAAAGTCAATATCTTTGGTGAAAATTAATTTTGGTATGTCGAAGCGTTAGAGTAAGATGAGCTGGAGGCTGGAATCGGAAAATGCGTGTTTGGTAATCCTGTCAAAGGCGCATTATTGCACTACAGAATGCTGTTTTTTAAAAACTCAAAAACTCAAAAGCTCAGAAGCAGTGTACATTAGGGGGTTTCACCAGCTCTGGATGCTTGACTGATGGATGTAGCGGTAGTTTAATTCGGGAAATTATTGGCTGTGACGAATTTTCAAGAAATGAAAACTGCCAAGTGGAATCACTCATTGACAAACTCTTCCTCAAAGCACAGCAAGAAACTTTTTCCCTGTTCTGACATCCCCCACACACCCCTCCCTTTCTTCTCACTCGATCGACCACTTCTCTGCGCCCCTCGTTCCCTCTACTCTCGAGCCTTGCTTCATTTCTTACCTGTTTTCACCTGACTTCTCCAAAAAAAAAATTATAAAAATTTGTAGCTACCTTTGCCCTCACAATATAAAACCCCAAAAACACATTTTATGACTATCCCAATGATATTCACTTAATAAAATTTGAGACTATGCTCCCCTATAAACAAACAAACAAAAAAGAAAGAAATGAAAACTGAGCATCCAAGCATCTAAAAAAATAGTTCACCACTGGATGTCGTGACTTAGCCAAAATTTTGTAAATTTGTACTTTATGTACAATTGATGGCAAAGTTCATATAGAAGCAAAGTCAAAACCAAGCCATAATAAATCTATATAAAAGTAGTTATCTTGATACCAAATTATAGAAGTCTAACTTACTTTTGAGGAATTTGGGAATAGGCACTATATTTATGAGTACTCTAATCAAGCTTATTGTACATATGAATTTTGACGTATATGAGAGAAAACATATCAACCAAGGGCCATTAGGGTTTTTCGCCAGTCTTTTTTCGATACTTATTATTATTGGCTGGTGCTTAAACTACCGTTATATCCAACAGTCAGGCATTCAAAGCTGGTGAAACTCCCTGATATAGCAGTATTCGAACTAACATTAAGTTTTGACTTTATTCAACTACCCCTTATATTTTTAAACTTGCATGTAATGAAAAAGGCTGTGTCAGATCTGACGATTTCTTTTCGAAAACCCAATTAGGTATACAAATAATGGTTCAATATAAAAAATAAAAGTATGTGTCATATTTACAACAAAATAATAGCTCGATTGAATCTTAACAGCAATCTGTCCCGGTACTTATGTATACAGTAAAAGAGTATAGTATAAAGCCTTGCAAGGATAACAAATACTGTATTTCTTCTTCTCTTTTCTCAATTACCGAAAAACTTTCTTCCCACCACTTCTTAACCTCTTTCCTTATGTCTTTTGACTCACGCGTACCTTTCTGTCAGGACGAAAGGGAGGATCCATTATCTGTATGTCACATAGGCCAGCTTATTGGATTATGATAGTAACGAATTAGTAGATGCTGTCCATATGGCTAATTATTAGAGTCATTTTCAAACATTTAGGTCTTTCATATCCAAAATGAAGAATTTGCTGCACCAGGTGAGTTTTACACTTCAAATGAATTATATAAACTTTGGCGTAATTTACACTCAAACACTTGTATAGAATATTTTTTGGTATTGATACTGGCATTGACGGCACCCTTCTCTCTCAGGGAAATATTATACACCACCCAAATTATCCTTTACAAAATCAAGAGTCTCTTGCACAACAGGGCCTTATTTATACCCTACGCCGTAGACAGTGGCAGGATAATATATCAGAGCTATTAGGTATTCAATTGATTTTAAACACACGCGTAAACATAAATTAAATAAAGATACGTTTTGATTTTAAACTTTAGCATATATTCCGGCTGTTTTCATTCTACAAGACCCTTTAGAAACATCTGATCATGGTTCTCTATCGTTGCAATCTTTAAATAATAGCTCCCAAGGATATTCTCAAGGCTACTTTGAAAATGGTGCGCAGCCATTTGTTATAGCATTGTTTTGTGGCTAGCTATTTAATGATTGGGCTGTTTATCAAGATTATCAGCCTGGGACTCCTGAACAACAACAAGAATACGGCTTCCCCGAGATTGCTTTTATACATTATGATCATAATGGTCCATCATCTCGATACACCATATCTTTGGATTCAGCTTCTGTAAATGTATACCTATGTCTCGAATGTTCTTATATGACAAACAAGAAATTCAATTTTGAAAGACATGCGAGCACCCACATGGTGGATAGAACTGTTTATGGCTGCTATTATTGCGCAAAATTATACAGTACCAGATCTAACCTTTCAAGACATATCTTGCAAGGTAAATGTCATTAGCTTATGATAGCCTATAATTTTTTATAATTTTGTTCGTATATACCTTTTCCTTTTTGCAATGACTTTATCTATTTTTTTTCAATGATCTGTATTCCCACATCCACCTTCATTTCAATTATCGTTTCCATTTTATTATATTATATTTTATGCTCAATAAACCACCAGCGATTGATTATATACTCTGAGTATCACCATAATAGCCTGTGTATATAAAAGTTTATACCATTTGTATGATATGGTCCAATCCTAGTCTCATCTTATTCTTTTTCTTCCTTGCTTTTTTGGCTGGTAAACGGGATTCTTTAAATGCCAAATAGAAATATGCTACTATTGCTTCTTTTTTGAGGAGAATATTAGAAAGGATATTTTCAATACCAAATTATTCCTCTGAACTAATACCATGTAAGCCATATTTATAAAAATAATATATAAAGTCAAAGGAATTAAAATTTATATTCAAATATATATATTGCTGGAGCTTCTTATATGCTTTCTTTTTTATGCTGTTATTAATTCAAATATTCATTTGAATCTTGTTCATTTTTTAAAAAAATAAATAAAAAACTGTCTTCTTTGTCAAATTATGTACTCTCTTTATTTATTTTTTATTTATTTTTATCTTGTGTACACCCTTTTAAAGAAGTCTTGCTTTTATTGAACTGATCATTTTGCTTAGCATCTCTACCTTGAAAATATGATAGTAGTATGCTATCAATAATAGATATATATTATTGAACTTAATTATGATCTATTATGAAAAAAATATATTGGGGTATAATATAAAATAGTCATAGTTCAAATGTCACAGAAAGTATGTATATGGGATGTATTCAGTGTAAATATAAAAAGAGAAAAAAAGGAAAGCGTGCCTGTGTAATTGTTATTTTAGCTGCTCTGAGATTTAACCTTGCATTGCACCCTAAAGCAATATGTGGTACAATATTTAACAAAAGCACATATATTCACGATCGTTTGGCTTTTATACTCAATTCCAATTTTACCAATAGTCATTTTGAACCCTTGCAGTCATTTGAACCCTTACAGTTCCAAAAGAATGTTTCAGGCTTAGAATCTCTTTTGAAAGCTATTTTTTCCTGTTTAACAAAAATTAAAAAGTTTTAATAATAATTACACAAAAGAATGGACGGTCAATAAATAAAGTAGAAATATTGTAATTGGTTGTCTAGCCTTAATTGCTTTCACCTTTGCCTTGTGTTCCCATCTAAATTAAGTAGGATAATATTCTAATTGACATTATTATTTGCAGCATATAGTTTTATTTTCATTTTTATTTTTATTATACATAATAATACTCAGTCACATGTATCTCTTTTTTTTTCCTTTTTCCTCTTTTCCGATTTCTTTCTCACTCTTAACTTGACCTATCGATCACTCTAATCATTGCAGAACAGAAACCAGTATTCATTTTGAAATGGTCCGGCAATCCGATGGGAATCAACCTACAAATGGACAATCGTCCCGCAATGTCTCTGAGAAATCTAGCATGGCTATTTCCGAAGTAGAAACAGTAATATTCAGTGATAAGGAAGTCCAACCTTCTGGTAAGAAAAACATTTAATCAGGACAGTATATATAAAAACCATGCGATATATCCTAAGCTATAATTGATTCATATAGACACCAATGACATTGATATAGCCGAACGGCTTCCTCCCTCATTTGCAGAATCAGAATTCCATCATATTCAGCGTAGACAAGTCAACACCGCACGCGGAACTCTTTTAAAATGGTCCGAAGTACCCTCCCGCTATCCAAACTTGAGCAATGCATGGGAATTCGCGGGGTGAGCTTCTCTATATACTCTATACGAGTAATCATGCATAGAAATATGCATAGAAATATAAATATAAATATAAATATAAATATAAATATAAATAGCATTTACTAATTTCTGTTTTTGATAGATGGGGAAGCACATATTATATGGAATTAGAACCAAGCGACATTGATCAATTCCACACCACCCGAGATAAAAGAACACTTATAGGACAATGGCGTGCGACCTCAATTGCTGGAAATGATCTCATTGCGTCCGTTCTCTATTCAATTGGGCCGTGTGTATTGCAAGCAGGAAAATATGCACCGATTTCAATGTTTTTGGTAGCATTACTTATGTATCCTATGAAAAGAATCATTACAGAAGTCGCCACAGCATTACCCCTTAATGGAGGTCAGTTCTGTTTTTTATTTATATTTTTTATCTTAATAATATGTTTTTATGGTGTAATCAACTTCTTTTCTCTCTATATCTCATTTTATAGGTTGTTACAATGCAATGCTCAACACGACATCAAAAACTGTGGCAGCCGTTGCAGCATGTCTCTCTATTCTCGACTATCTCGCCACATGTGTGGTATCGGCATCAACAGCATCTGCATACCTTGCTGCAGAAGTCGATTTACCCGAAAAATTTTCAGCTTTTGTATTAACAATTATCATTCTTATTGCTTTCTCACTCGTCTGCATTTTGGGCCTAAGAGAATCTTCGACCCTTACTCTCTCGATATTTACCTTACATTCAATCACTATGGCCGTTGTAATGATTGCAAGTATAGTTATGTGGGGTCGTCAAGGAAATAATGTCCTGATTGAAAATTGGAATATACCAGATCCTGAAGGAACTTCACCACTCCGGATGATATTCAATGGTTTTTGTATTGGCCTTTTGGGAGTCACTGGCTTTGAAGTAAGTACTTTTATTAGAAGTTTTTTTTAAGAAAAGGCTAGTTCTGTATCCATTGATCTTATAAACCAATCGTCTTGTATAGTCTGCAGAAAACTACATCGAAGACTTGAAGCCAAATACATTCCCCAAAGTCATGAACAACATGTTTAGCTTTCTCTTTGTTATCAACGCCCCGATGACACTTCTTGTCGTTGTACTTGTCCCTGTTCCTGTCATACAAGCCAATGCAGCCAATGCTGTCTCTATTTTGGGACAGTACGCTGTAGGTGGAAATCGTTGGCTTCGCGTGTGGATCATGGTAGACGCTGTCATTGTACTTTGTGCAGGCGTTCTTACTGGTCTAATTGGTGCTATCGGGCTTGTTCAACGCATGGCAAGGTTAGATAACAAATCATATATGTACATCAGATTATTAATCACATTACTGCATCTATATATTAAATCTGATTAGTGATCGTATCTTGCCTCGCTTGTTTCTTATTCGCAACCGATGGACTGGATCCTATCAGTATATTGTCTTGGCTTTCCTGGTACTCAGTATCATTATGTATGTAATTGTTGGAGGAGACACAACATCTCTATCAGGTGTATTTGCTGTCGCCTTCCTATGCTCTCTCTCTACGTTTGCTGCCGTGAATATCCTGATGAAGTACAAGCGTGGTCGCCTGGTGCGATTCATTAAAGTCAACCTCCTTACTTCCATGGCCACACTTGGTGTTCTGATCGGCAGTTTGATTGGCAATATTATCATTGACCCTGAGATCGCTGAGTATTTTGTTATCTATTTCTGCGTTGTGCTCTTAGTTGTCTTGATCATGTTAAAGAGTGCATGGCTATTTAAGCTCTGCTATTGGCTCTTTGATCAGATGGATTTCTTTCATCGCTTCGAAAGCTTCTCCAAAAAGGCCGAGTCTTTCATTCAAAATCGTATCCAAAACATTCGTAAAGCACCATGCGCTTTCTTCCTCAAGACAGATGAACCTCACGTGATGAACAAGGCAATTCAGTATATCAAGCACAATGAGGACTGCGGACACATCAAGCTTATTCACATATACAATAAAGTCGGCGACATCCCGGAGCTCATGGAAAACCATCACCGTACATTAGATGAGATATATCCCAAAATACAGATTGACTTGGTAAAATACAAATATACAAAAAAATCTCTGCTGATTTGTACTTGAATACTAATTATTTATAACCTAGGTTTTTGTACAGGGTACATTTGATCCTGCCACAGTAGACGCGATTTCTCGACAACTAGATATCCCAAAGTCATTCATGTTCATTTCCTGTCCAGGCAAAGAATTTGAATTTAATTTTGGGGACTTTGAAGGAGTGCGCATTATCATGCTCTAGATTCTATTTTACTACCAGTTTATTTTTTTCCTTCACTTTTCCATCATCCTTATACACTGTAATTCACACTTTTTTTGTCTCTTCTACATATATTTATTTTGTTCACGTCTAGTAGACGTGTAATTCATACACCAAAAACCAAAAAGAGCACTCATTAAATAATAATAATAATAATAATAATAATAATATATTTTTCAATTGACGGATTTCTTCAACTATCCAATAATTCATTAACTATTGAGATGCCAAATTATGTGCAGCATAATAATGATGTTTCTAATTGATCTTCAACAACTCAACATCTAGAAAAAGAAATATGCAAGTCAGATTCTGCTGGATCATTCTATTTCTTAATTTATTTTTTCACTTACCGAAGATGAGAGTGGCACCACCAGGAATGAGTCCGGGGTAACCGCGGTCACCGTAGGCGTAGTCAGAGGAGCAAGTCAATCTAGCCTTCTCACCAAGAGACATCTTGGGGACACCTAAAAAGACACATACGCAAACACACAAATGTAAAAATATTAGAATTAAGTTATATTTGATGTTCTCTACTTCTTCTTTTTTGCTTTGCTTTGCTTTGGTGTTTAAAATAGCTGTGTATATTACCCTCATCCCAGCCCTTGATAACCTGGCCAACACCAATGACGCAGGAGAAAGGCTTTCCGCGGTCGCGGGAAGAATCGAACTTCTTGCCGTTCTCGAGGGTACCAACGTAGTGCATGGTCACCTTATCACCCTTCTTGGGGAAGTTGACACCATCACCAGCCTCGTAAGATTCAATTCTGATACAAATTACTTAGCCATAATATTCTTCTTTCTTGCATATTTTTTTGCTGCTTTTTTTGGTTTGCTTTTTTTTATTTAATCTCGTTTCTTTATATGCCTTACTTGACACCCATGTTTTTTGTAAATAGAGAAGAAGAAGAAAAAAGCAGATCTGACGCGTCAAGAAAATAACATCTCGGAATAATCTCCGACAACGGTGAGGTCATGACTTATTAAGCCACCGACACCTTTGTGGTATGCAAGGGTTTGGGTGTGTTCATTAAAGAAGAGATAGGACAGGAATGAGATTAGAGTCAGGTGATGAATGTACAATGCATATAAAGGATGGGATTTTGATCAAGGTGTTGAAAGTCTTTGAATGTTGTCTGCGTTTGAAAAGGCATCATCAAAGTCAGAACTTCTAAAGTCGACTTCTCTCTTTACAAGTTCAAATACTAAGAAACCAATGCTGGTGGCTGGCACGACTTTCATGACAGTAGTTGCAAATTCTTGATACAAGAATCTACGCCAGCTTCCGCCGTTTAATCGCACCTGCAGCTTGCACTGTTTCCATGTTCTCTTGTAAAGTTCATCAACAGGTACACGGGAGGACTTGTTGGTAAACTCTGACTGCCCTTCTTCAATATAAAATATACTGTGGATCTTGGAAAGGGGGTGTTCGATTGTCTGATAGGCCTACTACATCTTAGTATATTTTGTGTAGCCAGGCATTCACTTACCACAGCTGCTGTTGCTCCGGCTAATATAACGAACATTGGCTCAAGCATCCACGGAGGCTGTTCCGGCTTCGGAGTCAATTCAACCTCATCTTCGTCTTCTGTATTCCATCGGCTGTCGAGATCATTAAGTGACTTGTGAGAATCAACTTTTAGGTCATATATTCCATCAAGATAATAGTAGTATCCTTGCTGCTTGACCCATTCAAATGTGGCAAAAAAAAGACCACAAGATAATGAATCCTTTTTTTTAAAAAAAAAAATACGTATATATATATAAATATAATAAAACACAAGATAATCCGCAGTCAGTTTACCAGCTTTGTATCATCCTAAATATCGTTCTTTTCACATACTCTCATCAAAGTCAAGGTAAATCCTCGATAAGCACTCGCCACTCCGAGTTCTTTTAGGGTTGACTTTGCGAACTGGTACATTGACTTGTGCTTTCCCTCCAAAAGATCACTAACTTCGAAACGCACTTTGAGTGAATCCAATGGTGCGGCTACAATTGATTGAGCTGCTCCTGCCAAACATCCTGTAATAACGTAAGCAGTCCAACCAGAAAATAAAAAGAAAGACATTAAATCATAGATTCTTTCTTCTTCTGGTTTCTTTAGGGTTAGTTGCTTCTAAGCATATACCGGCTGCGAATACGGCAGAAAATGGAGGTGGAGGGAATGGACGATGGAGCTGAAATGTGCTAGGTGGGTGGAAGAGTGGGAGAGTAGCGATATAGGTTGTGTACAGCACAGTGCCAATGACCGTATTGGCGATCAAGGGAGGAAAGATGTGCCGGGGAATGAAACTCCACTAGAGAATATCAATAAATGTATTCATCCAATGCCAACCTCATAAAGCCCTTACCCCCTTGGTTTTGACGGCGTGGGATATCATGCCAATGGAAGTATAGCGTAAAGAAAATTTCTTTGAGGTTGTCTCATCGACAGGCATAAGTGCCCTGGCCATAATAAGATAATCCACTCGCAGAGGCCTGAAAAGCTTTAGGGTTGTGGGTGAGGAGTAGGAAAAAAAAAGAAGAAAAATTGGATTAGTATCTTACCTTTACAGGGGTCCTGTAAAATAAGTAGAGTCCCTGCATCATCAACGTACGGGCAATAGCTGTAGACCCACCAACTGATGTTGCATCTTTGGCCTTTTTTCGTTTGCTCACAACAGGGGTTGTTCCATGAGTAAGGTCAGGTACAGGAAGTGCTGATGGCAGTAATGGAGCGATCGTAACTGGAGGGTGTAATTGCGGTAATTTAAGGACAGGAGGCTTGGCTTGGTTGTTGATGGATGTGGGCGTCTCAACTGGTACTGGCGATGCCAGTGTCGAGAGGGTCATTAAGCACTCGTCAAAGATAGACTTTCTTTCCCTTAAATAGCGAATCATATTGTAGGGTCCGTAGCTGGCCGAAGATGATAAGCCACCCCATTTTTTGAGCGGAACGATTTAAACACTGGACTCCTTGTGGTTCTTGTACAATTCAAGAGGATATAGTTAGGGTTAATAGGATATGATAAGGGTTTCTATGAAAGCACAGGGCTTCTCTTACAATTAATTTGAAACGATGTATATTTCATTCTCATCCGCTGGGTACATCTAAAAAGTATGTTTTAGAGGGACAGCTTGATCAACCTTTGTGCACCCCAAAAACTCTAAAATAAAATAAAAGCTGATGTTATCCGTCTTTATGGAGATCGTTGATGGTGTGCTGCTTTTTTCTTTACGTATATAAACTCAATGAGGTGGTTTATTTTGATATCCTAAATTCTCTAGGCTATTGAGACAATATAACATGAGCTTCTTCTTTTTTTTGTATAGAAGATAAAGAAAGGAAAAGAAGAAAGATAGGCTACAAGATCTAGTCAGGACGGAACACTGCATGTGAAAGATAGTATAAGGTGTTTAATTTTTATACATTTTTGCTACAAACACATTTTGGGAGTTCTTCCTTGAATAAACAAAATTGAGGTTTTCTGATTGTATTTTATTTTATGTTACTCTATTTTATAATATATTTTTATGGCAAAATTACCGTAGATCTAATCATGTAATAGCAATTAAGTTCCATTATTGTACTTGGCATCTAGTATCTCTATTAAATAGACAGGATCATCTTTTTGCTTTTAAGCTTACATGACATGATTATTTGCAGAAATAAGTAAAATTATGCTCCTTTAAATAAGCAAGGATAAATTAAAATAAAGCTATATTGATGTAAGAGTGTATTTGTAGTGATATATCCTACAACAATATATATGTATATGTATGTGGGTACCAACTACTTGTTCTCTTTTATAGAATTTTTAAAACATTAGTCTACAAGTTAATAATATATGGTTTTCTTCATAAATTATTTAATACTATTTGAATGAATATTAGCCGTTTTATATTATATACTTTCCGTACTTGTTTTTGCACATGTGTGTTTATTTTTTATTATAAAGCTCCAGTATCGTGTACAAATAATATACGGGAGATGTATGTAACGAGAAATATATTCGTATATCTCAACTATAATGAAATAAAGAATTGTATGTATATAATTTTTAGCTGTAACAAGGTGATTGTTGTATGTGTGTGTAAAATTTGGCTCATAGATGAACTAATATAATGTCTAACAGATCAATACCATATTCTAAAACAGCCTGCATAGTCTCCCAATAAATAGGGATTTTCTGCGCACGGATCATGCTCACGTGAAATATCAAGTCCCGCTATTTGAGGAAAATGATTGTGTAAAAAGCAAATCTAGCCTGGGATATCTGTATGAGAGAGTGTATTGTTCTATACGCAAATATACCTATAGATATTATAAAAAAAAAGTTCCAAGAATACTCAAATTAACCATATGTAGGTTAGATAAACTTGCTTAAAGCATTGTGTGGCTTAGTATTATCCAGTAAAAATAGTCACAAATACTCCTTCCCCTTTGACATCAGTGTTGGTTAATTGTACTTTCTTTTGTTGTAAAAGAAAAAGAAAAGAGTACTTACAATGGCATTTAAATTTAATTTCACGGCAAGCACATCATAATTGGCATATATTTTGACGTTGAGACTAACATTACAATAGTGTGATGACCTCGACCTTGATGAGACAGATGAAGGACAGCAATTAGAGTCCTCCCTTGGAGACCTTTCCCTCGAAGAAGAATGCAACAAAATCCCTTGTCAGCAATACGATATCCTTGTAAGTTTACAAGAGTGTATAAATATACCATTTAATGTACAAAAGGCTTGGAAGAGTCTAACTGGTACACAATTAAACAGTCTTCTGCCTTGCCAACTGTTATTCAAGCTGATATGCTAGAAATTCCTTCTGTGGAGAAGCTAATTTACAAGCGTACACTTGCTGATGTCAAATTTCAAATGGCCGAACAAGACACTTTGGTAGATCAAGGAGACAATTCTTCGTCCGAGGTTGTATCTATGCTCAACCTAAGCGGCAATAGTGATTTAATCCGTGGAGTTTATGAAGGTTAGATTTCTAGATAAAAAGATATACACACACAAAATTATGCTCCAATGATGCTAAAAGGCATTTAGGTGGTTTCAAGACTTGGGAATGCTCGGTTGATCTTGTGCAATTCTTATCTCAGCTCCCCAAAGAACAGATTACCAATAAGAAGATACTTGAGGTGAGAAAATAAAAGAAATAAATTGGATTGTGGTTTAAAATTCTATGCTGATAAATTGTGCGTTATATGCGTGTGTTTATCTATGCTTAGCTTGGGTGTGGATCTTCACTTCCTTCCTTGTACCTTTTGTCAAAAAATGATAGCAATAAGGTTGATGTTCAAGATTACAATGAACAAGTGATTCGATGCATCACTATACCCAATATTCTTCTCAACACGATTCTGACCATCCAAGATCCCTCTACTGCGATTAACGACAACAAAGAAGAAGAAAACGAAGAATCTTCAGAGTCTGAAGATGATGAGAACGAAGGCGAAGACGAGGAAGAGGAAGAGGAAGATGAGGAGGAAGATAGAATCATTGGTGATTCCAACACATGCGATGCAGAAGCAGATATTCCAGCAGAGCAGGCGCCTGATATGCTCAGACGTCTCAGCGAGCGCACAAAAGCATTCATAGGTGACTGGAGTGGTTTACCGGTAAGCAGTGTACAGATAGATATATAAAAAACAAAATACTCGGTATCCTAAATCTGTTTCTGTTTCCTTCCCTTTAAACAAAAAAAGGATAAATTAAACTTGAAAAATGATGAGGATAAATACGATATGATCGTCACTTCAGAGACCATCTATGCAGAACATGCTCTCCCTGATCTTATCCGTGTTTTCCAAAAGGCACTCAAGAAGCCAAGTGGTGTTGGGTAAGTCCAAAAGATATATTATTTCATGATAATTTATGCCCTGTATTTAAAATTATATATAGTTATGTTGCAGCAAAGACTGTTTACTTTGGTGTGGGAGGTGGTATCTTGCCATTCTGCGATATCTTGAGAAATACAAAGGATTCTGATGGCGACAAATTCAAAATTGAAAAGGTGTTTGAGAGTGATAGCACAGTAAAGCGTGAAATCTTGAAAATCACCTGGGATATTTAGGATAATCAAAATATACATATAATCTCTCCCTCTTTTCTCTTTCTCTTTCTCTCTCTTTCTCTCTCTCTTTGCCTCCTCAGCTCACATATAAATGTGATTGGTCATGCTGTTCTACTTAAGCGCATACAATAGATTTTGATACTTTAAATGTTATGTTCGTATTTTATATATTTATGTGTGTGTGTCTATATGCTAAATTCAATGAAATAAGCATTCAATTCACTCGTATATAATGTGGCAAATGATTCAGTTAAACGAGCAATATTATGACATTAGTAAACACAATAGCTCTAATAGCAATGGTATAGAACTAGTGTCACACTACCAATAAGATGCTTTGATTTATTATGTAGTATCTGATACATTTAAGACCAAGGGCTTGTATAGTATTTAAATTATCTTGTGAGTCTCTGAGAAGACACTTCAAGAAGAAGGTCACCGCTAGCATTTGTTTTCTTTGATACTAGTAAAGAAATTTTAGCTGTAATTGAATACAGGTGAATCTATTTACAGGCATTTTTTTGGTTGTATATATGAGCGTAATATAGTATATATAAGAGAACAAAAAGAGAATAGCAGTGTGAATTGTTTGTGAAAAACATAGTATGGTATGGCGATACACAATAAAGATCGCCGAGATTTTGTGCGTGTCTGTAAACTCCGCTCTGGCTGTGGATTCCTTAGAAAATTATAGACTTGAATGCTAACACCTTCTTGGATTAGTTTATCTGATGTTTGAAATCTGAAAATATTGTCTGGATAACTATAAAAGTCCTTTTAATACTTGGTACCAAATATCGTATTCTTCTTTGAATTTTATATAGAAATACAGTACAATACAATATAGTACAATGAAACAGATAAATAAATAAATAAATAAATAACTAGACCTCAAAGAAAATAAAGATCGTATTATTGTGTGTATAATTATACGATTGCTGTAAATTTAAGTTTACATGAGTAAATTGAACATGAGGGAATATGGTCCAGTAGAATAGAAGTTTCGGGAAACAGATTTGTATCCAATACTATTAATAAAGTAAGATTATTGTTTGTTTTTGTTAGTACTATTAATATTGTATGTGACGAGCTTCTTACATGAGGTATCAGTATTTATAGCCTATTATTATCTTAGCAACTGATTGATGTAGGCAATTTCCTCGTAAACATCTTTACACGATTCATTGCTAACTAAGATTCTCAAGGCGAAATTAGGTCTTGGTAAACCAATCTTAATAGAAAATATAGTCGGAGCTGGCGTGGTAAACAAGACGACAAGTAATTTATATATATATATACGTGTGTGTAGGTGTATAAAAGTCATGTACTTCTCTATTTGTATGATTTAATTGTTCTCTATCTAATACATTTGATTTGATTTCACAATAAACAACGTCGCCTCAACGATAAATATGAGTATATATATATATATATTTATATATTTAACAGTAAAAAAAATAAAATCAAACATCAATCTTCCCTATTCAGTAGTCCTTGTTCCGCATCTCCTTCTATGGCAAGAGACCTTACGCATACAAGACCAGGAAACCCGGAACAGAAAATAGAATAGGCCACAAAGAAAGTAGAATAAAGCAGGCTTTTATTTTATTTTGCTTTATTTTCATTTCATTACTTTCTTCATGTCATAATTTGATTCTTTGTCGAAAGTATATAAAGCCCTAGAGCTGCCTATGAATTCACTGTTATCTTAATCTCTCTTTCCTTTTCACCATGGTTCACCGTACTACATTCCTTATCACCATTACTATCCTTCTCGGAATATTACACGTCACATCTGCTATTGAATTGACTGGAAGTGGACTTTGTGCCAACGAAGAGGATTCTTCAGATTGTTCCCAAGCATGTTCCTTCTTGGTTCAAGGAAACGGCGAATGCATATTTAACCAGTGTGTCTGCAACGACTTTGAGAATGGAGAATGTCAAGGCGATGATCACGAAAGCTGTGATGAAGTCTGTCAAGAAATTTCACCAGAACTAGTTGGGTATTGTACAGATAGCCAATGCAGCTGCCTTTCTTGATCAAAGTGTTATTCACCGATTCGCGCGTTTTCATATCATTCAACTCACCACCGTCAACACATATCATCCCCAGCACATACTACACCGTACGATGTATTCCCTCTCTTTTTTGGGCTCCAAAAAAAGCTTTACTTTACTTTCCTTCCTAACTTTTTATTTACTTCCTCAAGTGCTCTTTCCCCTCCTTCCCTTGTTCTCTCTCTCTCTCTCTCTCTCTTGTAAATGTTCTCCAACAATAATAGCTTTAAATACTTGTAATAAATAAATTATGATAATAATGATATCTCAAATATATATATTTAGATATTTTGACCTTTTTATTATGTAAGTAGCGCAAATTTTGTAACAAGACACTACTCAAAACGTGATGAGTGCAATTTCGACTTTCTCTGCCTTCCATAATAAAATCGAATTAAAATAAAATAATGAGAATCTCGGTAGGACAACACCAAACATATGCAATTTAGACTCTAGTGAAACCCTGTTTTCTTTTTCTTTTTGGTTACATATGAGTTTGTACACAGCTTCGAATCATAATTCTCCTGAAGGTTATCCGGCTGTCTTCCCTCATATGTGTGTATAGATATATCCAAATATAATTTAATATATACATGTTACCCTGGTACTAAACAAATTGTAACACTCGCTTGTCATCCAAACTTAATACCACTGACAGCATCAAGATTTCCCTCCCCTGGTCTGGCCTGGTACCCTTTGCTAGCTTTTATTGTCAATTTACTCTGTTTCTCAAATGATAATTGAGATAAGTGTGTATTTTTAGCATCTTTTATATATGCTATACTTTATCTCTACAAATTAAATACCTACACCACATAAATTTTTCTCTTATATATATTTATATATCCAAATTTCAGCGGATTGACATTTCCCTCTTTAATATATATTCTGGCTTATGTTGAAGAATGGTTTTGGTGTGTGTTTATGTATATAAATGTATAACGGCAACAAGACATACTCGTAATCGATTACTTATAATAAAAACAGCCTGAAGAAGGGGGGGATTATATGAGGGAGATATAAAAATCATCTTTCTTTCTCTCATCGTTGATTGTTTTTCATTTGTAATAAATATATATATATATATATATATATATATTGTCTTTTGAGCCCTAGATGTTACAATCATCCTTCCGAACCATGGAAATAAATTCGAATATCAATCTAAATTGAGAAAGCTCCGCTGGACATCAGTTAAAACGTCTTTACAAAGAAAAAAGAGAATTATACTAGAACGATGATAAGTATACATTTGTACCCCAGATTGAAAGAGTGTCTACGTTTTAAAGGTGGACTTTCTACTGTATACCTTTAATTATTCAAATAGACTATGTTTTGCTGTGAATTTATACATATGTATACATATGTATATACTCTCTATAGCACATAGTAACAATTCAGATATAAGCACTAATACTAATATTAAAAAAAAGCAAAAGCTTTTTGAGGTATTTTATTGCGTTTTATTGTGCCTACTCCCATAACCCCAACTCGAGTATCTTCGTCACTAGTATCTTTAAAGTTAGGGAGTATTGCTTTGAAAGGGTGAAGTAATTTAGTACAGCTCCTTGCCAGAAATAGACAATTTAAAATAAATAAAAATAAAAAAAGGATAGCATTTTAGTAGTAAGCATCAATATCTGAATAGTTTTTTAATTCAACTTCTTTCTTTTATACTCTACCTTCTCTTTCATCTTAACCATGAAATTTTCTACTTCTATTCTTGTCATTTCTCTTGGATTGCTTGCCCTATCAAACGTGGCCAGAGCTGAAAGTAAAGTCATCGAACGTGGTGCATGTACAACGGCAGATGAGAAAGCCGAGTGCTCTCAACAGTGTACCGAAGGTGCCCTTCAACCAATGTGTGTGTCCGACACTTGCTTCTGTACCAATGTCGGTGTTGGCGACTGCTCGGAAAATAATAACAAGGGGTGCAAAGCTATCTGTCGAACTCTAGGTCTCGAAACGACAGGCTGTTCTGACGACGAGTGTGTTTGTGACTAAAGAGTAGTATTAGTACAGATTTCTTGCGCTACAAGCCATAAAGTGCATCAACAGCCAGAGTCCCAAAACAGCCCAAATCATTCTCATACATCTCCTTTAAAAAGACATGCTCGTAATGTTTGAAATAAAAACCAACCAACCAAAAAAAACATACATATCTATATTTCTTCCCTACTCTTCCCCCTTTATACCCCTTGGGGGTAGTCACTCTGCAAGTCTTTAATGGTATTATATCTGAAAATGTTAGACATGGTTATTATTTATATGCAATCAATTGGACGCTTTTATTCTCTCGGTACACTTTGGTGTACTATTTTAGATTCTACAGAGCATGATGTACCTATCTACTCAACCAAATATAAAAAAGACAATACACTACACTACACTACATTATGAATCTACTGCGTATAGGCATTATTCTCAGGTTAAAATACACCAATAAACACATAACATTGCTTAATATATGTACTTGGAAACCCTCTTATGTTTTAATATCATTCAACAAAAAAAGGCCTCAAAAGAATCCTTAAATCTGAGCACTAAAAAACAATTTTTTGTATTTGTGGTAATTGTAGTAGCCTAAATTAGAGTATTTTATATGCTATAAATCATATATGTACTGCTATTTCTTTCTTATTGAAAATCGTAGTATTTATACTAAAGAGTCTGAGACTGTTATAAAGGAAATAAATTGAGGATTAACAGAGTCTTGCTAGTGTTGTCTGATCGTGACTTTGAGTATGATTCAGGGGACCTGAAGATGTATTGGTTCGAATCGCAGTTACATTTGAGTACTTCAAAGACTAGATGCACAATTTACATATATTTTCTTTTTAATAAAACATAAAAGCAAAAAACATACTAGTAATTTAATGAGGTTCTCTCTAAATGTATTTTATTTATTATAAAGTTGTATTTCATAAACAAAGAATATTTGAAGGCTATATTTCAAGCATTATCTTTATTCATTTTTTTACATGTGTAATGTTTCTTTCTTCCTCTTTTACCAGCATAGAGCTGTTTCAAAAAAATGTGCGGTTATTGGCTCAGGATACACTTCAAACTTACTCGTATTATGTGTTCGTAATCCAAAAAATCTATCCAGGATGATCATCAAAACTCCTCTGATTCAATAACAAGCCCACATTCTGTACACGTTTGAGTCGTTGTTCCATCTTCGTCTTCAATAGTGTCTTCAAATTTGTGCTTGTGGGGACCTTCTTGTCTCTTTCTTTCCCAGGAACTTGTCATCGTTTTACGTCTCATGTCTTTAATTCATGTATTTATTTATTTATTTAAGAGGTATTAGGTTCGTATAGTGAGATGATTAAGAGAAGATGTTATTATTATTATTATTATTATTATTTTACCTGCAAGTTTATCTTTGAATTTTTTATCTTTCTTTTCTTTTTTCTGTGCCTCGCGCCGTTCATACTCTCCATCTAGACCTTCTGGTCCTCCCCATTTTTTAAAAGCATACTCCTCTACCTAAGCACTTTCTAGCATTAAATCTTGCGTGCAAAATGAAATTTATATACCCACCATCTCGCGAACATAAAGCATCATGTTGTTCCATGTAGACTTTCGAGGATTTGGTTTTGACCAATGCGGAAGCAGATCTTTATCTCGCAACTCAGCTACAGAGTATACATTTGAGTGAATGAGTGAGTGAATTCGTTATTTTTTCAAATACAAATATAATACACACGATCTGTCAATAGATAGTCCTATAATTAGATAAAGTCATCAGTAAAAGTTCTGTCTGCAAAGGTCAGATTTTTCTGACCTCTTTTGCTTCTGTTTTTGTAATTAAACTGTATTTTTCAGGGAATTTCTCTTTGCAAATTGGACATATGTTGATTGAGAACACCTGAAAGAATACAGGATCAAGATCCATAGAATCACATTCTTTGCATTTTGGGTTTTCTGTTGGATCGATTGATGGAGCTTTTGTTCATTTAATATATATTTATATATGTATAAATTATTAGTAAATATGTATATATATATATATATATATATATATATATATATATAATGTGATAATCAAGCTCATATATCTTACGGTGATACGGTACAATTTTTATATTATCTTTCGATAGTTCCTTTAGACGATCGTCTTTTTCTTCTTCTACAATGTATCCTCCTTTTGAATCTACCATTTTGCTGAAATCGTAGTCGTAGTAAGGAGTGATTGGTCTAGATCGCTTTGAACGATGTTGTACTGCGCCTTCATTGCCAGCTTTGGGATCATGTTGATCATTGTTGGTTTGATTCGTCTGTTCGTTCGCATTTCTTTTAAGTTTAAGTCGCTCTATTGCTTGCAGTCTGTTTGATTCCGTGCGTTGTTTTTGCTCTTCCGTTAATGTGTTTGCCATCGTGCTTAAAGGAAAAAACCTAGTTAACTTATTTTTCTTTCTGTTGCTTAATGTAAAATATATTATGATCTCCGACAATCTGTGTGCAGGCAGTCTTTAAAAAAACTAATACTATGCTGAACCCAGCCTTCACAGTTCTCCTTTGTGATCTTGGTACTGCGTTCTGACAATTACTCTGTAAAGTCACCGGTATCTAGTCCCGAATTTCTCTAACCCAAACCCTTTAGTTTGGAGAAACGCTCCTCTACTGAATTAAGGAAGGGAGAGTAGGGGGGCAAGAACTTGATGTGGTGCCTTGTCGTTGCCATAAAGTCCCTGACCAAATGAAATCTGTGAATAGGCGCGTTATTCAGGACAAACAATTGAGGAACAGGGTGGGTTTCATCAAGTTTCTTTATGGGCGTTTTTAAGAAATTAATGAATATTTCAGTGTTGGTGCTTTTTGGGACAAGCTTGGCCGAAATATTTTCTACGCCATTGTTGGATATTGCCAACAAAATGCGGATGTTAAGTGACATATTGGTATTCATGCGCATAGCACCATTTCCCCCCTTCTTGAATCATCCTTGTTGGCGAATGATATAAGCATATAATCCGGTTTCATCAACAAATATACAATTGGCTACATATGCAACTCCAAGTCCTGGAAGAGACTCCACAATTTTTCTTCTTCCTTCGATCGCATCCGGGTCGTTTCTCCTCTCCTCTACATCTTTAGTTATCTTCAACGTTAACCCAATATTCTTCATGCTCTGTTGGTAGAGTCCACTGAACTTTATCCCTTTTTCCTGTAGATCGCTGAAGCGTTCATATAGCTTCTCTCTCATCAACTCAAGAGTCAATGTGCAGTCTTCGCCAAGAATCTCGATAAGATATTCCGAATGTTCTTCTGTGGTATTTGTTCATTTCTTTTTCCTACCACCTCTTTGCTTGACTACGACCTCTCCATTTTCTCTGTAACTGTCCTTTATGCTGTCTACAGTAGATCTAGGAAGGCCAAACATGGGTGCGACTTCTGAAACTGGCTTATGTTCCCTTTTTATAGTCAAGTCGACGATTCTCTTGGGTAAAGTAGTGGGAATTGCTTCATTCTTCTTCTTTGGTGTTCTTTGGGTCTTATTTTTGCTACTTGAGCTTTGGGGTGGAATGTTTTGGGATGGGAGAGTCATGATAAAATAAAATAGGTAGAATGAAAAGGTAGAATGTCACTATATTAAAAGAAAAAGACTATTTTGTACTTAAAATCCTGTATCTAGTGTTTACAGTCGGGACTACTAGCTGACAAAGACTATTATCTATATTGTAGCCATGGTAAAAAGGGGCAGTAGACTACTATTTAAGAAGATGGACTCTCAAGACAACAGATATACACTCAGTGTTTAATTAGGGGGAGTCAAATAATATTTATGACTAGGCGCATGATGATGAAAATCGGCTGCCAAAAATAGGAAAAATGGAAAAGCGTTTTTAATGAGATAAAAAGACTACTTTATTTTGCTTCACTAAACTTTCTCTGATAAGGTCTCGACTTCCAGCCTTTTTATTATTACTTCACATTCATTCCAATTCCATTGCAATAATTTGTTATTTCTTTGCAAGGTGGTAGCTATTAACTATTATACCAACTGTCTTATTATTCCTGAGTAGAATAAATTAGATAATATCTGGTTTACATTGCTATCAGCACCATTCATGAAAATCATTTTCTTTAATATGCATTTCTCATTTTTTCAATTCTCTTGTTCACTTTACAGACTGATATCTTTCTATGTTAAGTAGTATATATAATTATGTAGTTTACCAAAATAAGATTAAGTTTAATCGAGTATCCACTTCCGTGAGGACCTGTAGTATTTTACAACTTTATTTTTAAAAAAAAATAGATTTATTTTATATGACAATAATGAAATTATCAATATTATTATTACTTATTGTTCATAATTTTTTTTTTGGTAGGGATTATTGTTCATAAACTAGTAATAGTGAATATTTTCAGTATTTTAATAAGTCACAGCGATAGTAACTATCCAAATCAACTTCATACATGAATACATTATTTCTTAATCTGGTATCTTCTTTAAAAACACAGTGTTTAAATAAAGTTGAACAAAAGAATCAGAAAAAATAGCATGCATATATAATTTAAAAAACTCTTGAAAATGAAAATAATAGAAAGATATAGCTTTTATTAAATGAAAACTGGCAAGAATTTGACCACAAAGCTCGATTTGATTGGTCAAGAGCACGGAAATAAAAATCCCAAAAATATAAAAATAGGACCCACCGTGATTTGAACACGGGACCTTAGGATCTGCAATCCCACGCTCTACCGCTGAGCTATAAGTCCTACTTGTTGAGTTTTATGTTTGTGTAATATATAAAGCAACAAAAATACAGTGTATTTATATTATAAAAAGCTATAAATTATAGTTAAGTAATATATATTAGGGTGTTTCAGCAGTTTTAGATGCTTAGATTTTACATTTGCATTAACTTAATACGTGAGCCAATGATAATTGATATGAAAATAAAACTGTAGAAAGCTTTTGTATTTCCTTTTGCTCTTAATTTTATTTTCTTATGAAATATTCATAGGCAAAATTGGAGAATCTAAATTTGTATTCTATAAACAACTAAGGGTAGTGTGGTGATCCAGACACTCGGATGTTGGATTTATCACATATAAGAACATATTCATATTGGGATAGCATAGTAGCTATCATCTTGTCAGTATAAAATATATATAAACGATTAAGTAATCAGCCCAATAATTACTATAGTTAGTACTGTAGATAATATCTTTGTTGTGGGGAGAAAATAAAGCAAAATATAATATAGACGAAAGAATTCGTGAGAACTTGTGTAGGTTGTTTATTTCAAAAGAAAAGTAAAGAATGATAAAATTCGATTGTCTTTCTACACGGAACTATCTACTGATATTTATATGTTTTTCTAATTTGTAATTCAGTGTGTGCTTAAGTAATCTTTATCACGATGAGTCATATTCCAGGAGTATTGTTCTTCTGGAAAGATCCGGAAAGACCAATTGATATGACACTTCTCCAGTCAGATCAGTCCAAGAGTTTTGGTAAAGAAGAGCATTTATGCTATTGGTAATATTTTAGTATTCCGACCCAGATACTCGGGTAATGTTTCATAATATTAGATAGTTGTAGTTGTAGTCTCTCAATTAAGTATTTGTATAATAAAAGAAATATGTAGATGAAATATAATGATGCCATATATATAATGTATATGTATTTGTATATCCCATGTCATGATGATAATAAAAAATAATCAATTATGTGTATGATGATCTGTGTATTAGATAATATCATAAAGGGAGATCCGTTTGACTGGAATAGCTGAGGATATTATTTTATCCTTCAGTCTTACTCTCAGATTCAGCAGTAATCAATACTCATTCACAACAATCTTAAAGATTGTTAAGATAATTATATCATACTGCTGGGTAAACTGTGTCAGATCGATATGGAGCTAAATTTAGTAGGGAGTCTAAAGCTCTATGTAAAAGAAAAATGATAGCTAAGAGCTAAAGAAGTACGATTTATGATTTGGTATCATAATTGTAATACTAACACTAGTTAAGCAGTAAATATACTCTAATAACCAAATATAGTAAAGGAAGAAAGCTTTAAGAAACTAAGACATAATAACAAGAGCAGATTGTGTTTTCTTATAAAAAGGAACACTTTTTATTTATGAATAAAGGATAGCTTATATACGGCCTCAGGATTTCCATACCTTTCCATTAACAAATTAATTAATTTCTATAATGTTGTGTCCATGATATATATATATAGAACATCGGAGAGGTTGGAATGTGGTATTTCAGGTACACAACAATATAGAAATTAAATATTTGAAAATAGAGACGGATAGAAATACTTGGAGACTGTATATAAGCTATCCTTTATTTATAAATAAAAAGTGTTCCTTTTTATAAGAAAACATAATCTGCTCTTGTTATTATGTCTTAGTTTCTTAAAGCTTTCTTCCTTTACTATATTTGGTTATTAGAGTATATTTACTGCTTAACTAGTGTTAGTATTACAATTATGATACCAAATCATAAATCGTACTTCTTTAGCTCTTAGCTATCATTTTTTCTTTTACATTAGAGCTTTAGGACTTCCTACTAAATTAGCTCCATATTTCTCTGACACAGTTTAGCTGACAGTATGATATAATTATTGACCTGATTACTTTATTGTTTATATATATTTTATGCTGATAAGATGATAGCTACTACATTATCCCAATATGAATATGTTCTTATATGTGATAAATCCAACATCTGAGTGTCTGGATTACCACTGTTGTATCTAACATAATTGTAGATTCAAATAGAGAGCACAGATAATAAAACAAAGACATATTGAATAAGTGACCAGTATCAATTATACATTATTTCTTACACTATCATTAAATAAAGAATATACCAATAATAAGATTACATATCTTAGTCAACATCACTAATCACTCAAACAAGAGTGTAGATAATAACTTAACAATATATTATCTATGATATAAGAAAATAGACATCACATGATATACTCATATCATTATTCTAAATACATATGCAATGTCTATATAAACTCATATAGCAAATAGCAATAGAAGATTATCTCTCTTTTTATCAATAAACAAAGTCTCACCATACTTCTTGTCTGAACTTTGTTTTTCTTTCTTTTTTAAAAATATAACAGCCACAACTCTAAAGAATAGCAAAAGATAAATAATGTTTTTTTAAAAAAAAGTAATTTATTTACACAAAGATATATATCTCTTTAATATTAAAGTATGGGATATTTAGGATTGTTTATAGATTAGTATCTCAATATATGGAAAAGTAAATATTGTGAGAGTGTTATTTGTTAAAGAGACAAAATAATATTATTTATATCTGTTACTCTTGTTGTGAATGAGTATTGATTACTGCTGAATCTGAGAGTAAGACTGAAGGATAAAATAATATCCTCAGCTATTCCAGTCAAACGGATCTCCCTTTATGATATTATCTAATACACAGATCATCATACACATAATTGATTATTTATTATTATCACCATGACATGGGATATACAAATACATATACATTATATATATGGCATCATTATATTTCATCTACATATTTCTTTTATTATACAAATACTTAATTGAGAGACTACAACTACAACTATCTAATATTATGAAACATTACCCGAGTATCTGGGTCGGAATACTAAAATATTACCAATAGCATAAATGCTCTTCTTTACCAAAACTCTTGGACTGATCTGACTGGAGAAGTATCATATCAATTGGTCTTTCCGGATCTTTCCAGAAGAACAATACTCCTGGAAGATGACTCATCGTGATAAAGATTACTTAAGCACACACTGAATTACAAATTAGAAAAACATATAAATATCAGTAGATAGTTCCGTGTAGAAAGACAATCGAATTTTATATTTCTTTACTTTTCTTTTGAAATAAACAACCTACACAAGTTCTCACGAATTCTTTCGTCTATATTATATTTTGCTTTATTTTCTCCCCACAACATTTTTTTTCGTGAACTACAATGAACTCTCCTGCTGACTTGTTTCCCGCTGGTTTGACCCCTGTTCCTGAGGAGGCTACCTTGTCCCCCATGTCTGCGGATGAATTATTCTCTGACTTGAGTGAGCCCGTCCTCTTTCCGGATGCTGCCCCTGGTTTTGGTTCCGTTTCTGGTTCTGGTTCCCCTCCCGTTGGTAGAGAAGTAGCAACTGCTTCCTCCTGTGTGGCCGTTCTCAAGGCTGAATTGGGCAACCACATCGAGGCCTTCAGCGCTGCTCATGTAGCAAACAATGAGCAAGCAGCTGATGATGCACTCCGCAGGATCGAGCGCACAAGATTGGCAATCACTAGCCTTGAAAAGTGCAGCGAGATGCTTGCCTCTCCTGGTACAAACACAGAGAGAGCTGGCCGTGAAGGAGGGTTGACTCTCAACAGAAGAGATCTTCCCAAATTCCAATTGGCCTCCAGTATTATTAAGCCCTTCCCAAATGAAGAGGTTTTTGAATCAGTTGGACATTTCCTACGTACCTTCAAGAATGTGATCGAGTCTTCTTCCTTGGACATCGAGAGAGTTTGGAAGAAATTCCTCCCACTTTGCCTGCCTCACACTGATGACGGATGGGTAGAGATGGATCTTAAGAAGTGTATTGATTGGAAGGCGGCGAAATCATGCTTCAACAAAAGACATGGTTCCAGCTTGGTGTCTCGACGATTCACAGACCAGGTCTTTACAATGATGATGAAGAACACTGAGTCCATCGGTGATTACTCGAAGAAGTTCCTCCGTGCGGTTTACAATGCTGGTTTACCCAAAGACGATGCTCGCATCGCTGATCGCTTCCTTGCCTCGCTGACCTTATCAGTGCAAACACTGGTAAGAGTTACCATGGCCCGCTCTGGTCCCAATGGGGAGTCCAAGCGTGATTGGACTGTAGAGCAGATCACGCAGATCGGCAGAGACATCCTTGGGGATGACAACAGGCTCTATGCTGAGGCGACCCGATTGATTCCTGGTTCCCGTGGGCAACCTGAGAAGAATAACGAGGAACATCCCAGAAAGAAGCTTCACCATTCCAACAAGATAACCAAGCATGAGAAGACATTTTTCTGCTCGCACCATGGAAAAAACCCGACCCATGAGTCCAGCAAGTGTTTTACCTTGATCAACCGCAAGAACAAAGCCAGTAGTTCCAACAGTCGCAATCCTTGCAGACGTTGTGGTGAAAACTACTACCATGGTCATGTCTGCAAAAGCAAGAACAATGAGCCAATTCTCATGGTATCCCAGTCTCCCGCAAAGGATAAGTCTGAGCAGACGCTCAAGACGATCCAGGACAGGATAGATGAAGACATGGAGGAAATATCATTTGAATGTAAGTACCTACTTGACAGAATTGAGAGAAGAATTAAAGCTAATGATGCGTTTAATCTTGTAACTCCAATCATAATAGAGAACCAGAAGTTAATCGGGATGATCGATACAGGCAGTTCCCGCACGTTTATAAATTTGAAATGTTTAAATAACAATTTACAAATAACAAAAATAAATTCTTCAATTGGTTCCTTTAATTTTCTGTCTAAGAATAGTAGTACAAAGAGATTAGGAAAAACTGATCCTTTAAATTTTAAATATATAAATGGCATCACCTTTAAGCATGCACCAGAGGTGTTAGAGTTTAATACGGGTTTTAATTTTGATATCCTCCTTGGAAGAGATATTTTGGCAAAGATGAATATTGGATTAATTAATGTTGCATATGATATTGAAGGAGAATATGTCCATTCAGATAATGCAAAAGACTATGCCGCCATTTATGAAAATCTAAATATTGATAAAGAGAAAAAGTTTGAACCTGATAATTCGCCAGCTGGCACAGCACAGCAACGAGCAGAATTTATGAGCTCTATTAAAGCATCACTGGAGGAAAATAAGAATATTCCCGTTGAGTCATATTGTCCTTTATCAGAATCTATTATTCGTTTACCTACTAAGGAAGGTGCGACGGCTTACAGACGGCAGTATCCTATACCGCACGCTCTAAGACCAACACTTGACAAGCAAGTAAAAGAATGGCTTGAGACAGGAACTATTGTCAAGTCCAAGACCAACACTTCCTTCAACAGTCCAATGTTGCTTGTTCCAAAGAGAAACAAAGCTGGTGAGATTGTCAGTCATAGAGTGTGTTTAGATGTGCGATTGTTAAATCAGATCCTACCTCCCACATTCAATTATCCAATTCCAAAAATTCAAACAATATTTCAAAACTTAAGTGGAAAGAAATTCTTTACCACACTCGACTTATCCAATGCGTATCATCGTTTCAAAGTTGCACCTGAGGATGTACACAAACTGACATTCACTCACTTAGATGGGCAACAGTATAGCTTTATTAAAGGCTGTTTTGGCTTGAAGATGCTTACTTCACAATTTCAACATGTCATGGCTACTTTATTTGATAAGATTGACTGTGTACAGAATTTTGTTGATGATTGTATTGTTGCCAGTGAAACATTTGAACAGCATGTCAAAGACGTAAAATTAGTTATTGAAAAATTGTCATCCGCGAAGTTGATTCTGAACTCGGAAAAGTGTGTCTGGTTTCAACATTCAGTGAGATTGCTTGGTTTTGTCGTCAATGAGACAGGCACCAAGGTTGATAAGCGAAAGTTGACAAATGTTGACAAATGGCCTATTCCTACAACTGCGAAACAGATTCAGCAATTCATGGGTTTGATCAATTACTTCAGAGATTATATTCCTATGATTTCGAAGGTAGCTGAGCCTATTTCACGTTTGAGTCATGCCAAGAATGTGTCTGGTCAATGGACAGATGAGCAGACGAAAAGCTTTAAAGCACTAAAAGACATATTGCACCAAGATTTAATTCTTCATTACGCAGATATGTCACGTGAAATGTATGTGGCCACAGATGCATCCCTTTATGGAGCAGCTTGCTTATTGTTTCAGCGAGATGAACAAGGGCGTGATAAATATATCAGCTTTGTATCAACTTCCTTAAGCCCATCGCAGCGACGATGGAGCACAACTAAAAGAGAATTATATGCAGTCGTTTTGGCGCTTGAAAAATTCTGTCCATTTCTGTGGGGCCGACAGTTCACAATTTTTACTGATCATCGAGCACTCATTTATCTCCACACTCAAAAAATCGCTAATCCGATGATGATTGGCTGGATTGAGACACTCCTTGACTTTGATTTTAAAGTGGTCCATATTCCTGGTTTGTTGAATAAACTACCTGATTTGCTAAGCCGCTTGTATCCTCCAGAGGATAGTGACAAGCTGGTGGAGGATGATGGATTGAGAAAAATCAGAACAAATGACTTACAAGCTAAAAACAGAGTTATTGTTCAAAAGAAAAAATATAGTAAAGACAGAGTGCTAAATGTACTTGCAACGCAACTCGTCGAAAATGCTTCAGAGTCGTCCGACTATATGTCACCTCCTGAAGAAAAGCGTAATGGCTTACTAAAAGAAGCACATTCGTTTGGTCACTTTGGAAGTCAAGCTATAGTGAATGATCTTCATTCACAAGGCTTACACTGGACTAATATATATGAAGAGGCTAAAGAGATTATTCGTTCTTGCCCTGAATGTCAGAAGCACAATATTAGCAAGAAAGGCTATCACCCATTGACTAATGTTGTAGCATTCCGACCATTTGATCATATTGCAATTGACTTATGCGGTGAATTCCCTGTATCAGAGGATGGACACACGTACATGTTAGTTCTGGTTGATGTATGCTCCAAGTACATTATCTTGAGACCACTGCCAAACAAGAACTCAACAACAATAGCTAAAGCATTGATAAAGATTTTTGGAGATTATGGTTTTCCCAAAGTAATGCAAAGTGACAATGGTCTGGAATTTAGAAACTCTTTAATGTCAAGCCTATCTAAAGAGCTTGGGATTGATCGAAGATATTCGACAGCATATCACCCACAAGGAAATGGTATTGCCGAAGCCAGTGTAAAAATTGCAGAGAATACTGTACGTAAAATGATGAGAGCGAACAGCAATGACTGATGTCACTATCTACCGATTGTTCAGCTGTGTATCAATAGACATATTCCTCAAAAAACACTAAGTGCGCCGTTTTCATTAATGTATGCTCGCAGAGTCAATGTGCCTGATGAGTATGGTGACAAAGATAAATACTCTCTTCCAAAAGCCACAGTTACAATTGATGAGCTAGAGAAGCAGATTGATCATATGAAAAATATTATATTCCCTGCCATTAACGAACGTGTGTTAAGGATTAATGAGGAATTAAAAAAGAAATATGATCACAAAAATATCCTAATCGACATCCCCAAAGGAACACACGTTATGGTCAGATTACCACATCGATCAAATAAATTGGCACCTATTTATGAAGGTCCATATACAGTGGTTCGAAAGAATAAAGGAGGATCGTATGAGTTAAAGGATGAGCAAGGTGAATTGTTACACCAAAATTATACACCCTCAGAACTCAAGATGGTCACCATCGATGAATCAACAATTGAGAATGAGCTCTACAAAGTTGAAGACATTCGAGATCATCGTGGTACTGCTGGTCAACGAGAATATTTGGTCAAATGGGCTGGCTATGGCGAACGCGCTAATACATGGCAAAAGGCTGAAGACTTTACCGATTCCACAATTGTACAAAAATATGGAAGAAAGTTAGAGAGTTGGAACGTTTAGAGAATGAGAGAGCTGAAGACTTGATTAACAAAAGTGCATCCTCAAAAAAGAAAATAGTTCACACTTCAAGACTAAATGGTAAAAGTAACAATAACGATGAGCACAAGAAAAGAACACTTCCTACCACTTTGAGTAGAGAAGAAAGATTACACAAAAGAAGAGCAACAAAAAATTAAAATAACAAAAAATGAACACGTAATCCACAAAGCTGAGTTTACAGTGTAGATCTCCATAAAGTACAAAAATTATGTGCATGATTGACTATAATAAAATAAGCAATTGGCCAGACAATGAAATAGTAAATGAAATGTTTTATTGCCGAATCAACAAAAGGTATTGTTGAATCTGGTGGAGGATAATGTTGTGAATGAGTATTGATTACTGCTGAATCTGAGAGTAAGACTGAAGGATAAAATAATATCCTCAGCTATTCCAGTCAAACGGATCTCCCTTTATGATATTATCTAATACACAGATCATCATACACATAATTGATTATTTATTATTATCACCATGACATGGGATATACAAATACATATACATTATATATATGGCATCATTATATTTCATCTACATATTTCTTTTATTATACAAATACTTAATTGAGAGACTACAACTACAACTATCTAATATTATGAAACATTACCCGAGTATCTGGGTCGGAATACTAAAATATTACCAATAGCATAAATGCTCTTCTTTACCAAAACTCTTGGACTGATCTGACTGGAGAAGTATCATATCAATTGGTCTTTCCGGATCTTTCCAGAAGAACAATACTCCTGGAAGATGACTCATCGTGATAAAGATTACTTAAGCACACACTGAATTACAAATTAGAAAAACATATAAATATCAGTAGATAGTTCCGTGTAGAAAGACAATCGAATTTTATCATTCTTTACTTTTCTTTTGAAATAAACAACCTACACAAGTTCTCACGAATTCTTTCGTCTATATTATATTTTGCTTTATTTTCTCCCCACAACAACTCTTAAAATCTTTGTAATTCAAATATCTGTTATGTAATAATTGATTTACATTGTATGAGTATGTAGTGTACATGTGCCTGATATATAACAGTTATGAAGATTGTTAACTTGCCAGATTTATTAGTAAGAGAGAATTAGTATTTGATTGTAGAGTCTGTTCTTTACTCAATTGTGGTGTGTATATTACACTATATATATTTAGTATTAACTTTATTGTTTTTGATTGTTTTATATCTAAAATAATATAGTGCTTATTTATCTCAACAGAAAATCTTTAGAAAGCAAGTGAAATTCGTTTTTATTTAAAATAAAATAAAAATAAAATTAAAGTAGACTGCTATAAATATTCTGATAAATAATACTATATCAGTATCTATTTTTTTTTAGTATTAAGATATCAACTTATAAACAGCTTAAAATATTTTAATTATTTATTTTGTTTTTTATTTACATTAATTATCTTTAAAATATATTGAAAGTATCTTATGCTTTTATTTTATTCAATAAATAAATAAAAAAATTTCGTTTAAAAATATAATAGCTACTAAAATTTTTCAGAACTTAGTAATATATTTAACTTTATTTTATAAATTATCACTTCAAATTTATATATATTAACTATTCTCTCGTTATTATTAAAAAGATTTTATATAAAACAAACTTGAATATGCTTAATAGAAGCAAGATCCGAACATTCAAATATCCTTTTTCAAATTTGTAAATATAGCTTTTATTTATACTATCAATTTCAGTTATTATATATTAATTCATAATGCGAATTCTTTCTATATTTATGTCACTAATCTTATCAGCTCAGTGAATATGAGGGTTGCCAAAACACTCTAATGTAAAAAAAAAGAAAATAAAGAAGTTAATATGCAAGGCGTAGTGCTCATGAGGTTGATATAATCAAAAGTTGTAATTAATTAATAAATTGTTTCTCAAGCTAAATATTGGATAAATATTAGATGAATATGTATCCGGGTATAAATAACATTCAGCTTATTAAATAAATTATCTAACAAGGGAGTACATATAATAGAGGTGTTGAGTTGTTATAATTTCAAGATAAAAAAAAAGAGGGCAAAGAAAGGGAAAAAAAAGATCATTTTTTAAACGATTCTGATTGGCCAGCCTTCTTCAAGTGTCACTACAATTGAGAAAAAGAGCATTTTTTACAGGAACAATGTGCCATAGAATGCGAGATATAGAATAACTCGCAAAAATAGGGCTTCACCTTTGCTGTTCACCAATGTACGAGGGAATTGAAAGGAAAAATACTTTTCATAGTAATTTATTCGATTCCGAATGGATATATTTGTCAATTTCCTCGATGATTTCCTCGTACGCTGGTGAACAGCATAAAAATACAAGTAATCTTGTAGGTCATGTTTGTTTCTTTATCTAGTTTTGCAACTTGTAAACAGTCCAATGTACAATCTTCCTCTAAAATAGATTTTTGGATTAAAAATTAAAATAATGACAATTGAATATCACCCTAATATTAGTGTGTGCTAAAAGTGTCAAAGTTACAAATCCTTTGAATCAATCATATTAGTATTTGTACCAAAAGAGACTTGAACTGTTTATAAAATTTCTCAAAATCTTTGTAGACAGTGTAATGAAATAGGATGTAACCCAGACTCAGGGGGGTTTGTTACCAAATGGTAAGCTATTAGATTTGAATAATTTTATCGTCTTTAATTCTTGTACTAGGTTGAAGAAGTTGGGAAAAAGACTTTTTGCATTGACTGCAAAAACACGGTGACATAAAAAGTGGGATATATATAAAAGAGAGAAATTGGTGCTTAATTAAAATTCTAACTGTAAAACACACTTTAAACCCCGGAAAACTTGCAAAAACCGCCTTTTTTTTTATAGGGTATATAATTAGAGCGTCATTCTTTATAATATAGTTGTAACTTGTTTTGTTGCTTCACTCAAGCATTCTACTTGTCCATAAAACGACAGATTTTATAAAATAAAATATCATATATAGTGTTGTGCTGTCTAATATTGGGACGCTTAACATAATGGATTATCCATTCCCTGAGCGCCTTATATAAAAAAGTTCATCAATAACAAATTGATATTTTTTTTAAGTTACTAAAAACTCCTTGCGAATTATGTAGTTCAGAGCAGTTTAATTAGTGCAAAATATACATCCGCTATTGAGAAACCATATTAACAAAAAACTAAGTAAATGATATGACACTTGATCTTATCCTAGAACACAAGTGTAGTATCCAAGTACCGAATGGCTGGATGGACCAGTCATTGACAGTGTGCATGGTTTACGCGTACCATGACGTCATGTGAATACACCTCCGAAGATCGCAACACAGGACTGTGGGTTGCCGGCAGTTTTAGGCAAAAGGGGAACGCACTCGAGGTTATTTGGGTGGAGCTTCTTCGTCGACTTTTTATTATTATTATATTTCTACTTTCACCTTTTAGTTAATTTAACCTTACTTAAAAAGGTATCAGCTAAATATCCTCTATTCTCCTCGAATCTCGAGAATAAGCAATATGTATTGTCATCTAACTGCATGCCAAACAGATCATGGGCCAAACACTTTCAGAACCTGTCGTTACCAAGACCACCCACAAGGAATCCAGCAAGGATCTCTTCTACGGTGTCTCATCTATGCAAGGATGGAGACTGAGTATCCTTTTTCATAATGATATTTAGATGCCCCGGATGTACACTATACAAAGCCAATTCTCTTCCTATCCTTCACTCTTACCCTTTTTTCTCCCGTTAGCTATGGAAGATGCACACGCCACTCTCCTGAAACTCGAGGATTCGGACGCAAGTTTCTTTGGTGTATATGATGGTCATGGTGGTAAGTATTTGGTGCGAGGTTACCCTAAAAGAAATAAAGGGACAGGAGTTCCCATGTATTTTCTTTTTTTTGTATCCGTTTTAATCCATGACACACACACACATATATATAGGTTCCACCGTGGCTCAGTACACAGGAAAGAGACTTCATCGCAAGGTGTATGAAAGCGAATTTTTTGCCAAGAAGCAGTATTCTGAAGCTATGCGTGATGCATTCCTGGGCATCGACAGGGAATTGAGCGAAGACAGCAACTATGCATTCGATCCTTCCGGCTGTACCGCTGTAACAGCTCTAGTTACCCCCGAAAAAAAAATTATTGTGGTAAGATATTATAGCCAAGGAAGCAATAGTACGTAGCAGTGTGTAGCAGTGTGTGGCAAACTCCCCTTACTCGGAACGAATAGGCAAATGCTGGTGATTCAAGAGCTATTATCAGTGTCAACGGCAAGAGCAAGGCTCTTTCGTATGATCATAAACCAGTCGATAGATTGGAGTCACAGCGTATTATTGCTGCTGGTGGCTTTGTTGAATTTGGCCGTGTGAATGGTAAGTGATATGTCCCATGGCTACACACAACATATATTAACATTCTCTATCTTATCAGGTAACCTTGCTCTTTCGCGCGCTATCGGTGATTTCGAATTTAAGCGAAATGACCATCTCCCTGCAGAAAACCAAATCGTGACATGTAAGTCACTCTCAGTTCTATTTCTCTATAAAACGTATATTAAACTGAAAGCTTAGGTAACCCTGATATTATCGAGCACACTATTACGGATCAGGACGAATTTTTTGTACTAGCATGCGATGGTAGGACAGACCATTCAATTTGAAAGAAAAGATGGAATTGACATTTTGTATAGGTATCTGGGATTGCATGACAAACCAAGAGGTTGTTGATTTCGTTCGTACTGAGCTCGGTAACAAGGTGCCTCTGGATGAAATTTGTGAGTTAATGATGGATCACTGTCTGGCACCTGATTGTGAGGGTGGAGGAGTTGGATGCGACAATATGTCTGTTATGATTATTGGCATTTTGAATGGTAAAACAGTCGAGGAATGGTATAACTGGATGGAAAAGCGTGTCTCTAGTTCAAACAAGACAGATAGCCTTGGTAATGCTGTTGAACAGCCAAAGGAAACACCTAAAGAAGGAGGCAATACAACTGCTGCATCTACTCCAGATGTTTATTCCATTAGTAGCAAAATGGGTTAAAGCGCATGTTTGTGTGTATGTACAGGATTAGATATTGATAAAAGAATGAGCTCATTTGCTTTTATTTTGTTGTAAATCAATTTACCACGTTCCCCCTTCATATTACTGTATTTTCATATAAAAATATATTGGTGATAACAACATTTCATTAGCTCTCTAGTGGTTATTGAGAGCTGCTTGGAAATTCTGTCTTAAGAACCCGATTAGCTTTCTTCTTAGGCACAGGAGCTTAATAGAGCCAAAATATTAGTTTGATACCAGAGTTTTAAATCAGTTTATACAGCTTACCATGGTTATTCTCACGAACATAGAATTTACGGAGTAATAATACAGCTTCCTCTGCATGTTTATTTCCCTCTGAGGCGTAATGTTTTGACACGGGAGTTTTCAGACGCGGGCTAATCAAACAATCGCGCATTTAATATATACATATACATATACATATAAATATATTCGTGTAAAAGCTTACTCGGTATGAATGTCAAACACTGATCCATTTCCGCCAAATTTATCATTTCCACAACCAAAGTAAACATGCCTTATACCTTTATATTTTTTTATAAGTTTTGCTTTAATTTGTATTAGAATAAATCAACGTACCTACTTGGCGTAAAGCAGAGGCACACATAACACAAGGCTCCACTGTGACGTACAGGTCAGTGTCAGAGAATACATCGGCAGTGTGCTCCTTTAAAATGTCATCAATTGCCTCAATCTCTGCATGACGGGTTGCCTATATTTATAAACTAGGGATGAGTAACCAGTGTCTTGGTTCATCTTAAAGATCTTACATTGAATGTCTCATTTGGTTTATTGCGCCCATGGGCAATAATTTTACCATTCTTTACAAATACACATCCTACTGGTACTTCGAGATTATCATAGGCTTCTTGGGCTACTTTAAGCGCTTCCAGCATAAATTGATCATTGTATACAGATGTTGTCATGGGGTTTATCAGGAAGAGTTTGTAAGTAAAAGAAAGTCACACTTTTTTGTCTTTGTGCATGTCTCAAATATGTGTTTTATTTTTTTTTGATGTCTTTATATATATATATATATATATCTTTAAGAGTAAGATGCTGATAATATAGATACATAAAGTAAAAGTGATACTACCCAAAGATACATATATGCTTTGTAAAAAAAAACCAACGTATTCTGACATTTATGCTGTTTCCTCGGCTGTACCTTTTCCCTGTAGGGTTTGGCATTGTCGTTTGAGGACATATATTATTCAGGGCGGTTTCGTGCTGCCTGTTCTTTCACTCTTTTCTCATACTCCTTTTTATCCTTTCTATACTCATTTGTCATGGTCAGACAGCATGTTTCTCATATCTAGTTGTACCCCTACCTAAACAATTCATATGCTTCATGTTGAGCGGGACTATCAGGGTTGGGATCATTGAGCAAATCTTGGATACCAAGAAGTATCTATGTGATTTTTTCCCCGTTAGACACAATTTATAGTTCTATAGCAACCTACATGGATAGCTAAATTACCTGTTTGATGGTGATAGCCGGTTTCCAGCCGTCATCTTCACTTAATATAGAGAGACAGACTGTACCAGATGGATAGATGTTTGGATGAAAAAGGGGCGGAGTAAACTTGCCTGTGTACAGATATGCAAGTCAGGATGCATTACAGCCCCACACAGTTCCTACAATAAGATTACTTACACTTGGGAGGTTTTGTAGGGTATTCTAAACCAAACAAAGACCAATTAGATGCGTTTATTGACAAGAAAGATCATTGTTTTTGCCCGAGAAATGTTTTTACCTTCAGGGAAGATCAAATCGATTTTATAGATTCCATTCTCCCAAGGAGTCTATTCAAAGATACTCAACAGCTATCCTAGATCCGCATAGTTGACAGCTACTCACATTTTCCTTTCCAGGTATACCACACCTCCAATGTAATAAATTAAGTGTATTATCTTCGTTTTTAATAGGTCTGGTCCAGAACCCCTGGGATTCGCATTAGTTTACAGGGTTGCCATTTATTTTGTGAATTTATAGCTTACATGTGGATGATCTTTTCTCCATTGTTTACGCTCTTCCATGAGACGCACACGCGCAATTCCTGTACTCATTGAATTGTATTGAAAACTGTTAAAGCAGAATAGATTCTAGTGGGGGGACTTTGGATGTGTACAAGTCGACGTCACAAGAAGATATTTAAAACACGTCAGTGAACATTAAAGTTAAGTCACTTGTAAGTGATAATGAGGGCGGGTCTTAATCGGTGCACCCACTCTTTTTTTTTTAAAAAAAATTATGGCCCTCAATGTGCACCAGAGCGGTTCCCCATTGACGCTGATTGTATTTTATTCCAATCAAATTCCCCATCAGATAAGGATTATATCCAGTTTCGGTAATATTAGTATTTTTTGTAAAACCGGTAGTTTAAATATCGTACTGTGCAGTGTTTCAACCATTTCCATCGCACAAGAAAATATGATCCTTGGAACGTAATTATAAGATAGAGAAGAAAGTAAAGCAATTAAAGGAAGTAAAAAGAAGCTACATTTCCAAATTAAACTCAAGGAAAGGGACAAACAGCTTTCTGGTTCTGTGTTCAATTGGATGATTGATTTTGTCACCTTGAGATAAGATTCATCATCGATAACTCCAATTTCGGTCAATAAGTCTATCACCCACGCGAGCACAAGTGGCAGAGATAAAAATACAAATTTTGATCAATTGGTGTAAGCAATTCAGAACTCGAAACTTGAGATATCGCTATTAGTATATATACTAAACTCCTTGACGTATTTGCTTTAAATCTCGTTAATATTGCTCTTATTAATGTAGGATTAGTAAAAAAAAGTCAATGAAACTTCGGCCTTCAAGGCAGAAGTTACATGTGTGTGTGACGTGTTATTAACGTTGAGTACATCTATGTGACTGACCTTTAATCATGATATGAGACATCCATCTCGACAATGATCTATAAAGCGGAGGTTTCGCAGGGTTTATCTTCTAATATACACTTTTAGCAGACTTTAACCTTGGTCGATAAGTATATTTGTACACGATTATATATTTTGCTGGCATGCAGTCTCTGGAATCCTACGATATATCGCCTCAAACGGGGTTCCTTCCCTCACAACCTCCTCTCCGTCGACTTCCATCTGCTTACTTTGCACCATGGGAGTCTCTTATGGAAGACTGTAATGGTTTATTACTGGCCGGTAAGCTCCGAGAAAGAGTCCACAAGGTAAGGCAACACAACCCAGAAAACCTACAATATATGCTTACTAATATTCCTTTCTTGCCAAAGCTTCCTTTACTTGACTCAATCCGGCTCCAGAATGTTCAAGAATACAGACGAGCATTCCTGATATTATGTATGGTATCCCACAGCTATGTTTGGGGAAAGCATGAGAAAACATTGGAGGTAATCCATACATTAAATCAAGTGTCACAATCGCTTAGTTGACATACAGTGGGACAGCTGATAAATGATTGGCTAACATCGATCACTTTCTCACGGTCAGATATTGCCTGCGTGTTTGGCCGTACCTTGGACAGCTATAGCAGATCATCTAGGTCTCTGTCCAGTTGTTTGTCACGCGGCAGTTGTGTTATGGAATTACAGGCTTTTGGACAAAAAAGGGCCACTTGATCTAAGGTAAATCTCATTTTGGCTCAAATTATCCCACGGCTAAGGCCATTTTTTCTCAACAGCAATTTAACTACACTGGAAACCTACACGGGATCATTAGACGAATCATGGTTCTATCTTGTCACGACCGAAATTGAGGGTGCAGGTGCACCATGTCTGCAAGCCATTACAAACTCAATTGAGCATATTAAAGATGGTGATTACTCTGAATTGATCGACGATTTGCAGGTCGTACATTCTGCACTAGAAAACATGAACTCTGCACTCCAACGCATGTACGAGAAATGCGACCCCTATGTATTTTACTGGAAAATAAGACCTTATCTGGCTGGGTGGGAGAATATGGCCGAGGTTGGCCTTCCTTTCGGATTGATATACGAGGGCATAGACTCGCACTGGGATGCAGAGACCGATGAATACGCAGATATGAGTCATCTCTCGGAAGGAGAGCGTCTTTTACGCCAATACCGCCGTTATGCAGGAGGGAGTGCTGCCCAAAGTAGTCTTATTGCCACTTTCGATGTTGCGTTTGGAGTTGAGCACCACCCTACAGGGCAAAAGTCTCCAATAAAGCTGGACTCTTCCGCATTGCTCAACCGGGATCGTTACACACATCCTCAATCCACAAAACCCGCTGATGAACTCAACCATCCAGACGGGTCTGCTACCCCACAAACTCCACCCACATTTGTACGCACTAACCGTAATCGCTTTTTGCGCGCAATGCGAAAGTATATGCCCCTAAACCACCGCAAGTTTCTTGAGGATCTTGAAGTTGCAGCTAACCTAAGACCATTTATGCTCCAGCTTCAAGAAAAACAGCTTATTACCCATTTGACAGAAAAAGAAACCCGGCTTCTGGAACTCTATAACGGTTGCCTGAATCAACTCAAGCTTTTTAGAGATAAGCATGTCCAAATTGTTACTCTTTATATTGTAAACCAATCCCGTAAAGGCGCCAATACTGGTAATGGTGGATATGCTTCCGACAAAAAGGAGCCTACACCAGCAAAAGCCACCTTTACACCAACAGTCCCTATCAAGGAAAAACCTGATACTTCGGAAGCAGTAACTGCCCTTTATCCTCAGGCCGCCCTTGAGTCAGAGCGAGGAATTCGCGAGGGATCTGTATCTGCAAAAGTTAACCAGTTTTTTCCGCAGTTAGGCCTGGCTAAGCATGTTGACCCAAAGTCCGGTGTTGTGCGAGGTACAGGAGGAACAAACATTATGCCATTCTTGAAGCAATCTCGTGATGAGACGAATGATATGAAGTTACCCATAATTGACCCAAAGGTTGATTCAAAGACTGTAATCCCAGAAAAGAGTTTCACAGATTGGATATTGCGTCGATGAATATAATATTAATATTAATATTATAATTTAAATAGTTATAATTCAAATAATATTAGGAGTTTAACTTGTGATATAAAATATGTAATTTATCTGAGCTATAGATATGTAGTAATTGCATACTACTATGGATTTTCTTTTTCTTCCTTATTGTATCTCGTCAGGTGCTTTCATTTGATTATTTATTTACATACAGCACTTTTATCTCTATTACACTTTTTTATCACCCTTAATACCCTAAGGTGCATTAGTCGAAAAGTGATAGGAAACAGTATGTTGATTTGTATTGACCACATCTAGTGGGGTTGTTCCGTCAAACTCCCAATCAGGTGTGCGTGCCTTCATTTCTTGTCTTGTCACGTCATCCATGTTCGGATCTGGGCCGCGTCGATGAGCCTGCTCATTCAATTCAATTTTAATCCGAGTGTATTGTGCGGTTGCATTGTGTGCACCACTACAAATGTATAAATCCAATATCTGTTGACAGACATCTAGTAGAAGAAAAGTTAATATTTACGTCGTGCCCCAATACACTTATATATTCTTTTACCTTCAATATCATCAATACGGGATAAAAGTAATTGATCCCAAGGTTGTTCCTCTGCCAGGCCATGAAATTCAGGGTCTTCTTCTTTTAATAGCCTGGAAGCCAAGTATATGCAACCAGCAGCAATCGTGTGCGCAGGGTATTCGACACACAGTGAAGTTCGATAACTATACATATATACATATGTAAATCAAATAAAAATGTTTAGATAGCTTTTATACCAACGATTTTCTTGTCTACATATTGACATACCTGTCGACTGCCAAACTATATGCTTTGTGGGCTAACCGCTTAGCATCGAGTGTCTGGAAAGCTAATACATCGTAGATTACAAAATATTTTATATAAGTATATCAATTAATCAAGGAAATTATTGTATTCACCCTGAACCCATTTGACAAATTTTATCACATATTCATAAGGATGCCGAAATTGAAAATCGAAACAGAGTGTCTCGAGTAAAAGTTTTTCATAGCCAATGATTTTACGCCGTCTCTCTTCAGACACCTATAACACCCAGAACTTGAATTTACCGCGCTCAAGTATACTTAGTAGGGGTAGAGATTCCTTACATTCTCAGGATCTAATTCCTTGCTACCTGGGTACTTTACACTGTGCACGGCCACAAATACATCCTTAAGCTTCTTGATGGTTTCCTCAATTTTGGAAGCAACGAATACACAAGTCACACTGATATCCTTTGTAGAGCTGTCAGCTACAGACTCCTTTCTGCTACTCTCTTATTTTCCTACTCTTTCCCCTCTTTGAAATCCTTGACAAAAACACCACTCACCTGGGGTGCGTATTCACGTATGGAATAGTATACGTAGAATCGATGATATAAAGCTTGTGCCGTGCTGATCGTTGTCTGAGGGCTATAATTACGCATTAGCTCATCGACTATCTTCTCCCAGCCCTATTTCTTCCTTTCTTCCTTTATTTATTTCCTTCTATTTTAAAAATCACAGGTAACTTACAAGCCGAGCTTTTTGCCTACGTCTTGAATAAATTTGCAGCTCGCATGACGGGCAGTAGCTTCCTTAGCAGCCAATCCAGCAGATTTTTTTAGGCTGGTGAGAGTGGCAAGCTGTCGTTTGGTAAAGCATGCTTTGTAACGTCTTTTAAATGATGTACCAGAGGTAATGGTAATGGGTGTCAGAGGGGTCGTGGTCGACGATGGAGAAGATACACCCATGAGGAGCGTAGGAATGTATCAAAGGGGACCATTTTTTTTGGTTCATTCGCCTGCCTTTCGCTTGCTTTAAAACCGAGTCACACTTTTCTTGAACTTAAACGGCTCTAATGAGTCGATAGAAAGTATGCACTATTTTTACAAAAATGCCACGGAAAATGAAAGCACACAAATTATGGTATATGTAGTGACATAGTTATATTAAACGCAAGTGTTGATTAAATTAATTGTACTTGAACAGGCGTATGATAATATTTACTACTGATGGTATATATATATGTATTATACTCTGGTAATCGAGGATACTAACCTCTGTAAATATAGCCTGTAAAACAAATACCGTTCATTTTAATGTATTTTATTGTATAAATCTTCTGTAGAAGTGTCAATGGTAAATAATAAGATGTATATGTAGATGTGTATGTAGATATATATGTGCTATCCTTTTAATAAACATAACTTTGAACAGTTAATAGAGAGTTTTAAAGTAGAGAGAGTCCTACAATGTCCTAAATATTGCCTGCCAAAAAATAAACTCTGTTACAAAGCACGTTTTATCAAATGAGAAACTAGACGACAATATCCTACTTCTTGAAATTAGGAACACTACACAAGAAAGTTTAAGATCTACTTCACTTTTAAGTTCCAAGATATAGAAACTTTCATCATAAGCCCAAAACCCCTCAACTCTTGGGGTATTTTAAGGCACTCTCGTATTAAACACTTGGCGTGGACAATTAAAAAAAAGAAAAAAAAAAGATCAGTTTATCCAATCGTGCAAATCAAGATTAAAACGACCCTTAGTTAGTTTCAATATATTCGTAATTGTATTGGAGCCGTAAGAAAAATGACCTAAGTGTAATAAGCTTTTGGCGCATAACGACCAATTGTGAATTGTCGAGAATCAACTAACAAAAGAGATGTTTGCAAAAATGGCAGCTGTTGAACAATCAGTCAAATAATTTTGTCGTTTGTTACCATAAAGGCGCTATGTGTTAAAGAAGTTTAAATAGCTTTATTTAAGTTACTAAAAGTACTGGATGTGACATTTAAACAGAAGAGAGTGGGGTTTCTCATATTTTATAGCTAAATTGATGAGATAAAACCACAGATAAACGTAAATGAATCAGGAGGATATTGAGTGGTTACCTTAATGATAGTACATTCTAAGACAAAGCATTTGCTGCTCACCCAGATTTAGAATGAAATCAGTTGTTCCTTACTAAGCCGTCAGAACTGTTGTTAATATATTACAAGTATATGTTTTAGTTATTACAATGTTTTTATTTTTAATATTTACTTTGTTTATTAGCACTATATATTATAAGAATTTCCTTTTTCTTTTAGAGTTTCTTTATATATACCTACGACTATCAGAATATCAATTATTACTCGAGAAGCCAATATTTACTATTCTAATTACTAGGCTAACTCATAAATACCTTTTTTAATAGGAATAATGTAGATTTCGCTACAAATATTACTAGGAGTATGGCTTGCATAATCGTTGGCAGAAAAAAATAATAACGCTTAGGTGAATTGAAGGAGACTTTGATACAAAGAAGAGCAGGACAACTTATTTTGTTTGTTGTTTGTAGACACGGCAGGAAAATACATATTTCAATAAAAGCGTGTAATTCAAGGTGTACAAAAGTCTTTGCTTCAAACAAACAATTCAAAAAGAGAAAATCATTAATGGGAGCACTTTCGGCTAATACTTTATCATCTACAAGGAAATGTACACTCCAAAAGGACATGTACGAAGCTAGAGCGACATGAAGAACCTGGGATTAGAAAGTATAGTTCAAGCTTTCATATATTTTCTGAAAATAAAGAGCGGCTAGATAAAAAAATATGATATCTTTCATATTCGTCTCATTCCAATATTGAATAAGCCTGACTGGTTGGGCAATTGGACAGGTAAAATTAATTTGTGATATTCCAAAAAATATAGCTACCTTATTATCAACCCCATCTTAAATGTATATCCCTTCTAAGCAGTAGAAAACACAAAGCCAGAACGATTATATTCGATGGTTTACCCTTTGATTTATTAAACCGAGTTTATTCAATATAATTTCATGTCTGTGTAAATTAAATACGTAATTAATTAGGTGAAGAGTCTAAGTAGATCAAACTTTAAAAATATATATGATGAACCAAGCCCACTCTGTGTCAAGACCTCAATTAACGGTTAAAATTTATTTTTCTACTGATTCTTTATCGTTTGGTAGTACTATTAATCCGAAACTATGTATACATAGTAAATATGTCCTCAAATATTTTTAAATTAATACGCCAACAATATCGTTGATCAGTAAATATATGGATAAAAACCCACTATATCTGTTTAGGACTTTGATAATCCACATGCTTTTTATTATTATTTTATTTCAAATGTATATTGTCTATAATTTATTCCTCTTAACAACTTTACTCAACGCTAGCATTTTGTGTAATAGCATTTTAAGCTGTGGAATTGAGAGAAACAAGCATCTTATACGAAAGAAGTTGAGAGCCAAGATTAATAAATGAAGCAAAAATAGCTCATTTTTGGACAGATCTAAAGCTGATTTTACTTGGACGAGACTAGAGTTAAAAAAGTTTTTTTTGGGAGCTATTTTATAAATCATTTATATTGTATTAAGCAAACAATACGTTAGGCAAATAAAGACTAGAAGCCTTACCTTATATATATATATATATTATTTATAAGTGCAAAATAATCTCATATATCATCGACGTAAAATAAAAATTATCTTAAAATAGTGGTGCTCATAACTACCAAAGTAAATTCAATGAACATTACGTCACAAAGACAATGTCCAGCTGAAAGAGGACTCTTTTGAATTATTTTTTTCTGACCATTGTCCAACTGCGCACATTCATCTATTCTACTCTTATTACGAATCAAACAGCCTTTGAGACATGGTAAGTAGTGGCCGATTTGTGTGTTTGCAATTATTGACCGGACACACTCGGTCAGGATAACCAACAGAATCCAATGAATGAGTTACTGCCGCCCTATGATATGGACAGGCCGATGCCCGATGCAGACCAGGCACCTTCCGAAATTTCCGTACTCGACCACTGTAAGCCCATGGATGAGTCGACTTGTCTGCAAGCGCATTCAACTTTTATTCAACAGACGAAATTATCGCAAGGAATGAGATGAACCCAGTCGAAGAAGAAATAATCGAGCTCCAATGCCAACATTGGGACATTAATAATTGGTCTAGTCTCGAGGATCGCGTCCACGGGCCAACATTTGAGGCTGGGGGTCATCAATGGTAATTCTCTTGGCCATCCACGAATCTTATCAATGCTAACTCTCACGTAGGAATGTATTACTTTTCCCAAAAGGAAACAACCAGAATGAATTCGCCTCTCTATATGTTGAGATGACGGATGCTAAAACAGTACCCGACAATTATTGCTGTGCTCAGTTTGTTGTCTGTCTGACCAAACCTTCAGATCCATTCCAATATATACATCATGGCAAGTCCTTCTAGTTGTTGATTTAATGAGGTTCTTACAATAGTCTCATTATTGCTACTATTATTGTTTATTGTTTATTATCATTATTATTGTTATTGTGTGTAATAGCTGCTCAGCATAGATTCAACAGCGAAGAGTCCGATTGGGGATTTACGCGGTTTATCGAACTTAAACAGCTTTACTCTCTTGATGAACAAGGGAACCCACGATTCCTTGAGGATGACAACGTTCGCATCACAACCATCTTGCGAGTCATCAAAGATCCTACAGGTGTTTTGTGGCACAACTTTAACAAGTAATTATCACGATTTTGTCAGTGAGGTTATTTAACAATATGCTCACATATTATTGTTATAATATAGCTACGATTCCAAAAAGATGACAGGTTATGTTGGACTTAAGAATCAGGGTGCTACTTGCTATATGAACTCGCTCTTCCAGTCTTTGTATTGTACCAATCTCTTTAGAAAGGCAGTCTACCAGATCCCCACAGAAAATGACGAGCCCACAAAGAGTGTAGCTCTTGCTCTTCAGAGAGTATTTTATAATCTTCAATTTTCAGACGTCCCTGTTGGTATGGTTTTTGGAAATGGTGTATATTATATCTGCCGCATCTTATAATCTTTACTATTATATGTTACTAGGTACCACCGAGATGACGAAGTCTTTTGGCTGGGATTCCCTCGAAGCATTTATGCAGCACGATGTACAGGAATTTAACAGAGTGTTGCAAGATAATTTGGAAGCTAAAATGAAGGTGCGTGTAAAAAAATATAAAACACACTTTTAGATAGAGATGACAGAAGCTAATTTTCTTCTTCTTATAGAATACACCTGCTGATGGAGCTATTAAACGGCTTTTTGTTGGCACGATGAAGAGTTATATTAAGTGTATCAACGTTAGCTATGAATCTTCTCGGACCGAAGACTTTTATGGTTAGTAGAAAAAATAATCTATGAAACCTATTAGTAACTTTTATGAATGTTTTCTTAGATATCCAGCTGAATGTAAAGGGGTGTAAAAACCTCGAAGAGTCTTTTAAAGACTACATTGCAGAAGAGGTTTTGGAAGGCGATAATAAATATATGGCAGAGGGACATGGATTACAAGATGCAAAGAAGGGCGTTATCTTTGAAAGCTTCCCTCCTGTGCTTCATTTGCAATTGAAGAGATTTGAGTACGACATCATGCGTGATACGATGGTGAAGATCAACGACCGCCATGAATTCCCTCTCGAAATAGACCTTGAGCCATACCTTGATCCAGTCGCTGATAGATCCCAGCCTCATAAGTACGTCCTCCACGGCGTACTTGTCCACAGTGGAGACCTGAGTGGCGGCCACTATTTTGCTTTTGTGAAGCCAACGAAAGATGGAAACTGGCTAAAGTTTGATGATGACCGCGTAGTACCTACTACACTCAAAGAAGTCCTCGAAGAAAATTTTGGTGGTGACCATGTCAGCGGAGCAATGACCAATGGCAGACCCAGTTTTAGAGGATTTAAGCGTTTCACGAATGCTTACATGTTGGTGTACGTCCGAGAATCGATGATTGATGAGATTTTGGCGAATGTGGTAGAAAAAGACATCCCAAGCCATTTGTCTCAAAGACTAGAGCAAGAACGTCAGCTACAGGAACGAAAAGCCAAAGAAAAAGAACAGCAACATTTCTACATGAAGGCATATTTGGTGACAGACAACACTTTTATGGCCAATGACGGCTTCGACTTTGTAAATCTCGAAGAACGCTCGATGGAAACTTCCCAACTTGAAGTCAGACGGGTTCTCAAGGATCAGAAATATGGTGACTTTAAGCGCGAGTTGAGTCATTCGATGGGTCTCCCCGAGACTCACATCCGTCTCTGGTTTCTTGTCAACAGACAGAACCGTACCATCAGACCCGATGCGCCAGTACCAGAAGGCGAAGAGGACTGCACTCTTGAGGAGATCCGTCAAAAGCACCTAGCAAACCAGCCTAATTTGCGTCTTTATGTTGAGAAATCTCTATCTCCTGATAATGAGCGAGCCCTTTTCCCTCCCGCACCTTCAAACACCTCAGCAAACGCTTTGATTTTCATCAAACTGTTTGATCCCGAGCTGCAGAAGATTCGTGGTATCGGTCGTTTGTATATTAACAAAGCTGATAAGGTTGGATCTATTATGGAACAGGTGAACGAGATCGCTGGTTATGAGTTTGGTACCCCTCTCGTATTCTATGAAGAGATCAAAACTACCATGATTGAAGAAATGGATTTGAACTTGACATTTACCAAGGCAGAGATTCAAGACGGTGATATTATTGCTGTTCAGAGAAATCTTTCGGATGCTGAAATCGAGCAATTGAAGGAAGCAGGCATGTATGACAATGTGCCCGATTTTATGGATTATCAGCTCCACAAGCTCGATGTAGTGTTCTCTCCAAAAGATGGAAATCCAGAGACGGAATTTGAGTTGTCTTTGCACAAGAACATGCGTTACGATGAAGTAGCAGCCAAGGTGGGTGCCAAGATTGGTGCTGATCCTGAGAAGATACGATTCCTTGCATGTGGACCCAGCGGGGATCTCAAGCCTATCCGTCGTACACCTACATCTCTCCTGGCTGATATGCAGAATATGACATACAATCAGAATGTTGCCAGATTCAAATTAACTTATGAAGTGTTAGACATCAGCTTAACAGAATTTGAGTCTAAGCGAATGGTTAAAATTACACTTTGCACGCCTACTCTTCGAGATATAAATGTAGTCGAGCTCCTGCTGCCCAAGCAGGGAAAAATAGCCGATCTCCTCAAGGCACTGGATGCTAAAGGAGCCAAGTTTGAGTCTGCCAAGGGCACAAGGAGGACAAGAATTTTCGAGGCCTTGGGAAACAAATTCAATCGAGAGTTCCTTCCTACAGATTCAATCAGCCAATTGTCTGCAAGCAATTATGCCCAATTATACGCCGAGGTAGAGAGGAGTAAAATGATTGTGGGAAGGAAGGGTGTACTAAATTGATTGTATTTATAGGAAATTCCAGAGGAAGAAATGTTGATGGGAGATGATGATATTTTTATCAGAGTATTCCATTTCCAACGAGATATCTCCCGCGCTCACTCTGTTCCATTCAAGTTCCTAGTGAAGAAGGTAGTTAAAATAAATTAAATACACCTTCTTTTCTTTTTTGTGTAGTTAACAATTAGTAGGATGAGCCCTTTGAAGAAACCAAGAAGCGTCTCCAGGCACGAACAGGATTGAATGACAAGGACTGGAGCAAAGTCAAATTTAACATCGTTTCTTCTTATTCGGCAGTCCCCATTGAAGAAGGTAATACAGTGTTACGATTCTGTTAAATTTTGACACTCATATATCAAAATAGGAGATGACTTCAAATTGAGTAACCACCTATTTACTCAAGAAGAGAGTCTTGGATTGGAGCATATGGACAAAACACCCCGGTCGGCACGGATGGGTGCTGAAAGGGCCCTGTCTATCAGAGGTTGAGACTACGGGATATAATAATAACATAAAGGGAAAGAACAAACAATAAAATCTTTCATTTCTTTGTGTTTCTCTTCACTGTGTTCTTAAAGACATATTGAACTTAATTAAGTTGCCTTGAGAGATTAGACCCAGCACGTGAGCGAGAAAGACAGATATTAAGTGAAAGAGGGATGTGAGCCTATTTTGGACTTTGAAAAGAGTTCTCGGCAAGAGAGCTAAAAAAGAAACGATTAACATTCTTAGTTTTACTTGATCATCAAGTAGGCATGTCATCTCGTGTTCCATCCACCAATTGCAAGTTTTGATCAATCTTATAATCGTAAAAACTCATTAGCTGAACTAAAGTCGCTTGCAGATATTATTTTATTTCATTATTTTCATTATTATTATTAGTACCGAATACAATACCAATATTATCACTACTATTTAAAAGGAACAACGAATATGCTGCCCATATATAAGATCGTAGTTCTCGGAGACGGAGGAGTTGGCAAGGTAAGCAGTGACATAAAGTTGTTTTAAGCAAGCTTCTTCTAATACTATGCTTAAAGACGGCACTGACTATCCAAGTAAGTCTTTACAAATAAGCCTAAAGAGAAAAGAATACCAATGACTTGAATTTCATTTTTATTTTTTGCTCTGCTTAGTTACTTCTAAACCATTTTGTGGGTAAGTCTAGGGGAACACAACCCACAAAGAAAGAAGTGTAAGACTAGAAAAAAAGCTAATTTTATTTATTTCAGAGGTAATAGAATCAAATTCAACTAGGTGTTGAACCATTTACATATTTTATGCATACGTATTGCAGACATATGACCCAACTATAGAAGACTCTTACCGCAAACAAGTTACAATTGACGATCAGTTAAGCCTTCTTGAAGTTCTGGACACGGCCGGACAAGGTAAGTCTGACATATGCTATCAATAGTAAATAATATATTTCTGCTTTGCTCCGTCTTGTTTTTATGTAGACGAATACACTGCTCTTAGGCACCATTGGATTCGAGACGGAGAGGGATTTCTATTGGTGTATGCAATCACAGACAAATCTACGTTTCAACGCATCGTACGATTTAAAGAAGAAATATTCCGAGTGAAAGAAAAGGAAAATATGCCATTGATACTTGTGGGAAATAAGTGTGATAGGGAGACGGAGCGACAAGTGTCATGGGAAGAAGGGGCACAAATGGCAAGGGATATGCATTGCGGATTTATGGAGACATCGGCAAAGCTGTGTATAAATGTAGAAAACTCGTTTTGTTCAGTCGCAAGAATGATTAGAGAAGACAGGAAAAAAACAATCAAGAAAGTAAAAGTAAAGCGTAAAAGGTGTCTTATACTATGATATCTTTTTTTTTCCTGTAAACCATTTTTTTTTATTTCTTATGCATTTCTATAAATACATGAAAAGGTGTAATATAATTCTTTTCTTCCTTCCCATGCCTTTATTTTCAAAGGCTATCATCAATATGCAAAAGCTGTTTAGTACTTTACAAACAAGAGGTTGTTATTAAACCGACTTTTTATGAGTTATAGATATTAGGGCTATCAATTAGATTTACAGGAATTACACATATGATAATGTCGCTTTGATATCTGACAAGGATAATCTAATCTTGAGATATAACGATTCTTTGAAAAGGCTGATTTAAACAATACATCATTTGATTTAAAAATAAACAAGGTATGTATCACGATTGATATACCAATCCTATTGGAAGATAGGATTCTTCCTTTTGAGCTTTGTTGAAAGGTTGAGACTCAGTGTATTACAAATAATTGATGTAAATCCAATAATATAAAAGCCTAGAAAAAAAAACGTGTAATTATGGATGAGCAGACTATAATTTCTATATCATAATTTAATTGTACACAGCTGAATATACAAAAGAATATCATATTTGTTACTAGCAAAGTATAACTACAGAGTCATTCACCAAATTACCAAAAAGAAACCATATATAATATTATACTCCAAAAAAAAAGCTCCTTATTATATCGTAGTAAACTCCCCACAATAGTTGAAAAGTATCGTTATTAACCATGGCTTATAAATCTTTAGAAATACATATTATTTACCTGTCCACAGAAGTGTTATTTTTTAAAACATCGACAAGTTTAAAGAAGTGTACAGTTCAAGTCACATATTCTAATAGTAGATAAATACTCTTTCCTCGCAACTTCCCAGTATATTTAAATAAACTAAGATGAAACAAAATCAAATATTAAGTCCACAAAGATGTTGTGTATGCTTACCCAATGGTAGAAAAGGGGCAGTTTTAGTAGGATATTTTTGTAAGCTTTTCGAGGGTTTAGGGCTTGCTTTAAAATTGTATTCTGATTAAGCCCTACTTTCTTGTAATAAATATCAAGCTTCTGTATTTTATTTATTTATTTATGTGCACCTGTACTTCTTTTACCTTTATTTTACCTTTCTTTCTGTATAGATTCATTTGAGATGATTTGTTTCAATTAAATTAGTATTATTTGAATCTCACTTTGAAAGCTCTTTAATGCAGATAAGTTTAAATTATTTTGTGTGGCAGTACACCCTAAAAAGTTATTTGTAGGTAAAGAATAGGTTGATGGCTTATACAAGTATTGTTGTCTAGAATATATTTGAGGTGTATTTAATAAGGAAGTACAGTAGGACTAATGATACTAGATGCATAAATCTTAGCCATTCTGCCATCTCAAATACATTTTGAGGCGCATACTCTTCCTATCTTCTCTTTCTTGGGTATCAGTGTATTTATATATAAAGCAAAACAACAACGACATATAAGTTTCATGTAGCATAAAAGGATTCAAGATGTCGACAAATGTATGTAATAAAATATTTAGTTATGAAGGAATCGACTATCTTGTTTCAATTATAAAAAAAAATGCAATTGGTAAGTGATTACTTCACAGATAAATGCTGATATAATCTGAATTAGCGTACATTTTTTAAGGGCTTACGCATCTGTTTAGTTATTTTCCCATCCTTTAACTCTGCTTTTACTCATACTAGGCAAGTGATGAATGTAAAGACCAACAATGTCAAAGCCAGCTCGACTGTGTTTCTTTCGGTGTTGCAAACTAATGTAAACATGCTTTCGCTTTTTTATTTTTAAATAGGCGCTTAATATGTCCAGTTTTTAACGTTTTAAGAAAACGAAAGGATGGTTAATGCTATCAAGTTCATGCGCATTACTCTTGAGCAAAGGATAACCTTTTTATTCCTTACAATAGACCAGAAGCGAGAAATACCTATCAGACCAGCAAAGTACTCTTGTTCTTGTCATTGTGTGAAAAAATCTGCTGAATTACCATATTTACTAATTACCAACTTAACATGCAAAGATGCTAGCGTGTTTCGATTGAATAATTTTGTCTAAAAAATAGAGTCTATCTAACGAGTTCATTAAATGCTGTACGAAAAAATATCGATGTGTGCCAATGAAGCTGGGGTAGGATCACACCCTTTATGCGCAGACTATAGTTCTGTCTCACATAACTTGAAGAGCCTGCGGGTATCTTATTGGGCTCTGTTTACTCGGTACATAATCGTTTCAACATATACAGCAAAACAAACCATCTCAGCACTTTTCTCCTCCCTCTTTTTTGTATATATGAAGTCTAAGCCAACAGGATTAGAATATTCGAATCATATCTTTCGTGTAACATATAAGTTAATATATCAGGTCTATCTTTATTATTTGGTAGGGGCATTCGTCGGGAGGTCTTCCGGCTCGTCTGCTCAGACCGTTAAACGGTAATATCGCTTACCAGGGAGTAGAATGTGAAGCCCTGAAAGAGTTCTGGCTGTGTCTAGGATCTTTGGTATGATGTTTGAAGTTAAATGTATATTAGTGTAGAATTAGAAGTGTGGGTTTAAAGACATTGTATCCTCCTTCATTCTTGACGATCGGCTGGTCGTCCTTCGCCTTGGAGAGCTAATCCACTGGGTGTCGTATGAGTAAAGTATATTTGTACTTTATTATTATAATTTTAGTCACCCTCCCAGGACTGGGCTTGTAGTTTTTGATTACCCTGTTTGGTTTCTCAGTTACGTATCTTTCAATTTCTTTCTTTCTTTTGTTTTTTTTTATTACAGCAGATTTTGAAACGAATGAACAAGATGTAGAACTGATAAACTCTTATGGATAATAATGTAGAATATATCAGCTGTGACTATATATATATATATGTACACTGAAGATTTATCTTTAACAAATTAATCAATTAACGTATGTATAATATTCAATATTTTAGCCTTGTTACCTTTGTACTTGCATACATACTGATTGTAATTATTTTTGCTAATATACTAAAATAGGGGATTCTATACTTTTATAGAAGTAAAAAGTAGGATGTCAATTTAATACATATATTTATATATGTATTTGTAAAAAATAAATATATCGATTTAAAACAGTACGTTAGACATTGTTTGCTGTGAAGGCTTTACATATGTATACACTATGCTAAAAAAAGTTGAACTTAATAAGAGACCCCTAGAAGCTTTTTGGGATTAATTTAATATTTTAGTTAAACAATATCTTCCCTCAATTACATATGTTTCAATTTCAAATTTTTCACCCTTATTTTTTTTTATTGTGGATCAAAAATAATGAAGATACAATTTATATATATCCAGAAAGTATAATAATATTAAGAACACGAAACAAATACTTGTTTAAAATATTTATAACTTTAATACAAGTCATGTATTATCTCAATGTTCCAAAAGAAGTTCGAACAAGAAGAAGAGAATCATGAAGGAATAAGATGATTGAAAATCAAACTGTAGGGAATTTCTCCAAACAACTTAATAAAGCATTGTCCCCCCAAAAAAATAGGCTAATCCAGACAAACAGAACCGTTAAAATGAAGACCTGGATTTATTAGAGAGTCAATATCAAGCGTTGGCTCATATCTTATTCTTGAAAGAAATAAATCAAGAGAAAGGCGGAGGATGGTCTAGCGGAAGGTAAAAGGATGAATATTTTCCCGATTCACCAGAGATTGATACAATTTGATATCTATGCATAATTTCAAAATTTAATTAAAATAGCCAGCTTATAGCTTGCAAGGCGAATACTTTGTTTGGGTTAATTAATTAGCATCAGACTTACAATTCTGAATAGCTACGTGAGTATATTCAATAAAATAAATACAGTGTAATTTATACTTTATATTGTCTTTTAGCCATTGTAAAATTAAACAATTAAGACCGTATGATAGATATACTTAATAAACTTGGTTAGTTATAAGTTTCAATGTGTCTGTATGTATATCGGAAATACGGGGGACGTTGAATATTCTGGTGATTCCCACACCGAAAAATGTATTCCCTTTTTTTTTGTTTAACTTAATTTATTATATTTTTGATAGTATTATGTTATTGAAAACATATTCGTATATAACAATAATGAGGGCCCCAATTCAAAGATATTGTGTATATAGTGTGTCTGATCCACTTATTGGTTTGATTAATAAAAAATATCTAGACAGTACAGTTGTCAAACATTGAACAAATATGATATTTCCTAAAAAGAATAAAAAATATCAAACCTGATCTAAAGATATGTAAATAATATATATATATTTGTATATATAGAAAATAAATGAAATATTATGTAGGGAATGAAGACTAAAGATACCAAAAACACTTCTTTTACGTGTTATAAGAAGCATCGCATCGCATCTAAACTAAAATAAGGATGTTGAAAATAAACAACAACAACAAACTAAAAAAAAAAGACAGAATAAAAATCCTTTTTCTCTTTTTAACAGCACCCGCCTTGCTTTTCCTCTTGAACTTGGGGTGTAACAGAAATGGTTTCTCCAGCAGTAGGTTTGATATTATCGTTTGAAGACTCGAGAGCCTTGTTTGACACAATACGATAGATTTCTACAATAGGGATATATTAGAGCCAAAGCTTAAACCTAAAATAACAGTCTTTTGGATAGCTGTGTTCCTCTTCTCCCTATCTCCTTACCTGTCAAGATACGTTGGAAGGCAAGCTCTACATTGCTTGAATCCAAGGCAGAGGTTTCAATAAATGAAAGACCATTGTCGGCTAATGTGTATATCTATAGTTTGAGTAACACTAACAAGAGCCCTTGATTTTTTATTTTTATACCCGAACTTACCTGCAAACTGCTTGGCTTGCTCGGTGGGTACCGCACGAAGGTGTCTCAGATCGCTCTTGTTTCCAACAAGCATTACCACAATGTTAGAGTCTGCATGATCCCGCAGCTCTTTTAACCAACGCATCACGTTCTCATAGGTTGCATATTTGGCGATGTCATACACCAACAGGGCACCAACAGCACCTCGATAATATCTATAGTATATGTTAATATATCTATTGTTATTAAAAGCAAATAATAATAATAAAATAAAGTAGGAAAGGTTTATGTAAAGAATATACTTACGCGCTTGTAATAGCACGGTAACGTTCCTGACCAGCTAAAACATATTTAGTTACATACTATCTATATATCGAATACTTTACCTGTATCCCAGATCTGAGCTTTGACGGTCTTGTTATCTACTTGAACAGAGCGGGTGGCAAACTCAACACCAATGGTACTCTTGGATTCCAAGTTAAATTCGTTTCGAGTGAAGCGAGCCAAAAGATTGGTTTTTCCGACACCAGAGTCTCCAATAAGGACCACTACAGAATACTATTAGTTTTATATTTCTGCTTGACTATAAGGTATGTATTTTATTCAAAGTTTGATATACTGTCAAAATAAGGTGTTTTGCTTATTACCTTTGAAAAGATAATCGTATTCATCGTCCCGGTTCTTATTGGAAGCCATGGTGTATTTGGTGTTAATATCCAAAGGAAGAAGAAGAAAAAGAAGAAAAAAAGAAATAAATAAAAGGAAAGAAAAGGAAAAATAAATAAATAAAGAAAAGAGAAAGAAAAAATAAAAGAGAGAGGGAGAAAGAGAAGTAAATCTGGGCTACAGTAACAGAGGAGCTTCTGAGGTTAAACTGTGCGTCACCTTTGTATCTCTTCGCTTGGAATGATGGGGTCCGTATTTGGGCTGTATTTCTTTTGGCTTTTTGGCTTTTTGGCCTTTTGGCTTTATGGCTCTATGGCTCTATGGCTTGTATTAAACTTGAGAATGTATTGTATAAATTATAACTCTTGATTGTTATTCATTTAATAAAAAAATATATAGAAAAATTCACACTTTCACATATATAAATACAAATCACCTTTTTATTTATTTTATTTATTTATTTATTTATTTATTTATTTATTTATAATTCTAGCCTTTTTGAATATTTATTAAATAATTTAGAAATATTCTCTCACTCTCGCTCTCTGTGCGTGTGTAAATGCAGAAATCCAAAACTATCCCCGGCTGTAAAATGGCAAAAAAAAAAATACACTCAAAATGTCCTAATACTTTTGATGACCCAGCACAACGCTTAACACCAAATTCATTAAATGAACTCACCAACAACCCAAAAGCCTTTAATTTTTGATTTATTTATTTTTTTTAAAAAATAATACGTTTCCACACACACATACATACAGTATTCAGAGTAAGCTGCAAATCATATTCACTGTAAAACAAAGACGTTCAAACTTGAGCATAGTTTTTCATTTATTTTTGTCTCTTTCTTTATATTAAAAAAAGAACTATACAAAAATAAAACCAAAAAATCGTACCAGCATCTTGTATTTTTTTTTGACAGCTGTCGACGCGTCCAATTGGTCGGCGGATTCTCAATGGATCCTTCTCCAAGGTTACTTGAATGTGGAATGGTCTTGTATTCTCTCCTCTTTCTTTCTCTTCGTTCCGTCTTTCCACGCCATGCAGACATCGGACTGGCAGCCTCGGAAATTCATGACGATGCAAGACTTTAGAAGGCCTCCTGTACTTATAGCCGGCTCTCTTGCTGTCCTGACAGTCGGCACGCTTATTTATTTTTCGTTCTTCAACAATCCCAATAGAGGTATTTTTTTTATATCCACATACTACTTCTTGTTCAATTCCGTAATTCTACAAAATTCCGCTATATTTCTTTCTTTATAATTAAAAAAGAGAAACGGTAAAATACACATAAATACACACAAAAGAAGGGAATAAAAAAAGAGGGGGAAGGGAAAAGTAGTATGCAAAAAGAAGAAATAGCCCAAAAAAAGGAGTTAGCTAATAGAGAGGGAGAAGGGGCATGGATATAAGTAAACCTAGTCTCCTATTATTTCCCATACAACCATAATATACCGTGTGCTGCTGTGACTCCTTGACAATAAAGCCACCTTACCCGATTTCTTTATTATATTACTGTAAAATAATAATAATAATATAATTGCAATACCAGTCCTAATTATTATACCGAATAGGTACCAAGAAATCCAAGACCACACACACCAAGACCACCACTGACCGCGACATTAAAAAAACCGATTCCACCCATGCACCCACACCATCTGAGCCCTTGGTAAAGACAAACAAACCCTCTGAAGAACAGTCACAGAAAACGGAGATTGTAGTTCCTCCATCCAAAGGTAAGCCAATATTACAAGCCACTCTAAACCAACTAAAACATACTCCTTTGACTTTGTATTTCTAGACACCACTATTGAAACTGACCAACTTAAGCACGAAGAAAGCACAACAGAACAAGTGATTGTGAAAGATATTGTAACGGACAAAGGAAAAATAGATGTAGTGATTGTCAAAGAAAAGACAACCATACCACTCAAGGAAAAAGAATCAAAAGAAGAGCTGGCTATTGATATCGACCAGAAAAATGCCCAATCTGATGAACAATTGAAAACTAAAACCGCCGAACAACTAGTTGAAGAAACCCAAAAGGAAATCGTTGAAGAAACTGCAATTGAAGAGGCGGCACTTGAAGCCGCACTTGAAGCCGCGGTGGATGCCATTGTAGAAGCCAAGATCAAGGAAACTACCAAAGATACTGTAAAGGAAACTAAGGAAATCAAGGATGATCATTTAGAGGATTCAATGGTGATTTTGGAATTGACTGAAGATATCAACGAGGATGAACTTATTGGAGAACTTGATGAGCTGAAGGATAATGGAATGGAAGAGTCAATGGTGATTTTGGAACTTACTGAGAGCACTATGCTCGAACGTACGACTACTGATGCCGCCACTGATGCCGCCACTGATGCCGCTACTGACACCGCTACTGACACCGCTACTGAAACCACTGCTGATATTCCTGCTGAATCGAAAGATGTACCCAAGCCTGTCGCTGTAAACAAGGATTTAATTGAAGAGCATTTCCCTGCCCTGCCAACTCAAACACCTGTAGAACCCGCCACCGTCGCACCATCTTTTAACATTGCTCCTTCCAAGACATCCTCTTCGTCATCATCTGGTCCCAGCACTCTTGCCGGTGACAAGACCCCCCCTGTTGCACAGACCACCCCCCGCAAGGCTACCCCCAGTGCTGGTAATTACTGGGCACAGCCACAGGGACAACCTGCCCCACTTTACAACATGCAGTGGCAACAGATCTTCACTATCGATCAGGAGAATGCACCCCAAAGCGCTGCTACCACTGGCTTAGAGGACAAAACAAATGAGGAAACTGTCTTGGCCGACGCTGAGGGAGACAAAAATAAGAAGAAGTTCAAAAAGTACATGACTCGTACTCAGATGATTGAGAGCCAGCACCAAAAATATACACCCCCAATCAAGGCACGGTGCAACCACTGGCCAGCATGCACTAACAAAAAGTGCAAATTCCACCACCCCTATATAATCTGCCGGTAATTTTTATGTAAAGGGTAAACCCCTTGAATTTTCTTTCTTTTATTTTATTTTTACTAATTGGAATTTCGTGTTTATAGAAACGGTGATGCGTGCCGATTCGAAAGAAAGAACTGTATTTTCCTGCATCCTGAGGATATTCAAGAGCCTGTACGTAGTCATCAAAACCGTAGCCAGCAGAACATGTACGCCCAACAGCAGCAGCAACAACAACAGCTAGACCAACAACAACAACAGCAGCAGCAGCAGCAGCAACAACAACAACAACAACAACAACAGCAACAACAACAGCAACAGCAACAGCAGCAACAACAGCAAATCCCTCAAGAACAGTAAATGTATTGATCTTAAAAGGATACATTTTATTTCCCTTCTTTTTTCTTTTTCTTTTAAAAATGTATTATAAGCTCTAATTGTTTCAGAATATAAGAAATATATAAAAAATGATCAATTCGATCAAAAGACTACACGGCATTCCTAGTCGTGTGGGTCTATACCAGATGCGTCGGATGAATATTCATATGTATATTCTTGTGGGGTTTGCTCTTGTACTTTCTCCTCTTGATTTGACCAAAAGATCCGAACAATTAGACGCCACGCAAATGCGGCACAAATAAGCTCAATAATGGCAAATGCCACCACAAACACAGTTGCAGTGGGGATGCGATAATGGTACATGTAATATCTATCGGATGGTTAATTATTACACACTTATGGTTTCACAGTATGCATATTACCTTAGACCATGGAAGTTGGTACGGAGCTGTACTGTTGCATTGTAGACCTGTAAACGACAGGTTGACAAAAGGACACGAATATGTGTAATTGGTGTTTTGTAATTCTCCACATACTCTTCCATTAATGGAATGTAAAGATTCTGGCTTTCTTGTGTGAGACCCATCAAGAGCGGCACTGCTCCCGTCAAGACCCTGAGGATCCTGTGGGTTTTTGATTGATAAGCCAAAATAGCCTAAGAAATGAAGTATTTTGTGTGTTAAATATATGTATATACATATATGGTATGTGTATGTTTGATTTCTTACCGGTCTACTACCGTGGGCCACCGTGGATCCATTTGTGGTCAAAAGTTCTACTTTGACCATGAAGTTGCCTATTGGGTACCATTGTTATACTGGGTCCCTTCTTCTCTTCTTTGCCTCATTTTTTTATTAGCCACATTTACTTGCCAATATCAAAGTTAATATCTGAAGTAGGAAGATTTAGAGATACATGTATATCATAGGCTTGACCATGTCTAAGAGGCTACACCATATATATATATATAAAGTTGCATAAGTATATTGTTTATATTTATTGTTTGATTTATCGTTTTGTTTACCCCATACTCAGTTCCTCTTCTCAAATCAACCCAGCCTTCAGGATTAATGCATTTAGACAACGAAGTATGCATGTATTGTAAATAGACAGGCTCAATGTGCATCTGCTTTGGCATAAAATGTCGATAAAATGTAACATAGGACGTTAAGCTGGTCATAATAATCCAAATGATTACTGCAATCGCAACAACCGACCGTATGGCCACAAGTTGTGCCGTAGGATTGAAAAATGTTCGTAATATTGGAAGGGATATTCTGTGAGCAAGCGAGCTTGTCATGGTAAGCCAAGTTTGAAATGACAGGCCATTTTGCTCAGGTTGGTCATCGACAGGCTCATTGCTTTGCAAAGAGATCAAAGAATCACTCATGGACTAGCATGTCATCTCAGTAACAGGTTTTTATTTTATTTTCCTCATCTTGTAGATTACGTTTACCATTTCATCATTGTCTGACATGACCGTGTAAACTTTACACTTGTCTCATTCCTTCCCGAGAAAAATAACCTCACCCCCAAAAACATAAAAAATAAAAAATCTACAAAGGTTTTGTGGTCCCGACAGTAAGAAAGTAAAAATACCTTCTTGATCGTGTCCGTATATATTTTTAATTAAAAAAGGAAAAGAAGAATAACAAGAAGAAATGATAAGAGTAGTAATATAAGAGATGCTTTATATGTCTAATGTGTCGGACATATTGAATTCACTCCTATCTTTCAGCCAGTCTACAAGAGCGCCTTTAACAAATCCTTCTAATTCCCAATCATGACTTTCTAAATGTTGTTCTCCACCTATCCAAAGGTAAACCTGACAAGGCACTCTTTGTCCGTCTACCATGGCAGCAGCAGTAGAGCGGTCATATTCCTAGTTTTATTATCAGTTAGAATGTGCTATATAACTTGTCCTTTTTTTTTTAAAAAAAAAAGAAATTATAATGTTTACCGGTCCTTCGAATTCATCAAGACGCATTACATCATTAGCATTCAATCCTTCACAAAGTATGCCACGTACTTGATCTTCAGATTTTGTTCTAATGATGCCAGGAAAAGGCAGACCTTTAAGAGCGAATCTTTGATGACCCTAATGTTTTTTTTTGTCAAACTATTGGTTCATTTGATGTGTGTGTTTTTTTTAAATAATAATAACAATAATGAGCTTTACGCACAATAAGAGAAGCAGGTCGTAACTGAAGAGCGTCTTTCTTTTGTTGTTTTATATCCGGAGTTGCATATGGTCCACATAGCACTGCGCAGGGTAAGTCTTTTGTGATGAAACGTAAATTGATAAGATTTACCTCTCAACAAAACGTCATCAGACATCAATGTCCCATAGAAGAATGCGGATGCCATAAAGACTTCTTATATAAAATAAAGTAGGCTAGAAAAAAACGCCCCTTCCTTTTCCTCCCTCCCCCCTTTTTAATTTGATTTAAACTATACACCGTTTTTGAAAACTAAAGTCGTACTCGGTAAAATTCTATGTCGCACGTGTTTTTTTTTAAAAAAAAAAGATAATAATAATCTTCTTTTATGGATATAATGTGCTCTAAAAAACGCCGCCTTTCTAGGTATGTACTGTTATACGGGCATTGACTCCTTTGGGCTGTATATACGCTGATAAATCGTGCCCTTGTTCTTGGATATCAATTCTCTACATTATATTAATATGAACATTCAGCCTCTGTACAGATATAACATATATATATCTATAAGAGCCTTTATTAGCTGGAAGGATAGACCTAAGGATATATCACATTTTAGGTATATAAGAGTATCGCATTAAGTATTTCTTTTAGAAACAACATCTGGTTACATTGTCTTGAAAATGATAGAATAGATCAATGAAGCAATAGTCATGTAAATATACTGTATTATAGAAATTCCGGTACCCATCTTGTCATGAGAGAATAATTGAAAAAGAAGTGTCTAAGTATAGGCTGTAGACAAATCACGATAAAGTAATTTTCTTTAGACTCTTTCCTTTTCCGCTGTTTTTTTTCATAAGTGTCAGAGCTATTTTGTCGCTTCGAAACAACAGAAAGTTTAAAGTTTTATTATATAAGAATTGACCAGATATTATGAAATAAGCCCTCTAGAATTTTTGAGAAATGAGAAAAAAATATAGACAATGTTTTATAAGGAGCATAAGCAAGTTACTATAGAACGCATTGATAAAAGCTCATCATTCATGCTGAAACAGATGATCAAGAGATTAAGCAGCATTTTCTCAGGGTTCAATATAACCAAAAGCACTTTGTATAACTTCTTGACAGAGCATTGTAGTATCTCTTTTTCTTTTTCCCTCTGGAAAAAAAAGCGTAGTTTCAGTCTGTAGATATAGATTGTAAAAAAAATATCTCGGAAACTTTTGAATTAATAATAAAGAACAAAATCGGAGGTCTGGTATAAACTTTACGAGAAACGGTATCTTCTTTGCTGAGTATATTATCATATTAGCGTAAGACTATGCTTGCCTTGGATAAATAACTACATTCTGTTTAATCGAAAAAATGGTAGAATATTCCTCGACAGCCATTTAGTCGAGGTTTCCAATCCTTAGTTTCTGATACTAGTAGTAATTGCTCCCATCAAAGATCTTCTTTTTCTTTTTCTTACCTACTGAAACAGGTGTGAAAATGAAAGAGAAAAATAGATGATACTACCAAGGCTTATTATATAATTGAATAGATCAGAAACTATACAGCCAAAATTAATTCGCTTTCAATTTTATTCTCTTTCTGATCCATTAACCTTTGTCTCTTATAGTTATTAATGAGATCTTACAGTACAACTATTTATGTAGATACCTATTATTCAGGTTTCAAGCCTACAATAAAGCTTACGAGTATCAGTGCACAATATTTCCTTTTAGTTTACATGTGCTCAGTTGGATTTCTGCTCTTGAAAATTGGGTATTAGTATTGTTACTAGTATGTATATGTGTGTGTTATAAAAGAAAATTCAAAGTACAAACCATTTGGTAAAACTAAAAAAAAAAGCAAGCAAAATCTAGTAATTAAATTGGCGGCATTTTACTAGACTTGGCGGGGAACCCGTGTGGCGTTTAGACCACAGTAATCCTCACAAAACAATGCAATACTATTATTTGAACGATAATAAATTTCTCTCCTATAAATCATTATTTTCATAAAGACTGATGAAGATGTGGTTAGTTAGTAATGTTTAATTATGTGTGTTGTATCAAGTTAATATTGGTTGATAATAAATAAGAACAAGAAAGAAAACAAGTATCTGTACTAATATGTCTTTATCTGTCTTTCTTCTTGATAGGTTCATATATCTACACAGATATTTATCTATTGGCTTCCTTCAATTCTAGAGGAAGATAAACGAAGGAATAAAGAATTAAAGAGAACGAAAAGAATAAAGCTTATGTCGTAGGAGTATTCTTAATTTAAGGAGGTGGAGGGGGAGGTGGAGATGGAGAGTTATTATTATGTATTATATATATATGGGATGTTCTCGAAGCAAAAGAAGAATATATGCGCACACACACACACACACACAAAGATAGGAGCTTATAAAAAAAGGTTGGTTACCAAGGGATCAATGGTACTGATCTAAAAAACAATTTACAAAACATGTTGATTAATTGTGATGATCGAATGTTCAAGGAGGTCTATTTATAGGAGAAAGTAGCACCAGAGTCAATGCACTCTCAAATATATGTTTCTGTGTAAGTAGTACGACAGAATAATATGCACGCTCAACCTCAACCTCAATCTTGACTTCACCCTTATCTTTACCTTTACCCTTATACTCACCATCCCTTTCATCCCCCCAAAAAATGAAATAAAACTGGTTGGTATGATTGAACACTAAAAGAAATAGGCTTTACCGAAATAATAGTAAAAAAAAAAAAGGAGTGATCTTGATTTTGTCATGTCAATAAAGGGACCATACATATAGTTTTACTGTAGACATTTTTGGTTGCTTTTAATTTTTTTTAGTGTTTTTATTTATTTATTAAAAGCTAAATTGAGCTTGTCGTTAGTATTAAATTATTGGTCGCTCTTAGGTAGTGTAGCTGTTTATATACTTGTCTCTTTTCCTTATTTTGGTTTAGAGATAAACTATTTTGTAGTCAAACGGACACATATATTGTGCTTCCCCCCAAAACATCAAACCTCATTATACGTACATTATCCATTTCTTTCATAAGAAAAGAACATACAATATTAATAGTAGCAGTAGCAGTAGCAGTAGCAGTAGCAGTAATAAACACAAAAAACAGGATTTTGATTTGATTTGATTTGATTTTGATTTTCTAAAATACGGGGTTCAATTAATATATAGCCAAGGAATTACCTCAGGAGATTGGGATGTTGGGGAATAATTAATATGGAAACATTTATTATACCTATTATACAGATGTAGTGTGCACAGAAAATGGTGAGGACATTGTAGCAAATTATTTTTAAAAAAATTAGACCATCAAGACAGAAAGATAAAAATACGGAGAATTGATATTTGGGTAAGTAGTGATAGAGCTTTATTATAGCTTTTATAGGAGGAAAAAAGCACCAGTATAAATACATTTAGACTATCTAGGCTTAATTGATCTAAAGAAGTTAAAGAACTATTAGAGAACAAGCTTGGGATAACAAAAAAAAACACATTCTTAACCATACATACTGTTATTATAATTATTAAAGTATAAACAGACTAATATGAATACCCTTTATCTTTATATATACATATATGCATGTGTTTATATCTATGGAGTACAAGACTTTAAAATTTACAATTGACACTAGTACTTAACTACCAATACAAATACCAATAATTTTTGCTTTATATTTACTTTATCTATAAAATACAAATAGAATCATTGATACTATTCCAAGTTGGTTTTATATGATAATTTCAATGGCAATGGTAATTGTAACGATGAATAGTTTATTCAGAATGTTAAATAGTACACACACACACACTCTCTCTCTTTATTTATTGACCTATTTATTTATATTATAGCTTTATTTTCTTACAAGAACCTTTTCTTTATTCTATCTAAGCTAAACATAATACAGTGTTTACTTATTTTGAGAAAAATGGTATTGCTAAAACCATGATGGTATCACAGTTCTATAATTTCAGCTCCTTAACAGGCTCTTTGTATTCAGAAAAAATCGAATAAAAATACTAATGCCAATAATAAATTCTCCGAGTATACATACAAACACACACACACATATATATATATATATATATCTATATACCTTCACAGTATTATTTTCTTATCACTCTTGATCATGACTTTAGTATCCCTCGTTTTCTATTTGACAATCTTAGTGACAAGCCTAAAAGGATTATCTTCTTTGGATAAAATAAAATATGATCATCCTGCCATGAAGATTTTAGTGATAGCTAAATAGGGTATGGTAACTTTCTCAGAATTCTAGCCGCACATATCCAGCTATCATAGAGAAGTTGGTTACTGTATCTGTAGTTCATGTCGTGACCATCCAATCATTGAATCAGAAAGAACTGGGAAAATCTTATTACTAAAATTTCTAATTAACCTTTATTCAATTGAACCAATACGTCTATTATTGGTATAAGCCCTTTTTTCTTTTAATTTTTTTTTCTCTATTTAACCCAAGAATTGTATTTAATTAAAAAAAACGATGCTCATATAACATCTTTATACAATTTTTACTATTGTTCTAGAAAATACAGTAGTAAAGTTTTACTGGGGAATGTTTCTTGATCCAATTCCCCTCCAAAAAGAAAAGAAGATGAAGGTAATATATATATACATATACATATATTATAATTCCATAATATGCACACATCTGTTACATATTCTCAGATACCACAAAGAATATACTTAGAATAAACCCACACACTATATACATTTACCTAAGCTTACTATTCAAAATAGATCTATGCAGCTATTGGTCATGAATTATTATATCAAAGACGCGTTGTGTAGAGCCTTTTGGGTATCGTAAGTGTATTAGAACATTAAACCAAAAGAATGCTTATATTTTATGTGATTTTAGTAAACTAAAGATACAACAGAATACACTTATTCACAGCAAATACTGAATACTAATTTCCATGTAATACCTTCTATCATGTAAATAATACATAACAAACCGTGCTGTTACAACAATATTATAGTCTGTTGCACTGTTTTGTTTTGAACGTCAATGGGACATGATATATATACATATATATATATATATATATAATCGTAAAAATGTTGACTAGAGACTCTCACCCTAATAATATTTTTGTGTTTTCCAGACCATTTTCTTAATTGGATATTTATAATGCTTTTTGTCCAACACATACACATACAAGCTTTTATAAAAGCCATTACTTTACTCTGATATATGTGTATAATTTGATATTATTTCCTTTAAAAAAACGCGTTATTATTTAAGCAAGAAATTTGCAATATATAATATATATACATATAGATGGTTTAGGTGGTATTATTATTCACTTAATGGCTGCAAGGTCCAAAGATAACGCAATAACTTAATAATTTAATAAAGATGTAAATATTTACACGTACAAAACTTAATCTTTATTACCATATTCTTTTTGACAAAATTGAATCCGCAAACTGATACTTCCGACCCATATTTTGCTTGTTTTGTTTCTTGTTTATGGCAATAAGGCCTTTTTTAGGCTCCATTGATTGTATTTTATGTTGGCTATTTAGCAATACTTCTCTTAATATATATATATATATATATACATGTGTATGTCTAGAATAGCTAGCTTAGGTAATTTCACTCATAGTTTTTTTTTGTGCATAAAGATTCACGTACAATCGTTAATAATTCTATCCTTTTACTTTTAACCAATTTTACGGTATATTTAATCAAAATAGCCTCCTATAAATACTTACAAGATATTGCTGTAAATATATTCCAGAGAGAGAGAATATGTAGGAGCCTAATTGTATAGCCATGAAAATCCACACCCCCTCTTTTTTTTGGTTGTCATCTGCTTCTTCGTATCTTAATCACGCCATTCATTCAAAGTCAAGACTTGGCCTTGTTAATCTATTACTAATAATCAAATGAAAATCTAAAACCTGGAATGGTGTTATAGATGTTCCAAATTATCAAGACACTACCATCGCTAATTTACATCTATATCTCCTTAAGCTAAGTAAATTTTTAGAAGAAACCTTTTTTTTTCTGGTTTTTGGTTTTTGGTTTTTGATTAGGATCCGGGTGCGTATTTGAATAAAGGACCTAGACAACCCAAAAAAAAAAACAAATATGTATAAAAATAAATATTAGAATCAAGCTCGGTATTGTCAGCTGCAGAGATTATCACTAAAAGCTACAGTTCGTTATCTTTAATATATTAATGTGCTCTTCTCCTACATGCTCTTTGTGTATTCTACAATAGCAACAATAACAATAGTAATAATAGTATTCTTTGAGGGCGTGGGAGATCTTCGTCAGCCATCCGTGTCCTTTTTTGTCGCGTCCCGGTAAAGTCTTTTTTTCTTGCTCAATGTCAAACCGAAAATCCTTCTGATCACCAGGTAGCTATAGCAAACTAGCTAGGGACTTGTGCTATGTTACAAGATCTTCTTTATATTGCTGTTGCTGTTTGAAATGTAGCTCTTAAAGCTAATGGCACAATTTTAAGTAGTGCAGGATATGACAGGTTGAATACTAGCTATACTTAATTCCATTTATGCATACATACATGTATACATTCAAAATTCCGTGCGTCTCACGCGGCAAACATACCTATAAAAACAAGCAAAAGAATTTTACCGGTTTCCTGAAAAAGAATAGTATGGCTTTGCTATTCAGTGTTACAATATATTAGATACCATCAGTTGTTTTGCCTTGATAAATCAACAGATATATAGACAGACAATCTTGTAATATGTAGATATCCCTCAGCCCCAGTAGAATGAAAATCTTAATGATTACAGTTTACACAATTCTTCTTTTGCTTTATTTTTATATTTTTATATCGGGAGGGAAAAAAGAAAGCATTTGGTAAGGGTAGGTTATAGAAAGTATAGTAGAATACAAATAATGACAGTGCTTGTTTCATGTGGCTAACTTACATTACTGATTAAATCAGCCACTTTTAGAAGAAGATACAAGGAATATGAGATGTATATATGTGTAGATCTTTCCCAAGGTTTGATTTTGTGTACCATTCCATCTTCGATTGAATATGCACAGAAGAATAAATGGTAATTGTGAAACCGATATTTCTTCTTTCTTTTTTTTTTTTAAAAAAAAAAAAAAGACTAAATTCCCGTAGGCTCCATAGTTTCCGGAATATTTTAAGAAGCTTATGAGAGTAATTATGACAACGAAGATTAGGTGCCTATATGTACTAACTGTAAATACTATTGAATAAATTGCAGTTGTATAGCCATTTTCTTGTTTTTGGTCTTATTCGTCTTCGTAATATTATTAACAAGAGAATTTGAAGAAGATAATAAGGGAAAATAAAGGAGTGAGGAGGCAGAGGATCCTTCAAGTAGTGAAGCATAATTTCAAAGAGGATATAAAACAATATTTCTTGGCGTTGAATATTTGCTTTGAAGGATTAAGTTGTATTGTGCTGTATAATTGGTTGGGTGGATTAAATATAAAGATTGTTCTTTCTTAATTCTTTTTTGGTTTTAGAAATGATCTACTAGCACAGTAATAGTAACACAAATTGTAATACCAATGCTAAACAAGAAAAAGAAACTTTCTTATACATCCCCATGATCATTTCTTAATTTCTACATTCATGTGTAATAATTTTGGCTACTGTATACAATACTTGATATCTACAGAAAAACACACACACATATATATATATTGTTGTGATTTGTTCGCACTAACAAAATAATTAGGCAAGAGCACACGCACAATGCTACTTTTACTACCAATAAAATCAAATAAAGAATAAGAGTTGTAAATATATTCGAAAGAGATGAACTTTTTGTGTTTATATTCATAAATAAGTAGATATAAATATAAATATATAAATATATATGTATAAAAAGAAGAAGAAAATAAAGATGAATAAAGGAAGTAAGGAAGGAAAGGAAGAAGAAACACAAAAATACACACAGAGAGAGAGAGACACACACACACACACAGGCACACATACGCACATACGTATAATACAGAGAAAATTTCTCTCAAGAGATAACCATAAGAAAAATGATCTCTTTGGAGGAAAGGGAAAGGGGAAAAGAAACAGAGAGAGAAAAGGAAAATGAAAGGATTTGCCTTTTTTGTGTTTTTAAAGATCGGCCAAACTGTCCTTAACGGCCTTGTAGTAGTCTGAAGACAGGTAGTTTGGAAGTTCCTCCTTGGTTAACCATGCAAATTCTGACACATCTTCAGAAGGTGTAACTTGACCAGAGAACATACGTGCCTTCATGAAAAAGACCTGGGTATACATATATATAATAAATGAATTAATTCTCAATTATTCCAATAGATACAAAATATAACACACACACACACACACACACACATATATATATATATATATATATACAGATATATTTACCTTTGATCCACTCTCTTCCACATTCTGAGTGGGTGCCTTTTTGTAGAGACCAATTGGCTGTCTACCTACAAACCAGACATCCATATCCTTACCACAAGTTTCCTTCAATTGACGTTCAGCAGCCTATATATATATATATATAGAGAGAGAGGGACAAAGATAAATGTCAACAAAAAAGTCAAGTACACATTTCAGTTTTCTTTTTTCTTCTTTAAATCCTTCAAGCATTTATGATCAAAATTTACCTCGTGCAAATATTCTGTCGAGTCGACTGCACCTTCAGGGAAAATCCAGGGCTGTTTGCCTTGTTTAGGACGAACGATAAGATACAATGTACGCTGCAGAGCACGGTCAAGGCTCTTGATATCGTTGGTTTTGTCTGCTTCGGTCTCGCGTGGTGCCTTTTCAATCTTTGTGATTGTAGCTGACATGGTTTCGTCTGCAGATAATTTTTGCTGAGCGGTAGCAATGGCCTCTGATAGGGATCGGGAGGTGTCGTCCATTGCACGGAGACGTTCTGCTTCCTCCTCTTTCCATCGGCGTTCGGCAATAGATCCCTTTTTGAAGTAGAACTCGGTGGGAAAGGTCGAGGCGTCCTGGCGTTCCAACTTCTCCTTATAGTCGAAATAGGCCTTTTCAAAACCTGTCGAATCGCGTGTGATCTGAGGTGGGCGAGACAGGATTACGGATGCCAGGATACGGCTGTTCTTGACTACAAGAGGAGCCTGGGTTGGTGCGGCGGATGCAAACCAGCGTCGAGCAAGCATTGCTGGTGTCTTGGGAAGCATGGTGAACTTATTTCTTTTTTCAATTGTTTTCTCCCTTGTTGAAACAAGCCTTGCTTATTTTCCATTTTGACGGCGAAAAAACATTTGTGACGTGTTACTGAGAGAGGGATGTATTGTCGGAGAATAAATGGATAGACAGGATAAGGTAACACATTAAAGAGTAAAAAATAAAATAAAAATGAACCTCAATTTTGGGGGGAGGGGGAGGGGTTATTTTATTTTATTTTATTTTATTTTATTTTAGCAAGGGGAGGGAAAGCAAGGAAGACTAAGAGAGGAGCCTATTATATTATATATATAAAAGTAATTAATGAAACAAGAGAGAAAGAGAGAGAGAGAGAGAGAGAGAGAACAAGAGTAAAAGGTTCTTTTTTTTAATACAGGATTTCCACTCCAAAAGTTATATTTTTTTTTCAAACTATATATTTTGCAAAATCAAAACTTTCATTTTGTGCTCCGACTATATATAAAAAAAATCAATTTATTTCTTGGCTATTTGTACATTGGGGGAAGAAGCTAATGCTATGATCAACCCAGCCTTGGCAGTTTTCCATAGCGATATGGCGGGAGCACTCAGCAATATACTCCAAGAATTGACCACATACCAATCCGGGCTTTCTCTTGACCAGTGTTTTGAGTTTGGAGAAGCACTCTTCAATCGGGTTTAGGAAAGGAAAGTATGGGGGGAGAAAGTGCAGGTGGTGTAGTGAATTAGCAAACAATTCAGTGACAAGGTGGGATCTATGGATCGAGGCATTATCCATAATGAAGTTGTGAGGGGCAGTATTACTGTGGTCGAGCGAATCCATAATCGTCTTTACAAATTCAACGAAAATTGGTCCTGTCGTGCCACCAGGGGTCAACTTCGCCTGCACACTTTCAATATCTTGGTAAGAAATACCGGCAAGAATTGAGATGTTTAGTCCCCTTTTCGACTTCGTCTTCACAATGCTGGCCTCGCCTTTCTTGGACCACCCTCGTCCTCTGATCAGGTTTGCATTAAAGCCTGCTTCGTCCACAAAAATGCAATTGGTTTTATATCATAAACCATTCGTGTGCATACTGTCTACGTATACTTTTCTCAGCTCAATAGTCTTTGGGTCGTTTCTTTTTTCCTCAACCGGTTTGGTTCTCTTCAATGTGAACCCGATGTTGTTGATAATGTGCTTATGTAAGCCACTGATGCTCAAGTTCTGCTCTTGAAGCTCTGGAAATTTTCTAAACAGTTCCTCTCTCATTTGACCAAGAGTCAAGGTGCAGCATTCGTCCAAGAGGTCTTGAATGAACTTTGAATGCTCATTGGTTATCTTAAGACTTTCCGCACGCGAGCCGCCTTGCTTCTTGGGCTCTACAGTAGCATCCCTCTCGAACTTGGTGATGATGTTGTTAATCGACTCCCATGAGACACCAAATGCCCTGGCTGCTTCGGCTCGGGTCATGGACTCTTCTATATAACATTTCTCCACAATTATGTTCTTGATGTGGATTGGAAGAACCTTTTGTGGTCCATTTCTCTTTCTTCTCTTAACGATAGCGATTTGATTGGGGTTCATGTTGGAGGATTTGAGTATAGAAAAAGATAATAGATAAAGACAGTTCTCAAAACCATATTACAAACTTAGCATTATATACTTTTCTTATAACAATATATTGACATTGCATGTTTTCTTATATTGTTTTTAATAAACAGTGTAGACATTCTTTAAATACTTTATCGCACATATTAGCATTCTTCATGCTCTTTATTAATTTGCTTTAAATTTCTTTCTATCCGCATTAATTAATTTATTTTTTTCATATATAGTCGGAGCACAAAATGAAAGTTTTGATTTTGCAAAATATATAGTTTGAAAAAAAAAAATATAACTTTTGGAGTGGAAATCCTGTACTATATATGAATATTTATAATAGACTATAATTGTATTTTGTTTCAATTTCCTTAATTATTTAGTAGAAAGAAATAATATAAAAAAAAACAAGAAAGGATGATTTCTGTTTCCAGGGACGCTTTTCTTTTCTTTTTTGATTTGTTAGCTCAAAATAAATTACATAGGATAAATTCAGGTACAAATTCCACAAAAAATAAACAAATTAATATATGCTGATATAGATAGATAAATATAGACAAATATAAATTGAAACAATTACTATAGAAAGATTGAATTTTTATTATTATAATCACTGTTTCTTGGTGATTAAGCTTCCCTTTAATTTCTATTTAGACTACAAACAAGGATAATGCCAAGCTATTAAAAGGAACAATTAATTTAATTTAATTTGATTTGATTTGATTTGATTTAATGCAATGCAATTTAATATAATTTAATCAATTGACACCATTGTATATCTATATATTTAAACTGGAAGAATGCTTATTTATTAATATTATTAATAAAAATAATAGTAGTAAAAAATGAAAATGAAAATGAAAATGAAAATGAAAATATGAGATTCTTGTGACAAAACGAATGAAAGCATAAGATGATAAAAAGATAAGATATAAAGAGAAAAAGAAATCTCATACTTTGTTTTATGCGAAAACAAAAACAGAACAAAACAGAAAAAAAAGGGAAACATACGCGTCAGAATTGAAGTGTAAAGATGATTATCTACATGAAAGCCATGAAAAAGAAAACAGGATAAAGTGAAATGAAAAATGAGATACTAAAGGTAAGAAGAAGAATAATAATAAAAAGAGGAGGGGGTAAAGCCAGGTATAAGGGAATTGACAGGAAAATAATAATAATAGTAATAGTAGTAATAATAATAATCAAGAAAGCAATTTGGTATTTGGTATTTGGTATTTGGTATTTAGTATTTAGTATTTGGTATTCGATTATTATTATTAGCTTTTTTTTTTTGGTTTTTTCTTTTCTTTTTTTGGTTTTTGAACAATGAATTTTCTTTTAAAGAAACCCCTAGCAACGCGCGATTGAATAGCTGAATAGTGGTGGAAGACGAATTGGTTGAAGACGACCACTGTCGACTAATTGATTCCGTGGCTCTATAGGGATCTGATAATCATTCCTGGATGTTTCTGGAGGGGAGGAGCCTAACCACAACAAGGGCGAGTAATTTGGAGAGGGTGTGGATATCGGAGAAGGTGAAGATGTGCCCGAGTAAGACGAAAGAGTGGGTGGGGATGGAATTGTGTCGTCTAGATAGAGAGATCGTTTGCGAGATTTTCGAATACCCTGAAGAGTCCGATAACGGTTGAAACAGGTTGCCCGTTTGCGATGAGGAAGCTGGTTTGAGATCTGGCCCCATGTCAAGCCATTTGCAACACCTTGGCAGATTATGGAATCTTCAATTTCTGAGAATCGACTTCGGGGCTTGTTGGTAAAAATGACCTGGACTGGTGGGTGGGAGAAATAGTGTAGCAATCTCTTGGGTGACAATGGCGGAGAGAGAAGACGAACTTCTGATGAGGATTCTGACTGTGGTGGATTAAGCATGTCGGCGACTGAGAAATTATTGTTATTATTATTATTTAAAAAAAAAATTAAAAAATTAAAAAATTAAAAAATTAAAAAATTAAAAAATTGAAAAATTGAAAATTAAAAAATTAAAAAAAAATTTAAAAAAAAAATGGATCAGTAAAAGAACAAAGATTTTCGTTTTATTGTGTTGCCTTACTGTTCATGATTGCAAGTAATTTAGAGGAGGGCCTGGTATGTAAAGAAGTGTAAAGAGAGTAAATTTAAGGAGAATAGGAGAAAGGAATAGTGGGATATTTAAAGTAATAACAATAGAAAATAAAAATGAGAGAAAGAGATAGAGAGAAAAGAAAAGAAAAGGGAAAAAGACGTGAATTTTTATAAGATGAGTGGGGATTGTTATTGTTATTGTTTTGTTCTTTAGCTCTTTCTTTATTTCGTCCTTTCTTTATGTCTTTTTTAAATATATAATAATAGATGTTAATAAATAGAATATATTGAGGGATGTTGTGAGCTCTATTGTGTTGTGCTGTAGTGTGATGTGATGTGATATGCTGCAGTTTACTGTGGTGTGCTGTGGTTTAGTGTATAATGCGATGCTATGCGATGCGTTAATTTTTCATTGTTTTCTTCTTCTTGTCTTGAGCTAGATAACATAGAGTATATATATATATATCTGTCTATTGATTTACTTATTCCAAAAAGGGTGACAAAGAGACAAATACCTTTTTAAGAATACACACAATGCAAATAGAATGTATACATATGTGGTCCATTCAGTTGTTTTTTCTTCTTCTCTTATTTTAGTCTATGGTGTATAGTCTTTAAATAAATAAATATTATAATTAAATACTGAAAATATATCCAAACGACATGCAGATTATTGAGTCATATGTCATAGTGTGAATGAAATATAATAAATCAAGGAGGGGAGGTACAAGTTCAATGATAAATCTAAGATCCCTTCAAGCCACCATTAGACATTATGGGAGGTAGATCTCTCTATCTCTATCTCTTATTACATATATCAGACCACAACTGCTACTCCCAGGAGTTAAAATAGAAAATGGTATACCATTATTATATTCTTGATATTGAAACATTTTATACACACAGAATATTATAGGAGAACAATTGAATAACAATACCATGTATCATATAGATATCTACATACACAATTTACTATATTTTTTTAATAAATAACTTCAAATTGCACACACATAATATATATATAGTATATTTATTTATTTATTTTAAAACATCTTGACAAGTAAAAAGGAAATAAAAGCAGGAGAGCTCCAGAACACTTCACAAGATGATAAGGTTTATTTCCACGCACAAAGACTAAATGAAATAGTAATAGAAATTGTTAATACGGTTTAAAGAGCCAAGTAACCGGTAGCCTTTTTTCTTTTTCTTTTTCTTTTTTAAAATAAGAAACATTATAAATAATTGACCAAGAGAAAGAGGGGGGGAGGGGGGGGGGGGGGGGGTATGAGGGATACAAACAGTGTAATGAAGTATGAGGGATATAGAGAGTGTAACAGACCACTTATTCCTCGACATACCAGTATTCAACCAAAAGATAATACAAAAATCTATGCGAGGCTGTCAACTGTATACAATTCTTCTTTCTTTATTTCTGTGGGTCGTGCCACGACATGACACTTGTCTTTATTCAGCCAAAATTATTATTTTCAAATCTCGCTTGATCTGAAGTGGCCTTATCAGGATTATTCATGACCACAAAAACTACCTCTATTTTTGAAACCATTCATTGAGACTTGACACTGGTTACCGCGGAAAAATGATAACCTCAATACTGATACTGATACTGATACTGAATTAAAAAGAAAATAGAGGTTGAATTAATATTAAAACATGATACAAGTCATGAAAACTGTCGAAGCTTTCACGACTAAACCAATGGTATCAAAAGCTATGGCTATGTTTTCTTTACTACATTATACTACATTATACTACATTATATTACAACATACTATGCTATGATATACTATACTATACTATACTATATTACAGTATGATATATAACAGTACAATACACACATGGAAAGTAAAGGCAACACTTATCATTCCATAGCACAAAAAATTGTACCCAAGCTTGATAAATATTTTATTTATAATATAATGGAAACACTGCCGGCACATTAGACTTTGTCACTGGTCAGCCTGTGCCCAGCCCCTTTTTCATAGCTTGTTAAGATCCCCTTATTCTACCCATACTCCCCCCTATCTCACCCCACCCTACTCCTCTCCTCCCTTGCCCTTCTCCCTCTTTCTATTATATATATATATATGTATAGAAGCCCTAGATTACTTTTAATGTATTTTTGCTCATCCGGAAACAAGAAAAGAAGAGAAAATGAGGAATATAATAAAGATAAATAATAAATAAAAAAAGGATGCTCTTATCCAAATATATCTTTATTTATTTATCCAGATTTGAACATTAAATACATGTCAATATCTAATGTCCCTATTTTCTCTTTAAGCTACCATATTAAAATTGACTGCATAATATACTCTATCTTGCCAAAAGTGGGCGGTTTTGGTGGGGGTGGAGACTTTAATTGGAAATTAACCAGGCCATGTTGTAGTATAGATGTGTTAAAAGTAAAAGAAAGAGCGGGTTATACACCCTGACTCGTATTACATACACAAACACACAAGTCCTGGATTTTCTCGATCAAAGGACCCCTCTCTCTCTCTTTTTTTTGTACAAACAACCACCATAACCACAATAACCACCATAACCACAATAACCACCACAACCCCTCCTTGTATAAAGATCTGCATTTCTCTAAATATGGAATACTAAAAACAGTTTAAATCTTTTTACTTTTTACAAGTCTTTCATTCATAGCGATAAAGTACATTGATAGGTGCAACCCCAATAATAACAATGATATTAGTACTTCTTTTTCCTATTCAATTTTAAAAGAAACTATGATATAATGCAGTGAACTATATTATAGCAAAAGATAATATATTAATATATTAATATATCCATATTTCTATATTTGATTTAATGCTACTGTTAAAACCGTGCTTTATTATGATACAAGTCTTTGTAAATAAATAAAAAAAGAAACCTTAAACACAATTAAGCCTTTATTAGTTTCTATTAGTCTTTAGAGAGAGAGAGAAATGAGAGTCAAACTGTTTATTTTTTGCTTTCAAACATATCCAAGAAGATGTATTGAAAATTAAAGACTTGTGATATTATATTACTCAAACTACCCGATAATTATAGTATTAATAAATAATATATATCATCATACAATGAGACAGAGTAAATACCTGTATATATATGTGTATAGAAAATAAGGGTATAAGCCTTGATTTTGTACAATATTCATTAATGTATATAAAGACATAATGTCTCATTATATTTAGCACTGGTATAGTTTATAGTTGTGTCGTCACCAATATCAATCTACCAGCTTCCACAGTGTCGTGTAGCCATTTTTTCGTCTATTTCTTTCCGAGTGGAACGACTGTAAATGACGTTTGGATCTGTTTGTAAAGAAAGACTAAAGAGTGTTGTGTAAAGAATATACTTGTAAAACCAATAGGAATTTATAAATATATATATTCAAACAGCTCAGAAGAGCTCATTCTATACAGTACTTGTCAAAAGTGACGACAGTCAAACGAAAAGAAGGCAGAAAGAAAGAAATTTACATATACCGTAGCTGTCTTCTAACCACATCAGGACTTTGTGTTACTGTCACTGACGAAATAGTCTTTTATTGGAGATTAAGACTATACTCTTTTACTCTTTAGGCTGCTTCGATGATGCTAATAATAATAATGATGATTATTAGCTGTCAAATTCAGACTGAAAAATCTCTTAACTCTTTTTTAGATTATTGTTACCAGGGAACAGAAAAATCATATAAATACTCTCCATCTATTCACCTCGAAAAAAAATATTATCAAATACCCTCCAGTTCTATCTATTTCATCTACTCTTTAATTCGTTATTCAATTAACAACAACACATAATAATAATCATCATCATCATGAAGTTCTCAATCTTTGCTTCTGTTTCTATCCTTGCCGCCGTAGCCCACGCAAAAGTCAGAATCATTAGCCCTGATGCCGACACCGTCTGGAAAGCAGGAGAGTCTGCCACAATCAAATGGAAGTCTGATGGCAAGGACAGCAGTCTCACATGCGATATCCAGTTGCTCAATGGCGATCCCAAAGATGCCGATATTATCGGAACCCTGACCAAAGACGGTGCGCCAAAGTGCTCCGAAAACTCATTCACTGTTGACTCGCTCGATGACTATCCTTCCGGAACCGTATTCATGCGCATCGGCCAAAATTCAAAGCACAAGTGGTCCTACTCTGAAGACTTTAAGTTCAAGGGTGACGGAAGTGCTAGCAGTGGCAGTGCCAGCTCTTCTTCAGGATCAGGCTCGGGATCAGGTTCGGATTCAAAGCCTTCGGGACCTTCTAGCTCTGCTCCCAGCAAAGCTACTCCTACCGATGCTACTTCTACACAGGCTCCCGCTAACAATGGTGGTTCGGGTGAGGCTACTCCTACCGACAGCTGGCTCAACACTTCTCCTGCCGCTACCCCAACCACTCCTCCCCAGACCGAATCAAATACCGCCGAGTCCGACGAGGCAGCCTCAGTCCTGTCCCGCTTCTCCTCGATATCTTCCTCTGTTGCTGCTGCCAGAGCCACTAATCAATAATTAAATAAGAATAGTAATATGTTTTTTAATCATATAATATAATATAATATAATATAATATAATATAATACCAATAAAATTCTGATATTATAATCAAAAATCTATTTTATTTATTTATTTTTTACTTGAATAAATGAATAAATGTATTTCGTCTATCTATATTTTGGTGTAATTTTGCTTTTACTACTGCCATTTCTACTATTACTAATTTAGCAGAAAGTGTCAAACCAAAAGAGGCTCAAGTTTATAGCATCAATTGCTATTATTATCTTTGATTTTAAATGTCCAGATAAAAAACAGACCAAACAAAAAAAGCTTATTTATATTAATATCAATATGCATATATTCAATACAAAAATGTACGTAATGTGTATAGTCTGGATATTGAATACTGGCCTAGAATCTATATTAGTTTGGCGGACATCTCCCATAAAAAGGAACATATGCTTTTTTTAATATTAATCGCGAGCCTTTTTATTTATGTATTTATTTATGTATTTATTTTATCATTAGTACCAATAAACTTTAGTACCTTATTGGAAGCAAACAAGCGAACCAAGTGGCTTATAATACAGATATATGATAAGAATAAAGAAAGAAAAGCAAGTTTTCCCAAGTAGTTGCGACTAGTAAATCAACAATAGCCCGAGATCAAAAGGTTAATAGGTTGATTACAATCCTTCCGATCCTTCCGACCTACAATTTACATATCTTTTTCTTCTTTACTTATTCCCATGCAACATTTATCATTAAATGTATTTTCTGTCCCTACCTTCTGTTTCCACAGAGAGCATGTGTTTTAGCTACTGTATCAGCTTGAGAAAATATATTGACAAGCTTTGAAGAATTAATAGTAATACGAATATCTAATTGTCTTATAACAACAGTAACAGAAGAAGAAGAAGTACTCTGAATTGTAATAAAGAAATATTTTTCTTTTAATAATTAGAGTAAGAAGTATAATATAATTCTGGCTGTTATATAACTTTAGATCAACAATAAGGAAAAACCTGTTGCTTTTAATGCGTACATATCTTTATTAGCAAAAACATAATTATCTTTAAAACGCTTTATAAAATAGATGGTACTTAATAAATTGCAAAATATGAACACGACTTCATTATTTATTTATCCATATTTTTTTTTGAAAAATGTCTAGATGTGGTAGGTATAGCTTTAATTTTGAAACAAAAAGTATATATATATATATTCTACATTCTACATTTTTTTTTTTGGTTTATTTCTCTTAAATATTTCTGTAAACTCACAGAAAATAAAGAATAACAAAGGGTGAACAAGTAAGCAAGTAAGGAAAGTAAAGGTCTTTATGATGGAAATCATGCTAATAATACTATATAAGAAATCGCCACTTTGCTGTAATAAACTGAAATAGATACCAAAAGTGGTATTCTAGTTCTTCCATCATCGTGTGCTACAAAGACTTGATATTTGTGTAAGTATGTATATAAAAAGAAAATAACTCATTTAACATTGAGTGACATCAAACAAAGATCCATGTACAACAAAAACAAATCTTCCTTGTTACATATGAAAGATGCTACGATTTATATATTATTGCTTGCCAAAAAAAAATGAAGAAACGAATATACGTATATAATAGGATTACACAAGCGTTTCATTTTTCATTCTTTGTGTATGTGTGTGTATTTTTTGATTAATAGTAATACGAATAAATTAAAGTGTTATATTATTATTATACTTGTGAAAATTACATGGTGGTTTGTGTAAGAAAAAGAAAGAGAAAAGAAAAAGGACGAGGAAATCAAAGCCAATAAAGTTAAAGCAACATGGCCAAGATGACGGGTGCGCAGACAAGTGCAAGAGTATAGTGCATCTTGGAAGCAGCACCCTCAGCAGGAACACTGACCGAAGCACTTGGGGCAGGTGAAGAGGCAATCTTGGGAGATGCAGAAGAAACAGGGGTAGAGGCATGGCTGACGGCAGAAGAAGGAGCAGAAATTGCAGATGGAGCAGCAACTGAAGCGCGAGAAGATACGGCAGTTGGGACTACAGATGCTGGAAGAGATGGAGCGACGGTAACAGATGCAGATTGAGCAGCAGAACCAGAGCCGGAGCCAGAGGCAATGGGAGTCTTGCCACCAGTTACAACGAAAGAGCCTGAAAAGACATTTTTACTACAAAATTGTAAAAATGTTAGCATTATGCACTTTTGTTTTTGCTCTTGTATGTGTGTATTGTGAGTTTAAGAGCATCAAACTTACGTGGCGCCATTGCTAAGGTAAGAGAACTGGAAGGCATAGCTTTTGGTAGAGTCAAGATCGGCAGGAATCTTTTTATTTTTATAAAGAAAAATTAAAATTGGGTGGTTTAGTAACACAAGTATATTTGAATACAACCATTCATTATATCTAATGTTCCATAAAAGAAGAACAATAGGAAACAATAATATATTTACCACCACAGTAAACTCTTCGTCCGAACCATCTGGAATGGTGAATGAATAAGCAGAATTGACCATGGTAGCTGGGTCGTTTCCAACCAGCAGGTTAACGTCAACCTCAGTATCAACACCATTAAGCCAAGCTGTTGAAAGTTAATAAACAGAACAAAAACAAGACCAAACTATGTATATATATATATATATATATATTTCGTTGGTAAACAGGTTCTCTTACTTAAGGTAGCCCTATTGATCAATCAGTTAAATGTTTTTCTCAACGTTATTCACCCAAGTAACTCACGATTGCCCAGCCTTGTAGACAGTTCCAGGAAGAGGAGCAGTGATATAGAAATCAGTGGTCTGAGCAACAGCCATGGTTGACAAGAAGCAGAGGGCGGCAACGAAAAACGGCTTCATGGTTAGATTGAGAGAAAGACAATAGACAAGGAAAAGAAGTAATATCTTGTTTGGATAAGTCGAATAGTTTTATACGATTCTAAATTGTCGTACAAGATAAAGATATAGGCATACATTATATGTTATATGTGTAGGTACAGGTACAGGTGCAGATATATATAAATACACACATATATAGATTTATATATTTAATAAAAATAAAAGAAAGCCTATTTGGCCATAAATGTTTCTGTTTGACCAACAGAATCAACGGAACCAGCACTCTCACCATCAAATCCAAAGCTTCTATTGTGGGTTATTCTTTCTATTTATTTATTTTTTGTATATAAAAATTAATTAATGTGCCAATCAAATGTGGCACACGCGAAAGACATGATGTCTATCGTTGCTGTACCTGGACGGACAAATGGGATTGTTGCACGCCAGTTTATTGATATCATAATATGCATTGTATTATTTTTGGATTTGTTTCGAATAGTCGGATATGTAACCACAGTAACGAACTAATCATAATACATGCATATGTAACCGAACTCGCTGTTCACAACAAATAAGTATCTTTTATTTTATTATTATTATTATTATTATTATTATTATTATTTTTATTATGTAATTGTGCCTATTATCTGTAATTGCTATACAATTCAATCGCACCCGATGTACACAACACAACACCAGAAATTTGTAAACAAACAAGCAACAAAAAGCTTATTTCTATCAAGGTGAAAGGGTTGGGTCAGGCGCCCATACACGTTTGGTGGATTTGTGAATTGGCATGTTGTCTTTTTTTAAATCTCTTTGTACATCTGCTTTTGGAACAAATTTCGTAGGAACAGGAATGTGGTATGTAGGCAGTTTTTCATATGTCCAAGTGTCTACAACAAGCGGTAGTTTGGGGGTGTCCCAGTGAAGGTAGTTAAATATACTGTCCATGACGAAAGTAAAAAATAAATAAATAAAGAATTTGGCTTTGTGCTTATTTATTTATCTTATACGTGTGTTGAATATATATATATATGTGTGTGTGTATATAGATATACTCATATATATATTTACATTTTTTTTTGTACTTTGGCCGGCCAAATGTAAATGAAAGTCACACGTCACACTTGGAACCCGATCGAGGGTCGCTTTAAGCTACATCCGACCTTTAGGCTTGCCCACCCTCTTTTTCGCTATTGTAGGTACATAGCCATTGGATGAATAGATGAATAACATAGATGGATGGATATAAACGGGGGGATGGATGAGATCAGATCAAATGAGATTAAATGAGATAATTTAATACAAGTCTGGATGGATGAATCCTGGAGCTATAATATAATCAATATATCAATGCAAGATGTGTGGAGACTAAATGAAATGTTCAACATTCTAATGATTTTATCTTTTTTTTTATATTTCATTTTCCATTTATATTTATATTTATATTTAAATAAATAATAATATTACAACAATAATATCAACAACATCAACAATAATAACAGCTACTATGCCGCACGCACCCAGAAACAGCTTCCTCGTTCCCGGCGTTGCCCAGTTCAGTCGCTCGACCACCTTCGCCAAGAAGGCCCTCCACAAGCGTCAGAAGAAGGCTGTCGCTGCCCCTGCCAAGAAGGCTGTCACCGACAAGACTGTCGATGTAAAGGGTGCCAAGAACGGTTCCAAGCGCACTGTTCCTGCCAAGAAGGCCGATCGCTTCTACCCCGCTGAGGATGTTCCCCAGCCCAAGAAGTCCCGCAAGGTCTCCAAGATCGGTGCTCTCCGTGCCACCATCACCCCCGGTACCGTTGTCATCTTGTTGGCCGGTCGTCACCGTGGAAAGCGCGTTGTTGCCTTGAAGCAGCTCGACAGTGGTCTTTTGTTGGTCACTGGTCCCTTCAAGATCAACGGCGTTCCTCTCCGTCGTGTCAACCAGGCTTACGTCCTTGCCACCTCCACTAAGATCGATGTCTCCTCCGTCAAGTTGGATGCCAAGATCAACGACGCCTACTTCAAGAAGGCTGCTGGTGCCAAGGCACAGGGTTTCCTTGAGGGTGCCGAGGTAAGATTAAATATGGGTTTTCTTTTATAGTTTATATGGAGGGCAACGGGGTTGTTTTTCTTAAAAAGAGGGGGAAGAGAAACCATTTATATATGAATTGTATATTTTTGAATTTGGAGGAGGATTTGGACATATATATGCATATTAGCTAAACCTTTTTTTGTTATTTGTGGGGATATTTATTCTAAAATTTTAAATATTAAAACAAAACGATGTGAAACAAAATTTCTAATATGTTCTTAATTAACAATTGAGTAGAAGAAGGCTGCCTTCCCCGCCTCCAAGGCTGCTGACCAGAAGGTCGTTGACAAGGCCATCATTGATGCTGCCGCCAAGACCCCTCTCCTCCGTCAGTACTTGAGCTCCACCTTTGGCTTGTCCAAGGGTCAGTTCCCCCACGCCATGCAGTTCTAAGTTTATCTTTCCATTGTACAGCACTTACTAAAATAAATAAATAAAAAAGTTTGTGAAAGAAAGGAAATCCCATACCTCTTTGATGGAATTGTAGACGAATTGAAATGAATCATTATAATAAACACTATGTAATAAGAATTCAACTACTCGGTTTTTTACTGCATAATTAAATGAGATTGTCGTGCGGCGTGCTTTAAAATACAGCATCATGTTGTATTTATATGAGATCTTTGAGCTCGTGCTCGGTTCTATATTTTATTGTATATCGAGGCGAGTATTTTGTTTTTATCAGATTTATAAAATGGGTTATTGTTGTAAATATATACATAAGCTTAAATTTCAGGGATATAATACTTTTTTATTTTTGTTAAGATAAGCTCAATTTATTCTGTGATTTAATTAATAAAGGCGCCTATTAAAAATCAATTTAGTTGTGTTCAAGTGTTGTGAATTTACGTAAAAGATCATCAATTTGTTTTTGTATTTCGTCTTTTGTCCTGGTGTTATTATTTTTTACTTTCTGATAATAAAATTTCACCACAGCCTTTATACATGTAAAAGCTTAATCAAAAGATCAAGTATGTAACAAAGTAGACGTTAAAAATTATCAAGGTAATCCTCGAACAGGCTATATTCATAAAATATAACAATTTTAAAAAATAAATTATGGAAGCAAATATATCATATATATATATAATTAGCATTTGTGTAATTAAATAGGCGATATCTAAAGTCCAGATAGCGACAATATTCTTGCTCAAAATAAATAAAAAATATAAAAATATAAATTAATTACTTTTAATTTTTTATTATTATTATTTTTTATTACAGTTCTTTAAACTTCCGCGCCTTTTCTCTCCTTTTCTTCATCTACATCATGAGCGACAGTCCCATGCCTACACATTTATCACCACAGCCAAGTGGTGCTCGTACAATGACAGTCGATGGAAAGAGAATTCTTTGCATCGCAGACGCAAGAGGTATAAAATAAAAACCAGATTTTTTAACTATTAATGAGATTCCAAAAAAGAAATATTGTCATCCAAACCATCTTGAATTAGGAAACCTGTCTCAGCTCAATGCTCTCGCACGCGACGCGGATGCTCAGTTCATTATTCACACTGGTGATTTTGGTTTTTATGGTAAAGTTAATGCTTGGTAATCATCACAAAACTCAATAAATTATAGATGGCTCCAGTCTCAGTCGTATCAGTGACAGGTACAACTTTTTATTTTATTTTATCTATTTGTTAAGATGTGAAGATTTATACAAGAAAAAAAATGGTGCCTTGCTTAATCAATATGACCTAAACTTTTCTTTCTTTTTCTCTTCTTACAATTGTTATATAGAACATTGAAACATTTGGTTCAGTACAGTACATTAATTCCTCCTCATGTACGAACTCGATTGAACAGCTCTCCTGTTGAGCAGATACGCAGTACAATTGAGCAATCACCCCAGACGTTATTGTCTGAATTCCCGGCTTACCTTTCGGGTGAACAAAAATTAGATATCCCGGTGTATACTGTTTGGGGAGCATGCGAAGATGTAGCAATTATCGAACGATTTAGATCGGGCGAATACAAGATCCACAATTTGTTTTTGCTTGATGAGGCTACTTCTCACCTGTTGGACATTGGTGGTGTTTCACTCCGATTGTTTGGTTTGGGAGGTGCAGTGGTTCAACACAAATTATTTGACAATGGCGAAGGCACGGACACAATTGCAGGTGGACTGGGAACTATGTGGACAACAGCACTTCAGATTGGAGAACTTGTCGAGACTGCCCAACGTGTATATGCCTGTTCAGAAACCAGGATCCTTGTTACTCATGCCAGTCCAGGCCGAGAAGGCCTTTTAGCCCAGCTTGCATTGGTGCTGAGAGTAAGTGATCTGATAAAGTTATGCGACAATTTTTCTTTTATTTTTGCTTATTTTATTTTATTTTTATGATCATTTCAGGCTGATTTTACTATTTCGGCTGGTCTTCATTTCCGGTATGGAATATCGTACAACGAGTTTGCGTGTCAGCCCGACCAGGAACATTATCGCGAGCGTTTGATTCAATCACAACAAGGATTCTTGCAACTCTGGGATGCTATCAAAGAGCAAGTAGAAAACTATGTGGACGAGCGACAGACAGTATTGTTACAAAATGCCTTGATGGTTGTAAATCGCCTTCCTCCTTCATTGCAGCAGGATTCTGCTGGTCAACTTGAGCTCTCTAGTTCATCTTCGTCATCTGGGCCTGATAGAGATGAGCAGGCTTTTAAGAACATGTGGAATTTCAATCTCCCTGATGCTGCTTTTGGCTGGGTGGTGCTGGATGTCAATCATGGACGTGTCAGTGCAGAGACTCGTTCTCAAGGCTTCAATTTTTCGTATCGTCGCAGTAGTGCTCACATGACAATCGCTTCTCCGTTATTCAATTTGGGCTCAACTAGCCCAGGACCCACCGAAAAACCTAACCAATACAGACAGAGTGAGTGGGAGGATCCTCCTACGGCTGCTAGTCAAACCGATGATGAGTGGAAGGGAGAGATAAAGGAAGATGGAAACGTGGGATACACTTCCGGTGGTTATGGTTCGAACTACAGTCACAAGAACACAAAGAGATCAAGTGTTGTAAGTAAAATAAAAGAAAAGAGAAATAACGTTTTATATCAATTATCAATCGTTTCACTACGCAGCCTGACCTTGTACCAAAACAGCAACGTAGTCTGTATGTGGCGTATGTAGGTGGACTGTCCAACACAACAGTGACGGAGAGTGAGATCAGAACCCTATTCGGACGTGACACAGTAAGACTTTAGTGTTCATTCATTCGTTCATTTCTATCTGACCCGCACCAATCCAAATTCTAACCTTTTTGTGCCTAGGTTACCGCAGTCAAATTTCCCGTCGATCAAACCACCCAACTGCCTAAAGCTCATTGTTATGTTGATTTTGCCCACTCTGTTGCCCTGGAAAACGCATTGGCTATGAACGGAAAGGTAAACAAATAATTAACTAATTACTCAATTAGTCTCTTGACCGCTTTATGTCGTGATATTAACTCGTCAATTAAGCTATTCAAGGACAACAGACTTGTTATAAATCGGCCTACTTCACAGTTTGGTGATGGCAGAGGACGTGGTAGAGGAAGAGGACGGAACAGTTACAGAGCAAGTCCTCGGATGAGTGACAACCGTATGAGTGATTCTTCGCACAGGAACAGAGAGTCTGACATGTAAAAAAAAACAAAAGAAGAAGCACAAGAAGCACAAGAAGCACTAAAAAAGGAAAACCCAGAACCAGAATCAACTCAACTCATACACTCAACTCACAACCAAAACAGGCACACATAAACTCACACATACACACACATATATACATATACACACATCTGCACCTGCACCTACACTTTACACCTGCACTTACACTTACACTTATACACAGAAAGAGAAAGATATATCTATTATATACTATACATATTTTTTTACTATAATTATTTTACGATTTCATAGCCTTTCTCTTTCTATCTATATCATTTTATTTTATTTTATTTTATTCTAGATTTTTTTTATATTATCAATTCACTTTATTTGTCTCAAAAATGCCCTATCAAAAACAAGGGGATACCAAAAAAGCAACTTCTTGGGAGTACACAAATATACGTACACACAAACCAACGCCAAGCAGCGTATGACATCATCCAATCAACTGACTTGCTTGAGAAACTACCTATTTCTTCAGCTATCGTTTCAACTCTCGTCTTCCTTTCTTTTACCTTTACAACCATGAAGTTATTTACTCTTTCTGCTATCATTTCCACCTTTTTGGCTATTGGTGCCGATGCTGCTATCCAAAGGTAGGAAATCAAACACAAATACACAAGATACCAGATGGTAGCAGTAATAATAACATATTCTAAAATAACTCTAGAGTACCTATAAAGAAGACCGTCGAGACTTCCGCTGAGAAACTCCAGCGTTATTCTCACACTGGTGAATACCTCACCCAAAAGTACTTTGGCTCCCAGCGCAGTCAATCCCAGAATGCCCAGCCATTCCAGGTTGATGCCGATGGTCGTGTTGAACATGGTGTACCTTTGTCAAACTATATGAACGCCCAGGTAAAATAAATAATAGTAATTTCTAGGCAACAAAAAAAAAGACTAATCACCCAATATTTTTTTATTTATTTATATTTATATAGTACTATGGTGAAATTGATATCGGAACTCCTCCTCAGACTTTTACTGTTGTTCTTGATACCGGTTCCTCCAACTTATGGGTTCCTTCTTCTGGATGTAGCTCAATTGCCTGTTTCCTTCATCGTCGCTATGAATCCACAAAATCTAGCACCTTCAGTGAGAATGGTACTGATTTTGCTATCCGTTACGGAACTGGTTCTCTTGAAGGTTTCATTAGCCAGGTAAATAATAATTTACAAAATGACGTTGCCCTTTTTTTTCTTTTTTTTCTTTTTTTTCTAACCCTTAAATTTCTTATCATCAGGACACAGTAAACTTTGGCGGCATTGAGCTTGAAAACCAAGGCTTTGCAGAGTCTGTCAAGGAACCCGGATTCACCTTTGCATTTGCCAAGTTTGATGGCATTCTTGGTATGGGTTATGACAACATTGCTGTCCAAAAGGTCGTCCCTCCTTTCTACAACCTCGTCAACCGTGACTTGATTGATGAGCCTGTATTCTCATTCTGGCTCAACGATGCCAACAACGGCGATGAAGCCAACGGTGGCGAACTCGTCCTTGGTGGTGTTGACCCCGCTCACTACGTTGGAGACATCGCATGGTCTCCTGTGGTTCGCAAGGGTTACTGGGAAATCCAATTGGACGACATCAGATTCGATGGTGAACCCCTTGATTTGGATCCTATCAATGCTGCCATTGACACTGGTTCATCTCTCTTGGTCTGCCCCACTGCATTTGCTGACCTTTTGAACAAGGAATTCGGCGCCGAAAAGAACTGGGCTGGACAGTACGTCGTTGACTGTGCCAGAATCCCCGATTTGCCTGAATTCTGCTTTATTTTCAATGGCAAGGACTTCTGCTTGACTGCTGAAGATTATATTCTCCAGATGCAGAACCAATGTATCTCCGGATTTATGGGAATGGATATCCCTGAGCCTGCTGGCCCCATCTGGATTGGTAAGCAAATAATATATTTACTTTGTTTTAATGCTTTTACTCATCATAATTCCTTATTTATCTTTTTTTTTCTTTAGTCGGTGATGTCTTCTTGCGCAAGTTCTATAGCATCTACGATCTTGGTAACGACAGAGTTGGTCTTGCCCTTTCTGCTTAAACTTATAGCCCTAATTCTTCTCTGCATCTAATTAACTTCATAACTTTGTGTAAAACCCCCTTTTCCCTTCTCTGTTTTCTCTAAATAAACCTGTAACTTCTTTTTTATTATTTCTGTTACTTTTTCTGGAACACAAAGGCCAAGTAAATGCCTAAATTTTGATATTAGTTATATGGATAAGCATACCTATACTTATTTTATAGCTGTACAGATTATATATATATATATATATATAAATAAAACACACGCACACGCACACACACACAGATTATCTCAAAATGGCTTCCAAACAAGAAAAACTTACCTGCTGCTTCCCATTCTTCTGGGCTCATTTCTGGATTAGCTCCACCTACAACACCAATTCGACGAAGTAATTTACCAAACTCTTCTTCTTGTGATGCTGTTTTGTAAAGATCATGAAAGTTCTCCTTGCGCTTCAATATCAAGCCATACTCTCCTGCCAATCTACGTGAGCTCATATAAGTACCTAGCTTGTATACACATTAAGAAGAATAAAATATATTCTCAGACTTACTTTTCCAATGTCTGCCAATTGACCAAATACTCTGGGCAGTCGACGGCATCCTCAAGATGGAACATATATTTGCATCCATACTTTGTAAATCCAACCTTTTTTCCACTTTCGTCTTCTTCAATACCCTCAAAATCAATGTGATAAATCGAATTTCCAAATCCAAATGAGCCTTTCGGCTCTGCACGCACTCGCTTTACGATCCAGTTGGCATCGGGAATAGTTCCAAAGAAGTAACCTCCTGATCTCAGTCGCGTGCTCACATTCTCCAACATCTGGCGAGCCTTTGTTTCATTTTCGAATGCATAATGAAGACAGAACTGCATTGACACAACGTCAAGCATTAAATCTGGTTTCAATTTAGGTGCAATAGGTTCCTGTGTGTGTGTATGTAAAGTGTTATTTACACGAACTATACTTCCATATTATCTCAGGATATCTTACCTGATAACAGTCCATAGCATAGAATTCCGCTGTAAATGAACGGTCGCGTAGAGTTTTGTAACGATCCTTCATTTGTTCGAGTGAGACATCAGCAATGTCTACATTTAGATCACCATGCTTGTTAGTCGTCTGATCTAATCGTAAAGAGTTTCTTTACCTGCTGCTACAAGATGTCTGATTCGTGACTTTGCCCATTTGATCAGATCTCCTCCTTTGCCACATCCCATGTCAAATGCATTATATCCAGGCTTAACATAAGTATTGATCAGTACACTCTTGACCCAGTTGTTGAAGCTTCGGAGACGGATGATCTTTGATTCTTTACGCTTTTCTACACCAACATCAGGTCTTTGGTTGTAATGCTGGGCTACACGATGTGCACCAGATGCAGCATCCGCATTATATGAAGTATGATTGATTTTGACATCGTGATGAGGTTCATCGTTTTTACGTTTACGGTCCATGTTATATTACTAAAAATAAAAATAAAACCATAAAAAGAGGAGTTAATAGCTATTATGCTTTATGAGAAAAGGTAATCTACACTCACTAATTCGCTCCCTTGCTCACTCACTCACGTATAGAATGTATAAGTATAAGTACAATAGGCGCAAGTTATATAATAAAGTGAAAAAACACAAATCACTTGAGATATAAGCTCACTATAAAATTTAGGCAAAAAATTGTGACCTTTAATAGTATAACTTTTGATACATGGCAAATTTTGAATTCATAAATATCAAGTACATTTCATCACCCTATAATATTAGGATATAGTTAAATATTGAAAAGAACATAGAATCTCGTCAATAAAAAGAAGAGGAGTTTCTTTATTGGTATGATTTAATGGAAAAACTGAATGCATGGATGGTCGGGGGAGATTTAAAGGAACAAGCCAAGGACGGCAATGAATACTACTATTCCTGTAACACTGGTTTTAGCAGCTCCAGATTGGGCAGCGGTAGCCTTTGGAATAGATTTGGGGGCGGCTGTTGCAGCAGGATTGGGACCTGCATTCGAAATAACAGGATGGTTGGCCACAGAAAGTATGCTGCTTACAGAACTATGGACAGCACTTGGAAAGGCACCCACTGCAGATGTAGCCTGTTATGAAAAAAAATCAGTCTACATTTATGAATCCTCAGCTATTTGACATTGTATATTCTACCTCTCCTACAAGAGAGCGAATAGGCGCGTTGGCAAGGATACTTGAGGCCTCAGCAAGAATACCTTGAACTGGAGTGCTGGCAGAAGGAGTTGAGCCTACAGAAGCAACAGTTTCTTAGTGAGAAAGGATATCTAAAGTTGAAACTGAAAATGGCTTAAAGGTCATCTTACTCTGTGCAAACACCAAAGGAGACGCCAATACAACATAGGCACCAATAGTAGTGAGTCTAACCATGACAATTAAGAAAACGAGGGTAATGGGAGTAAGAAGGTGTATAAAATTGACTGTTTTTTTTCTGCTTTTTTGTTTGCTTTTTTTTTTAAGAAAAAAAAGTTTAAGAAGAAAAGCCCTCAAATTCTTGATCTATTCAACATCTTTCTTTTCTTTCTTTCAGGTTGAAAGGCTTGATCTGGACGGTCTATTTTATTCTCCTTAGCTGCGGTGACCCATTCCAATATAAAGGAGATCTTATAAGGGGAGGATGAAGGAGGGGAGATGGGGAAAGGAGTGTATAGGTGTTTGGGTTTGTGCGCGTTTATAGAATCAAGTACTAATATATGTATATATATATACTGTTTAGCAGGTACTAAATAAATACACACCAACATACACATATACACACTGGTGGTTTAAACTTATTTTCTTTTATTTTTCCTTCGTTTCTTCTTATTTTATTGATTTATCTTTAAAGAAATACAAGAATATATATACATATATGTATGTATATATGTATATATATGAATAAAGGGGTGAAATAAAGGGTTTTAAAGACATACATTAATATATAGTAATATAAAGATTACTGTACTGCAAACTCATTCTCCATGTCTTCTAGATGAGCATGCAGACGCTGTTATATTTTCAAGTATGTCAGTATTGCCTTACTTTCTTTTTATAAATAACTTTACAATTCAATTTAATAATTCAAAGTTCATTACCTGTAACCGAGCACCAGTTTGCCAGTCTCTTCCTGACAATTCAAGTATTTGATCAGCAAAAGACAAGAGAGCCTCCTGCATGTAAACCAGCGCCATTTGTGGATTAACCATAATATTAGCTGATTTTGCCGTGTTCAGTTTAGTGATCTGGACACGGCTAGTCTCAATAACAGCCACAGTCCTGACCGTAATTTCAACCAGCAGACTTGTTAGATTCTCTAGCACAGTCTCGCCATCAAAAGGGTCATCATCATCCACATCTCTTAACAGACTAGGGTGAAACACTCCTTTTGCCACACTCTTTTGCCCACTATCCACCTCCTGTAACGTTTGAAGTGCGGCCAATACGCGGGCCATACTCTCGAGACATTGCATCAGTCGCAAGTCTGTACGTATCGCCTTTGGTACATTTATATTAGTTGGTGTGCTTGGCGTATTTGTAGTTCCTGCCATAAATTCAGCTAGTTGTCGTTCGTTAAGATAGCCAAGATTCTCAGAAATCCAATGGCCATAGACCGTGGCGAGTACTCGGCATCCGAAAGTTAATTTTCGAGATGGCAGCCCAATAAGTGCAGTCGAGCCACTTATGAACTCTATGCCGTGTAGAATAGCAGCCATAAGCTATATATATATATATATATGTATAGTATTATTATTGTAATGAATATCCAATGATTAGAAAGGGATAAAATTTTATCTATACATTTATATACAGTACCTTTTCGCCAAGCGCGCTATTGACAAGCTCACGCATATTTGTGACAAGACTCTGGGCCTTGGAGCATTCAGTGTCCAGCTCTCTCAAGAGACCAATGGAAAGACTATAAAACCACCCTTTGGTGGCAGCCAGCAAGTGTTCGTCTACAGGCATACCCATTGTCTTCCACTCCAATCCATTTTGAACGAGACATTCTCCATATAGATTATGTTTGTCTTCTAGAACAGACTGAAGATACTTGATGTCATGCAGCAAGTCGTTTGTTCGAGGGATAGTTTGAGAATTAAGATGCTTCATATCTTCTATGGACTAAAAACCAAATCAATTAAATCACATATTATCCTTGTCATTTACATCATAGACAAAAACTCCTCTCACCTGAACATAGCTTGCTAGCTTGTTGAGATGACCTTCACATTCTCTCCATTCAGGAAATATTTCCTTTATATATATATATATATCCATATAAATATTAATATATCCTCAATTATCATTTCTGTCATTACACTTACAGCGAAGGATAGTGAGTGATCTCCACTCAGCTCATCTGCAATGCTCAATATTTTCCCTAAATTCTCCTTGATTTCCTCATAGCGCTGTGTGTCGCTATTGGTTGGGTGGCTGGTATGCAGCTTCTGTAGACACTGTTGCAGCTGCTTCTTCTTCTCCTGAAACAGCAATTTGTAATCCTGCACACTGATTTGTTGTCGGTGTGCCTGCATCATTAGCCACTGGTCCAAATCAATTGCAGGTGAAAGGGCGCCACTCAATGAGATCCGTCGAAGAGTTGGGATTGGAGAAGAATCGCGTCCACTGGCGAGTGAGTGCATTGCTGTATCTCCCGATCGACGTGTCCCAAATGGTCGGGCACATTTACGATATACTCTTTGTGTTTGAGAAACAGGACATCCATTAGATGGGAAACCATGTATGGATGATAGATTTGATGTTGATAAGGCTGGTGATGTTTGTAATAGATGTGAAGGATCTTTTGTATCTGGGGTAATAAGCATCTCAATATCGTCAACATCTTGAGTAGATCGAGGATTACTGTCAGGATCAGTAAACGATAAACTTCGGGCAATATCATTTGCTAAATTTGACGAAATCTTTTGCATCTTTCTGTCCCGTACATCCTCAGCAATACTTCTTTTACGTTTGGACTGTGTGTGTGTGTTAGCTAAGCGGTCTGGCGTATGATCCAAAGTTTCTGGTAGTAAGATAATTCGTTAATTAATTCTGGATTATATATACTACTAATATTGTTGTTATTAACCCAATATTTCTTGCCTGGTTCTTTTCTCCGATCCAGTCTTTCAAAGGTATCATCAGTATGCGATGGGTTGGTTCGTTTGGATGAATGACGGATTTCATGGGGATCCAATAAATTGTCCTCTATAGTGTACATGAGCGAACCAGAAAGCATGCCCACGGGGGATAGGTACCCAATAGGCCAAGTATTACTTGGATGCAATTGGACCATTGGTCCTCTTCTGAAACAGTATGAATGGATGACATTCTCTTCTTCGACAGCGTGGGGAGTAAGAAAGAGAAGGACACAGAAAAATAAATCGTTATCTTGGTTAGGCTTGATTCATTGGACTGTCTCTCTTAACTTTGACAGTCCCATTACCTTGAATGGAATTAGCGGTCGAGCCTGGATAGGATTGGTCTTGGGTAAGTTCAAGCTTCTCTGGCGCTAGTTCTTTCAAGAAACCAAGAGGGCTACTGCTATAGTCCCCCTCTCTTCTGTAGCCTTCTTTGACCTACCTAATTTATTTCATAACTTTCTGGCCATTATATGATGCCTTTCAAAAACTCAAAGATTTAATATTACTCCAGTCTAATTACGTATTTTTTTTATCACTTGCCCTTGATATTTCTTTGTGTTACCTATACTTTATTGAAGTAAATTCGAATAAGAGTAGGTATTTCTTGATATGAATCTAGGATTTCCTGGAATTAACATGTATTAGAGTAAAATAGAACTGGCCTGATACTGTGGGATATATATTTATTCCAAGAATAATATGACGTGCGAATCAAACTATGTCTCGTTTCGAGGGCTGCACTGACACATTAAAGAGACTTAATATATGTATATATTTTACATATGCGTATTTACGATGATGAGCATGACTACGACTATAGGCTAACAATAAAAAGTGTTATTCCCAGTATATCTTAACGCTATATCTTTCAAGAACGGAACAATAAGGGGGTTGGTAAAAGACAAGGGGGTAAGAGTAATATTTTCATTTGCTATCGAATTAAAAATATAGACTGTATGATTTGTACGGAATAGGGTGGACTTTCGTATACAAGATATGTATAGCTATAGAATATTCCAAAAGAACAAGCCTTTGGTTTTTTGTCAATTCAACTCATAGTAATATAACAGCAACTGCAATCAAGTCCAATCCGTACTTATGGTACCAACTGGAAAATAAAATAAGATTTTGATATTAAACTAAATGGGTAAAACGTATTGAGTTTAAAACCGATCTGTTGTGATTTTATATACTTAATGTATATATCTATATCTATATCTATATCTACATCTACATCCATATCCATATCCATATCCATATCTATACCCGCCAATAGTAAGAGGCGTCTGTGCAAGTAGACAACATGTCTGGGATGCAGGGGGGGAAGGCGAGAGGAGGAGGAGGAGAATACAAAAGGTGTGGACCAAGTGAAAGTAGAGAGGGGCGAAGAAAGACATGGCTGGTGCTTATTAATTTATCTTTGTGTAGGTTAACTAAATCTGTTATACATAAAGATCTACAGGGTCTATGTAAATGTAATGAGCGTTTGTATATATGTTCAGTATCGAAAATGCTATGATTTTCCAGTAACAGTAAATTTTATATGCTTTAAAAAGTCTAAAGGATGAGAGTTATTTTGATAAAAAAACCAAATAAAGTTTACATGGTGTATATCTTTGTTGTCTTTTCTGCGAGTACATTCAAGCAACTTGACATGCTTAAAGGTCGGATCTCATAAGCGTACAAAATTTTTCTTTTAGTTTTCCTTTTTTCTTTATGGTATTTTCCTAGATAGCTTTTAAACGATATACTAGCGAGACTACCAATGTACACTCTATGAGTTAGATGTATTTCATCTAGAACATCAATGTCATGGTCTTTTATTCCTTTTTTTTATGCTTTTCTGACATACCTACCTAATTCGATACGTTATTATATCCTGTAAAAAAAGGGCAACCGCCTCAGAACTCCAAAAAGAGTTTTTGTAGAGTATCATGACATATTCTTTAAAATACTACTCGTACCTTATATAGTACATTCTATTATCAAGTAGAATAAGTCTAAGCTATAACAGGACCTTTGTCCTCTTGCATCTTTGGTTAGTTAGACAGGATAATACTTTTTTTGGACTGGGTCGAAATACAATTTAGCTTTTATGTTATATTAACTCTACACGCAGTATCCACCAAATTATGAAAATCATCTTTATAACAAAATAAAGTATACAGCTATCTGAAGATAAACGGCTTTAACCTTTCAGAAAGCTGGTTATTGATAAAGTTATATATATTTAAGAACAAAGCTGAATGTACATCTTGAATTCTGAATGGAAATGTCGAAAAGAATCAATTCACAATTGTAAAGAACAATCGTGATGAATTTAGATTGATCCAAAAAAGACATTTGATAAAATATATAGATATAATCTTGTTTTCTTCAAACTATGTATGGCTAATAAAAGAAATACAAAGTCTAATGTGAGCTTATAAATACTGTGTAGTGAACATCATACAAAGAGTTCGAAGCACTTGGAAAACTTTAAAGATATATTTAATCTCGACGGCTAATAGTTTAATAAGGTTTAACTACAATGGATAGACTAAAGGGCTATTTAAATGTATTCTATACATGTGTCCATACATACATACACATTTATTTACGAACATTATTAATAGCTATTTATTACTGTTTAGGATTGCCCATTATCAATTCATATTTTTCATTGAAACCAAGAAGTACTGTAGACTTTCTTTATATATTTTCTTTATTGTTGTCCTCGTGTTTTATACCAACTGTTTGTTGAATTGGGTTGTCTTAGCTAGGCCTTTTGTCTTTATATTTGCTATTTTTCCCTTACTATTCACAGAGCTATGTTCCCAAAGACATCATAAAATAACAACAGAAACATGGATAAACACAAGTATTGAAATGCTTAATTTGATTCTTGATCTTTGACACACTAAAAAGAAGAACAATAAGCTTAGCTGATTTGGTATACAGACACACCCAAGAGGAGGGGCATGGTTAGATATGATGCAAACGGAGGTATGATGGGGAATGCGTGTCAGTAAGGAATAATATGAACAGACAAAAACAAGGCGATCCATTCTCTTTTCTTTTAACTTTCTTCTTCTTCTTCTTTTTGACCTGCTCGTGTATGTCCTTGGATTGCTGTGCACAAACCCCCAAAAACCCCCCTTTTCATGTACCCTTTGCACTTTGGTCTCACTTTTGAAATGTATTCCGATTCAAATCTCTCTTCTAGACGATAAGCAACAATAAATAAGACCAATCGCCACAAACCTCCTCTCATCCCCTTCTCTTCCATCCTTGCTTTCATGACCCTTCTTCATCCTTCCCACAAAAAGTCGGTTGCCTCCGGTATTCGCCTCGCGCCTTCCATAGAAAGAGCACAGGTAGTGGACATAGAACATCGTCCAGGCCATCAGACTTGGTACAGTATTCAGGTCGTCCCTCAGAAAATCACTGTTCGGTCTACTCCCGGTTGTGCCGATTCCACAACCCGTAGTACATACATAATCACTCGTCGTTACGAAGACTTTCGTCAATTCGTCCAACGACTTTATCAAGAGATTGGTGTCGAACGTACCCTTATCGCGACTATCTTACCAGCTCGCTTCCAAACTCCTCTTCCTGCAAAAACTTGTTTTGTAAAACCAGCCACTCTCCCAAAACTTAAACGACGAATTCAATGGCTCCCCAACAAATACACACCAGAAGACCGTCGAATTGAACTAAATGCATTTCTTGTCAGTCTCTTTACTCTCCCACCGTCAATGACCCATTCTCTTGCTGTAATGGAATTCTTTGGCCTTCACAAAGCAGATGCTGAACAAGCAATAATTCGACAACGTCAGCAACGACAACAACAGCAGCAGCAACAGCAGCAGCAACAACAACAACAGCAGCAGCAGCAGCAGCAAAGACAACAAGTAAGACAACAACAGCAATTAAAGCAACAAAAGCAGGAGATTCAACAGCAGCAGGAGATCCTCAATCGATCATCTTTTGTACAAAAACGTAGTCGACTTCGATCTCACACAGTATCCATGCGGCGAAACACTCTCCGCCATTCCGTCCTCTGTCGATCCCTGTCGCAGCCTGATCTCCGCTATGTCTGGTTGCCATCTTCTCGTCTAAGCACTCGAGTTCCGTCTCCACAATCCACCTCTTTACCAGATCCTCCTCGCCCAGTCTTGACTTCGGTTGCACGCTGGCGTACTCTCGGCGCCCGCTCCTTCCGAAAGAAATCCCCCCCTAGTCTCTTGTCATTTTACACAAATGCAACCCTGAGTCTGCCTTGGTCTACTCGTGATCACACCCTTTTGTTGGAAAATTCTCACTATGCTAACCACGACTTTGCTGATGATGCCACCGATATTGACCCCGATATTGACCTTAATGTGAGCATTGACATACATGTCGCTCCTCCTACATCGAAAGAGACATCAGCTGAAATGTCTACATCAAGCAACAATAATGTCGAAATAGAAGCAAATACTTCAGAAAATTTAATGGCTCCAAAGACACCTGTAAACACATTTCTTCGGCTCAAGGTTATTCGTGATTTGGATAATATTGTAGTAATTCAGGTCCAAAGATACACTTCTTTAGCTACAGTCAGAGAAAGAATTGTGCAAAAGCTTCTGACTAGTGATGGAGTATGGGAAGACGATGATTGGGTGTTGGTCTATAATCATGATCGATCTTCGGCTTCGAGTTATTTTGACAAAAATATTGGCAAAAGGCTCACCTGGGTAGTAACCGAGAATGATTGGCAACTGGCAATGGCCACTCTTTGGAACAATATGGATAAAGTTACCTTGCGATGTATACATGGACAGAAACTTTGAGAGATCCCTATCTTGTTTTTTATTATTATTATCATTATTATTATTTGTACATAGCCTTCACTCGGACAAAATGTTTCTTTGTCCTTTCAACTTATATAGAATCTCAGTAAATGAATAGAGAAAGTAACAAGAAACATTACTTTCCAGAATCAAAGTCTCTCTTATATATACCTCTTTATACATATTTTTTATTTTTATTATTTTTATTATGTAATATCTATGAAGTACACGCATACTTTTGTATGTGTTTATCTTTTGTTGAGAACCAAGCGTTCAAAATCGACTTTGCGCATACGAAGTCGCTTACGAATGACCTTATTATATTCTGCTCTTTTCTTCGTAACACGAACACCACTCATACCAGCCTCCACATCCTCCTCACTCAATTCACCAAACTGACCCACATTATTGCGGATTTCGTAACCATTCACAAAGTCCTTGGCCAGGATCGTTTTTTTGCTTTCAGCCTGGATGTGAGTGAACCCAATTACGTTCCCGTCTGCACAGCACACATGGACTGACCCTGAGTTCTCATCAAAAACAAAGGTTCCGGGTTCTAGAGGAGGATTATAATAGTAGGCAGGTGAATCTAGCGGCAGGAATACGTTGTGCAAGCTCATTGTGACGAATCTTTGTTTTAATTTCTTGGATCGCTTGAAACGTGAGAAAGTAAAGATTGTTTTGATAGGATACTTCATTTTAAAAAAATATATATATAACATAAAAAAGGTACATTTAGTTGATCCAATTGTTTGAATTTTTTTTTGTGTGTGTGTTTATATCTGCTTAGAACTTACTTGAGAGCCAATTGCTCTATGGAGTTGCTCAATTTGCCAAGCAGTCATAACGTCAAATTTAATATCGGCCCAATCTTTCTTTATTTTTGGTGCACTAGTAATCTTGGTAGGATCTTGTATTTTTGCGTTCTTTTTATGATAATCAAGCTTTCTCAGGGTTGAAACCAATAGTTTGCACCCGACATCGGACAATTTGTTGAGTAAGGAAGGATAAGCAGGAGCGACTTCATCTGATAGATCCTAAATAAAGCATGTTTTTTCATTTTTAATTTTATCAGCAATGTTTTGAATAAAGGTTAAAAGAAAATACGGTACAATATCATATAATATAATATAATATAATATAATATAATATAATATAGTATAATAAAATAAAACCAAGTATATTTCTTTTGTATTTCTTTGTATTATTTAATAGTCGTACTATTTATTATTTACCACTTTTTCTTGAGAAAGAATACGGCCAGCATCGAATGCCTTGTCATCGAGTTCCTGAACAGTAACACCCGTTACTTCATCTCCGCCAAGAATAGTATGTTGGATAGGTGCAGCACCTCTGTATTTTGGTAGGAGAGAAGGATGTACATTGACAGCACCTTTCTTAAAGGTTTCAATAACATGGGGAGGAATAAAGTAACCAAAGGAAACAACTACTCCCAGATCAAACTTTCCTGGTACCTATATAGAAGCTTGTTGGTTTTACGATCGTGCGCACATAAAAACAAGTATATATATGTTACCTGCCAATTATCCAATGTTTTTTCTTTGACAGGTGTATGGTGCACTGGAATATCATATAGGGTCGCTAATGCCTTGGTCTTACCTATTAACCACAAATACACCAAAAAAAAAGTACAATGTTGTTTAGGCAAATATCGCATATACATATATACGCATGTCTTTCATTATTATTTAATGACTTACTGGGTGTTAGCTCATTCATTTTTCGTCCTGTTAATCGATCAGGAGGGCAGACAAGTTCGATATTTCCAATACTAGATCCAGGCTGATCTATTATTGATCAACCAAGCTTTAGCATTAGAATCTCGATTCTTATTATTTTACCTATACTAAAATTCTTGATCATTTTAAAGCATGTCCATTTATAGTCATGTACCTCTCTCTAGAATTAATGCCTTGAGATGGTTCGATGCGAATTCGTCTGTTCCGAAAAACAAAATATCATGCTTTTTATTTTCGGAATCTCCTTGTGTAGTGGTATATAATCGTGTATTTGCCCAGGTCTGCTTCTGGCCTATCTTTCCAATCTAAGTATAAAAAAAGAAGAGAAAGAAAAGAAACTCAGTCTCAGGTACCAAAAGTGCTGTGATAATGAAAAGAGGCGTACGAATAGAATCGAAGGTAAATTATGTAGCGGTTGCTGAAAGGCCCTCCATGTTGTAAGTCTTAACATTACAATAAAAAAATGACAATCAGTCAAGAGGAGAAGGCACAATGCCAGGGTACAAAAAGCAAGCCATAAGTAGATAGAAGAACTGACAGCTGTGACTGTCGTGCAAAATTACCCTTTCAACATCATTGGCCACAGTAATTACTGGCCAGCGATCTTAAAGGCACAATGTTTCGTTATTAAGAAGTTCCAAAAAAGTTGGTAAACTTCGTCCACGCCGTAGTTAATTGCCAAAGGTGTACTCAACACAATTTTACGTATAGTTTCAAGTTTCAAAAACAAAATGATTGGACGAAAAGTATTTTACCGACGTACAAAAATCTTATGTCCCAGAAAATTGCTAAAGGTCCACACCCTCTCTAGCCCTATAACTTTGCCATAATGTTGATTATGTATCTTTAGGGACCAGATATAAATATTGAACTTTACACAAAAAATTTACCTTTGGGTTGTCTGGTAAAATGGAAACGTTGGATCCCATCAGAAAACGTCAACCCTCTAAGATTAGCGGTTACTGACATGTAACCAATAAATAGATTTTTCTCTTGTTACTTTTTGCATTAAATTGCTGTATCAAGCGGATATTATATAAAAAAAAAACCCCTTGGAACAGATAGGTAGATATTTATTCAGCGGTACTTATAATAAGGCTATTGTTGTTTTCTTTTAAGGTTGAACACCCTGTATATGTATGGACACTCACAAAGAAACATATTGATCCCATTTAAAATTGGTCAAAAATAAAATGGGGTAGTCAATTATAAACTATGTACATTTTACGGATATTCAGTAGCCAATAAATTTTGCTTCATGGTTGAGGGCCCCTTTCTATCAAGAAACAGTAGTGATACTGTTTTTTTTCCTACCATAATGCAAAAAAAAAAGATTGTCTTAAACTGAGGTTGAATTGCTTTTTATTTTTTATTATTATTTTATTGCGCGGTAATATGATGAACTTGGGTAATTCGACCAGTTGGAGCCTAATCGATTGACAGTCCATTTCACTTATTAATTACTACTATGGTTGCTACTTTTTTTATATACATTTTAAATATCTCTGCTTGAGATTACAGTCCAAATAGTTGGCAATAAAAATGTGCTTAATGTTTAAGATATGCATATATAGTATATATCTATTAAAGAATACAGCATTAGAAAGCAGCTGTCTACTGTAAGGCTTACAAATATCAACTGATAAATAACCAATTCAAATGGTAGTAAAGGCTGTAAAAGGATATAAAGAATTCATGTGGTACGAAATAGACCAATTGTCTCACAGACCATTTTTCTTTTTGTTATCTCAACATGATCGTATGAGGAAACGGGCCACGTCAAATCTGATAATGAGCATAATAGTTTTAAGGGAAGTAAGAGGGAAAATTAGATAGATAATAAAAAGAAGGGCTTTTTACTTATTTACTTTACTGGAAAAGGCAAAGACATATATAAAAGTTTGTTATATTTGGAGGTTAAGAAGAGGAAGAAGATACATAGAGTATAAATTGAGCCTTGGGTTGAACGGTTATATTTCTTATGTTTTACAAGGGACCTCCAATGACTTGTAGCTGAATGGCTCTATATTACGTTTCTTGGAATCAGTATAGTATAAAGCTACTTGAACCAATTACATAATAGTATAGACCACAGCCTTTATTCTACTTACTAAATGACTGCGAATAGTTTCTTCTTTTCTTAAGAAAAAGAGAATTGTTACTTTGAGTACTTGGTCTAAGGGTTAGTGTTTTAAATTGTGTGTTTGTGTGTATATTAGAACTCTAATCGTCGTTGAATTTGTAAATTATCTCCAAAAGTACATTGTAAAGTGTCAAATACAAACTTACACTCGTACTCGTACTCGCTCACAGAGACACAGAAACGCTTGTGTATTTGTAGATAAAATATATTATGGGTAATCTTTGTACAGCTTTAAATACCAAGACATTTGCCTCTATAGGAGAATTTAGTTATATTAGCAATAAAGAGTGATGTATATTTGACTAGGCGACAGATTTATATGAAAAGGGAAGGTAGATAGCTATACATACAGACATTTTAATTCACATATTACACAATAGATCGGTGATCTATCCTTGTAAGACTCGAAATCATTTCTCTTCTCTTGTCTCCCCTCTAATTTCTTTTTCTTCTTCTTCTTCTTTTCCTACTGTGGATTAAAAGAATCATTACTCAAATTAACGTGACTTTTTTTATTTTTTTTACTCCACACCATGAAGTCCTTTTTTATTATTAGGATGACATTGCATATTAGTTATGAGCCGAGGCACTTGGCAATGTCCTAGTTTTACTACTATATATATATATATATATATGTAGATTATTACCCCATTTCTGTGCTCTACTTAAATTATCATTTTACTGTTTCGATTCTCCTAACGTGTTTTCTGTAAATTTTCTGTAATTTATATTTATTATTATTATTATTACTTGAAGGGATCTACCGATCAAATGAATGCATTTCATACGCAATTCTTGGGTGTAGCCTGTTTTTTCTTTCTTTCTATTATGTATATATTATAATAATTCTCTTGTGTGATTACATTGACTTAATAAATATGTAATTAAGAAATGTATATATACACAATATATAATATCACGCAAAACCCTGTCTTTCCCTTGATATTCACAGTCTGGATGGCATATAACCTAAGCAAGGAATATTAAACGCATGATAAATAAATCAATAAATGAAATTAAAGTCTGACTGTACTAATATGTGCGTGTTTTTAGCTTAGTACTATGAGATATCTAGAGTGTCTATTTTTGATTTTATTAGTTGAGGTCATAGGCTCTTTATTAATTGGTGTTTCAGTACAATACACAGGATGGTTTACTTTTTGTTTTGTATAGCTTAATTGATATTTGACTTATTAGCCTTACATAAAGATATTCTGAATATTTAAAAGCATATATACATAAATATTGTGTATATGTATAATAGCTTTATAGTAAGGGTGTATATAAAACGAGGAAGTAAACCTGCTTTGATATTTCGCTTATGTATTTGTACAACATCAGCTATATAAAAAGGCAAATATACAAAGCCATTGATGTTCTGAAAAGGTCGAATTGAACAATGGACACTGGCAAATTATACAATCATTTGAAGGCAATTTAGAAAAGGAATTATTTTAATAAATAAATAAAATATCCACCCCAAATCTCATGTGTGTTCCTCGAGAAAGACAGTCATTAGGAACAATAGGGTAGAAAAAGGATAGTCGATCAATAAAGATTCAAATTATATGTTAAATATAAAAATATATTAAATATATATTAAATATATATATTGCCTTTTTTTTTTTTGAAAATAATAATAAAAAAAAAAAGATCTGCTATCAATCAAGCACCTAAACTATTTTCTAACCTAGATGTTACACTGTCATAGTCCTTTAGAATTGATAGACTATTTTTGTAATTCTGTGTAGCCCTTTTTCAATTAAGTGTCTAATGAGATATTAAAATAGCCACAATTAAATACCAAAAATAAAATATAATTAAAATAAAATAAAATAAAATAGACAATGGAAAAGGAGAGAAAGACAAAGGCCAAAAACACCAGAAATTAAATAAGCAAATGAAAACCGTAATTACAAATCAACCAGAATCATCTAATGGGCCATGGACAATTGACAAATTGCATTGCATAATATTATTCTGCAACCCATTTGAATTAAACAATCATATTCTTCTGTTCTTACTATATAGTATATTTATTATATTGTATTATACTAAATTGTACTGTACTGTAGTGTGCTGTACTGTATTTGGCGGAAAAATTCATTGATTTAAAACGCCTCTTTCTAAGAAGTAAAAGGGTCATTCCTAGATACTATATGCAGAGGCGCAACAACGATAGTCATCTAAAATTCTACAGTCCCACAAAAAAAAAACTAATTAATGACCACTTCACCCAAATAGGCTGCCATGCTTGCTGTTCTTCCTTTCTTTATTCTTTTTTTTTGTTCTTCCCTTTACTTTATTATAGTCCTGCCCTTGTGTACATTCGATCAAACTCAAGTAATATCACCATCTCTTTCATTCAATGCTTTTTGATCGCTACCGAAAGACAAAGCGCCCCGACGATCCTCTAGGCCAAGTTCCGACTCTAAAGAAATCGAGTCTGGCCGGCACTCTCTTTCGAAAACTACCCCAAGCCCTCACTCGAAAGGGTTGGGCCCATCACAATCGACCAAACAAAAACCAAACCACAGCAGTCCTCACACAGCCTCGACAATCCCTATCCTTACCTAATATCACACTCCAAGCTGTCATTAACTCATCTACAAGCAGTATCCCAATTACTCCTGAATTTGAACAAACCCCAGACAACTCTAATCTTTTGAACATACAATCAACTTCTGGAGTCGGTTTACTCAGCCGTGCCTCATCTTCCACATTGAACACCGCCACAACAACAACCACAACAACCACTGGAGCTAATACAATCAAACTCGACTTTGCATCGTCTTCAATCCCTAGAAACACCAGCTCTTACGATATACTAGGAGCCCAATTGGACTTTGTTGCCACCAAACGAATGCTGAAACGACACTCGGCAGAACCATACCAACAAACATCGCGTCATTCGCTTTTTTCGTCTGGGCTTCCAGGCCTATCCGACAAACCTGCCAAAAGACCAAGACAGGCATATTCTAAGCGCCATTCGTATACCTTTGGGTGCTTGGCCGACAGTCTGCCTCGTTTGACGGTAAAGGAACTCATGATGTTCAACACCGTCGATATCGAAAATCGAATGGCCCTCCATAGACTCGAGGAACAAACCGTAGGACCTCAAAGATCCGTCAGTCACCAGATTCCTTCTCAGCCAAAACAATGTGTTGCACCCGCCCATTCGTTTTCAACATCTTCACTACGCACAAAGAAGGAACAAGAACCACCAGCTGGCACACCGCTCAAGCCAGACATGCTTTCTACTATGCTCGAAATGAAACAGCAGAATATGGTACTAATTGACGTCAGAAATCTGATGGACTATCAAGCCAAGCGTATATCAACATCCCTCAATGTCAATCTGCCGTCTCTATTAATCAAGAGATACCAACGTGGTGCGGTGTCAAATTTCAATATCGAAAATTTCATCACTACGGCCGAGGGACGGGAACGTTACAGTTGCCAGCGTACAACACAACCACCACAACCACCACAACTACCACAGCCAGCCACACCATCCTCGGCAACCATTCCTAACTCTCCTGTACCTTCAATTCTTGAACAAAAGGCAACAGAAGCAACCAAGAAGAGAAACAGTCGAACGATTTCTGAAAAGACGGATGCGACAACTGTATGGGTTGTTTATGACGAGGAAATGAATGAGACCAGCCGGACTTCTCAGGCCTGGACGTTATTGAACGTTCTTGAAAGAGCCATGGGCACCAAGGACAACCATGTCTACTATCTCTCGGGTGGATTCAAGGCATTCGAATCTGAAGCTTTTGATAAGCACATGACATATGGCCTAGACGAAGATGAAGGAGAAAAGGGAACAATTGGTGAAAGTGAAAAGAATTCAAGTATGGGATCTGCTCTACCACCACGCCGCTCATTGAGTTGCACAACTGGTTCTGCCTCTAGCGACAAAACCGGACTACAGCGACGGACAAGTCTCTTTAGTCTCGACACACAGGCCGCACGAGTCAGTAATGCCAACGCGCTGGCGCGTCGAGCAAATAAAAGATCTCAGGCACTTTCTATTTCTCTTGACTCCTCCAACGTTGTACCACAGAGATCCCACAGCCAACCACTTTCTATCAACAGCCGATACTCACAAAATCAGCAACTGAAGCAACAACAACTGCAGCAGCTGGAAAATCCACATACATCACAAAACCAGGCACTTCCTGGTATACCATCTACTCCTTTGCCGGGTCAGCTGACACAAGTTATGGAAGATGAAGAGGCTGGGCTTATGACAGCCGATGTATCGCCTCGTACAGAAGCCGACTTTGGGTTTGTGATATCCGAGATTATTCCCGGCTTCTTATATGTTGGACCAGAGATCGAGACTGTTGAGCAGGCCGATCAACTAGAGAATCGACAAATCCGCCGCGTGCTCAACATGGCCGAAGAGTGTAATGATAACGTGGCTAGTCTTCACGAGAGAGTTGTTTATCACAAGATATCTGCGCGCGATACAGTAGAGATGAAAAACGTGGATTGGGTTATGATGGAAGCAGTGTGTTTTATTGGTAAGTTATTACTTATTATTACTTATTATTATTATTATCAAGCAAAATCAAGGGATTGAAATTGACATGTGCGGTATCTTTTTTTAGAGGACGCAAAGCGACACCACGATCCTATTTATGTACATTGCAAGGCAGGAAAATCTCGATCGGTTACTGCAATTCTCGCGTATCTTATTTCATCCGAGCGCTGGACTCTGAAGCAAGCGTACTGCCATGTTATCAAAGCAAGGCCCAATATGTCTCCCAACATTGGATTTATCGCCGAACTGATGAAGATGGAAGGAAAAGTTCATGGCCGAGTGAGCAGTTTTATGGAAACAGATTGGCAATCCACTGCACATGCTAGTGCAGCATTTACTTATGAAATTGACCAGTTACAGCTTGCCTGGCAAAATTCACCTTTGGACACAGCCCAGCCAATGTCTTTAAAGTAGAGCAAAAAACAAAAAGAAGTATATAATTATTACTATTAATCTTACTATATATATTCTCTCTTTCTCTTTCAATTTCTCTATCTTTATTCCTCTTCCTTTTTGTATATAGATCAACTGGTTTTAATTCTTCTCTTTCACCTTCTTTCCTTCTTTCTATTTTCATTATACATATAAAGACAAAGTACACGGACACACACACACGCACATATATATATATATAAAGTAACCCTTCAAACATATTTATATTTATAATTATAATAACTATCCAGAATCTTCTTCTTTATGCTCCCCACTGAGCAATCGATAGAATTCGGTATGTGATTGCTCCATTTCAAACAGCATCTGTCGAGCTTGTTCTTCAGTTATTTCATCACTTGCTTTCATTGAATGCAATGTTATGAGCCATTGACGGACCTTGGTCTTGCCTTCAAAACCAGCTGGTAAACCAGGAACATTGTTGAGTGATTGAATAAGATCTGCCAATATAGGATGAAGTTCGTCTACCGCATAACGATTCAGTCTCAGAGTGTCCATGAGAGTAATAAAGTGCTATTACAACAGTAACAGTAACAAACGTTAAACAAGTGAACAAACAAACATAAGCATAAAAAAAAATTAACACTAAATGTAGAAATACACACATTATATATATATTAAAAGGTAAAAATTGTTTCTTTACCAAAACACTCTCGGCAATGTATTTGGCTGCTTTTCCCATATCGTTTTTGGTATTTCCAATCGCATGCTCATACGTAGCAGGCACACCAATCTTGAATCGGTTGACTGCAGCAGGACATGTTAGCTAGAATATTAATGTTCATAATAAGTTTTTCTTGGTTTTTCTAAGTTTTTTTTTCTTTCGGGTGTATGGTCAAAACAAATTATTTCTGCCAACCTTGTAATCGTCCATGAAGGTCTCAAGATTAGTTACACTCTCTGATAAAAAATTCATTGTGGTTTTATACTTTGCAATGAGATTTGCACATTGTGAAGTGTATCTAAATTAATTAATTTATTATTATCATTGTTGTTGTTATTTTGAGACAAAAGATTCTACATCATTAAACACAAAAGTTAATTTTATTGTTCTGGGCTTACTCTTCTGCAGTAATTGAGTCTCGAATGAATGCTTTCTCAAGATGCTCAGTTAAGACAATTATAGCAAATAAGTCTGCCATGGTATCATATTTGTCTCTGTCCTTGTTGTTTGTGAAAAGACGTACTTCCTAAAAGACAAAAAGGATTCAAGGCATCCAGACTAAGCTCGGGTTATCTTGGACTTTAATACAATACAATAAAAGAGGTGTTACTTCGTCTAGGTTGATGTCTAATGCTCTTTATATTAGCAACATTTTCACGACTTCCTTTAAAAAAAAAGAATAGACAAGGTACTTTTTGGTTCTCCTAGGTAGTTTGGCGCATACTGTGGAACATGAGAGTGGGATGTAGGAGATTGCATGATGAAGACAATGGCTTCCTTATTTCTTGGGTACATTCTCTTTTGGCTCTGCGTTCTTTACTTACGAAATGCAGCCGGGATAACCAGTCACGCACACACAGATCTAGTGTGCTCTCATTTTTTTTTTGGATTTTCTGGATTTCTTTTATTATTTTTAAAATGTACTCTTCCTGTAATTATTTGTCAACCACAAACGAATAAGTTGCTACTCAAAAGCTGTGATATAGCTTAATGGTTTAAGTGTATGAATATTTTTTCATATTGGGCTTTAATTTTCATAACAATTATCACCATTCTGTATATACATATACTCTCTTGATCTAATGATTACCAAACGAGTAATTTGGCTATTTAAAACTTCAAGTATACATAAAAGATTTAAAGTTGTTGTTGATCCAGAAAGTGACAGTAACAGTACAAGATAACAAAATGAAACATTTCTTTCGCACAATAATAAGTACTTGCATAGTTACCCTGTAGCAATATGAGGCGTTGTAGATTATATATAGCTTGTACACTTCTTTAACTAAATGGGAAAATCACACAGCTTTTTTTTAAAAAAAATTCTTTTGAAACGAGGTAAAAAACTAAAGCCAAAGCCAAAACCAAAAGGAAATGGAAATGGAAATGGAAATGGAAATTTAAATGAAAATAGAAAAAGGAAAATAATTGTGTTTATTTTATTTTATTTTTTGGATTGAAGGCGTACTGGCTGGAAAGTAGATGTAGAGCTAATAAAGTAGGGAAAAAAAAATAACGATGTGTCACGGTATTATTATTATTATTATTACTTATGACTGCCAAGGTAAATATCAGCAGATCGATTCATATTGAACAGACAATTTGCAATGAAGTTACTCCCATAAAGATTTTGGTAATTCGTGTAATATAAGCCCTTTCATCTTTAAAGGCAAAACAGACTGGTTAAGATGGCTTATAAGTTTATATCAAAGAAAAATAAATATAAAATCTTTAATCTAATAAATAGATAATAGTAGCAATAATGATAATAATAGCATCAGACCATGCAAAAATTAAATCGCACCATTCTTTATTTTATTTTTCATAGAATATTTACAAGTAAATAGGTTTATTAATTTCTTATACACAAAATCATATATGGGATTATCATCAAGACTGGGCTGGGGAAGCGCTACTAGAGAACGATATTAAATAGTACACCTAATTTTTCTTTTCTTTTCTTTCTATTAATGTGGGTTTTCACCGTCTAGAAGTCCTGTCCAATTTAAATTCAATATTTTTCGTTTCCATTAACTGGTACTAATAATAATGAGTAATAATATGGTCTATTTTCAACGATGATTCTATGATATATATTTACGTGTGTGTGTGTGTAGTTGATTTCCCCTGTAGTCATTACATTCATTTTAAGATCAATAATAACAAGGCTTATATGTATCCTTGGCAACTGTCTATATTATACTTTAGTTCTTGTTACACAATCATAAAATAAGAAAAAAAATTAAATTATAAAACAAGCAATATGATACACAAAGAACCTCTTCCCGAATATATACATATATATTATAGATATAGTATTCAGGTAGTAGAGAGGGTGACTACCTATTCATTTTTGAAGATTACCATTTTTATCGAATATCTGAGTTTTAACTGCAAGAATTGAATCACAGAAACCCCTATTCAAATTTGAATTATGAAAAACGTACAAATATGGAGTGCTGTTTTATAATACAAATAGTGCTTAACTATACAGTACCATTTTTGGCCTATTCAAAATTGGGTTGAAAAATTACATCTTTTCCTTCAAAATCGAGGTCATTTATGAATAACAATCGAGTAAATTTGAAGCAATCCAAAATAGGATGTGCGGAATATTAAGAATTAAAACCCCATTTAGATGATTTTCATAAACATATTCAAAAATGAACAAGTAGTCACCCTCTCTAATTACAAACTTTATCACTATTATTATTATTATTATTATTATTATTAGCATTTTGAGTGCATCACTTAATAAATTCTGGGCATGCGCCTCAACTTCTTGATAAGAAAACAAAAAAACAAAAAATAAAACAAACAACTGCCACTTGGATTCTGGATCAATTGCACGAAAACAACAATAATAAAAGGGAAAAGATGTCAAGACCTGAAAACACACTTTACGGCAGAACTTTGAGCCCTGAATATTTCGAACTGAGAAAACACTTGTTTCATTCTTTACAGTGTTTCTTAACACAGACTCTAAAGAGCTAAAATAATTTTGATTTTTAAAAAAAAATTAAGATCTAAAGTCCGTATTTAGGTATTTAGATTTTTGTTTAGAAACTGCTGGAGACGATTCTTTGGAAAATCTACATATACTTCCTAATTTGGATATTTAGTATTTTATTTGTGTTTAGAGACTGCTGGAGATGCTCGAAGGGAAACCTTATCGACACTTTTTTTTTCTTTTTCATCGTTGAGATTAAAAAAACTTCAGTGGGTGTGTATATTTCTGATATTTTATTTTTAGTTTTATTTATTTTTTCTGCAGATTTAAAATTCCACACAGTTAGTATAATGAAGCCAGGGGATTATATAATAATAATATTATTACGGATCGATTAATTTACTGATCGATTGATTGATGAGCAAATATACCATTTAAGTGAACAGAGAATATGTACTTGGTTAAAAAAAAAAAGAAACATGAGTATCAAACTATTTAGAGTGAGATCCAAAGATATAAGATATTATTTTAATAATGAATTTGTTTAATTTATTGAATAAAGAAGTCTATTGTTATTATTATTTTAAAAATATATGAATATGAATAAGTGATAAAGGTATCGACCGGATTTTCTTTTCTGGGCATTGTTGTTTAGTGGTTGTTTTGGTGATATACAAGAGGAACGTATTCAGGCTTGTACATCGAGTTTTCTACGACATCACTCAGAAGTTCGAATTCCTTGAGGGTTGCGGTGGCAACGCCTTCCTCGTATGCTACATCGCAGACTCTTGTACCAACAGCCAGTGCGATATCTCGCAACTTTGATACACCAGGGAAAAGAATACCCTGCTTGAGCTGTTCGGGTGTTGCGAGGTCAGCAATTACACGCGCAGTTTCGAGGAACATGGTTGGGGTTACACGGCTGGCTCTTGAGACGGTGATACCTAAGCCAAGACCCTGAAAATTACAAGAAAGAGAGGGAGAGGGAGAAAAAAAATGTGTGTGTGTAAATGTAAGTGATACTGTATGACTTTGAGTTAATTTTGTTACTTACAGGGAAACTGTAAGAGTTGTTGCATTGGTTGGTGTAGCCAATCTTGCCACCAGGCATTTCTACATTCTTGAAGGGACTTCCGGACGCAAAAATAGCGCGACCATCTGTCCACTTGAAGGCCTCTTCGGCCGTGCACTCTGCGTGTGTATCGGGGTTACTGAGAGGGAAAACGACGGGTTTCTCTGTGTGCTGTGCCATGGTTCGGATCGCCTTTTCAGTAAACACTCCTCGGATGCCAGTCAGGCCGAGAATAACTGTCGGCTTGACCTTCTCGACAACCTGCTCCAGAGTCAAGCGATCTGCCATGTCGTGCTTTACATACGATTGTTGGCGCTCGTCCAGCGGAGTGTCTCTTACTGCGCCTTGAACGAAACTGTTGGGTTCGTTTGTGGTGATTGCGTTGTTACCCAAAAGACCGTCTTGGTCGAGCATCCAGATCCGTCTGTATGCCTCCTCTCGGGTCTTGACCTTGCCTTGAGCAACAAGACAGTCGATAATGCCTTCACAGACACCAACGCCGGCAGAACCTGCACCAACGCACACAATGCGTTCTTCGGAAAGATCGGTCTGTTCTTTTCCTCTGGCCTTGAGAGAGGCGAGAATTCCAGCAAGAGTGATGGCAGAAGTAGACTGGATATCATCATTGAAGCAGGTGATTTTATCCCGATCTGAGTAATTAATGAGATTATCAGATATGAATATATATTTTTTTAAAAGCGCTTTTTATAAAGAGGTGTATATATAAAAAGGAGGGAGGGGGATAGGAGTGGATTCTTATTCGAAGCCAGTCAATAAGACTCACATTTGTTCAGCAAATTGTAGGCGTGAGGGTACTTGAAGTCTTCAAATTGAATAAGCGCGTCTATTGTACAAAAATTACCAATTTTTTGGGGTTAGAAAAAAAAATTATCTTTCAAAAAAGGGATTATTATGATTTTATGAATTGGCAGAAAATCTTAACAATAAAGCCAAAAAACGCAAAAAAAACACAAAACTTACTTGGCCATCTGCTGTGAATTGCAGTTACCCATTCGTCTACCATATCATAGTATTCTTCGCCTTCAAGGCGTCTGTGGTCCATTCCAAGATAAAGGGGATCATCAAGAAGAGATTGGTTGTTTGTACCGACATCCAGAACAACTGGCAATACAGCACGGGGTCGGATACCACCAGCGGAAACGTACTAAGAGCAAGGATATAGATCAATGATTTAGATTTCATAAATATGATACAATATGATGTTACTTACCAAACTAAGTTTTCCGATGGGGATTTGCATACCATTTGCACCCAAATCACCCAGACCCAACACACGAGAGCCATCGGTCACCACGATTACATCGACTTCATCGTGAGGCCAATTGTAGACCATGGCAGACATTCGACCTCTATCCTGAGATGAGAAATACATGCCACGAGAACGACGGTAGATTGAGTGTGATTTCTGGCATGCAAGACCAACTGTTTCATATCCAATGAATCGTCAAAAGACGGGAAAATAACGAAAAGTCATTAGACGGGAAAGGACAGGATTTCATGGGAAAATTAAATGAAAAGAATAATAACTTACCAGTAGGGGTATAGATGATTCCTGACAATTCCTCGAGATGCTCAATCAATAGTTTGTAGAAAAGTGTCTCGTTACGGTCCTGAAGGGCAGATAAGAAAATGAACTTTGCGAGGGGAGTATCGCATCCGTCCAGATTACGCTTGACTCTCAACAGCTGTTTGTCCATGTCCTGGCAGCGAGGAGGTACAAGACCACGGATTGACAAACGTTCACGCTCATCGAGACTAAATGCAGTACCTGGATATATATATATATAAAAAGACGAATTGAGTATGTTTGTACAGTTGGCATAAATACATGGAATTGGTATTCATTTAATCGTAATTGCTGTTAATCTCTTCTCTTCTTATTGTATTTCTTACCTTTGGAAAGTAAAGGATCATGAGTGATAGTAACACCTCTAGAAGATGTGATGTGTACCGTATGATCATGACGAGGATCAGATGCGGCTACTGCACGAAGAGCACCATAGGAACGCTGCTGGATACCAGATCTGATAAAGCTGGTTTGCTTCACAGATTTTGCGAGAATAGAGCGATAAGAAAATGACATGATAAGGGGATAGAAAAAAATGGGAGTGCACAGACAGCAAAATAGACCAAAAAAAAATATTTCTCTCTCTTACACACACACAAAAAAGAGAAGAAGAAGAAAATATATGGTGGTTTGATAAAGAAAAGAAAGAAATCAAAATTGAAGGTTTTTTATGAATTATCGATTTCTATTCGGCGACCTAAAGCGTTTTTTTAATAAAAATTTTAAAAAAAAAATTAAAACATATATATATATATATAATATATATGTATATGTGTTTGATAATTTTTATATTACATTATACTACTTTAAATTACATTATAAAAAAAATATATAAAATATAAAATATTTATTTTATTTTATACATTACTTTTATATATATATATATTATTATGTGTGTATTCCTGATACAGATTCCTTGATATTTATTTAAACAATTTTTTTTTGTATGCAATTTTATGAGATTTATAGAAATTTCAATTATATGTGTATATATAGAAAAAAGAAAGAGAAACTGTGTAAGATGAATGCGTGTATTTTTCTTCTTCTTTTGTGCCTTGAAAGATGTGGGTGTTGTAGGTGTGAAGTCAAGGTGATGAGTGTGAGTGTAAGTGTAAATGTGAATGTGAATGTGAATGTAATTGTAACTGTGTGTGTGCTTGGAGAGGGGGTTTTTTTTGTAATATAAAAATAAAAAGTGTGTGTATAAATAAATGTACAAAAAAAAGAAAAGAAAAGAAAAGAATAAGAAAAGGTTGTTTGGGTATGATTTACAAGTGGAGGACAATGGACGATCGATCATGTGACTTATTCGTCTGTTTCTTCAATGCACAGTCGTTTGACATGATTAAGCGTAAGATCCATATCAGTATCATCAATCTCATCATCCTGCTCGTCCTGCTCTGGACTGGGCATGGCTGCCAACAAGACCGGAGGTACGTTCTTCTTTTGGCGTTGTTTTTTATTTGCTCCACGGCGTGCTGTGAGATCGCGCCACACAAAGCATGAATTGCCCTGGAGTTGCATTTTTGGCTTTCGGCCTCTTTTTTTCTTGGGCATGGTGAGAGTCGTGTCCATCTTGGTGCTCGTGAATGTATTCAGGCTGGTGGTTGACTTTCGTTGTTCTTCACCATTGATACCTCGTTCGTCTGTGTCGTTATTGTAATTGGACGGCTGTGACCAATAGCCTGGCGTGGATTCGATAGCACCACCATCCTGCTGACATTGTCTATTGGGTTGTGCGTCGTTTCGCTTGACTTCCCAAACGGTCGGGGTGACAAATACAAAAGATTGGGCAGACTGTGCAGACCGGGCAGCATTTGGTGGTCTTCCTCTCTTACGCTTGGCTGGCGTTGGGATGTCTAAGGTAGCCGTTGTGCTGTTATTGCTGCTACTCGTAGTACTTGACTCGGAAACGACTGAAGGTGAACGAGATAGAACACTGGATACAGAACCTGACCTAGACACTGGCCGAAAGGCAGAATGGACAGAAGAGGCTGCAGAGAAATAAGCAGAGTTACTAGACTGTGCAGAATGAGCAGAATGACCAGAGCGTGCAGAGTAAGCAGAGTAAGCGGAATGAGCGGAATGGGCAGAGTTAACAGAGTGAGCAGAATGAAAAGAAGAGTCGGACATCCGGCGGGATTGCTGGTGTGGTTGGTGATAGGGTGATATATTGGGGGGTGGAAGTAGAAATGGACGACCCAGATCGTCTTTAATGTTTGAGTTTGGTGTGGGCGAAGATGCGGGGGATGTAAAGGGTGTGTCAAAGGAGAAGTTCTGGAAGGGTGATGTTGGAGAAGAACAGGTCGAGTGAGATGCTTGGTCAAAGGGAATAGTGAGCATAAGTCTCGGACGAGGTTCTACAGGCATGATATCATGTAGCTGTGGTATGAGTGACTGAAGATCTGGAAGCCGAAGACTAGGAGAACTAGAGTTATAAGGTGCATTTGGCAAAATGTCGCTGACAGGTGGAAGTACACAAGGTTCTGGTTCAGAGGGTGGAGGTGAAGGAGGATGAACAAGAAACTCGATGGGAGGATGGCAGGACATTTGAGTGACTGCGATTAATGATGTATAGAATAAAGAAGTGAAAGTGAAAGTAAAAGTAAAAGAAGAAGAAGAAGTGAAATAAAAGAAAAGAAGTGAAAGAAGAGAAAGAGAGAAAGGGCGACCTAAAAAAAATAAGAATGATAAAATAAAATAAAATATTAAAAAATATTTAAAAAAAAAATACAAAAAAAAATCGTTTTTGACTAATTTGGCTTTCATATATATATATATATATTTGTGTGTGTTTGTAGTATAGTGTAGTATAGTGTATGTTTGTAATAGTAAATAGTAGCAAGTAATATCAAATAATAAGTTGTAAGTTATAAGTAGTGGGTAGTAGGTAGCAAATAGTATATATATATATAATTTATATATATTTATATACATGTACATATATATATATATTATTTCGTCTTATTTTACCATGTATGGAAAAATATATTTTACCAAAGAATCTACAGAATCTTCCTTTCATCCAATTCTAAAATCTCATTACCCCAGTCACATTCACCTCTTTACCATTATTATTATTATTTTTTATTTTAAATTTTTTTTTATATTTATATTTCATATTTCATATTTTACAAAAATGAATCAGCAACAGCTCCGTGGTGCTCTAGGGACAGTGATAGGCACCAGTCAGTTATGTGAAGAACAGTAAGGACATGTTTAATTAGTCAAACAGAGAGTATCTACAATAATCTATATATTAAAATATGTCTTTGATAACAAAAAAAAAAAAAGTCCTGCTCTTCAAGCGTTTGTGTATCAACTGCGCCACGGTTCTTTGACAGACCATGTTTACCAAGACACGCTTTACCAAGTATTTATATATTTTATTTTAAAAATATTAATATATATATATATTCTAAATATACTTGGATATTTCTATATTTATATATATTTATATATTTAAGAACAAGAAAATAACATTTGATTTGATTTGACTTGATTTGTGCTAAAGTCCTTTGTCCGTTTATAGAATCAGGCTGACCAACTCTTGGTTTGTCTCTCTACCAACTCTTATGACAAAGCCTCACTTAATACCGTATTGTCGGCCGTCGTTTCATCAGAAGCGAACACAAAAGGTTCCCTTTTTACTTTATCTTATTTATATGAATCATTCTACACTTTTTATCACCTTATACACATTTGAACTCAAGTATGTATATAGACCCTTCTGTTGATTCTTTTAGACGCGCCATTGTTCAATTCTTAATCAATCAACTCCAGAATTCAACCAATATCTTGCCAACTCTCCAGTTCATATCCGAAAACTCTGCTCGTCTTTTTACTTCAGACCAACCAAAAGGTCAGGTATTCAAACTCTGTTTCGAGGTAGGATCAAATTAGTGCTGGTGTAATCAATTATTAATCAACAAAATATTAATATAATATAATATATATTTTAAAAAAAAAAGCTACAGACCACTCATGGTTACTGGGACCTCGAAGTACGTTCATGGCTGTACCGTGTATTCAGAAACCTTCGTGTGCCAACAGACCAATGGCTGGCCCAAGCCGAGTCTAGCCCACAGTACCAATCTAGAAAAAAGTATGTACAAATACAAACAGCATTCAATGATAACTCAACATCACACAGATTGAAAGATTGTCAAGACCTGCTGGAAGGGTGTCTAGCATCGCCTTCTAATCACATCTATTGGGCCCAAAAATTTGCCGAGATTCTGCCTTATGGAATAGTATCAGAGTCTGTCTCTATTCAAACCAATATATCTCTTTATCAAACCATTTATCCGCTCGAACTTGAGGTTGTGCTAAATGCTCTAAAAAGCATTTGGGGGTCTCTTGTCTATCACAAGGTAAGATAATTCATACTTTACACAAAAAATATCTTATTATTTTCTTTTCTCTCTCTTTTTTTTTTACTTACTTATATATACAATATTATATTTCTTTCTTATTTATTTTTTTATATTGAAAGTTATCAGACGAGACACAGTCGATGCTACAGGCGCACAAAAATGTTACATTATTGCTGGATTTAGAGACAGATGCGCTGTCAGATCAATTTCTGGACAGTGTAAATTTCCTTGGTTCTCGGAATATATTTTCCTGTTTTGTGTACTTAAATATGTTCCTTTTTTTAAAAAAAAATGTATATGTATATTGTTCGTAGACTTCTTGTCTTTCGTTAGACCCAGCTCTTGTGGATTTGCTGAACCGTACACTTGGGACACCTCATTCAATTCCGGCCAATCAGATTGAGAAATGTATACATGAATTATGTTTGGTAATTGATTCAGCTCCACAAATGTAAGTGTTTCAATTTCTGCTTCATATGTCGCTTATTAAAACAAAAACAAATTAGTTTCTTGGCTCATATCACTCGGTGCGCTATTATGTTGACTTTCTTGGTAATTGGATCGACAAAGGAGGCAAGTGCTATTTAGATTAAAAAAGGAGGAAGAATCCCTGTTTTGGTCAATTAACATATGTTTCTCTTTTTTTCTTCTTCTTCTTCTTCTTTGTACACACATAAAATAGAGTTCTTTGGTCGGACTCATGTACAGTTCTTGGGCAAATCTTTTGGCTTGCCTTCTTGACCAAATTACATTTGAGGCACAAGAGCATGCTTTGGAGATGAATCTTAGGCTCAAATTCTTGGCAAAGGTAGCCTCTTGCTGTGTAGTATATTTGGAGTTTAACTGTAGGTCCAATAACTCCCAAGCGATCTCTGAGTTTGTTTGCGAATTGGGTCGGATGTGGCAACACTATCGTAACACCCGGATGATCATTCTTGACACTGATGAACCACCTAAGGATCAAGATTACAAGGTCAAGGTGATTCTGTTCAATCTTATCAACGTTGCCAAGGAGAAATTGAATACGTTGCCATAGCTACCTATTGTACTTTAATAGTGACAACAACAACAATAAGCTTTATATCACCATGGAAACATTTCTTTCTTTCTTTTTCTTCTTCTTTTATTTACTTTGTGCATATTCATCATGACATAATATTCCCTGCTTTAGTGAGGCATTTAAAATGTATGTATACATACATACAAAATGGAATTCACTGTAACCTTGGACTATCAGATTAATAATAATAATAATATATAAAGGCAAAATATTTTGTATGAATATTTTTAGATGTGCAAAGAAAAATAAAAAGTGATCTTCGCTTATTTTTGGTTTCCAGATCAATAGAATAGAACAAGTGCTAATATAGATATAGATAGATAGATATAATCTATTGAAACAAGAAAATATGCATATATCTTGCATCTACCTCGGCTTATCTGTACGATATTCTCTAGGTAACACATATTAGCCTTACATCTCTACAAAATTCATGTAACCTGCATATCAATGAATTACCCTCTTTCTGTCTTTATTTCTCTGTCTATCTTTTTATATATATATATATATAATATGTGATCATGTTTTGCCGGCGGACTCTCCCGTTTATAAACAGAAATCCCAGAAAATTGCTACTACTATTACTATTTCTATATAAAGTATTTCAATAAAATAAAAACACACGCACATATACAAAAAAAAACACAGGTCCTCTTTTATAAACTCATGTTGTATATTTTTGAATATTTTATAATATTAAAGGTACAAAAAATCTTTAAATAACAATTTTTTTTTAACTACTCGAGCTAGGAAATCTTGGGAAGGAGAGGGTGGGGGTGAATGATTTACGTGAGAATTATTATTTTTAAGAATAATAGACACTTTTACCGGGTATTAAATATATTATTTTTGAATTTCAATACAATAATATATATATATATATTAAATAAATAAATAAATAAATAAATAAAAAAGAAAGAAAGAAAAAAAAAAGAAAAAAGAAAGATCCTCTAAATTCCCTTTTTTTGGCGTGCCAAACCAAAGCCTCGGCCACGCGAACACATAATACCCATTACCCAATCAATTTACTTTATTGTCAGTTTATATAATGTATGTATTTTTAGTAGCAATAACAAATTGATTTGGTAATCTCTTTTGTATGTATATATATAATTACTTTTTTAATGTTGGAAACATAGACTTTTATGGCAGTCTATATATATATATATATATATTGAGTTTCATAGAATAAGCTTATTAGAAGTTATATAATTGTTCTTATGAGAATTTTTCTTGGTATCCATGGAAACAGAAAATAATAATAAATTATAAAAAAAAAATACAAAAATTTGACTCTTTTTTGTGTAACAATAGAACTACCTAAAATGACCAAATTTTGATTATTTTTTGTGCCCAACATGTTTAAATTATATATATAAATATATAAAAAAGAATGTACGATCCTTGCATCCCCAATTTTAAGAAGACCCTTATTATATTCTTGCAGTGAAGAAGAAGAAAAAAAGGCTATCTTAGTTTTACAATTTTCTGTTTTACTTTTCCCTTTGCCTTTATTTTTTTTTGTGTATCTTACACCTACAAACTAAAAAGGCTTGAATGAATGGACAAGAACAAAAGGTTTTATAGCTACCCGTTACGTATTTGCTGACGGGTCCCTTGGGTATTATAAATAAGTGATACAAAAGTATTGGCTCTTATTATATCCAGAATCTATGTGTACATTAATTGAGATGAAGTACATGGCTGAAGGAGCAAACAGAAAATAAAAGAGATAAAAAAGAAAGACTCTAGGACTGCAAGTCTACAGTAATACAGGCTACAAAACATAAAAGTACTTGTCAATAATTATTTTGTCAAACAGTAACTTTCTATAAGCCATGTCAAGAAACATTATCTCATACTCCAAAAAAAACAGTAGTTTAATAATTATCATTGTTGACTTTATTTCTTATTTTCTATCCCTTCAATATATACAGACCCATATCAGTACTGAATAAAACTTTAAGATTCCGCCAAATCAAGGCATCAACTTCTTTAACATTTTTACACTAGTTTGTCTATATTCACTTAACACCCCATGTTTGAAAACATATATATACTAAGATATGGCTCTTAAAAAAATAAAAAGTAAATTTATTAAAAAAATTAATAATGTGTTGACCCTCCACGAGCCTTCTTCATCTCATGTAAGCGATTAGGCATTGACATGCAATGTGTCTTGCAAACGTCAGCCGGAATATTCTTCCATTCTATATGAATAGCCCTCTCCAGCTCATTAAGATTTTTTGGAGAGGGGACTCTGGCCTTCACTTTTCTGGTAAGATATGCCCATAAATTCTCTATGGGGCTGAGATCTGGACTGTTCGGCGGCCATACCATCACTGGGAAGTTCTGACGCTTCTTCCACTCTTCTGCAAGCTTAGACTTATGACAAGGAGCATTATCTTCTTGGTAGATAAACTCCCCATCATTGTTCTCACTAAGAGATTCCATAAATGGAAGAAGCTTCCTTTTCATTAAGTCCATATATGCATACTGGTCAAGCGTGTTCTTTATGGTTTTCAATGGGCCAACTCCTCCTGCCCATACACAGCCCCAAACCATAATGGAGCCTCCACCACACTGCAGTCTTGGTCTAATAAACTCTTCTCTGTATTTTTCTTAAGGATACCGCCATACTCTAGTATTGCCATCTCTGCTGAAAAGCATAAACCTTGACTCATCGCTCTAGATGACGCGATCCCATCTCTGATTGGTCTCTCTGGCATGATTAGCAAATGCCAACCGCTTCTTCTTGTGTGCTTTTGATAGCAGTGGCTTGTATACAACTTTACAAGAAGACAATCCAGATCTACGAATAGTTCGACGAATGGTAGACTTGGAGATGGGATGCCCTAGGGTGTCAGACATGAAGGTGGTAAGACCCCCAAGTGTTGTCTCACGATTCGTCTTCATCTCATTAATCAAGTGACGCTCATCTCGCTCATCCATTATCTTCAAAGTTCCTTTTCGCCTATCAGGAAATGCTGTTCCAGTATCTCTCCATCTATTGATTGTGGAATACACCGTTGCTAGAGGTATACCATTCTTCTCAGAAATTTCAGCAGCAGTGCCATTTACTATAGCACCACCAATTATCAGTCCTCTTTGATAATCTGAAAGCTGCTTTCGTTTGGGAAGAGTTTCCTTTTTGTTTTGGTGAGACATGGTGAGATTCGAATGAGGAAAAGCTTTGAAAAAATAACTAAAAAGTAGTGTAATGGTGATGCCTTGATTTGGCGGAATCTTAAAATTTTATTCAGTACTGATATGGGTCTGTATGTGTGTGTATGTGTGTGTTTGAGGACACGGTCCGATATTTTTCCGCTTTAACATATCAAACCTGGCCTGAATTTTCCTATTTAACCTTTATGATTAGTAAATGCTCATTTGTAGATTCAGCAGTAAATGATATTACTAGAGCCCAGCAGATATCTCTGCGTAGCCAACGCCTTTATAGAATTCCTTGGTAATACCCATACTTTCTTGTGTGTATGTTTTTTTTGGTACCTATTTTTTGTTACTACTGAGCACTTTTATCTTTATATCTTCCTTTTTAAAAATAAAATAGATTAATTCTCCTTAAAACCTATGATTGCATTTGCTCAGCTGCATCATTTGAACATTTAAGAAAATCTTGGCTTTGTACAGTCGCCAACCATAAATACTTTCCGAGTCTTTGGACCAACCTTCTTTCTCATTACTATCAATAAGATTATCATCACAATGAAGATTACAGTTTTCGGCGGTTCCAAAGGATGTTCCTGTGCTATGGTGAAGCAAGGACTAGTGTCATTCCCTGATTTTCAATTTACTCTTATGGTCCGTAACCCTGGCACAGTCCAGTTTACCGAAGAAGAAAAACAAGCTATCAAGTGGGTTAAAGGCGATGCACGTTCCAAAGAAGATGTCAAGAGTGCGATTGATGGCGCAGACTACGTTGTAACCTCAGTCGGAAGCACCGTTAATATGAAAACGAGAGCTATGGCTGATCCAGGTCTCTGTCGAGATTCAATGCAGACATTATTGGAGGTCATTCAAGAGCTCCCCGAACAAGTACGTCCCAAAAGACTGATAACTGTCTCTACCACCGGCGTGGATGGGATGTCTGAGGTTCCTTATTTGTTCCGCCCACTTTACAAGTATCTTCTTCACGCCCCACATGAAGATAAGCGAGAGATGGAAAAACTAGTACGAGAAAATATTGTGGTTCCAGACTGGATCATTGTTAGACCTACTCTCTTGACAGACGGCGCAAAGACAGAGAAGTATCGTAGTGGAGAGAAGCTGTGCGGATACACAATCTCACGAGAAGATGTCGGACACTTCGTGCTTCACCAGTGTCTAGGAAGTCCACAATGGATCAAAAAAATTCCAGTGGTCAGTTATTAGACATAAATCAAACCCACATGTATGTATGAATGTATATAGATAAACATTTATATGCATTGTATTCAGTATATATTTTTATTCCCTTTATAAACCGACAAACAGGCATAAAGCTAGCTACACAATAGTCATCTAATAATATGTAAACCCATTGAGAAGTACTTCAAATAATAAACAATACAAACTTCCTTATAAATACAAGTAACAAATCATCTCTGAATGAGACAGGGTATCATGGCCTAATAAAGCTTCAGACAAAATAAAAGGGGGAAATAAAGTGGCGGGAAAATGAGACCTAGGGGGGGGGGGGGGGGGGGGTTTGTAAAATTTCATGTAGGAGAAATTGATAATACATATGATTGTGTATAATGCAAAATTACAGAAACAAAACCAATTTTACCAAGCTTAAGGGTTCTGTTAGAATAATTAATATCTAGCTTTGACAATCAAGATCTTTACAAAAGATAATATTACGTCAAAGTCTTTGGTTCTGCCGTTTGACTCTCAAATATGTGCATGCGTGCTTTTCTTTTACCTTTCTCTCTTTCCATTATATCCCTGTGTGAGTTCTGTTTAATTTTATATGTCCAATTGGGAAAATCGGGAGGCAGGAAAGTTAGAAGATTTATGGGGCAGCAGCTGCATATCTTGGCTTTACAGAGCTTGAGCTAATTCTTGATGGATAATCTATTAGATCAACTGCCTCCAACTTACTACTTATTCTAATGTAATCACAATCCCCAAAACAAGAACATGGTATTGACTATGAGTGAGTTTATGAGTGGCATTACGAATCGAAAGTTTTTTTTTTTTTTTTTTTTTTTTTGGGGGGGGGGCAATGGTTTTGATTTACCATTAAGGCTTTAATTTGAATGATAAAACATTTTTCCTTTTTGGGTTATTTATTTATCTATTTGTTCTGTTACGCTTGCTATATAGTCATAAAATTACGATATTACATCAAAGATAGTGTTTTGATAAAAACGGGCAGATTGAGTAGGATAATAGTAAAATAAAATCAAGATTACTCCAGTTGCATAGTATAAATCCCCTTACCTAGCCAGAACACATAATTCCAATGGTGATATGCAAGCAAATAGTGGTCTGGATAATGATTCAGCATACTGTATGGTGTTTTATATCATAAAAAAGCACCATTTATCAAAACCAACCAACCAACCAACCAATCAAAAAGCTTTATAAAGATAGTTTAAAGAAAAGGAATCGAAAAAAAAGACAATATAATAACCTTTGTAAAGCTAATGCTCTACTAATGAAAATAACGAAAATAAAAGGACAAAGAAACATGTAAGATGTTGTTTGAGTGGGTCTACGCGAATAATATCTTTTATATATATATATATATATATTCTTGGCAATCAAATTATTCGCGTATGTATATTAAAATGAAATGAAATAAAATGAAATTAAACACGGGTCACAAGAATGAGAGGTTGGACTATCTGTATGTATGTTTGTAGTAATATCTCTGGCGTGAATTAACTGCTCCTACTAATAAATATAATACTAGTCGTCTATTGTTCATCAAATATAAGATTTTACATATAGTTTCAAACGGACTGTGAGACTTTCTAGTAGTAAAAAAAAAACTGGTTTAATTATAACGAGTATGTATCATGAACAAAACATAATAATTTAATTTATAAATATAGGCAATATCACTTTCATAGGAAGTTATAGGAGCTAATTTTATAAAGAGTATTTTCTCATAGTCTTGAAAGCTATAAAAGCCAAAGTTTCAGATATAAAGGCTCCTATATCTTGTATTGAAAAGCGTACTCGCTTCCTGACCGTGTATTTAAGGTGTAGGTTTATTGCTATATAAAGTGCATACTTAGAGTTAATTATTCCGCATATCTTTTAAAGAATAGTAAACACTTTAAAGTCAAATGTCAATAGCACCAATTGTGCCAGATAAAACCATGCTTCTATTAAATATTACCAGTTGCCTTGATAATAATTGCTCTTGTTTTTCTCTCAAACCCCTCTCTCTCTCTCTCTCTCTCTCTCTCTCTCTCTACACCAAAATAATATACAGCCAACACGAATTAAAATAATCAAAATGGGTAATTCATTGACACATTATTGGAAAATAATTCCTCTTCAAATTGTAAAGGCAAATTATTCCTGACTTGTTATCGGTTCTTCTTTTCTGATTTTTATAAAACTTTTATCAGTAATTACATAATTAAAATAAAATAAATAATAGGTTTAAACACAATGAGTCATTTTAGAATTCTGAGATAGTAACGAGGCTGCGAATAATCTAGGGCTAATATGTGCATTGAAAAAGTAAATAACTTTTTTTTTAAAAAAAAAGGCAAGAAATTCTAGGTCAGTAAAGACATTTTACATCACAATAAACAAAGCACGCGATTAGTATTTAATTTTGTACCAATAAAATTATTATATACTTTAACCTTTTCTTAAATTATATGTCTCCGTAAACTCCATATGGAAGCCAAAAGGCATAACAAAGACATTCTTGGTGCTCTTTTAATACTCAAAATCAATAATAAATACGTGCAAGTACGTTTCTCTTACTGTATCTCAAACCACAGTGACTTTCCTTATTAGCCTTTCAGGTAAACGTAATCTATTATTTTAAATAGGAAAAAGTGTCAAATATATTTAAACTTTATATATTATATCTACAGAGGATAATATGCAACTGATATTTGTCGTTCAATAAAAGTATAACCTACTTTTTAGAGGTATCCTTCTTGTTCTTTTCTTTTGGAATTATACCAGACTTTGAAAACAGAAATATTTTTTCAAGGAAAGCAATTTGATACTACTACATCTTCAAGATGTGTAAATATCAATATAAATAAAGCATTATTATTTTTTATTTCGAATAATGCCAGTTTTAAAAAAAAATCATTGGAGGAAATTCAAAATATTTGTGCACCTTACACATAAAGTTAACGCATACACAGTATATATGTCCTCCGTTGCTTCTTTTGCTTTCCGAGCTTGTGAACCCAGGTACTGTTGAATTAATAATAAAAAAAAACATAGTACTGACGTGGCTGATTATAGCTAATTTGATTCGCTTGGGCACAACCAAAAACGTCTTCTCATTCTCCTTCTTCTTTCTATTTATAATACAATTTCTAATAGTGAAAGCATTATAAGCACATGGTCTATAGTTTATCTATAGTTTACAACAGCAAATTTATAAGCATAATAATAAAGAGATGCCAACTAATATCTTGGTGTACATGTGTGGGAATATTACTTCCTATTCTATACAATTGTGTATCCTTTAACCTAATAAAGTTGGTTGGTTAGTATTATACTTCTAGAAAATGTACAGTATCTGCAAAGCCATAGTGTTAAAGCATGGCACCTTGATCTGTACATAGATCAGTACAATATAAGAAATTATATATTTAGGAAATATGGTACATTTATAACTAACTCTGAAAATTTTGGAGTATTATTGTTAGTATTATATTGTCTTTACGAGACTTTGTTTAAGAAAATGTGACAGGTTTGATTATGAAATCTTACATTTTTTATAGTGAGAAAAGGTATATATAAATATATAACTATTTCCATATTTTGCTAGTTGAAAAAGAAAAAGAAAAAAGTGTTTTACAATACTTCAATAGCTCAAAAACTTAATTGTTACTTTATAGATACAATATATCATCAGTGTATTGTTGTGTACTTATTAATCCTTTGAAATTAACGTATTAAACTACCAACAAAAAAAAATAAACAAAAAAAATAATAAACCGGACTCAATCAATAAATAACAAGGGTTCCATTTGTAATACATTGGGATCTTTTGCGCATTGTAAATATGTTTTATAAGCCATGTTACCAACTAAACCTAAAAAAAAAATGGTAATTATCAAAAGATCAGATATCAAAGATATGAAGCACAATTTGGTAATATTTCTTATTATGATGAGAGGTATCAATATTTAAGTCAACTCCAGGAAAAAAAACTGATTTTGATCGTAAATCTATTATCTGACGATTAAGAGCAGCTCTTGCAGCCACTTTTTAACTAAACAAAACAAGGTTTTTACAAATACTCTTTCTGTCATTTGTGCATTACTATTAATCATTATGCTTTATTGTTAAAATATATCTTTAAAAAAAAAGAAGGAAAAGAAAATATAAAAGTAGATTTAAAACAAATTGTATAAAAATTGGCCAAAGGTTTTCAAGATCTTTAAAATAAATGCTAAATCAAATTCAGTAGTATCTTTAAAATAGAATCTTGAAATTTAAATGTCTTGCAAATGTAGGTCAATGGCAAGATCTTTACATTTAGATCATCCACAGCGGTTTATTTAAACCTGGGGCCACATTTCTTTTTATTATTGCTTGAATGGTTTAGTGAAACGCTGGATTTAGATATCCGTTAAATAATTGTCTAAAAAAAATCTAAATTTTATTTCTAAATTTACATATTGGAAAGCTTATACAAGCCGCTGTAAATTTTCTTAGAGACCATTTCAAGATCTTGAAAGCTTTTGGCTATCTACTGCTTTTAAGTTATTTTTTTTAAAAAAAAAATTGAATTTCTATGATATATTTTTACCCTTCTTTATAAAACTATACTTTAACAATTGAATATTAAATCGTAGATAGAATCTTTTTAAAAAATGTTTTTAGATATTACTGGGCATGCTATTAGACTATATTGTTTTTATTTAGTTTTTATATAAGGATACACTTTAAAATTACCATGTTTTTCTCTGTATGTACGTACATGTGTTGTAGATTTTTTTTTGCAAAAATAAAAAGAAATATGTATATCTACATGTATGTATATATATATATATCTATAGCTATAGCTATGCTGTAAAAATCGAATCATTAATCTTGTCAGATATTTATATAAATATAGAGAAATAAGTAACGAAAAGGAAAAAAAAATTAGCTGTTGTATTGTTAATGTATTTAGGAGGTGGTCCTTTAAAACCTCCTCAATTTCACTTTCCTCTTCTGGTCTTTTCGGACTGCAGACAACAGTTGTATGGACAGTACACTCAGCTCCTTATGGACTCTTTCGATTCACAAAAATGGAAAAAAATCACAACCAACACTTCATTATCTTTTCTTTACCTACACTCTTGAAACCAAATCATGACAAAGACCGAATACATACGCCTTGACTTTCCGACATTTGAGTTTCTCTTAGATAAGAAGATGGACAAAGATACCGTTAAAGGCCTGTCCGATGTAGCTATATCGCAAGCCCTGAGTGATACCAGCTCTAGTCTCTATAGAGAGCTCTCATTACGCATCATGACTACGGCTGTCACAGGAAACAGAGCCTCTCGTCGTGAAACAAACGGTCTCGATCGTACTTGCCCCATTTTGACCATCACTACATTTGTTGATGAAAACACCGCGAGAATCGCAAAAGAACTCTTCCCAGACTATACACTCCAATTCAATGGCCAGGAACTTGTCAGTAACCCCAGACCTTACGTTTTATTTCAGCTTGCTACGGAGCATGCTCTCTCTCTGTTTGGTGCGCATAATCACGACATCATTCATCTTGGTGGCAACCCAATGACATACGCAAAAAAGCAGACATCTCGGTCCAATGTTCATTGTTGTGTCGATGAATCTGACATTTATGTTCGTTCAGAAATGATCCATATGCGTGAAGAGCTCTGTGAATTTGAAGAAGACGACTCAACGGTGAATAATAAACGTACCCACAAAGCCCATAACAACATGGTCAATCTGATAAAAAATAAGGAGTGTACATTATACTGCGATCAACCAATGCTGTGCTCTTACGATGCATATAATATGCTTGTCGACCACACAAAGTACGATCTTTCCCTCGAGCAGATCGGCTTGTGTATGATCAGGCACAATGTCGGGCTTACCTATGGCTTTTTCCCGTATTCCCCAGAAATGATATATGCAGATATTGGATACCTTTTTGCGCTTGATGCCAAGTTTACTATCGATCGAGAGGAAGATACCATTACCATTGAATACAACCGAGCAGATCAATTTACACGGACCTATAGATACTCCAATTACGTCGAGCTGTACGCAAAGAGTCTTATCCATGTGGGCGAAGAACGGTTCAAGGTCGAACTTAATGAACCTCATCGTGGGAACATTGTTTATTACAAGCTTGTTCGCCTTCCCCGAAACTCTGGTCCCGAAAAGATTCCTATTCATCGCACGTCTTTTTTGGGAGAGAATGAAAGGTGTGTCTTGCGCATGCATTTACCGAAAAGGAGTGAATCAGAGAGCACAAGAAAACCACATTTTGAATTGGTCGAGCATGTTGTTCACAAGTCCATATATTCAACTGTCTATAACTATGCTCTGCGGATGGCGCCTGGGAAACTGAGCTTCAATGACATTGACAACCACCTTTACAAGATCGCTGGTGCACAAGGGTTCAATATGAAGAGCGTCTTTGTACCGAAACATTCCTCAGTAAAGACAATGCATGATATTGCAAAGGCTATTTATTTCCGTGCCTATTGTGAAAGATTCATGACTACTACAACTGTCAAGATTGCGTTTGATCGGCTGGACACGAACATGGAATCATATCGTTTTGATATCTCGACTGCAGTAGCAAATTTCGTCAAATGCTCTTATTGGAGGACACTGAAATCCTTTTTAGCTTCTCACTTGGATGACACGCCATGCCTAAAGGAATCTGATGCGGGATTTTCTAAAAAAATGTCTGGATACTTACATATATTTGTAAGCACCTGTTTAGCCAAGAATGACCTAACTGTCGAGGAAGGTGACTACCCCGAATATATTGAATATTCTGATTATCTTCGAGAGCAACATTTTGGGTGGATGGATACGATTAGATTAAGATTAGGAACAAATATTCGACAGCTACCATTCTTTTCCGAAGAGAGAGATTCTACCTACATTGTTTGCAACTTTCACCCAAAATATCCTGGTGGCATGTGGAGCCAAAGATACGAAAACGTTGAATGCTTCCAGCAGATCTTAGTCCAAAGCATATCAAGTGAAACGCACGCTACAGCTCAGGACCAGCGCCGGATACATTATAAAGAGCCCGAAAACTTATGGAGTAAACTTTTTAACCTGGACGAGCAGCACTTGGGTATCAAAGACGAATGGAGCGAAAGAGATGAAAATGATTCAGAGACAAATGGAAGTACAAAAGAAACAGAAACAATGTTACGGACAATTACTTTAGATAAATAACTATAGAGAAAAATAATAAACTAACTTTTATAAATCAAGTCAAAATAAGTTGATTTTTAAAAAATAAAATAAAATAAAACCAATGGCTCTATTCAGTTTCTTTCTATGTATATGGTGTTTTTACTCTCATTTCACTCAATTTTAGAAAATTCCGTCCAATTTTTTTTAGAAGAATTCGCCCCCATGTTTGAGGTAGTGGCGTTTTTCGGCAAAAATCTTACTAAATGTCGAAAATTGAATAATTGATTAACTTAGGACATAGCAACTTACACCTCTTATATAGTAGTTATGCAACTACATATTGCTATACACCCCCGAATATATATATATGATAACTTAATGGATAAAACATTCTTAGAAATAAATTTATGATATACAAAAAGAATAATGCAGATATACAAAATAAAAGCATCAAATACAGCTTGTTAATTTTAGGAGATATATTATTGAGTTTTCAATGGTTTATTGCTGAGTTTTACTTGCACTATAATAAATAGCAACTCGGAGGACGATTTTGAAAAATGGCTATGATATTGATGGGAAAATGTTACAAATCTACATACTTAATATAATTTAATTGAATAGACTAAATGATCGCTAATTATTCGGGAACGACGTTTTTCTGGAGCACCACATTTATTTAATTTCGACCTTTTACCACTTGCTAGACTCATAAAAAAAATGACTTGTGGTACAGCATCTGGCATTTTTATCTGGTCCCTAACAATCCAAAGTAGTTTCTATAGGTGACATCAATTTATTAAGATAAATAATTTAAGTAATGAATAAAGTACTCCATTATTTAACGCATTCCAGTCTTTTTTAGATATAGTTAAGTACCAGATCTAATTTAGCTTTACTTCTTATACGTAATATATAAATATTATACATTCTGTAAATGCTGGACTCGAATAATCGCTGATGTATCAAACACTTTCATGCTATGATACAAAACTCGATATTTGATATTTATCCTTTACATATACTCCATGATCCTGGAATTTGATCTGTATTGAAATTTATTAACTCAGAAACAAATCAAGTATATATCATTAATCCATAGTTTATGGATATAAACATACCTCTTGAAGAAAGTTTGTTTTGTTTTTTCTTTAAATACCAGGACGCAAGATCCACCATATCTTTCATTTCTCGAATATTCATTAACTGTCGTGACTGTTATCATGACATAACGCGTTTAGAGCAAGAAGCGTGGATAGCATTTTTTCGGTTCCGTCAAACGCGAGCTGGACGTGAAGTTGACAAAGAAATATATTTCATATTTTTTTTCAAGGTACTTCTTCTTCTTCTTGGTTACTACCGACAATGAGCGACACTGACGAAGATTTCAACATTCCTTCCGATTCTGGGGATGAATCAGACGGATATGTTCCTGAACAACCACAGCCCAAAAAGGTATATTGATAATATATCCAAGTATAATTTAAGCTCACCACCACTATTACTGTTATCGTATTTAGCGTAAAATTGCAGCTCAACCTAGAAAAACAGCTTCAAAAGCTGCAAAGGCATCAAGCGAATCTTCAGATGGATTAATTGAATCTCCAAGCTCAACACCAGTGAAAGCTGCAGCACCAAAAAAGACACCGGCACCAAAAAAGACGCCTGCGCCAAAAAAGACGCCTGCGCCAAAAAAAACCGCAGCAGGAGCCAAAAAGAAAGCTCAAGAATCAAATGTAGATGAAGAGGATGTCATGATTGTAGAAAGTTCTCCATCAACTCAATCTACTAGCAATGCTCCTGATCGAGCCGTAGAAGAGATCTATAAGAAGAAAAGTCAACTAGAACATATTCTTTTGCGACCAGATACATATATTGGAACAGTTGAACCAGAAGAACAAGAAATGTGGATTTTCGGTGCCGAAGATAAAATTGAGAAAAAGAAGATTAAGTATGTACCTGGTTTATACAAAATTGTAGATGAAATTTTGGTCAATGCAGCTGATAATAAGGTGAGAAAGAGAGAGAGAAAAGTATAATAAATAGCATCAAATTTTTAACTTTTCTTTTTTCTTTTTTTCTGTGGGTAGATTCGCGATCCTACAATGAATACCATTAAGGTCGTTATTGACCGCGCCCAGAACTTCATTTCAATTCAAAATAACGGCAAGGGTATTCCTATCTTGATACATAAAGACGAACAAGTATATGTACCGGAGCTTATATTTGGCCACCTTCTCACCTCTTCCAACTATGATGACACCGAGAAAAAAGTAACTGGTGGACGAAACGGTTATGGTGCCAAGCTTTGTAACATTTTCAGTACAGAGTTTACTGTTGAGACCGCAGACAAAGAGCAAAAGAAGAAATACTTCCAGGTGTTCAAAAACAACATGTCTGTCAAGAGCGAACCCAAGATCACAGCAAACACAAGGGGGGAGGAATATACCCGAATTTCATTCAAACCCGACCTGTCAAAGTTTGGCATGACTGAGATGGATGAAGATTTTACTGCTCTGATTAAAAAGCGTGTTTATGACATGGCTGGTACAGTGGATGGAATCAATGTATATTACAACGGTACAAAAATTCCCGTCAAGGGATTCAAACAGTACGTTGAACTTTACACCGACTCAATGGAAATCAGAAATGCGGAAGGAAAAAAGCCTATCATACATGATATTCCTTCTGAACGCTGGCAAGTTAGTTTTGCTGTTAGTGATGGTCAATTCAATCAAGTAAGGAATAACAAAAAAAGGCAATAATGTAAACCAAAAATTTATAAACATATATGTGTATGTATAAAACGATAGGTCAGTTTTGTCAACAGTATCTCTACTCCCAAGGGTGGAACCCATGTAAACCATGTAGCCGATCAGCTGGTTAAGGGTCTTATGGCAGACGTTCAGAAGAAGACTGGCAACAAAAATATCAAACCTTTCCAGATCAAGAACCATATGTGTATATTTGTTAATTGCCTTATAGAAAACCCTACTTTTGATTCCCAGACCAAAGAAAACATGACTCTTAAAACGAGTGCCTTTGGATCGACTTATCAAGCATCTGAAAAATTTATTTCTGCTGGTAAATTAGTCATATTTATGTGTTGGTTTTTCTCTAATAATGTTTTTCTTGTTGGTGACATACGTATTGGATCTAACCTATAGTTTCAAAGTCGGGCATTATTGATAATATTGTCAAATGGGTAAAATATAAGGAGGATACACAAATGATTAAGGCCGACAGTGGCAAAATGACAAAACGTTTGAATATCCCCAAGCTTGAAGATGCCAATTGGGCTGGTGTGAAGCCAAAGAACAAACGATGCACTTTGATTTTAACTGAAGGAGACTCTGCCAAAGCATTAGTAATGAGTGGTTTGTCTGTAGTAGGTCGTGATGAGTATGGTGTATTCCCTCTCCGGGGTAAACTTCTCAATGTTCGAGATGCATCAGCCACTGCGATAATGAGCAATGCCGAAATTACCAATGTCAAATCTATCCTTGGACTCAAACATGGTCAAAAGTACACTTCGAGTGATGAGCTTCGTTATGGAAAATTGATGATCATGACTGATCAGGTAAACTACAAAGACAAAAGACGTAATTGGCTATATCAAACTCAAAAATATTGACTTTATATGCAAAAAGGATCACGATGGCTCACATATCAAGGGTCTATTGATTAACTTTATCGACCAAATGTTCCCAAGTCTGTTGGATATTCCTGGATTCCTGTTGGAATTCATTACACCTATTATTAGAGTGAGTAAATACAAAAGCGCTGTATTTATTATAAAGAAAAGAAAAAAGAACTGACAAAGCATTATAGTGTACCCACAAAAGAACTAAGGCACGTAAGACGTTCTTCACTATCCCAGAATATGAGAATTGGGCCCTTGAGAACAACGTTAACAAAGAGTGGATTCCTAAATACTTCAAGGTAATGCTTTAATAGCGATTTTACAGTATATATATATATATTCTATTTAATAATATGAAATACATATGTATAGGGTCTGGGTACTTCTGATCGTAACGACGCGAGAGAGTATTTTGGAGATCTTCCTACCCACGTTAAAGAATTCCAAACAGCAGATGAAGATGACCGAAAGTTAATTGAAATGGCTTTTGCTAAAAAGAAGGTTACTGATCGTAAAGAATGGCTTTCAACCTATGAGGTAAAAAAAACCCTCCTACCGATTTAAATGATTTATTTGAAAATTATGAAAATACTTATCTATTTATATATATATATATATCTTTAAAAAATAGCCTGGTATTTTCATCGATCATAATGTCCAAAAGATCAAAATTTCGGACTTTGTCAACCGAGAGCTTATGCTATTTAGTATGGCGGACAATATTCGCTCTATCCCATCATTAGTGGATGGCTTTAAGCCTGGACAACGCAAAGCCTTCTTTGGTACATCTAAGCGTCCAAATAACGCTGAAGTTAAGGTTGCGCAGCTTGCTAATCATATTGCCGGAAAAACACATTACCATCACGGTGAAACAAGTATGGCATCCACTGTCATTGGTATGGCTCAAGATTTCACTGGAACAAACAATGTCAATCTGTTCTTTCCTGCCGGTCAGTTTGGTACCAGAATCGATGTGAGTACTAATGGGTCTCAGATAGAATATAACTTGATGTTATACTTCCAAGCATTTAATGAAAAAAATGCTTCGATATTTTTAGGGTGGAAAATCTGCTGCAAGCCCTCGTTACTTGAACACAAGATTAGAGAAGATAGCCCGCTACGTATTCCACCCTGATGATGACCCCATTCTTGATTATCTTACTGAAGAGAATAATTCTATTGAGCCCAGATGGTATATTCCTATTCTTCCCATGGTATTAGTTAATGGAGCAGATGGCATTGGAACTGGTAAAGAATATGTGTATAATTTACAACTTTTATAAACTTGTACCCTTATATATGTCTTATAATTTTTTTAGGATGGAGTACAAGTATTCCTAACTACAATCCAATTGATATCGTCAACAACCTCCATAGGCTTATGGATGGCGAAGACTTGGTTGTAATGAGACCATGGTTCCGAGGATTCCAGGTACATTAACCTACTCGATAAATAATAATGATAATTAATATATATATATATGTTTTCTATATCATTGCTTATAATATATATTGTATAGGGAGAAATCTTCCCAGGTGCGGATGGAAGATTTACTGTCAATGGTATTGCTGAAATTCAAGCTGATGGTAACATCAAGGTGTCGGAATTACCAGTTAGATTCTGGACCGACTCTTTCAAAGAACATCTAGAGAGTCTGCGAGATCCTAAAGAAAAGAAGTTTGATATAGCTATTATGGTAATTTTTATCATATTATCTTTTTCTCTTAACCATACTAAATGATATAATATACTTTGTCTATTATCTTTCTTTCTAGGATTACAATAACAACTCGACTGATTGTACTGTTGACTTTACTATCATGTTGGATGGTCCTAACCTTGAAAAGGCTCATACTATTGATCTATTGAAGGTTCTTAAGATGACCACATCTATATCTACAAGCAATATTGTGTGCTTTGATAGAAATGAAAAGATTAAGAAGTACGCTTCCCCTGAAGAAGTCATACGCGAGTTTTACGACTTGCGCTTAGAATATTATCAAAAGAGAAAGGTAATTTAATAGGAGCAGAAAGAAAAATAGTCATAAGGTAATATATATTAAAAAGTCTTCTATATAGGATAACTTGATCTCAATTTTGGAAGACAATTACGTGCGCGCAGACAACAAGGCCCGATTTATTCAACTGGTTATTGATAAAAAATTGGTTTACATTGATCGTAAGGAAGAAGACGTTATTGCTGATATGGAGAAGAACGGGTTGGAAAAAATATATGCAAAGAAGAAAAACGTATTGGTTGTGAATGAAGAAGAAGATACTCCTACTCCAGATGCTAGTAAAGAAAACAATACTGGATATGAGTATCTCTTCGACATAAACGTGCGTGGATTCACTGTCAAGAAGGTAATATTTATTTGCTGTCAATAAATCTATGTATATGACTGAAATCTTACCATGGTAAAATTACAGGTTCAAGAACTCTTGAAATACAGACAAGCTAGATTGGAAGAAGTAGAGGCTACCAAAGCTACAAGCTTGCATGAATTCTGGAAAAGAGATCTAAAGGAATTCACAAAACAATGGGAAGAGCTTCTTGAGAAAGATAAGGAAATGCTGTCAAAGAACAAACCAAAGGCACCATCTTCAAACACAAAGCGTAAAAGAATTGTAAAGCCAAAGCCAAAGAAGATTGAGAGTGATTCTGAATAAAATATATGAGGCTGTATCAAAATATTGAACATGTTTTACTTTAAATATAACAGAATCAAAAGCAAGTTTCTCTAATTTTCTAAAGCCTCTACCAATCGCAGTTTTGTGTTAAATAGAAGATAGAAACAAATACGACTATTTGCAAACTATATAAAATACAAGCATATAAAGGAAAATACTGGACTGTCATCAGTATCTCTATACAAAAATTCCTTTTAAAATAAGTCCTCAATATGTACAGACTGGTTCCCACTTTTGTTAACCAAGACATACTGTATCAGTTTCCATAAAATGTAAAAGTAATGTGCCTTGAATAAAAGGATTAGATAAGATGGCTTCACTTAAAAAGCTATATAAATGTTACAAATTTTATACCAATGAAAAATAACTCTATTACTTATATTCAAAATTTTCTAGCTGGTGGTGATATTGTCAGAGTTGACATTGGTGATCAAAATCAGAATTTGCAAGCAACCAGTAATGGTTGATTTTTTAGGATAAAAAATCTGTTGTGTGGACGTCAAATTGATTGTACCTCCGATAGGATGTACTGCTTGCAGTAGTAAAGGACTACTGCAAGTAGGTACATTCAATTACATAATCTTCTTCTCTTTTTATCTTCTGCCTGTATCTTTATCCGTCTTCTTATATAAAATAACTGCCAATTCTTTGCAATAAAATATTATCTTTCTTAAGCTTAAACTTCTGTCTCATCGTCTAGTTGCCTAAACTAGCCTCTCAATTCCAACCTATCTGCTCATATTCATTACGGATCTTGACATTTGCCAATTAGCCTTTTTATATGTTTTGAATGTTTTAGATGGTGAATATACTAGTAGAGATATTACGAGATAACTAGCATTTAAGACATATTACCGTGGGTATTCTTTTAGTCAAAGATCAAGTATCATTTTGTATAAATAGTTAAGAAAAACAATTAATAAAAAGCATCTTTATTCTTATCTAAAAACTACTCTTAAACTTGACGATTCCCAGTGGTATTAGTGTCGGACATTATTTTGATGAATCCATAAAATCTGAAGATAGTTAACCGCAGTACTTCTTTATGCGCAGTAATATCTTCCTGAGCATTAACCGCAGTATAATGACTATTTCTTTAATTAAATATAAATAATAACTACTGCGGATAATGCGCAGTATTAGTTTAGAAAACTATATAAGACAATTCAATTCATATTAATAAAAGGTATCTTTTATCCTCTCTTTGATTTTACGTATACTCCTTGATCCCCAGTGGGTTTGACCTTTTGACTTTGTTATAATAAAAGGAAGACCAACCCAGATCGGGAACGACATTGGTCCTGCGACTTAGTTACAAGTTCCAGAAAAGAAAACCAGATCGAGACTTGACAAAAATAATACTCAACTCGGAACTTCTATTCGAGGGAATAAGGAAAAAAGGATGCCATGACCTGGAATCGAACCAGGGTCAGCGCGGCCACAACGCGACGTACTGCCACTATACTATCATGGCTTCACATGATTTATGTGGTAGCATATAAAACATAGCACAAAAATGACATAAGATAAAACAGACAACAAAGTATACTTAATAATAAAGTATGGTTAAAGAAGTATGATCAAACAAACAAAATAATATAGTAGATAAAAGATAATTGCATTATAATCAAATCGTGATTGATATCTACACCATTTATCTTCGAATGTTTATTTAAATGTCTTATCTGATATAATGTCTGTTGTGGTGGTTGAAGTTGAAGAAGTTTTTAAGAGGAAGAATTGAAAATTTGAGATTAGGAATGAAGATTCGTGAGAACTTGTGTAGGTTTTGTTTATTGAGAAAGGATTTTGTATCAAAGTTTGACTAGGTTCCTACACTGAACTACTACTGCTATTTATATTGTTTTGGATTGGGAAAATTATATGACTGGGGTCAGGTAATCGATCCTATCTGAGCCTTAATCAGAGCAACGTGATCTTGGGATAATTAATGTATGATTAATTATATAAATGTGTGTAGTCCCAATGAAGTATTAACATTGAAAGTAAATGTGTTTATGAGTTATAATTATGCTTATAATAATCCACTGATGTATCCCATATTATGGGGATATCATGTGGTGATCCAGACACTCGGATGTTGGATTTATCACATATAAGAACATATTCATATTGGGATAGCGTAGTAGCTATCATCTTGTCAGTATAAAATATATATAAACGATTAAGTAATCAGCCCAATAATTATTACAGTTAGTACTGTAGATAATATCTTAAAGATTGTTAAGATAATTATATCATACTGCCGGGTAAACTGTGTCAGATCGATATGGAGCTAATTTAGTAGGAAGTCCTAAAGCTCTAGTATAAAAGAGAAAAGAATAGCTAAGAGCTAAAGAAGTACGATTTATGACTTGATGTCATAATTGTAACACCGACACTAGTTAAGCAGTAAATACACTCTAATAACCAAATATAGTAAAGGAAGAAAGCCTTAAGAAACTAAGACGTAATGACAAGAGCAGATTGTGTTTTCTTATAAAAAGGGACACTTTTTATTTATGAATAAAGACAACTTATATACAGTCTCAAAGTATTTCTATGCGTCTCTATTATCAAATATTTTATTTTTCTATTGTTTCGTACCTGAAATACCACATATCATCATATGAAATATAATCACTATCATGCATGCTAAACCTGTGTATTAAATAATAAAGTAATCAGTAGACACCTTTGACTGGAATAGCTGAGGCCTTATATTATTTCTTTCAGACTTATTCTCAATTACAGCAGTAGTCAATACTCATTTACAACACTCATAAACATATTTACTTTCTATGCTAATACTTCATTGGAACTGCAACTATATTATATAATTAATCATATATTAAATATCACTATAAAATAAATTTTGATATTAAAAATATAATATAGTGCAGTTATATAGAATATTTTTTATTTTATTTAGTGAATACTATTTAAAACTAATTTGATACTAAATATCATTTATATTTATGACTCTATATGTTAACTGTATTACTACTGTTTAGATACTAATTGATCATAAATGTTAATTACTAGAAATGCATATTAAACTAGCTCAAATGAAAAAATCAAAGATCTTAAATTAATTATTTTGATTAATAAAAAAAAACTTAATAATACAAGATTGTTGTTACTATAATTATTAAAACTGTTAACTAATATATACTATAAGTGGTAAGTAGTTGAATATTCTTTATTTATTCATCTTTCTCCTTTTAATATTGATATATTTGTAGAAATTGGTAAATAAATAAAGATCAGTTAAGCTATGTTAGAATACCCAAATCATATGATCTAAAGTTGGAATAACAATGTTTTACTGTCTAAATTCTGCAGTAGCAAAACAGTATCATTTTTTTTTTAATTGCAAGTGGCCGATGAAAGAGTTTTTTGGCAATAATATTTTCCATATATATAGTCAGTAGTTGTGTCTCATGTTTCTCTCCTAAATTTTAGGTATATTATTTATATATATTACTAAATACTGCTAATTTCAGTACGAGGAGAAGTACTATAACCTATTAAAAATACTAAATGTTTATTCAGTCTATCTTTTGTTTATTATAAAAAAAAGTAGTTTGTATCTTATTTTATGTTACTTTGAAAATGTGAGCATATTTCAAAAAATACAATTTCCATAAAAATTGTAAACAATAAAGAAAAAATGAATACTAAATAACTCTAACCAGCTTCCCATACTTTTTTTTTAATTACATGGGTGTTCGAGGATTGACAGGTCTACTGGCGCGATTTGCTCCCAAATCAATTCAAACAGTTAATGCAAACGAATTAGCTCATCAAACAGTTGCAATTGATGCAAGCTGTAATTTAAGCAAGTTCATATATGGAGATGAGCCTCATCCCCACAAACACATCTTTGGATTTTTTATGCTTGCACGATTTTGTGAGATCAACAATATAAAGCCAATTTTTATTTTTGATGGCGCTTCTCGGATACCTGCAAAGAAACTTGAGCTAGATCGACGGGATCGTGCTAGAAACAAAGTAGATCATTCGCTTTTATTCGAGGTGGAACGGAATCTACGATTAGATGCTTTGTTTCAGTCTTCATCAAATAAAGAATCTTTATCGAATGATGCAGTTATACGAATTCTAGCTCGTCTAGATCAGACACAAGATACACTTACCGATGCTCATGCCCAGGTAAATAAAAATATTGTCGAGAAAGCAGATAAACCTTCACTTGAGGCGAAGCTATCGGAATGGGCTGATGGTATCAATCAAGCAGCGGTGTTATCAGAAGATCGTGAAAAGTACACGCAAACAGTACGGAATCTTACAGCAAAGGAACGGGATACTATGTCAACCATTGTACAAGATCAATTGAATAGTGTAAAGTCTTTTTTGAGTCCATTGATGGTAGAAAATGAATATCTCCTCTCTTCTCTCGGTAACTAATTCCCACTTGACTTCCTTTAACATACGAACTCACCAGATTAATTAGAGAAAAGATCTATTCGGGTAACTCAGCAGTTGCGAGAAGAGTGCCAGTTTTTCTTGGAGTCTCAAGGGCACCTGTGCTTCTCCTGTGAAGACCATGAGGCCGAGGCGATGTGCGCTCATCTCGGAAAGACGAATAGAACAAGTGCCACAGTGTCAGAAGGTAGACTGAATGTCAAAGAGAGAGAGAGAAAGCTTTTGCTGAACAATATTAGACCTAGATACTATTGTTTTTGGAGATACACCAATAATACGACACTTTTTCTCTAAAGGAAAAGACTCTTTTATGATTGACCCTATTGTTGCACGCCGGGAGCTTGGATTGACAAAAGAAAGCTTTATGGACATGTGTATTTTGTGTGGGACTGATTTCTCGACAAAAATTAAAGGAATTGGACCTATACGTGCCCTTCAGCACATACAAAAATATGGATCCATTGAGAATATTCTCGAGAATATGACCTCAAAGTATATTCCAGAGGAAGGGTTTGATTACAAACTTGCGAGAGAGGTGATACTTAAATAACCATAACTGTGGAAATGAATGCTAAATTTCTTTCACTTTCCTTTTTATTCTTTATTTGGCCATTAGGTCTTCTCTACCCTACCTCCTATTCCACTAAAGGACAAGGACTATGCACAGCCTATTGTGAGCAAGAAACTTTCTGAACGAATGTTAGAGTTTTATGAAATTGATGTAGTTGATGTGGAAAACCGCATTCGAACTATAATATTCCAGCAAGGCCTAGGCCTACACAATTGGGAATCTGACCCATTTTCTAGTAAATGAAGCTTACATATATAATAATATAATATAATATGATGTTTTGTGTTTTATTTTATTACGTGCAGAAAATTGTGTGGATATGTTTATAGAAAAGTTCAAAGTTCATCGTGATATTTGAAACCATTTGAGTACTGTGGAACCCTGAGGTCTTCAGGTAAACCAAAGCCATAGCATCCCCAGGATATAGTAGAAAAGTAATCTTCCAAAAGCTTAATTCCTTTATCTTCACCTGCTGCACCGAGGGCAACATGGAAGGGTACCAAATGTTCTGCTGTAGGGTGACAGTCTCTGAAGTTTGGGTGTTGGTCCAATGTGCTTGCTGCCTTATTACGCTCCCCACCCTGAAAATATTTGTTCAAGAAAAAAAAAGACATTCAAAATAAGAATTTCTTGTTTAATAAATTTATATCTAATCTACTTGCCTTAAGAGTACATGCATATTTCTCCATTGTACGGTCGAAATCAATCGCATATTTTGGAGATGGCTTGTCTCCATAAGACCACAGGAGGCGTAGGTTGTGAACAGCACTCCCACTGCCAATTATCAGGATATTTTCGTCTCTTTTTGAAGACATGGAGTAAGTTATAATTGCTACCCGGCCACACACACGTATATGTATATGTCTTTACCTCAAAGGTGCTAACGCTTCTCCCATACTAATGTGCATTGTCATATTCTCATGACTAAAGGTAGAAACTTCAACAATGGGAATCCCACCAGTTTCTCTCATGGCACGTTTCAGAGGTACCCAGACTCCGTGATCATTGCCGTAACGTTCGGCGGTAGCTTGAATACCCGACTAGAAACATTGTTTTAGCTATAATCTAGAATATTCCCCACAAAATTAATTACCTTTTTAAGCATTCCTACAATACGGGAAGCCAATTCAGGTTCTCCTAGCTGGTCCCAAGTTTCCGAGTAAAAATGTTTTGGGAAGCCATAAAAATCGTAGATAAGTTCAGGTTTTGTAGAAGAGTCCACTGTAATAAATTAATCAATATTAATATACATATATGTTAATATAAATGAGTATGAAACTATAATCTATCCTCTATTTTTATTCTAAGTCTCACCAGAAATCCCTGATTTCCCTTTCCCTTGCCAATGTGCGCTTATAACCACAATTGCCTTGGGCTTTATGACATTCTTAATATATTTTCCAAGCCAGGTGTAAAACTCTCCCTAAAGCACAAAAAAGAAAAAGTTAATCAATATAACTTGAAGTTGACAATATTGGGTATATTCAGTCTTACTGGTTTGCCTTTATCTTCCAACAAGGTAGGGCCTATATAGATATGAGCCAAATAAACTTATTCCAAGCAATTAACTTACCTCCATGAGAAATGAAGAATACAGGAGCTCTTTTGATAGTTGAAACTGAGGTCATGTTGAATGTGAATGAAGGAATGAGGTTTGATTTGAGCTTCATTAAATACTCGGTGGAATAGCGCTTGTCCGGATGAATATATCCGCGAATTGGCCGGTCAGCCGCGCTCAAAAACTATAATTTTTGCCTTTTATATTTTAGAAACCTGTTGAGTCAGCAAACAGTAAGCAGACTGAAATTGACTGATAAACTATCGTCATTTAAATATCAATACATCTGGTGTGGACAGACTAAAAGTTCAAAAAAAGGGGCAAAAAAGGGTAAAACAACTTCATCCAGAACTTAGTCGATCAGACTAATTTATGACTGTCCACACCTTTTTTTTTTTAAAAAAAAAAACAAAGTTCAAAATTAGTTCCAAATACATATTAGATAAAATTGTGCATATAATCCCGTCTCTGTAATTAAGTGAGAACCTTTTATTGCGAGTTTTCCCAAACCTATCATTATATGGCACGTCTCCATAAAAATGCTTCTATTCTCAATCCTAGTGGCCATGGAAGAAGACTAACTAATTAAAATCGATTAAAGATTTGCCCAATGTTATGACTTAAGATTTTGCTCTTGTTTTTTTGGCCTTTTTCGAACTTTTAGTCTGTCTACACCAATCTTTTTCACTATTCTTCTTATAATTATTAAAGAATAACGAGTATAATTAAATTATTAGATGAATTATTGTATGAGTTACATGTTGATTATTATTTTTATTAATATAAAAAAAAACGAAACAAAAGTGTATTTTAGAGATGGTTATTTTTGGTTGTACAAATCCAATAAAGTAAATTTATCAACAAAAGGGGAATATATGCCTAACTCTCCCAGTAAGGCTTTTCCATTTTCAAACACTGATGTACTGTGGTAACATTAAATGCTTCTTGCATACGAGGAAGCCACTTCATAGCTACACGTACAGTTGTATCAGAAAGTTCATGCTGTAGTCCGATATGGCCATTATCATTATTCTTTCCGGCAACTTGATCGGCGATCCACTGTTCAAAATATCCATCCACATCTTTGGGGGTAAGTGTACTTCCGGGGGAATCAAGTTGCCAATCTTGTGAGTCTCGGGTCCAGAGAACTGTCCGAAGTCCCATCTGGTGAGCAATTCCACGTACTCGGTCATCTACGTCGCCATAAGGAGGGCGCCAGCACTTAGATGTAATACCAGTAGCTTCTTTAATGGCACGCAGATTCCAGTATAGCTCAGCAACAATCTGCTCGTTTGTTCTGGTAGTCATTGGAGGGTGAGACCACGTGTGGAGGCAAATATCATGTCCACTATCTATGGCACGTTTAGCAATGTCAGGGTAAAGGGCCACATTGGAGCCAACATCTATATGTCACAAAAGTAAAAATAAATAAATAAACATATGAATCCCGGTTGTAAAGCTGTATACTTACAGAACAAAGTAGCTTTTTGATCATTCTCATTAAGGAACTTGTAAAGATCAGGTTCTTCCCAGGAATCACTGCTCGAATCTTCAGACTTGTTTGGTACCATAGGTCCATCATCGTAGGTCTAAGTCAATTCTTTAGTTTCCTATTCGTGTATTTGCATTTTTCAATAAATTACCAAACCAAAATGACCCGGAGCTGGACATTCGTAAATATCCACTGGAAGATAATCTAATTTTGGTTCCACACATCCAGTGGCAGACCACCAGCAGCTATCGTCAACCAAGACATCATACTTTGACATATCTAGATCCCCGGAACTAGTTGAATTTCGGACAGGTATATTGGGAACGTATTCCCAGTCAATGGATTCCAAAACCTTTTCGATGTCAGGTCCATCAACAGGTGGAGTGGCCCATGTTGGAGGATAATCCTTGAGTTGAAGCTTGGACTTCTTTAAGATGGGACCTTTAGGAGGTATTCTAGGGAACAGGTTTAGAGTATCAAAGTCTGGAAGGAAATTAGGTGCCTCAACAGGAAGAATATTTCGCATGATTGGAACTTCATCATCGTCATGTTCAGCTTCTTTGCCTTTGCCTTTGCCTTTATCCTTGTTTTTGTTCTTGCCCTCATTTTTATCATCGTCGTCATCTTCATCGTCTTTTTCACCTTCGCTCTTGCTCTTGCTCTTGCTCTTGCCCTTGCCCTTGTTCTTGTTCTTGTTCTTGTTCTTGCTTTCATCTTTATCATCTTCGTCATCTTCGTCATCCTCATCGTCTTTTCGACCTTTGCCCTTGCCCTTGTTCTTGTTCTTGTTCTTGTTCTTGCTTTCATCTTTATCATCTTCGTCATCTTCGTCATCCTCATCGTCTTTTCGACCTTTGCCCTTGCCCTTGCCTGTCTTGTAATCATCATCTTTATTGTCATCATCATCTTCTTCCCAATCATCATGATCTTTGTGGCTCCAGTCGTCATGATGATCGTCGTGATCCCAATCTTTGTATTCATCTATGTCCTTGTGGTCCCAATCATCGTGGTGATCTCCATGATCCCAGTCATCATGGTCATCCCAGTCGTGATGTTCCTTGATATCCTTGTGTTTCCAGTCATTATCATCACCATCCCAATTGTCATGAGGAGAGGCTTTCGCCAAGAGAGCAAATGTGGCAACCATGCCAAGCAAGAATATAGGCTTTACCATGATGTATTAAACGTTATTAGATAGATAGGGAATATTCTTATTCAAGAGATATACGTATGTTATAAAAGAAAGTAATTTCAGTAATAAGCGTTCAATTGTGCTTTTATATATCTATAGCAAAAACCACCGAGACTATCATACTATTTCAATCTGTCTCGATACTTGTTTGTTCAAGCTTTTCATTCTTCGGGCCATTTCTTCATATTTTTTTTGAGAGATCGGTATTTTACAATAAAACTAATATACAAATGTAGACATCACTCCAAAAAGAAGGAAAGAAAAGTTTGTAGTAATCTATTCTGACTTTTCAGCATCCTCGGGGCGTAACCGCATTGCTTTGTAGAGGTTAATGTCATTCTCCTCGGGAGTTGTACCGGCTCCTTTGTAATTTACAGCCTTGAGAAATTTCTAATCCAATTTTGCATGTCAGATTTAGTGTCTTTCTGAATTATTATACACCAACCTTCTGCTGGTGATAACAAGTCCAAAAGCGTTGTTTCTGATCTTCACACATTTTTGCCTTATCCCACCAACTACCGTCCTTAAAACAGGTAAAAAGCTCTTCATGAAGATCAGCACAGTTCTCCAAGGCTGTTTCGTGAATCTCTCTCTTCTGATCCATAAAATCACGGACTGCCCATTCTATTTTAGGGTTATTTTGATCCTTTAATTTCTGTTCGTCTTTAGGAGTCTCATTAGTCTGGATCGGATTGACTGTGGGGAGATGAAGTTTGAATTGCTGAGAAGGAGTGGGAGCTGGAGAAGTGTTTGGTTTGGAGGAAGAGGAGGATGCTTGTGTAGGTGCTTTGGTGGGGTCGTATTGCGGCTGCTGTTCAGAAAGGTATCCATCGACATCTGGTTGACTCTCCTTGACGTAGGATTCTACATAATCGCGTGCGGAACCCTTATTTTCTGTCATAATAGAGATCTATATTTTGAGAGAATTGTTTACAGACCAATACGGTAACTTAAAATTAGAAGAAGGGGATCGTGTAGCAAGTCACAATCCTCCGATTGAAGAAAACCCTATATTCTGCAAACCAAAAACCTCAAAGATGGGCTGTGAAATTAAGCCCATGATGAATTGCCAGAAACAGTGGTACCGCTATTTACACCGGTTACGTCACTCAGAATTGTGCCTATCCCAGAAACCATCCTTCTTTCTCTTCTACTTTTCACAGACAGAAAGTAAAAAATAATAATAAAAATACAATCAAGTGAATCCATTGAAATGTTCCGTCAAACTCCTGGAGTCGATCTCAATGAATTTCCCGCCCTTGGTACTCCTCCGACAAGCAATAGAGGCAATCCCGCAACAACAGGACCAATGCCCTCGGGTCGCCTAGCAAGCTACGCATCCACAGCTGGAACGAATGTAAACGCAAACCACCTTCAGGAAACCTTGATAGGCAACGGAATGGCTATGAATGATTATGGCATGCAAAACTCATCATCCATGGCATATCAAACACCACCAAATGGATTTCCGTTGCCAACTGATCAACTTGGGCGTGGTCTGGGTCCGAGGTCATTCTCTGTAGATGACTTCCCAGCACTTCGAAACCCTGACAACGCATTTGGTAACGCGATAGCAAATGAACCAAGTCCGATGAATGGTAAACCAGAACCCTGGAGAGAGTATTCTGGCCCACGGGAAGGCAATAAGCAGTATGGAGCAAAGAGTGGGGCAATGGAGACAGCCCAATGGGTAAGTCCTCAAAGCAATCTTTTGGACCTCAACTCAAGTCCTGTCTAGCTACAAGGACGCCAAGACACGTCATTACCGCAGCTCGCGCCAGGGTCAAGGAAGACTATGGAAAGCAGAGAGGCAGGAAAGGAGAATGAAAATGCACCAAGTTGGAGTGAACAGGGTGAAGCAGATCCCTACGGTTTACTCGGTCTATTAGGTGTAATACGGATGACAGATCCTGATAGGAGTATGCTGGCATTGGGCAGTGATCTGACAACACTCGGTCTTGATCTGAACACGGCAGAGTGAGTAGATTTGTTTTTTTTTCTATTGGCTTTTATGTCAACTAAGCAAGCGGACGAGTTTAGTACAATCTACTCCACGTTTGTATCTCCGTGGTCGGATACTCAGACACCACCAGGACTCAATGTTGAGCCTGGCTACTATCTACCATCTTGTTACCGGAGTGTAAAAGCAACGCCAGACGCTCACATGCGAATGAGGACATTTTCAGAAGATGTACTCTTTTACGTATTTTACTCAATGCCCAACGACATTGCCCACGAAGCAGCCGCACAGGAACTGTAAGTTGCATGGTTCGATGAGACCAAAGTTCCATCAAATTCACATATTATCCAGCTACAACCGAAATTGGCGCTATCACAAGGAGTTGGGTCTGTGGTTAACAAAAGAGGCGGATGATAATGGACGACCTGTATCTGTGTTCCGAAGAACGCCTGCAGGTGCGATAGAAAGAGGAATTTTCTCTTTCTTCGACCCAGCAGTGTGGCAAAAGGTAAAGAGGGAATGGACACTCTCATGGGATATGCTCGAGGAACGACCACCACAATCGCAATCGCAGCCACCACAGCAACACCAGGGCTCAGCTACTGCTAATAGAGGTGTCATGATCTAGAGCGTATTTTCTCTTTCTTTCTGTAAGCAGACAAACAAACAAAGCCAAAAAAAAACCCCCCCAAAACAAAAGAATCAGAACCAGAAGTGTGTCCCTCTAGAGACCTTCATCTCCTTTGCTAACCTTTCTCTTTTGGGGATCTATTATCAATTGTTGGTGGTATTAAGGGTAATATAGTGTACAATGGATAAGTAAAAGAAGTAAATATAGGGGCGTGAAAGAAAATGGGTATCATTAAGGAGATTCTGGACAAACACATCTTTTTTATATATATCTTGGCTCTTGTCCATTGGCTACGCAAAATACATTCTCAAGAAGAATTATATGCATTTCAAACCTCCTTTATTATTGACAGTAAACTGCCCAAGATGAATAATATTCATTATAAGTATTTTTGGGTATTATTACAGCGAGTAACACATCAGCAAAATCATAAACCGGTCTTACGGTTCTAAATTATCAAACCGAGAATAGTCTTGGTGTTTTCTCAAATACAAAGGGCCATATTCATAAAAGCTGCACTAAAGTTAAAATATACTATAAAAATTAAGACTTGAATAGAATAGACATGTTCAAGAAATAATTAAATAATATTCTGTAATACCGAGGATCATTTCTAGCTATACATTCTGATTATGTCAAATATAAACCTAGAGGCAGAATATTATTCTACCTTCTTTTTTAAGGAAGCTTTTATCAAAGTAAGAAAACATTTTAAGTCTGTCTGTCTGTTTGCTTGCTTGTGTTTTTTTTTTATTTTGCTTTGAAAGTACAAAAATACCTTAGAAATTATCAAGCGTAAGTTTGGTAGAAATCCTTGCTGGTTAATAGTTATTTTTTTTTTGAATTTTATTTACAATTATAGTATACAAATAAGAATAATTACTTCACACAAGCTTTGCGTTTATTGCAAACAAACTATATACGAGTTCAAATTTGTTTTTCTATACGACTTTTCGCTTTTATCCAAGCTGGATGTAAAATAGTGTCTAATATTTCAGAAAATTCGGTAATAAATCTCCATTTACCCCATGATTGATAATATTATAAGACATACTTTCAAAATATTTTTAACAAGGTGCTCATCTAAATATGCTTCTTGAATTTTTAAACCAACGAGCTATTCACATAAGTAACCAGCATAATAAAATAATTAAATTGGACGCCCGGAGATCACAAAAAAAACAGAAAAAGAACAATCGACAAAGACCGGATACTAATTGATACACAATCTCTAATGCTATGTCGTTTGTCTTCTCCTAAGCCGTTATGGTAGTATTAGTAAGTATGATGAGTTACAGTCTGCCTTTTTGAGGGCTATTTCATGCCTCTACCAGAATCCACTCGCACAAAGTAATGCGCATTAATCTCTTGAACCGTCACATTTTGTTTCCAAAATAAAGTTCCTTTACCTACTGTGACGTGACTGGTCATAGCCTAGCCTCCAAGCAAAAAAAAATACCTTATGCTACCAATGAAAATAATATATATATATATATGAAAACATGCAAAAACTCATAAGAATTTACCTTGCAGTGCTAAATTTAATTACGTTCAGATGATTTAAAGAAGTGCGAGTAGAATTATCCACAAAATATTTGTGTACAAAACAATAGGTTATTTATTAGCCATATCTTTGCGTCCTTTAAAATTAAGTCTGGGCTAAGAGCGAAGGTATCTTTAAAAATTAGTATCGTTTTGGATCTAACACAACCTTTTTTTTGTATTTGGAAGCTGGTATCATTATCCCACTATTTCCCGAGGATAACTAAAGTTGGCCACATTATTTATCAATAGTGGTGTATTCAAATTGATATCTTGTAAAATAAATAAATAAGCCCAGAAAAAAGAATCGCCTTATGGTAGCATAGATTTCGATTTCAAATAGGATGATCTTGTTACGACTTTAAACATATTGAAACAAAATGAGAAAAGAAAGACCTATTTTCAGGCAATTTTTTTTCGTGACTGTAGTTGGCCCCCCCCCTTTTTTAATAAAAAAAGGAGAAAAAGAAAGAAGTGTAAATGAGATTGAAACATTAACAGAATGTCAAACAGTAATTGCATCCAAGAGATCGTACCCCGAATCTTCCTTGGTACCTTTTCAGCAGGTCAATCCCGCGCGGTTCTCAATCAGCACAAGATCACACACATTGTGGCCTTGGGCGATTTTACCCCACTTTACGATGACAAGATCTACTTGGTAGTGTGGATTGTATCTTTTATCCGGATTAGGTTACTAATATTGGAGTAGAATGTGGATATTATGGATCTCCCTGGAGCAAATATAATCCAGCACTTTGATGAAACCTCTAACTTTATTGAAGACGCTTACAATAAAAATGGCGTAATATTGGTTCATTGCGAGGCAGGCGTATCTCGCAGTCCTACTGTATTAGCCGCCTATTTTATGCGATCCAAAGGCATCAAGCCAACTGAAGCACTCGAGATGATAAAAGCCAAGCGGCCTATCATCTCTCCTAATAACGGCTTCCTGGCTCAGCTGGTGCTTTATGATCGCCTAAAATATGATGTCGACACACGCCACACTGATTACAGACGCTTCTTGGTAGCAGCTATGGCAGAAGAACAAAAAGGTATATATTAATGCTTTGCGTATACATAAGCATGGAAACTTATAGAGATATATGTCATAGAGAATGGATATATCCAGCACTTTGCTCTTGCGCCTGATCCAGAGTATGTGTCCGGTTACGATTCTTCTAGTACAAATACTAAGCCTTACACAGCATTGAGATGCAGAAAGTGCAGGTAAAAAGGGGTGGAGATTAACAAGGAGAGGGTCTATACTGACGTGATTCTCAGACGTGTTCTTGCAGAGGCAGACAATGTGATTGATCATGAACGTGGACAAGGCCAGGGTGCGTTTGCTTATTTGAAGCGGGATTCGAGCATCAATGCAACCGAGAGTGCAATTGTCGGTCTGAGCGAGGCTGGTCCTACACACGATACTGTAAACAAGGCTATCAACCCTCTACTTGCTTCTTTAGCATCTTCAAATTCTAGTTGTTCGTCTTACTTTGTTGAGCCAATGGAATGGATTCACGGCCTTCAGAATGGCGAATTTAATGGCCGTATTGAGTGCCCTAAATGCTGCTCCAAGTTAGGCTCCTACAACTGGTCTGGCGAACAATGTTCGTGCGGTCAGTGGGTAACACCTGCGTTTATGCTTCATCGCAAACAGGTTGATGAAATCAAAAATGTCAAGAGAAAATAAATTCTTGTGAAAGCTACACTCCTTTTCTCTGCGAGTGTTGTTCACTGTATTCACTGTTCCTTAAAGGATTTTCTATCATGAGTTGGGGTGATGTCCATTCAAGTCAAACATTTGTTTATAACCTGGTCTCTCAATCATAGCACCTTACTTGTTATTTCATTGCTCGCTTAGATACACATCCCTTTGATTAATTTCCAGATGACAGGATCCTCAGAGCTTTCTCTCTTTCTCGACAATCATAAATCCTTTTTGTACCCAACTACAGAGTCACCCATCAATATTTATTCGATACCCCGTGCAGTAGATGAACCCATGCCGATGCTTGACTATTCTTTCGAGGATTTCAACTACCCTTTCTACACCACATCTTATCGTCCAATTCCACCTAGTGCGATCTTTAGTTCATTTCTCTACGACACATTTCAGCCTGTACCATGGCAAGACAATACCTTTGGCCAAACAACGGATTCACCTGTACTTTCAGTAAACCCAAAAGCATCTTCCCACACTAGTCGACCAACACTTACGGTGGATACCCAAGATTTTACCCAATTCTACACTCAGCCTTACTATATACCTTTACAAGGTCCAGTAAGAGAGCACAGAGGAATAGAATCATGGAACACACCATATATTTCAGGGTGTATTAATCACCACAACTCTGAATCCCTGTGCGGTGGTAGTGAAAATCACAACAGCAATATTACACCTTTCAAATCTTCTCTTTATTCTCAATGCAGCGCACCAAATTGCTACATTTCCTCCAGCATAATAAGTCAGATATCTGATAAACCAAAAGACGCAAAGAAATATATATGTCCAATATGCTCTCATCGGTAATCCTATGTTTCTGAACTTGGGTCAATGTGAATGTTATTTTTTTTTACGATTAATTTCTTCTTTATAACCTAGGTCTCAGCGACGCCATAACTTGCTTGAGCATATTCAGACACATAATTCTAATCGCATCAAAAGGTTTTCTTGCATTCATTGTAATCGCCCGTTTGCAAGAAAGTACGACATGAGAAGACATGAGAAGATACACACACGGGCCAAGCATAGCTCCCATTAGGATTTTTATTACTTATACTTTATTTATACTTGGCATTTCTGGTGTCTTTACTATTACTATTACTATTACTATTACTATTACTATTACTATTATTATTATTATTATTATTATTATTATTATTATTATTATACCACACAAGCATAGTTAGAATTAGCCAAAATTGAAGTTACAGAAATAGGTTTATTTGTACGAGTTTTTAGATATTTATATTTATTCCACAGAGCAAAACTCATTAATAATATTATATACATATATATATCGTACGAGCTACAAAATGAGAGACCCAAAGCGTTTATGCTTCACTTGGTTTGATTACCCAAAAATTGTTTCTTTTTATTTTCCCTTGGGGGCCAGAAAGACCGCTTTCACGAGCGATTTTGTGTGTGTGTGTACGTGTTTATAAAGCTCCTGATTGTCATACCATGTTTTAGTCGTCTCAGGAAACCAAGCGTTTGATTGCATGTGTTTATAAAGATAAATTGTATTAAAGCTTCAGAGCAACAATTTTTGATTATCAATGTCTTCCACTATTAGCGATCCACAAGAGACCCTGTCTTTTCTATGTACACTGGACCCAGTTTCTCTATCCTGCTTTGAAAATTCTGATTTCGACATTATCGGTAACGGTCGTCTCTTGGTTTTGGTGACTTCTCCGGACAACCCCAGTCAGGCTATTGTTCTACGATTCTTCGATGATGATGATCAAGAGTGCGCATTCTCCGTACTCGAACCTCAAACAAAAATCTGGCTTCAGCAACAGGATTTACTTATGGTACCCCGTCATGAAGGAGGGTTCTGGAGGTTTGATTTCAGGTAAAAACAAGCACGATCATATTACTACACAATATATTACTGACTCATTCGATAGTGCTTCAGACCAAGAGACCTTCTGTACATTTCAGGATATGTTAACTCTTTTCTTAAGATATCAGAACCGACACAACATACGAAATGCGTTGGTAATGATCGATGCTGAATCTTGTAAGCTTACGCAAGTGATTGCCAAAGATATATATCTTCAAGGACCTCGTCCCGAGGATAGTCAGGCAATAATCGACGAAAAGATGATTGATAAGAAGTTACCCATGGTTGTACAACGTATGGACGAAATACAGGTGAGGTGCAATGCGCAATGCGCAATGTACAATTTGAAATTTAAATTTCATTTAACTGAGATCTATACTGGAACAGACAATTGGGATCGATCCCTTAAGCAAGGCCAGGGTACGCACTATGTATCGAACCGGAGATGCTCTAGTTACCGGATCAAACTGGCTCGCTAGTGCTCTTATCTATGCTGGTAAAACAGTCGCACGGGAGATTGAAAGGTAAAGCAACCAAAAAAAAGTTCAAGTACAGTATGCAACAGTAGGTGAAAAACAACACACATGCTTACACTGTATTCCTATTAGCCGAACGACACAGATTGAAACCACAGCTGAACCTTCAAATACTGCATTAAATATGGGTGATAATGAGCGTTATTGTCTTGATGTGATTCATCAAGGCACTGGCATAGTACAAAAGGGTAAGCACAATTAAAGTACTCATATACCCACAGTACTTATTTTTAGTCTGGTTTTCTTTGGTGTAAATATAGCTACCGCTAGTTGGCTTAGTAGTGCATTTTCTGCTACCATCTCTGGAATAAGTAATATGTACACAGATGAATCTCTAGCATCATCAGACCCTGTTCAAAGCGCTTCACGACACTTGGGAATTTCTACACTACATGCAGCTACAGCTATTGCCAGCGGTGCAGCTATTGCAGCAGGCACTATTCTCGCATCATCGGGAAAGGGAGTCGTTCAAGTTATTAAGAAAAAATATGTACTGCCCCGAGGAAAGCCTTCCGTCCGTGAAATTCCTCGAGCCCCACACCAAGATGTACTTGTCTATTTTGACGGAAATGGAATGTCACGACAGGTGGTTGTGCAAGATGATCCTGACAATTTTTCGTGGGATCAGCTAAATTCAGATGAACGTTCAGAAAATGAATATGACTGGTCTCGTCAAGAAGAAATGTCTCAGGAGACAGGAGATACAGTTGAATTGTGGTTAGATTCATGGCCATTACCACCAGCTAATGAATCAGAAACATCCTATGAAGATGTGTCATGTGTGGAAAGGGATGACACTGAAAACAATCCTCTTGTCAAAGGAAACGTGTGTGTATATGTATAAATTAAAGGTCTCTTTCTTGGATGTATAAATAAAACAGTAAATATATAAAGAAATAAATAAAATGGATATAGTGTATTCGGCAATGAATGAATGTAGGCCTCTATTATTTACGGATGACATATTCCGCCCGGTTAAATAATTTCCCACAAGAAACGTGGGCTTGATTTTTCTTGTGTTTGTAAACGAACTGTTGTACAAGGTTCTCAAAGAAAGCTCTTCTTCTTTTTTTGGTTATGTTGGGGAACGATGATTACAGTTATATATAAAAGAGCAAGTAAATCAAATAAGATTAAGTAAGCCGAGAAGATAGAACAGATATAGTGAATATACAACTGACAATTGATTCCAAATACACCTTAAGTATAATTTTATAATGTATTCATTAAAGCAGATCAATAGATCTCTTAAGTTATCATGGTTATATCTATATCTCTTCAACTTGGAAAGTAAATAGTGACCTACTTGGTTTTTTTGTCAATAAATATAGTTTTTCTTCTTCTTTTCATACTGAATTATCGCCATTAGCATTTATAACATAGATCTAAACATAGTTCTACATGAGGATTGTTGGATAGTAGGCCATATCAGTTCCTGTTCCAAGGCTTCGTGCTGAAATGAAAGTAAATCAGTCTTTACTAGATTATGTAGAGTGACCAATCATTATGACAACAAGAAGATACGGTATTATAAGCTTCTATATAAGGTTGTAAACCGTAGAGAGATTTTGCTTACTGCAGTCCGTTTCAGCATAGAAAGCGTACGATGATACATCCGTAGCGGAGAGGATGGAGACCAAAAGATAGATGAATATAATGTTCGAACACAGCAATGAATCTATATTACCCCACCCCACCCCCACTCCAATCCCCATTTATACCCATACCCATGCCAATGTCCCACTACACGCAAGTTACCAGAAGAGTGAACCGTATTTTCATTAATATTTAATGTCCCATCGTTTCGTCGTTTGTTCTTTACTTATTGACCCCCCACTCTGCTAATAGCTCTAACATCTTATGAAATATACACCCGAACAAGTGGCAACACACAACTCGCTCAATGATTGCTGGATCATCGTTCAAGGCAAAGTGTTTGACATAACAAACTTTTTGAGTGAACACCCCGGAGGAAAAAAGGTTCTTGTCAAGGTTGCCGGAAAAGACGCCACTAAACAATTCAAGCAATTCCATAACGATGCTATAATGGAGCGTATGGGTCTTCCTATGCAAATCGGCGTTGTAGAATCATACAATGATAAAAAAGTTCCAAAGAAAGTAGTCGATGTCTCGGCTACATCCAGTACTGCCGCCACGCCTTTCACCGAACTCGCTCGGAATACAGGTGCTGTACCATATGGAGATCCTAGTTGGTGTCAGGAATGGAACAGGTATCATTTTATATCTAATCTATAAACCGGTGTATAATAAATTATGGTAAAGATTAACCATACTTTATTATTATTATTATTATTTTGATTTGTACTCGCAGCCCCTATTACAAGGAGTCCCATATCAAACTTCGAAATTATGTGCGTCAATTTGTTGACAAGGAAATTACTCCTTTCTGTCATGAGTGGAGCGAAGCCAAAAAAATCCCATCTCACATCATCAAGAGATGTGCCGAAGTCGGACTTTTGAATGCGCTCTCTGGTGCAGGAACCATACCAGCAATGTCCTCTTTGATGCCTTATCCTCTCCCTACTGATATCCAGCCCAAAGATTTTGATATTTTCCACGAAGCCGTATGTATTGACGAACTATCTCGTTGTGGCTCAGGTGGACTTATTTGGGCTGTTGAAGGTGGTCTTTCCATTGGTGAGGACAAAGTTAGGATACTAGAAAATGTTGGATTAACGGATACTTACTTTATATACTATTTAGCATTGCCACCTGTAATGAACTTTGGGTCGCCCGAGATGATTAAAAAAGTTGTTCCTGCATGTCTTTCAGGCGATAAATATATTGCATTGGCTATCACAGAACCTTCTGCTGGATCTGATGTTGCAAACCTTAGTACTTCTGCCAAGGATATGGGTGACCACTTTTTGGTCAATGGACAAAAAAAGTGGATTACTCAGGGTGCTTATGCCGACTATTATGTCGTAGTTTGTCGTACCGGAGGTGAAGGAATGAATGGGATGTCATTATTATTAATCGACCGGGCTACACCTGGTGTGGAGGCCCGTTACATGGACGTCCAGGGAATGTGGGGTTCTGGAACAGCTTATATTGTTTTCGAAGACGTAAGACGATACTGTACGACAGCTGTAATACTAGATACCGTTATTTAATTATAGTATATATAGGTCAAGGTCCCCAAAGAAAACTTGATTGGAAAACTCAACCAAGGATTCAAGTATATTATGCACAACTTTAACCACGAACGCTTGAGTATCATTATCCAGGCAAATCGCCTTGCCCGTGTGTGTGTAGAAGAGTCTTTCAAGGTATATGGTTATGTCTTGGAAGCTATATGTGAATAAATAACTCTAAGCACGGTATTTATATAGTACTCCATCAAGAGAAAGACATTTGGCAAACGCCTAATTGACCATGCTGTCATTAGAAACAAGTTTGGTCATATGATCCGTCACTGCGAGGCTACTCACGCTTGGCTAGAAAGTGTCTTGTATCAAATCCAGACTCTTCCAAAGGAAACCCAAGCTAGTCGCCTAGGTGGTCCTATTGCTCTTCTCAAGGCCCAAAGTACCCAAACCTTTGAATATTGTGCCCGTGAGGCATCACAAATATTCGGCGGGCTTTCCTACACTCGAGGTACTGTCTTTACTTTAAACAGAATATACTTTGTATAGATATATTGATATCCGATAATATGTTTTAGGCGGGCAAGGTGAGAAGGTAGAGCGTTTGTACCGTGAAGTAAGAGCCTATGCTATTCCTGGAGGATCAGAAGAAATTATGCTTGACCTTGGTGTTCGGCAAGCACTAAAGAAGGTGACAGTTGGACAAGCAAAGCTTTGAGGAAATCAAGATGAAATTAGATGGTACAATCACCGTTAATCTGCATACTTGAGCTGATATCATATAACTTACATGGTTTATACAGCATTAAATAAACAGCTATAAATATAATTCATTTCTACAGATTGTGAGATAGTTCTTTTAATTGTTCACCAGTATATTGGACTAGGTTATATTTTTTTATCTAAGTAGATCTTTATACATTTAAGTGTTATGTCCTGAAGTATTTGTCTTTGTCTTTTGCTTTAGTCTTAGTTTACAACCATTGTTGTGTATAGAGTCTAGTACGCGCCTGTGATTTCTCATATACTGCTAAAGATAATAAGGTAAGAGATATATTTGTGGGCCATAACTATATTTGTATATCCACATGGTTCAATATTTTTTTCCCTTTAGCCTTGACCTTAATAAGAAGATTTGTGATAAGGAAGCTAGAGAACAGACCCATTGTCCGGGCCACATATTATTTAGCTTCATCATTGTTGCATAGCAACCTAATTATGCTGGTATAACAATAATATTATCATAGACAATATAAATGTAGATAAATGACATCATTATATGAAATCTTATTTAGAGCAACTGATATTTTCAGGACGTTTAATTATTTATTAAATCAACAATGTTTGAGAACTTGTTCAGATTTTGCTTTCCAAATTATTGCTGCCAAGAATATCAAGAGAATAATTGGTTTATTCGTTTAATTCATAAGATTGCTACCAAATCAGATGCTTTACATCGTTCCTTTGTCATTTAGATTTAGTGTGGAAAGAAAACTGAGTTTTTAAAGATCGCCTTGTGAATCATTTATAGTTGCGACGTACCACAGCTCAATCGCATGTCGTGGATAACAATGGCTTATTTTCAATCTAAAAATCCAGGTTAAAGTAAGATTGAACCTGATTGGCATAAAAAGCCTTATTTCTTTCATTTCTTTTGTGACGGAGTCTACACAGGCGATCTATACCTGGCACTCAAACTTTGGTCGATTTCTCGATTTTTTTTAGAGAGAATTTTTTTTTGTATCGAAGAGTCGGTGAGATGATCCTAAATAGAAACAAATATTGTAACGTCAGTCCCTATTTTGTGACTTTCTTGTACATTTAAGTTTTTTCTATAATGCCATTATCTCATCAATGATCGGCACTTGTGTTTCCTGTATACTTTATAAATACACGCTCTAATAGATTTTGTCTTAAAAGGGTACTTATTTCAAGAAGATAATCCTTAAATACCTACACTCAATTGTTCGATTACCTCGTCTTGGAACTTCTAATTAATTAATTTTTTCTTAATAATAATAATAATAATAATAATACAAATATAAAGACAAATAATAACAGCAAAAACAATAATTCTTAAAGATAAAATATGCCCCAGAAAGTAGAGAGTGACCAAAGACTACCACAAAATAAACACAATGAAGGAAGACCTCAAATCGAGAGACAGATAAGTCTCGGTACAGACGATGAACAAGCTTACTCGGGCGAAGAAACAGAAAGACAAAACGAATTTGATGTTCGCACTATCACAGAAGATTTTGACTGGGGAGGTCGTGATGATGAAGACGAAGAAGACAGACGGGAAGACAAAAGAATCAAGGATAAGAAATCCCTAGTCTCTACACATCTTCTGTTTTGCATTTCTCGCAATGCGTCCAACATCCAATGGATCTGTCTTATACTAGTTGCAGCCATTTTCTTGGCCATATGTGTGGCCGTGTGGGAGGTGTATGGGCATAGAGGCCAAGTTACAACCACATCATATGGATTACAACTTTGGTTTACTTGGATGGCCTTCATGTGGTCAATTGGAATCTTTACCCAAATCATGACCGAAGCAGTACCATGGTTTATAAGAAAGATCGGTACCAGTCTTAGACCCCAGTCAACCGAGGCTCTTCGCACACGTCTATCGGTAGGATTTCATTTTCTGTTTTCCTCTTCATTTTCATCTTAATTTTTTAAATGGCGCTCTTCTTTTATGTTTTGATATACTGACACTCTCGATCTACTCCGCGCACGTTAGTACTACATGGCACTTCGTCTATTCACCAGATTTGTCATCAATGCTGCCTTTGCATGGGGCTCTTGGGCTCTTATTTCCGAATGTGCGCCTCTCCCTGAAGGAACCGAAAAACCAGGCTATGTTCATATATTCTATAGTATATGGGAATGTCTGTTTTTCGCAGCAATTTTACTTTTTGTAGAAAAGCTAATTCTGCAAATGATCGGTAAGACACAAAATCGGGATTTCTCAAAAACACCTTGTACCTCCATTGTCTAACCTTATTGTTTGTACACGCTATCACTATTTTTACTACTACTATTATTACAGTTGTCAATTTCCACAAGTAAGTATCTAATCAGCACACCTATTTGTCACGACAGCTTCTTAAATATACAGTCTCTTCTTTTTCCAGAAAAGCATATGGTGACAGAATTGCCAAGAACAGCCGAGAACTTAAAATACTCGATAACTTGAGAAAACCAAAGCGTAAACCACATCAAGAATTCTTACTCAAACGTATTCGTCGAAAGAAACCAGAAAACGAAACCAATTCCAATGGAGTAACATCAAATGGAAAAAGTCTTGCTGAAAACTACCGGTCAGAGCAGATGAAGAAAAGTAAGAAATCTATCATGACCTCCAAACCAACAGGTTCATCTCCGGAAGGTCACGGACCCAAACAAAATGTGCGATTTCCCTCTCAAAATATGGACACTCTCGTTGCTATTCCTTGCGTTGACCAGTTGCAAGAAGACGAACAAGATGCCGATCGGTCCAGATCATCCCCAGGTGACATTTCTCGGGACAGAACCTTGACAGAACTGACTCCCGACATTGAGGCTCAAAGGCCCCAAGAAAAGTCAGATGAACACTTTATGAAGAAGCTCGCCAAAAAATTGGCTCACAAAGAAAACTCTCCAAAAATACAACAGAGACCTGTGGATGGAGACGACAATGAGATCCCTCTTTCTAGATCTAGCTCATGGAGTGGAGGACGAAGTAGCTATGAAAAGAGCATGACTTCTGGCCGCGATTTTAACATTAGTTCAACCCTACCTGGAAAGCTATTCAGAGGTGGCTATAAAAAATTAGTGGGCCAATCAGTCGGTGTCAACCAGAATACCTCTCAGCAAGCAAAATCAACGGCCAAACGAATTTTTTACAACGTAGCTGGCCACTCGCCAACTCGCGATCACATTGTAGAGAGTGATCTCTTGCCTTTATTTGAAACACGCCAACAGGCTACAGAAGCCTTCCAGATGTTTGATAAGGATGGAAACGGGGATATCAGCAAGAGAGAGTTGCGTTCGGGGTGTATTCGTATTTATCGCGAACGTAAAAACCTGGCCCGATCAGTCCGTGATTTGTCACAAGCAACAGGAAAATTGAACATTATTCTTCTTGTGATCTTTATAGCCATATGGGTAACTATTGATATAAAGATGGAGTTAAAGAGAAAAAAAAATACTCATGATAGTTATTCAACTTAGGTCGTTATTGTTCTTGCATCATTTGGCGTAAATGTTGGTACTGAGCTTATGCCTCTTTGGAGTGCATTTATCGCAGGAAGTTTTATCTTTGGAAATAGTGCCAAAGATATTTTTGAATCAATAATCTTTGTATTCGTCACAGTAAGTCACTATTATTGTAGTGGATATTGGAATCTAACATCTCTTTAGCACCCCTTCGATGCAGGAGATCGTGTAATGGTTGGTGAAGAGAATTGGGTGGTTGACAATGTAGGACTTTTGTCAAGTACATTCTTGTAAGTTTGTAATTAAAATGTATGTAAGAATAGCCACTCATTAATTATTGATTGTGTTGATTTGTATAGAAAATGGGATGGCTCAGTGGTTTATGTAAAAAACTCTGTGTTAGTTCCTCTGTATATTATTAACTGCCGGCGCACTGGATGTACCGGAGAGACTGCTGGTAAATTCAATATTTATATAAATGAATACCATTAAGAAACGAAGAAATGCTAACATTCACATCTAGATATTCATGTCGGGTTTGAGACGCCTTCGTGGAAGATCCATAAACTGAGAGACCATATGGTGGAATGGAGTGATACACTTCCTCATCTCTTTACACCAGGAACAACCTCCGCAAATGTATTATCTTTTGAGAACCAAAACAAGATAACTATTTCATTTTACTACCAACATACCCAGAACTGGCAAGACCCTGGAGGTCGATGGCTCCGTCACAATACATTTATGATGGAATTAAAAGAAGCGTCAGAGCGCCTTGGCGTCAATTATATCATGCCATTGCAACCCGTGGATACTAAGCCGAAGATTAATCCCTTGGACGACAGTACCCAAACAGACAAAGAGTCTCTGGCAGACAGCATTAAAGCCAGAAACATTCAAATCGAAAACGAAAGACAGGCCGAGAAAGAGATTCGGGAAGAAGAGATACTGTCTCAAAGAAAGCCATACAATTATAATGAAGACGGATCATTTTCTCCTCATAATAATCAAAACAATGATAACGACAATAGCAATGGTGCTGCAGCCACTATACTGTTTTCTTCTATGATGTAAAAATTCCAATAAAAAATAATAATAATTCCTTAAAACACTAATAAAGATTATATCGAACCAATATTCATTGAAATGGAATGACAAATTCTTACGAGAATGATTTCTTGTTACTAAAAGAAAAAAATCCTTCTTTTTTTAAAAAAAAATAATAAAAAAAAACACAGACGACTCTTTTATGTCCCCAACTCTGGGTAAGATAAAACGATATCGTCTTTATATATATATACATGCACACACACACACACATATATATATATATAAAAGATTTACTCCACATCCATGTCTGAATCGCCCTGGTCTTCTTCACATTCATCCTGCTGGGGACGGTTGGTTTCCATCCGTCCTCGCGTGCTCAGAAGCCTGCGCCTTAATTCTGTTAACGAGCAGCCCGATCGTCGAATGAATCCAGGCACAGGAAGGTGCCTGTAATCCACCGTCTCTCGTTGCCACAAATAAATTTCTCGCCAGTCATGATCTCTACTCAAATTAGCAGACTCGTAGTTCTGAAATGTCATCTTTTGTGCGCTAATATCTACAGGGGCGCGTTCCTGTATTATATCCGTAGATCAATAGCCGCATTACCAAAGCACTCTTCTTTATATACACAAGCAAACAAAAGCTTCCTGACATACCAGATTTGCCATTCTTTCTTCTTGGTCTTCTTTCTTCTTTATCTCCATCCGTTGCATTTGTTCTCTGGATTTTCCGTTGAGTCTTTTTTGTTGTTATATCCTTATTCATCTTTTACCTGTCCTTTTCTAATTGCTCTTCCCGCGCCTTTTTCTCTTTCTCTAAACGAGCCTTTTCATTCTTTTCCAAAAGCTCCCTCTCTTCTCGTTTCTATTCACAAAATATAAGGACTATGTGCATGCATTAAGAATATAACCCAAAGTACCTGCTGTTCTCGAATCCGACTCTCTTCATGAATCTTCTCGTACAAGTCATTAATATCGAACGTTTTGACAGGCTCTTTCTTGACTGTAGCCGGAGAACCTTCTTTTGGAACATCTGGCCGCTCGTCTACTTTTTCTAAAGGTGTTATTGGCAGTTTATCAAACCCATCCAGCTCAACGATCGCACTAGGCGTCGATGGTTGGGTTTTTGGCTTTTGTGCAAGGGCAAGCCAGCTGTCCTGGTTCTGCAAAATAGATGGCTAAATAAGATTGTTTGGGTTGATTAGCTCAAGTAGACCAAAACATTACCAATCCTCAATAACCAATTAGTATACTTTTTTTTCGGCTGCTTTTAAGTTTTTTGGAGAGACAGGCTTTTCACCCAATGCCAGCTTAGGTCGATTGACATCTTGAGGCGCTTGTTTTGACAAACCAAGTCCAGATAGCTTTCTAGGAATAGTTTCGCGCGGTGACTGATGGCCCAACCTCGTTGAGTTTTTGAGGGGCTTTCGAAAAGTGGTTTGTTTACCTCTTCTTTTGGTGTGGATGGTATTTCTGGTTTTGGTATGATAGGTAATTTGAGGCGTAATATAGTTGGGCGGTCTAATTGTATATGCACGGGAGGGGGAGGTTATTCGTGTGTGATAATACAAGTAGTAATGAATATTTTCTTTAGTATCTTAATTTTGCCATATTGTTCCGAATACTTATTTACCTGGATCGCTGGTAATTTTGGTAACCTTGGGCTCAGACCTCTGGGTCGTTACCAGTATTTTCTTTTCTACCACCTTACCTTGAGTCTCCTCCTTAGTTAATCTTTTCTCTAACTCTCTCTTTTGTTTCTCGAGCTCTTGTAGTCTCTTAACTGTGGTTCACATTCCCAGAATATCTAATCAGTCACATGCCTTTCACGATTTTTTTTCCTGGTGGAAATTTGTCTACCTTTGGTTGCAGATAACTTTGCTAAGGATTTATCCCAGAAATTATTAAAAATTTCCTCAAACTTCTTTCCATTCTTATGTACAAGATGATCAGGTGGATTGTATGCAAAGCAGTTTTTAAACATGAGTGTAAAATCTGATCTGAATTCATCTTCATTATGATATTGGTGTTCGTAAAGTTTCTTTTCGATGGTAGACATGTCCATAGGCTCCTTTACAACGTCATGATAGTCTATTGCTCCCCATGCCTCTGCATCCACAGGCTGCACAAATGGCCAGCTGTAATCGTGATATTTATGCTTCTTCATCTCCTTCATAACCGTCTCACAATGTTTGAATTCTGTTTCTGACATTGTTTCTGGTACACTAGAAATAGAAGCTGATCTCTCTTTCGGGGTTGTGCTCACAAACGGCTCTGGCGATACGATATTCAAGTCTTCTGAATCCATAGGCTCATACGTTTCATAGTTGTCTACTATGTGTAATGGTTTGGGCGGGCTCGGGATTGCTGGTGGAGGAGAAAGTGGAGGAGCCGGTGGTGGGGGTGTTAGAGGTGGGGGTGTTGGGGCTATTACAGAATCTGGAACTGGAGCTATAGTTGATGTTTGAGTTTCAGTTCGAGCTGGAGATGGAGCCAAAGCTGGACCTCGAGCTGGAGACGGAGCTGGAGATGGTGCTAGAGATGGTGCTGGAGATGGTGCTAGAGATGGTGCTGGAGATGGAGCTGGAGATGGGACTAGAGCTGGAGGTGTAGGTGGATGTGGATGTGGAGGTGGAGATGGAGATGAGACTAGAGTTGGAGCAGAAACTATAGTTGGAGTAGGATCGGGGGCAGGAGCTACTGAAGGTGCAGGTATTGCAGGTGGTGTTGATACTCGTGGTGGAGACCGAGGAATCGACTGGATATACGGACCTAATGATCAGCTTATTGCTTCCCTTTCTTTTTCCATTTCCATTAAGAATAATGGCAATACTTACAGCGGATGCGGGTGCTTTTTTCATGCATTTCCGGAAAACTTCTTCAAGCTTCTTTGCTTCACAGCAAACAGGATCCCCCGCATTATTGTACAAATAGCAGTTATCGAACATGAGCTGTATATCTTCAGAAAATTCAAGAATTGTCCCATATTCTCCATTGCGTAGCTTCTTCATAATTGTTCCCAAATCCATTGGATTTTTTACAATCTCAAAATAATCCGGAATGTTGTAGGCTATAGGGTCTACAGGCTCCAGAAATGCACCGGCTGAGCGCTGTTTCATAAGGGTCTTTAAAGCACCTATGCAGAAGCTCTTTTCAGCAGATGTCAAGCTCATTCTGGGGGTTTTCGTTGACATTCCAGACTCTGATTCGAGTATTGCTTGTCTGGGGGACAGCGCATCGCTAGAGCCACTATTAGTTGTATAAAAAGAAGGAATGACGGAAACGATTGAAAGGCTTCAATAAACAATTGCTTTCTCGCAAGTAGAAATCTCCAGAATCTCTTAAATTTCCACCCATTCCAAAGTTTTTGACCAGATCATCCCAACGATGACTGACATGAACTTGCCTGTCTTGCTGATCAGCGACTAAGGAGGCGAATGGGCGTTTCTGTGCGATGCCAGACATTTCACTTTCTGGCCAGACAGGTTATGAAGAAAGATCAAACAATCGAGTAACTTTGGCAATGCACAAGTCAGCAGCAAAAGAAACAGATGATGTCGGCAGCAAGATCAAGAAGCGTCCAAGAAGAAAAAACACTATAAAAAACGCGTTGCACTGGCTCAATCAGAACAAGCGGCTATTTGCACCTTATGTCTTTGCAAAAGCATTCTGTGACGTAGATTACGATTCAAATCCCGCGTTCTCTCTCTTTCCCTTTCCTACACAAATATACAGATATACACGCAATAGCCTTGATGGATAGAAAACGAACGCGACAAACCTATGATGAGTCGTCTTCGAAGATAGGCAAAGACAATTTTCAAATAGATTCAGATGCTTATGGAATTAAAAAGAAAGCTATCCGTAAACGATTGAAGAAGTTGGAGGAAAACGAATCCGCAGATGAGTTTGGGGATGACCTACCCATCATATCTGATGCAACTGCAGCCGCTGATTACTTGATAAAAAAGGCTTCATATTCAACAAACAGAAATTTAAATTTGATTAAGACAAGACTTCCCATATGTTTTATTCATCAGATCTACGACTTATTGCCTAATTATACAGACGTTGATCGCGACTTGGTAAGCTTACGTAGGTCCAAGTTACAAAAAACGTACCTTTTGACCTGGGTGCCCAGGAGGTAGATATAAATAATGGTCTGTGGTGTTCATTTCGTGGAATGGACACCTCCGAAGACGAAACCATCTTGATGCCTACATCTGATTATTTGGCTATAATCGAAAAAGCCAAGATTACATTTGAAAAAGAAGTGGCTGATGGCATCAATACATCAGGGAAGGGTATAAACCCAAACTTCTTTGGTCAGTGTGTGTGTGTGTGTGTGTGACGATCCACGAAGGGCTTATTATCTTTTGCTTGAGCAGATCGCTTCAAGCGGTTGATTGAAACAAGACAACCCAAAGAAAAGTGTATTTCACGCGATGCACTCATCAAAGGATGTTGTACTCAAGAAGAGGAATTGATGTGAGCTTTTTTACATACGCGTATGCATTAAGCTGGTTATATCTGTTTAAGGCTCACACATAGTACCTTTTAGCCAGTTGGTTAAAGCTGGGGTTTTGTTGCCTCATTTGAGACTGGACCTGTATTGGGTTTCGATCCCTGGTCAAGGCATGTTTTTTTCAGATGTTAGAAAAGGCAGGGAGGAATTTTTACAAATGCTGAAGAAACGACCTACCAAAGACATACTTGAAAAGGTGGTTTTTCTTTTGGCTTTACAACCTCTTCATCGGTAATTATTATTTACACTAACCGTTCAACTGTTAGATTATTCAACAAAAACCCTTTCGAAAAACAACACTTGGGTATGAGTTTATATTGCATGACCTTATAGGCAGTGGACGTGCAGAAAGGTAAAACCAGTCTTGATAAGACAGAAAAATAAAGTACTTCTTTGTGTGTGTATATGTATGTGTATGTGTATAATTTTATGCTATTATTTACCAGGTACCATACTCCTATGGGCGACTTAATCAGGCTTACCAGGAAAGGATTAAAAGGTCCTTAAAGCCTACGCCTATTTCACATTCTAGCTTTCGTTTTTTGTTCGTTTCTTCTTTAATTTCCAAATTTCAACATCTTCATTGTTTGTAAGAGCCGTTCGCACCATCTTTTTTGGAATAATACGGGCATCAAAGCCTTTGCTCCTTGCTTTCTCCACAAATCCATCTACCACCAGTGCATCCCTTCTTTCCATAGCCACCAACACTATGGTAGTAGGAGAAGATAGTTTAAATATACACTCCAATAAAGGCTGTACGAGATCAATACTATATATGCAATCAGCTGAAAGAATATAGTGGTAGTGATTCTCTAGCCAGTTTGAAGATGCATCTAAGTCGAGCCAGTCAAGGGGTTTGGCACGTATTTTTGGATCTGACATATGAGCAGAATGTTGGTGGGCTTGTTGGAGATCGCACCAGTAGTCTTTGATTGAAGCAAGATTTTGTGTGGCATTAGCGGTAAGCACTTTGTCTACTACAACAGGCAGATCTGTCAATGTTGTGTCAAATCCAAAGGCAGCCATCGTCAGCCCACTTAGTCCACATCCACTACCAAGCTCAAGACATCTCTTGTTTTCTTTGGGGTGCAGGATTCCTTCTTCAAGATTAAACGTAGGTGGCTTGAGTATGTCAGCAAGATAGAACGCCAACTGAATAGCTGAATGCCACACTGTTGTGCCATGACTCTGGGTGTCATTTGATTGCTCGAGCTTCAAAGACAATCCAGGTAAAGGAGAAACTGCCAGTACAGGTAGGGCTTTTGTATCGCTTAAATCATACTCCATCGCGATTGTCTATTATTACTCGAAACTGGTGTTTTATCCCTTCCCCTATATTTTATGTAGGCACTAAATTATTCATAGAAACCAGTCCGTATTTTGTTTTTTGTTTTTTGTTTTTTAATATATACATATATACATATATATATATAAAACTATTAATTCAAAACTCCGCAAATTGAATCGGATCAGCTTTGACAAGTATTGACCTTTTCTTTTCTTTTATAGACAGTTTAGAAAGACATGTACTTGTTGTAATTCTGCCTAGCTATGACCGGCATGCTTGCTTGCTTTTATGGGTGTTCATCCTCTCTGGCTTCCGCTTGCTGTGCTAGGGGGTTATCTAATCCTCTCGCCGGTTCATTTCCTCTTTGGTTACCAAACCGGAATTGACGGACATACACTAGCCAACCAACAAGAAGACATAGTCCAAGGATCATCAGGCTTTCCATTAACTCATCTTCATCTGAGTATTCTTCATCACGATAATCGTCTCCAAAGCCTGAAGACGAATCCATATAGTCTTCACCTTCTTCGCGTTCCATTTGTTTCATATGTTTGCTATATTTTCGTCTCAATTCTTCTTCTGCTCCAATGTCCCAATGTCCTCTCTCGTTGTCATGGGCCTCGATTTCTTTTCTACGCCGTGCCTCTTGATTCAATATTTCCACAGTATCAGGTTTTCCAAGGTTGAGGTTATCTTTGGGAGTAGAATCTTGTAGTCCCTGTCCTACTTCTCCTCCTCTCAACCATTCCCAGTAATAGCGAACATAGAGCTTTACCAGTGATAGTTTGACAGGAAGGTATGCATCTGGATTAGCATTCAATGCATTGTCGTATGATCGCTTGGCAAGATGAAAGTCCTTGGAAACTCCAATTCCGTTTTCATACATCCAGCCGAGATTCCACATTGCCAAAGGAGAGAATTCAATTTCGGCTGCTACACGATAACAAGCAGCAGCCTTTTCGTAATCAACGTGTGTACCGATACCACGATAATAATAGTCTCCCATCTTGACACGCGAATCAACATTGTTCTGGTTAGCTGAACGGGACCAATAAATTAGCGCAAGTTCTTCTTCTTCTTTGTTGCGTGGTGGGGCTTCCATAATACCAAGCATTGATAGTTTCAATAGTTGCTTATCAGTATCGAGAAGATAAGCTACATTTGATTGTGCCACTTCATAGCCTTTTTCTGCGGCCAGCATATAATAGATTAATGCTCCTTCTCTGTCTCCTTTGGTATATAATTTGTAAGCTGTTTCTACGGTTGGATTGAGCCAATCGCCGCGTTCGGCAATAGACTTGTAAAACTATAACAAAACAGTCAAGATTTCCTCAATTTCAGACTTTCAGACGACTTACAGACACGGCCATTTGACATGAAGCCTTTAACCCAACACCCGCATAGTTTAATTGGGCCAGGTTCCAGTAAGCTAGTATATGCTTGGCATCGGCAGCCATAGTAAACAATCGTATGGCCATAGGCAGAGTTGATTCATGTCTCATATATTCCACGGCCAAGTTCACCTGAGCATCTGGATTCTCCTGGTTGGCTGCTTTCTTAAAGTACTCAATTGCCTTTTCTCGGTTCTACAAATACATAATTCCTATGTTAGTACAAAACATTCAACGCAATAGTAATAATAATATGCAAAACTAGAATTATAATCATAATATACCCGAGATACAACAATGCCTTCCATATACATCATTCCAAGACCATTTTGTGAATTTGCATCGCCAAACTGGGCGCCCAGTTCAAACCACTGATATGCCGTCTTCACATTAGGCTCCACACCCTCTCCTCTCCAATACATTCTACCAAGAAAGCCAGCTGCTTGCCCAATTGCCTTTCCGCGGCTACTAGTTATGAATGCCTCGTTAAGTTTACCAGCTGGGATTTTGTCTGTTACTTGACGAAAGAATCCAAATGCATCTTTAAAATTCTGAGTAATACTACGGGTGCCTTGATAGTATACTTGACCAAGTGTAAGCTATATATATATATAAGTGTTTGCACCAATAAGGAGAGTTTTTCTATCAATATCAATGATTAAACTATATATAAATCACTTTTTATTACCTGAGCCTCAAAATCAGCTTTTGTTTGAGCAAGATAGCGCCAATACTGCAATACTTCCTCGATGCTTACTGACTTTTCTGAGCTACCACCATTAACTCGATAGCGTCTGTCTGTCATAACACTTGCTCCATAGCCATATACACCACCATCTTCATCAGACAATCGTACTTTTGGTAATAATGGTGATCGCCCTCCAGGAGGTCCTGATAGATAATACTTTACAGCTATAAAAAGAAGAAAGAAAGAAAGAAAGAGCACCAAGTATACATATATATATTAATACACCAAAGGGTTTCTTTAATGTAATAGATTTACCTTTTTCCGCTACTCGCTTATAATAGTAGACAGCATCATCACATTTTTGGTCAGCCCCGATCCCGAGTAAAGAACGGTATCCTAAAGTCATTTCAGCAGCTGTATCTCCTCCATGAGCTGCAAATGTATGATGGAGAAGGGCTTTGGCCTGGTCCCGCTTAACAGCCCCGCCAATACCAGTTGAATACATGAATCCCACCATTTGTTGTGCGGTCGCATTTCCAGTATCTGCCAAGGCTTGATAATAGCGATACGCCGTTTTAATATCCCGCTTTTGGGTGTATTGAGCAAACTGAATGAAAACAAAATGTTGAAATAAGTTCATGCACATACATACACATATATATTATCAGCCTATACCACGTCACTAAAACTTACAAAATGCATGTTGGCCAAGACATACAATGCATCATAATGTTCATATTCTTCTCCTGCCTTTTTAAGTAACTGGGTAGCAACTTTTAATCGTTGACTTGACTGTGAAGATTCAGAGCCCCAATTTTCACTATCTGCATAACCATATATACTAGAGGTCACAAGCTCTTGTAGCATACTCTTTACAGATTTATATCCAGCCATTGAAGTAATGGAACCAAATGTCGCTTTGATATTATCGTTTTTGTGTGTATCTTTTGTGTTTTGGGCAATAACTTCGAGATGCTTCATGGCGGTGGCATAAAGTAGATCTCCTAAAAGATAAAATGAAGATACAATAGTGTCCACCGGGACAGAATAATGTCTACATGAGTATTACTTGGCTTGTATATTTGTGTATATAGATGTATACACAAGCGACAGGAGTTTTCAGAATTAACCTTGTTCCAGGGCATCATTTCGTGGTGTACCGTCTGCTGATTCTGTACGTTCAAAAGTCTGAGACATGCATTGGTAAGATGTTTTGCGCGTTGGATGACTTTTATCGCTTTACCCATTGTTGGTTCTGCGTAGTTGACTCGGCAGCAAGGCCACACGTAATGAGGCCCATAAGAAGAGCTACATGTAATGTAGTGAAATTAGTCTATTTTAGTTGTTATTAATCAATCTAGCTTACGTGACAGACACAACCATTTTCGCTTCCATTGGATGCGTTTTGAGGCTGGCATGACTATCTTGTTTTTTTTTTAGGAATCTGATTATAACGTATAAAATCAAAAAGGAAACTAAAATTATCCAAAAGAGCGTAGAGCTATGCACTGTCCTCACGTGATTGGCCAATTCTTTGCATTTTCATATTCTGTACTTCCAACTTAATGTAAGGGAGGACTAGCTCACGTGCGTTGTGTCTGGGCTGTGTAAAATGTATAGTTGACATGTCTCCATGTGTAGTGTGGTGTAGCGTATGAAGATGAAAAATTGCAGAAGATGTAGCCAATGATATTAAGTAAAATGGTGTAATCAAGTTATGTTCCGTATATTATAAAAGCTAGAGCATAAGGTACAAAAGTATATGTATGGATTGAAGCAAGATAAGTTGAAGCTTATCAATTCGGCATTTGAATCCTCAACACAGGTATATCTTTGGGTAAACAGTAGGAATAAACTACTGCGCTTATCGTTCCAATTACTTTTGACAAAAGTACCGTTCTTTACTCTAATACGGCGTGGGAAACCAAAGAATCCAAAAAAGGGTTTGTCATACGTATTAAATGTAAGCACTGCATAAACAAGCAAGAGAAAACGAAAAATATAAAAAGTGGGCTATAAAAAATTATATACTTTGTCTTTTGTCTCTTTATTTTGTAATGAAGTCCACCTATATCGCCAGTATCGCACTTTATTGTACCTGGGCTCTCGGTTCCGATGCTCATCCAGACCATTCAAGTTATGAAACCTATGGTCAGATTCCTGTCTCTGGACCCTCGGAAATCCCTTTCTTTTTTGACAAGCCGGTGATCGAGAGAGATGGCTATGTACCTCCTTTTGCTGGAATCTCCACTTTTGCACATTTACCTTACAAGCAGTGCTGGGATGAAGGTGTTGATGAGGATTATGATATTGCAGTAATTGGTGTCCCATATGACATCGGAGTGACATTTAGAACAGGAGCCCGTTTTGGTCCCTCAGCGATTCGCGAGGGATCCAAGCGTCTCAAGGGTTATAACGATGAATTGAAGATCAATCCGTTTAGATCTTGGGCTCGCTCGGTAGATTGTGGTGATATTCCTTTTGAGCCCTTTGATGCTTCACATGCTATTGGACAGATCGAAAGTTACACGAATTATATTCTCCAGCGACCGCCTACTGCAGATGGAACGCCATCACGACCACCTAAACTCATTACCCTAGGCGGTGATCACACAATTCTTTTGCCTGTTTTGCGATCTATGCGTACAGCTTACAAAAAGCCAATGACAGTTATTCACTTTGACTCTCACCTTGATACATGGTATAGTATAAATGTAGATAAATTTGATATACATATACATATACATATATAGATATAGATATAGATATAGATTTAGATATATTAAACAATTCATTTAATTTGCTTATCTAGGGCACCCGAGGTTTACAATGTAAAGGCAAAGCAGTCAAGATTTAATCACGGAAATCCCTTGTATCATGCAGCCATTGAGGGCTTGACTACCAATGGATCCTCCCTTCATGTTGGCATCAGATCCTCGCTTTATGATAAACAGGATGTTGAGAGAGACGAGGCACTTGGATTTAATATCATCAAGGCCAATGCTATCTTTACTTTGGGAGTAGAGGGTATTGTGAAGAGAATCCATGAGATCTTGGGTCCTAAGGAGGATACGCTTGTCTACCTTTCGATTGACATTGATGTGATTGATCCAAGTATGGCACCTGCCACCGGCACTCCAGAAACGGGTGGATTCTTAACTCGGGAAATGAGATACATCTTGCGTGGACTGGACGGCTACAATATTGTTGGAATGGACCTAGTAGAAGTGGCACCTGCATACGATACTCAAGCCCAACTGACCAGCTTTTTGGCGGCAGACTTGATATATGAAGTTCTATGCATGATGGTCAAGCGTGGCCTTAATTAAGTCGCGCGGTATATGTAACCCTGAAGTTAAAATTATGTCTGCGTTGTAAAAGCATCTCTTTCTTGCTACTGGACTAGCCAACGAGATTACAAGCAATAAAAGCCAAAAATAACATTTCCTCCCAAAAACATCTATAAAGCCTTGCGTGCAACTAAAGGACATAATCAGCAAAGTAGGTTTGGAATATCCCTTGTAAGTGTTTCAAGGGAATATATTTATATATACATTGGTACACATTATTATAGTTTTAAGAAAGTTCAGTGTAAACAATTGGTCTACCTTCTTTTTATACTCTTGACTTCCTTTTCGAAGTTGATCGTCACGGTTTTCATACATAAAGCCTTTTTGAACTCAACACACATACACACACACTTATATATATATATATAGGTGTGTTTGTGTGTACAGGACCTCGAGAACACTAAGGAGATAACGCCTAATCCCTTGCAGTCCCTTGATTTTGTAATCACCGCCTCGTCATTCTGCAAGCTTTCCTTTTTTTACCAGCCGTTTTCAATACAAGCGATTGGCGTTCTTGTGGAAGGAAAAGGGGAGAATAAAATAAAATAAAATAAAAAAGAATAATGAAAAAAAAAAGGACGCCAGTATTTGATCATAATGATCTTTGTGATTAAAACAAAATACAAGATTTCATTTGCCTGTTCTGTGCCACAGCCCATTCCAATGATTTCAAATTTCAGTCAAGCGTCAAAAGAGATAGTTTGCTTTTTTAATAATAAAATAAAATAAGTCCGTATTTTAATGAGGCGCCAATTCTTCGTTAGCTGCAATCAAACAAAAGGCACTCATTATTCTATGTAGGGATACTTAACACTCCTAAATTAACCAGAGAAAAAAGAGAAAAGAAGAAGAAAAGAAGAACTTTCGTGTTCACTTTGGGCTCCTAAAATCAAGACAATTAAGAGGTAATTTTATTTTAGGTTTTTTTATAGGAATATAGGAAGTCTATTCTCTCAAGATTTACTTTGTCCAATTGGTCAGACTTTATAGATCGACGCTTGTGATTATGTGTATATTTGTATGTGTATAGTAAATAGGCGGTTAATTGAGTAACCAAAGAAGTTAATTAATTATAGGAATTATCTATGCATTAATAGAAAGAAAAAGAAACCTTGCTTTTGTGTATGTATAATGTATATGAGCTCCAAATCTCGCGTGGATCAAACGAAGTGCAGGTAAAATATGTAATGGACTTATTATCGCCTGAATTGAATACAAGCTGGTGTAGGCTAAAGAGTACATCACATTGCATTACCGTACAGTACAGTACGCCGTCACTTTGGAGTATTTTATATATATATTAAGGTATATTGCTTGTAAACTTTGGTGGGTATTATATCAGCCGATTCCCTGGGTGATATTCTATAAATTGAATCAAATATCCAAGAGCAATCTTTTTTTTTAATAAGGAGAAAAGAATGAAAGAGGGTGCACTGAATAGGGTGACACTGAATTGGTTCTTCATTATGTAGGGTAGCTATAACGAACCGTGACTTTTTGGTACTTGTTTTGGGTTCCGAAATCTATTGGCTCGGCACACCACATCCCCCTTTTTTTATCATTGTACAAATCTTCATTATTATTATTATTATTATTTTGTGTGCGTATTATTGCCCGTCCTGTCTTGCGTATTTCCATATTAAGCCTCTCTTCATTCATTAAAGCTTATTACATAATATATAGTCAATCAGGGCATGCCTTTGTGTGGTGGCTGTTTTTATTTTATTTTATTTTATTTTTCTTAGCTCGGATTTTGGTAACTAAAGGGACGATATAATGACATGTTCAAAAGAGTATATTATGAATATTAGGAAAAAAGTAAACTACGGGAAGTAAATTAAAATAATTATATAGAATGTATAAGCATAGTAAAAAAAAGTATACGAGTAAATGAAAGAAACTGTAAGCAGGGGCAAGACAATATATAGATATCAGAGCCGAAACCGCTCTTTGTACAAAAGGAAGGTGGGGGATGATTCCGTTTCTGCTGTCTCAAAATCAGTTAATGCTGGAAGAGACAATGAACGCTTGGATTTGAACTCTTCGTAGTCAATGTCAGAAGATGCACCGAGTGTACTCTCTGGGGATTGGATACCAGAATCAGAAGGGGAACTTTCGAATGTCAGGTCAGATGATTCGTAGACTTGTAAGCTATGTACTGGAACAGGGACGTAAATTGGAGCAAGAGTGATCCCGCGTCTTTGAGAAAATGATGTCTGGGTGGCTACGACTGGTTTGTTCTTCATGGCAGGCCAGAAAGAACTTGGTCGAGATGGGTCGGAAGAGGGATAGTCAGAATAGGTTGAATTGGATGGAGGAGTGATTTTGCGTAAGAGTGATGAAAAGAAACATGCGGAAGGAGATGGTTGTTGCTCGTAATGAAGGAGGGGAGGTGTCTTTGAAGAGAGTTTTGCGAGGCGACAGTGAATTGCAGATACCCACAAGTCCATTTCGATTTCTGACTGACATTCCAATGACCACGGACGTTGCTGTTTTGTGCTCTTATCTTTTTTACTATCTGACCCTACTGGGGATACTGTATTTAGGATTGGTTCTAGGCGAAAGCAGAATGGATGACTGGGTGTTGGCGCAAGCACTAATTGATCCACGTCGTTTAGATTCAATATCGAAGAAGGTGTTTCTGCATGCTTTAGAGAGAGAAAACATATGTTATTTATTTATTCTTTACACATTTGAACGACTTGTCATCTCTAGATGGCTTTGCTGCATACCTCATTTTTGTAATAGCGTAACTCTGAGTTGAGCAAGACAAAAAATCGAGATTGCCAGCGAGGTCTTCCAAAAGGACAGACAGTCAACTTGGAAAGTCTTCCAGCGCGTGGTGCATCTGCTGAATCCAAAGTAGTTTTCTTCATTGAAGGTGTATAAAGTAATGGAGAGGAAAGAAAGGAAACGATAACCTTCTTGCAGTCTCCTTTTATACTCTTCAATATCGTATCGTCGCAATATTACGATATACAGTCCCTTATTTTAATTTTCATTTTCATTTTTAGTTACTCTTTTGTGTGTGTGGATCTTTGATGTTTTTGTGTGTGTACACACATAAATATTATTACTTACTTACTATAGACCCCCCCTCCCTCCCTTTGATTTTGGTTAGGGTTATAAGCTAAATTTTAAATATGCAACAAAAGGGAATAATGGCAGTCCAACAAACCATTCAAATTAGAATTTTTACAAATCATCTTCGTTATTACATCCTTTTTAGACGTTTGGGACTTTCCAAAAGGGTTTCGAGGGATTTTTAATAGACCACCACAATCTCTTGATGTATATAATAGTAAAGACGCCCTAAGAAAGCCAATCAATTGATAAGGGAAAGAAAATAGGCGTTCAGGTACAATGCATCACAATGACATATACATAATGTGCATTTATTATAGTGATCCAGGTGGCAAGCTGTTTTTGACAAATATAATACATTGCTATACTTTCAAAAGTCGATCTTTCTCAAAATATATACGACTCCTTTTAATAAAATATAAAAACCAGTCAAGTGAAACAATAACTCCCTAGGCAAAACGTTGTGTTGCTAAAAGGAAATGCTGATCGAGAAGAAGGTACTTTGTCTTTAAATTAATGAAACACGTATAAAAAGCTGTAAACATACAGCCATCGCGATCTAAAGCAAGAGGCTTATTTACATTTCCATTTCGAAACATAAAATGATAATAGCAATATGTACTGTACAAATCGAACAAAAATTAATAATTTGTACAAAAGAATAAATAGATAATGAATAACGAACATCTGAACATAGCAACCTTTTTGTTTTTTTTGTGAAAGTCTATAAGAAATTCAAGGTTTCTTCTCGATATTCTTTATTTAAAGTAAATGGTAATAGGGTCTAATGCACTAATGTACATTTGAAGCAATATACATATTTTACAATGATCTATTTATTTAGATTGAGCGCCAAATAGGAAAGTGGGAAAACAATTCTTAATGACTCTTATTTGGCGTCTTTAAAGCAGTGCGCTGTCAATAGATAAAATGAAGATGCGGCGCGAATACCAAAATGTAATTTCTTCACGACAGAGTTTTCTATATCAAGCTCTTTCTGATTTCGTCTCACTTTCTATATGAACAGACTTCTCTCCGACCCGATCCTCATATTGGGACCTTTTTTTTGGTATGCTGTGATACTGCAGAATAGTGATATTTTAATAAAATAGTGATCTTCTGTTACTTATATGAAAAATTGATACTCGAGATAATTCTGGAGAATTAATGTGACAAAACCTTCAAGGCAAAATAGCACTTCTTACTATTGTGCTTAGTTTATTGAATACGCTGGGTGCACGGTGCTTAATACGATTATCTAATGCATATAATAGGCACAGATTTAACCCCGGTTTTCTTTCGATGCTGGAGGGATATGTTTGATCGCCATAATTTCCCAAAATGGCCCAGACTTGGAAACGCCACGAACCTAACCAGACAAAATCCCCAGAAAGTTTTTCTTGCTATTGTTATTATTACTATTTTCTTGTTCGATCGATGTTTAACCCTCTCTTATTTTTTAATTTTTTTTTTGGGTTTGGGACGACATACTGGTGTAGACTCGCTTCGTTTTTCTAGATATGTCAATAACTATTCTTCTATATAGATCAAGTATCTCAAACCCCTGAAACCAATTGAAAAGAGTTGAAGAGGTCAATTTTGGCTTTTAGTTCCACCTTGAGCTTGGACTCCTTTGTCTATAGAATTGAAGAGCAATGGATAGAGAAAGTAAGCTCTCTAATCACGTTTTACTTGGCTCATCATTGGAGCTTTTCTTTTTCTTACCCCTTGAATTCTTAAGCTATGCAATCTACACACCTTTTTTCTACATTATTCTATTTTTACACGGCTGGTCGTATAAAGTCAAGGTATCAAATACACGCATGCATTTATTACTGAAAATAACTGATTCACTGTCATACATCAAACACACCTCTCTTGGTCAAATCTCCCTTCTTCTTTCTTGAAATATCAAAAAATAAAAAATTATAGTAATATGCGTTATTTTTCTGTTAAAAATGCAATAGTCTATTTTTTTTAAAGCTATCTCTACAAATTTCGGTTCGGCATTTATTATGGCTATCATACAAAGAAAGAAAGAAAGAAAGAAAGAAAGAAAGCAAGAATGGTCCATTGTGTTTTGGGAAGCTACCATGTAAATTGAAATCAGACTTGCAGTTTCCTCTTACTGACTCGAGTATTTTTTATTATTATTATTTGGGTCAAGTGACGATTGAAGGCATTCGAACAATGAAATTGAAACAACTCAAATAGTTCAAAAGGGGAGCTTTGAGTAACCAAGATCCAGCATATACAATCTATAATCTACAAAGCATTACCATACAGTAATTGTATTAACAACAATAGTATGTGCAGTAGTGAGGACATATCTATTTTACGTACAGTATATATTTGTATATTTGTATATATAACTAATGTAGGCTCATGATATGTTGACGTTGCTTTTCTACACTCGGCATCTTCTTTACGTTACCATTTTAACGATAATTAGAGGGTGAGTGCAGCGTGGATGAATTGATATTTCAACCTCGTGTTTTCAATATATTTAGGAAAATCAGACAAACAAACCCAATGCCATCATTATCAATTTACAAGACTCGAACTATGGGCGTTTTGAACCAATTTGACGTACAGAAAGCACATCCTCAGATTCTGATAGGTTTGAATATGTCTAGCGTATGTTATATTAGAGTTGAACATTCGGTAAACAGCAATAGGAGTTGAAATAGCGTGAGAGTGCAGATAATGACTGTATATGCTAATTAAAATGTTTTCTTTCTGTTTGAAGATACCACTAGGCACATATTATAAATCTGATACAATAAATAGATTAAATACCTTTTCTTTCTTTATTTCTTTCTTGCAAATATATCTTGAATAGATATTTTATGTATCCTTAAACTAACTAGCTAACAAGCTTACTAGCTAACATTTGCTTCATTGGAATACGGTCACATAAGATTATTTCTAGCCATTCTACTGCCTCGATCTGATCTTAGTGTCGTACGTTAGATATAGTTTTAGGTACAAAAGAAACTATTGGATGTTTCAAATAAATTATATATATATATCCATTGAGCAGTCCCCTTTCCTTTCCCACTTGATCTCTTTCTCTATTTGGCCTTTTTTTTTGTTTCTTTATGATGTGCAACACAAGAAGACAAGAAGACAAGAAATAAAAGTAATACTGTAATACTGTAATACTGTAATACAGTAATACGATGCTTGACTTCAATTTTATAACGTAACATTGACCCTTTTTTGCGTTCATATTGATAATTTATTGAACAATAACCCTTGGCTTTATTACAAAGTATCCAAATCACTAGCAAACAAAACTAAATAAGGTCAGATCAACGGGTATTTCAATATATAAATCAACAAAATGATAGTATTATTATCAAGAATATCAGGTAATCATGGGCTTGTTTAATATGAGTCATTAGAGTTGGTTACACTGGTATTGTTTGTACAAACGAAAGAGTATACTTTAGTTCCTGGTCTCAGATATCAAACCAAGATTAATAATATATATAAAAAAGAAAACTGGCGGCTTAAAATCGATAGTTGAGTGCATTATTGTTTTTGTTTTTTATTTTAGAAAGTCATTTGTGTGCATTAGTATTAAGCATGGGAATTCGGTAGACAGAAATGTTTGAAAACCGGCCACAATCCTGTTATTTTTTATTTCATTTTATTCTTTCCGTTTTGCTTAAAGAAGACTCGTATTTGGACCCAACTGGTCCAAATGGACTTTATATCGAGACTTTTAATTGTTGATTTCTTGTGTTTAGCATATTCAGTACTATACCAAATGACCATTTTACCTTGATCCAATCATCTAGTAATATTCTTTCAAATAAACTCATATATTATAAGCAGTTATTAGAAGAAAGCAAGCAAGCCAAAACAAAAAAAAAAAGACCTGAACATCAGGCGACTGGGATGGAAAATCGACAGGAATGGTGATAATAGTCTATCAAACATAACAGCCGGTTTCAATTTCTCTTACAAGTTTGTCTGCCTACTAGACTCAGATCTAAAGGAACAAAATCCAAACTGTGAATTATTGGGTGGCTCTTTATTAGCATCTTTCCTATACTGTCAATCTAAAAAAGCCATACGAGCTAAAGTTGATTAATATATTATCTAGTGAGTGTAGTATTCAAATCTACTAATAAATACAGCCTAAAACCTGACAGTACAGCTATTGTGGACGACAGAGCTGTCAGCGGGTAATCCCGTACAACCCACATTGTCAAGTCGTGAATCATAAAAACAACTCACGGACTGGGTTTGAATTAGCAACTGTTTACTTCTTTCTTACTTTTAGTGGTGGTAATGATAAATGCCTATGGACTTGTTTTATTACTGTTCTGTCTGTGTATAGTCTATGCCACAGAAGAGCAAAACGACATACTGATCCCGTTTAATGACCCCAACATCATGTATTTTGGGCGATGGCGCACCTCGACCAACAGCATCCAAAGCGGGTGGCCGGGTGCTTATTTCAAAACAACTATATACGGGCCACGGATCCGCCTTATTCTGAAAGGCCCCACACATGTCTATGTACAGATTGATACCGAGAAACCAAAAGATTACAGAACTCAGTCTGAAAATGGAGAAGCGATCGAACTTGACATCACACCCCAAATCGATCTCGGGCAAGGTCCCCATCAACTAACAGTAGCAGCATGTACAAATGCATCGATCGAACTTGAGTCACTGCTACTTTCAGACGAACGAGGTACTGGACCAGTAGATGTGCTAAGCTCGACAGTTGAGTTTGTAGGCCATGATCTGACACTTGGAAAGTACACAAGCCAAACAATCCTGACAAGTTATGCCTGGGCAGTCTCGGAAATTCTCGGTACCGAACATGCCCAGATCGCTTTACCCGGGGCACGTCTTATGGATGGAAAGGATGGAAGAGGGATGGAAAGTCAATACTTTGAGTGGAGTCCCTCTCACACCAAGGAAGCTAGGGCCAAATGGGATTTCTCGAGCTACAAGCCCGCTGCAATTGTTATCCTTCTTGGCCGCAACGACTATGGAACCGAAGCTTATGAACAATCCCTAGAGCGCTTTCTTTTACAAGTGCGCACACACACTGGACCAGCATCGATTTTAGTGCTTTCAGAGCCACTGGGTGAAATGGTCCGGTCGTCACAACTGGCTGTTTCTCGTAGAAACGATTTAGGTGATGAAAATGTTCATTTTGTGGATACGACTAACTGGGTGCGTTATGGTCCTAGTGCGTTTGTCGATCCGGTAAGCAGAAGATTTTCTTTTTCCTTTTTTTTGCGGAGATGTGATATTTACAAAAAAAGAGAATATTTTCTCATTTATTTTTGGTTCGTCATTGTTAGGGGCACCTTAATGATGTAGGTCATCAAACAGTTGCTCGCAAACTAGCACCCCTTTTGCAGGCAAAACTCGCACGTCCTCGACAGCCATTCCCTGGTCCACTGCCAAACCCTACTTTACCAAATGGATGGCAAACAATGGACGTTGGCCATGAGCTGTCTATTGGGCTGCCTGGATCAGTATCCTTTGACTCGGGCAACACATTTACGCTGTGGGGCTCGGGAGCTGATATCAGTGGTACGCGCGATGCGTTTCGTTTTGTGTATCAAGCATTATCTGGTGATGGTACTCTTGAAGCTACGGTGGAATCACATTCAACATTTGCCAGCTGCGCCAAGGCAGGTATCATTATTCGTGAACATCTCTCTTTGGGATCCCCTCACGTCATGCTCGGAATATCTCCTGCGGATGGCCTTTTTCTCCAGACACGTTCACAAAATATGAATGACACCCGTCTCCTCAAGAAGTCTCGGGCCTCTCCTCCTTACCGCCTCCGTCTTATTCGGAAAGACAATGTCTTTGTCGCCCAGATGATGCGTACTTCCGTTGCTCCCCCAATTTGGGACACTCTAGGAAATGTCTCGACAACGTTCCTTGCCCGGGACGTTTATGCTGGTCTTGCCGTAACCAGCTGTGATACTGCAGTCGTCAGCGTTGCCAAGTTTGTCGACGTTTCTCTCCAGGGAGGTGTAGGCAGTGGAAGTGGTCTCCGTTTTATAGATCAGCATTAGCCAAATTACCTCTTCTTCTTCCTCTTTCTCTTTCTCTTTGTACAGACCCTTGTTTCCCTTTACTTCTTTTCCTTATAATGCCCTGTATCATATGTGCTCTAGCTATTTTATATACAAACAAACAAAGTATACATATACTATATCTCTCTCCCTTTCTCTTCCTCTTTAAGAATAAAAAAGGGTAATTTGGGATATTTAAAAATGACAGTTAAGCAAAGATGACACTTTTCTTTTTCTGTTTTTAGTGAAAACAAAATAAGCTTTAAACAAGCATCTTGTTCAATACGCAAATTAGAATTAACATATATATATTGCTCAAGTAGTCCAATATAATATACTGATATGAACATATACAAAATCATACGATTAGATTACTCGTAATTTGTATTTACTTGTCTCCTTATTCAACCAACAATAAAATACAAATATATCCAAGAGAATATTGTTGATCAAAGTTTGATATGTATGTCGTTGATTTGAAGCAGTACTGTTTCTCTTTATATATATGTACAGAACTGTATATAGTAACTAGTTATATATACATTAATATACATAGCCAGTATTGGTAGAACTACACTAGATGTGGTTACAGATTTTCATTTTTTTTTACTTTTTACTTTTTTAGTTAAATATGTAAAGCTCAATAAACCATGATGATTATCATTTCAAATATATATTTACATTTTAAGTTAATCTCTTTCATATATACATACATATATCATGGGTACTGTAAATGGTCTAAATATAATATACTAAAACATTTCTAACCATTACAAAAAAAGGCATGGCGAATTTTATTTATTTATATTTTTGCATTTTGATTACTGCTTCTTGGGCTTGCTCTCGAAACGAGTTGGGGTCTGGATACCGGTCAACCAACTTACACCGGTTGCCACAACAAGAACAAAGATCAAACTGATAGCTAATCCCATAAAGATCGCAGGGCTGAACAATTGGTACTTGGCAAACACGGGCAAGTTGACAGAAGATGCCTTGGGAGCACGGCGGCTCAAGACATCAGCCAGGGCTCTCTTCTTCAAGGAAGAAGTCTCGGGCTATTGTTAAATATCCATAATCAGTAAACATATAATAGAATAGAATATATCTTATTCCACTAATAAATAAAGGTTGGATCTAATATGGCTTTACTTACTGTCTTGGGTGTGCTGGATGTGTAGATCACAATGTAGTCATCAGCAACCTTTTCTTCAATGGCTTTGATAAATCTATCAATTTTGAAATCTATTTGTCATTGTATTAAATCATTTGTATCACTATCCACTCTGCAGTTTATCTATTTATCTATTTACCATTCTCTCTGAGGACCTCGGCATCCTTTCCAGCAGGCAACATCATAAGAGCTACCGAGTGAGACTTCTCGGCATAGATGTCACCAGAAGTAGCGGCTAAATGTACACACACATAGATGCATTAGGCCAAAGTATGTTTGTTGTATCTGCCTATCTATATATTTTGTGCTTACTCTCCGAATCAAGAATAGATACAGTGCTGTCACATTGGCTAGCAATATCCATAGCCATCTTGTTGAGATCAAGAGGACCAGAGATATACTCATACTGTACGCGGGAGCCAGCGCTGCTAACGTGCTCCTTTTTATTTATTTAAGCATGTTAATTAATATGAGCCAATAAAACTGGAAATATAGCAAATCATATATTTTCTGTTAGTATACCTTCAAATGTTCAAAGGACTCTGTGTAGTCAGAGCGAGAAAGATCACTACGGTGAAGCTAGCATTATAAAAGATCGATAATTAAAACCGGGGTTGTTAGTTGTGCGCCCATGCATATACGCGTAAAATAAAATAAAAAGAACAGCGAAATGAAAATAATGAGGTAAGGGATATGCTCACAGCTATTAGCTATAATACTTCCTTTTTTTTAAAAAAAAATATTATTTTAGTTTACCTCTGGCTGGTTAATGACAGCAACCACCTTGGCATTGCACACATTAGGGCTGAGAGAGGCAAAGATGGAAGAAACGGCCAATTCAGTACCGAGGTAGAGTTGTTCTGTGTTGGTCAGAGAAGGCTGGAGGTAGCTAGAGTGATAAAGAGCGTAAGAACCAACAGAGAAATGAGTTACTAAACTCACTTCTTGGGAGACCACATAAGACATGGCACAGTGCTTTCAAAGGCTACTACAGCCGAGGCCAGCGAGAGGATGGCTGCGTAAAGCTTCATGGTAAATGTCGGGACGAGAAGATGCTTGAAGGGTGAAGACCAGCGAATAATGCCCCCTACGTCGTCTCGGACGTGACTGTCTTACATGACACACGTTACCTCCTGTTGGCAATGACGAATGAACATGTCTAAATGAATCCAACGAAGGATTCCTCTTTTCTGTTTAATATATTTTCTCTTAATTTTTATTACCTACCTACGAAAAAATATATATATATAATATGTACAAATATAGTACATTTTTATATACTTTACATCTCAAATATAAAACCAAAATATTTGGAGGACAATGTAGGACAACTGGTAACAATTATTTCAATGTTTATTTGGAAATGAAGGGAAGAGAATACGAAGAAGAGAATAAAAGAAAACATACCTTTACTAAGAAAATGAGGTATTTTAGTAACTAATTTGATATATAGTTATATTTTTATAATTGATGAGAGACTTTATGCTTTTATTTGATTCTGTGTTTAAGAAAACCTTGGACTTTAGGGGGGAAGGGCGGGGAGAAGGCGGAGGTGGAGGATTAGTAAGCAAATAATAATTAAAGGTCGTCTTGGTCGTTGTCTTCCATCTCATCATCTCCATCATCTGCAGACAGATCATCCGATTTAAAGTCCAAGTCTTCCGGTTTGTCAAAGCTTTGTGCCCACAGCACAAGGTGTATAGGGTCATTCACGGAAAGATCATAATTTATAAATTCCAAAAATTCGATTTCCATACGCATTATTCGAACAGCTCTATCGTCAGTCGGGTAGTGTATAACACAAGGTATATCGCTCGTAGGCACTGTCGATTCTTTAATAGGTGCTTTAGGTGACGTTGGAGGAGTAATTAGATGGAGGGGTTTTTTTGAATCGGCAGTTGGTGCTGTTGGTTTCGGCTGTGATGCTGTATGCTGAGAGTTTGTGTGGATTATGGTACGAAGGTTGTCGTGAAGAAATTTTGAGGCCATTATATAAGCTACCATGATAAGACGAGATCCACAACCGGTGGTTCCTTTGATTTCGATATATTTCTACACAGTATGATCATTTAAAAAAAAAGATCTAATATGATTTCAAAACATATTCACATACCTGTTTTAATCGTTGAATGTAGCTGACGGCTATCAAGAGAGTTACGCTTGGGCATATTGTAGGCATTGATAATGGACGCTCGCAGTATGTCTGAAGAGAATCCATCAAAGATGTGTGTGTGCTGAATGCAGTTGTGGCTAATAGATTAGTCATCAATCGCATCAGACTGTATACTCTTGATGGTTCAGGTTTGGTCTCCCATGATCGAGCCACATAATTTGCTAGATAAGCTACAGAGTGTGTGTGGGGCGGGTAAGAAAATTTCTATGTTGAAATACACTGCTAAGCACTTGCCGACACAATTGGGAGATAGAGATCTTCGACGATTGATCTCTATGGCTTGGAGAAACCCACAAGCCTGGTTGTAGTTAACGCCTGCTAAGACTCGTTCGCGGTAGGTGGAAGATTTCGGAGCGGAAGTATTGTCTTTGTCAGCAAGTGTTTCTCTGTGAGCGGAAGAATATGGTGACTTTGGTGTGGTATGTGTCCGTAGTCGATGTGAAGAGTGGTTTGGTCGTTTTTCTTTCATGTAAGAGCTTCAAGGGGGGAATAAAGTCGGAAGAGTAAAGGAAAAAAGAGTGCCTTGAATAATTTCCAAAAGGGCTTAAATACCGTTTCCGCTGTAGTGCATGATTAAGCACCAAAGCAATACAAATGATTATAAATTCCCAAGTTCGATTGGTGAGCACTCCGTAAGCGCATACTCCGATTCACACATTTTCGGTTCATTGAACATAACTCATCAGCCCTTGGGCTCAGATAAACCAAATTGCGCAATACATGAAGGATGTTGCTTTCCTAATAGAACATCTGTATTACAGTATTAAACACTGATGGCTACAAACAGTTTTGCTCTTTCAAAGAATCCATCTTTTTCTTCTGAACACGATATAAAGTCTGATCCAGTAAATAAACCAAGTACGCATGACTTGCAAATTTGGATTTATAAGCTGTTCCCAGATCCTCTAAATTATCCAGAAGAAAGATTGATAAGCATTGATACCAAGGAACTGGACATAAAGACACGGATTATCAAAGATAATACAATGTATATACACATATTTTCACAAAAGAAAAGAAAAATGCCTTGACACTCAAAGGAACCATTTGGTAATTTGATCCCATGTAGCTTCTTGTTTTATTAAAAAATAAAAATGATCTGTACAAAACTAGTGATACAAGAGAAAGGAAAAAGAATAATTTAACACGACCTAATGACGATATTAAATTTTGTTAAAGGGACTTTTTTTCTAAAGAAAATAATAATATTAATTTAAAATTGCCTTGAATTGTCTATAATATATTAAATGTTAAAAATCATTAGTGGAGTAAGATATAAAGAACCCTGTTGAAATCTCTCTGAAACTTGGATTCCGTGTCAATCGAAAATAACTTTCAAATCTCAGAACAAAGGGTGTGTATTTTCGGTTACACTGTGTGTTTACCATCTGTTTGACCAGTATTTATTTATCATTCTTTAAAATTCCGTACTCGCGTAATAAGGAGGGATTGTGCCGAACTAAATAAAAGACACGACTCCTATGAAATCAAAAAAATATATCGTAGTTTCTCTATCAATACCATACTCTAGACTTAGAAACAGCCTACATAGTTAGCAGTCTATACAAAACACAAATATCTGGATTCTTTATCCAATATATGATGAAAATCTAAAAAAAAATCTAAAAAAAAAAATTGGTTTAATATGCAAACTGTATTATATATTTTTTAACCTTCTTTTCTAAACTATAATATGAAGGTTTCCAGAATCATCAATAGCAAAACAACCCCAAGTTCTTGTCTCCCTTTTTAGTATTGATCCAGTATATGTTTACTAAAATATAAATAGCACGTCCCAACATATATTCTATTACTTGTTCTTATTAACAATAATAGTAAGAATAATAGAAGGGAATTGCTCCAGTTCTATAAGATCTATTTGATTTGTGAGATGTAATGATCTTTAAAAACAATCATTTCTCCTGATTTACAGAATTTCATTATTATCATCATTGCTCTTAATATTACTACAGCAGAAGATTTATAATGCTGACAAATCGTTTCGACTTGGTTCTCTGGATATCAGCCAACTTAGTTTGACTTTACCAGACTGTATTTTTATTTTCTCCAAGTATTCCACCAAAGTGGCTGTGGGATTTCAGTGTAATTATTAACATTAAGAACAAAACGGTATGATTTGTCATCAATTTATACAAAGCACACTATATGTACTAATATAGTGGAAGAATATCCTTTATTATATTCTATTCGAACTAACAAAACATTCTTAAAGCAAACAATGTATATGGTGCCGTTTTGTTTCCTTCTCCTGTCTTCTAACGTTGATTATATACATAAATATATATGTGTGTGTACTTGTATTATATATATATATATATATATATATGTACTCTATCTAATGATATGTACTCTCAAAAAGATATTCAGATGTATTACACGGTCCACAAATGGCGATAAACGTAATGGATTTGACAGAAATATTTATTTGCCTTTCTATATCGATTTTAACTTTTAGTAAAATCAACTTTTGTTGCTTTTGATACAGAGCGTATGATCTACTGCACCACCGTTGCTTTCAATTCCATACAATTCTTAGTAACTATTATGCCCGTTTTTTTTTGCAAGCACTGACTCTCCATGTTACCGACCTGAGAATATCTTTAACCATTTTTAGCACTAATTATGGGATAATTACACTATTCAACATATTTATAATGATTTAATTGTTTTTTTTGCTCAATACAATCTTACATTCATATTACTTTATAATGAGCTCTTGAAGAATACTTTGAATGGTAATAAAAGGCTAGAATCATGCATGCATACATGTATATATATTCGAGAAAACAAATACAGAGCAACATGTTTATCAATTTTAATACTCATGGTCAATATCTTTGCTCGTCTAACAGAACAAGAGGATAGATCTTACAAACAGTAAATATTTGAGTAAGGAGTAGTGTGCTGTAAAAGTAGAAAATACTAGAGTTATGCCTTAATTGTACTTGACCTTTTGGCTTGTTTTTTTTTTAAAAAAAATCAAGACAATAAAATCATACATAGCAATATATAAAGAAGAGTAGTGAGACAATATAATACAACAACTGGCAATTCAAGCTTACAAAGTACATAAAATAGTAAAATATCTCTTCTACATATTTCATCAAGTGCAGATTATTAATAATAATGTAGTATATCCTTTTACTTAAAATAATAAATTATAAATAAATGAAAGGCGCGACACAAAATACTGTGAATCAGAATCAGTTGAACAATCCAATTAAAATAAAGTACAGTAAATAGCCGGTACAGATGATATAAATCTAAATAATAAGTTTTATAAATTATATTAGGAATTTCACCATGCATCAGTCAAAGCATACGGGTCGGCTAAATAAAGCACGGACCACATACAAATGCATTGACTCAAATACTATTAAATATATCGAACATACTATTGGTATAAGCCTTACAATATTCTTTTTAACTTTATCAAGAGATAATACTGTTAAACAGAGGTAAGGCTCTACCTATCTTCCTCTCTCTACTAAATTATACTATTACCAGCGTCTTTGTTAGATATTTATTATTTAAACTTTGCAAATGGAATAGTTAGTAAAGGCGCTTACTAGAAAATTAGTAGGAGAGGTGTAAGTGTTTATTTACAGTATAATATCTCATTTTTTTTTTAAAAAAAAAATTATAAAATATCTACTGCAGGTAATGGACCATATTGCCTTTTTCTTTAAAAGAATAACTAAATAATACAACTCGACTTATAAGGGGGTTTCAACAGTCCTTTAAGCTTTTAAACTTAAGCTTTGAGTTTTAAAGCAGTAACCAATAATACGTAAGAGTTACTAAGTGTTTTTGAGTACCCTAAATGCTTCTTTCAGTTCTATTAAACACTGTGATAATATGATATAAGCTCAAAATAGTATTGAAAGATACAAAGATATTTTCATCAAGGTTTTATTAAATTTCCAAAAAAAAATTAAGCAAGGATGTATTAAAAGTTTAAAACTATTGGTTTTCTTTCAAGAGTTTTAATCTTTTTTTTAATGGTTATAAATTAATTTCAGCCAATTATACCTTGATATTTAAACTCAAAGCTTAAGTTTAAAAGCTTAAAGGACTGTTGAAACCCCCTTATAAGTCGAGTTGTATTATTTAGTTATTCTTTTAAAGAAAAAGGCAATATGGTCCATTACCTGCAGTAGATATTTTATAATTTTTTTTTAAAAAAAAATGAGATATTATACTGTAAATAAACACTTACACCTCTCCTACTAATTTTCTAGTAAGCGCCTTTACTAACTATTCCATTTGCAAAGTTTAAATAATAAATATCTAACAAAGACGCTGGTAATAGTATAATTTAGTAGAGAGAGGAAGATAGGTAGAGCCTTACCTCTGTTTAACAGTATTATCTCTTGATAAAGTTAAAAAGAATATTGTAAGGCTTATACCAATAGTATGTTCGATATATTTAATAGTATTTGAGTCAATGCATTTGTATGTGGTCCGTGCTTTATTTAGCCGACCCGTATGCTTTGACTGATGCATGGTGAAATTCCTAATATAATTTATAAAACTTATTATTTAGATTTATATCATCTGTACCGGCTATTTACTGTACTTTATTTTAATTGGATTGTTCAACTGATTCTGATTCACAGTATTTTGTGTCGCGCCTTTCATTTATTTATAATTTATTATTTTAAGTAAAAGGATATACTACATTATTATTAATAATCTGCACTTGATGAAATATGTAGAAGAGATATTTTACTATTTTATGTACTTTGTAAGCTTGAATTGCCAGTTGTTGTATTATATTGTCTCACTACTCTTCTTTATATATTGCTATGTATGATTTTATTGTCTTGATTTAAAAGTAATGGCGATTCAGTAGACCATATGTCTTATATCAAAAGCACTAGAAGTTGATTCTACTAAAAGGTAAATAGATATTTTTGTCAAATCCATTACGTTTATTGCCATTTGTGGACCGTGTAGTACATATCAATAGATGGAGTATATATATATATATATGTATATAATCAACGTTAGAAGAAAAGAAAAGAAAACAGCACCATATACATTGTTTGCCGTAAGAATGTTTTGTTAGTTCAAATAGAATATAATAAATAATATTCTTCCACTATATTAGTATATATAATGTGCTTTGTATGAATTGATGACAAATCATACCGTTTTGTTCTTACTGTCAATAATTACAATGAGATACCATAGCCACCTTGGTGGAATACTTGGAGAAAATAAAAATACAGTCTGGTAAAGTCGAACTAAGCTGACTGATATCCAGAGAACCAAGTCGAAATGATTTGTCAGCATTATAAATCTTCTACTGTAGTAATATTAAGAACAATGCTGATAATAATGAAATTCTATAAATCAGGAGAAATAATTGTTTTTAGATACCATTACATCTTACAAACCAAATATATTCTATAGAACTTATTAATTTCAAGCCTCGTTAAATAGATTTTGAATATTTCTACTGATTTGCTTGTTTCCGTCTGCGATTACCGAAGACAGCAAAGAAGCTAAATTCTTTAGTAACTTATTCAGTTCTTTGTTTCTTATTACTGTAATTGTTGAAATATTGTCTTCATATAAGTCTTCAATACAAGCAAATACTTTCTTAACCTTTCCACTTTGTTTACATTGACGTTTCAAAGATGCGACAATATTGAAATTCAAACTTGCTACAGCTCCATTGTCTCACACTTGAGTTACGATGTGCTTGAAAAGCTTTGACGCGGCCACAATACTGGAATCTCTGTCTTAAGTATGTGAGCGATATTCGATTGTCCATATTGTCCAAGGTCTTTTTCGAGCATCATCGGTAAATTTGAACGAAAATCGGTAACACGTGTAGGTGGACAATCGATCAAGCTTGGATCTTAGTTGGCGAAACTGAGAATGTTCATCGAACGGGTAGAGTACATGTTGATTAGAGGATTTAATTTCGTCAAGTTGTGTATTTGCTTTCATCATTATTTCAATTTCTTTAAGTTTGCGCTTTTCAATAAAAACCCTTGTTACCCTACTTGGCATAAACCCATTCGAGCTAGAGGCACCAACAATCGGTAATTGATTGCTTTTCAGACGTGTAGACGAAGCAAGCAAAACGTTCACGGGTTTTGCTCCCAACACTAATTTTTTAGAATTCTCATTATCAATTAAGCATAATCCTATATTTTGGTATCTTGTATCTGTGTGAGGTAAAGAAGACTGGGGGATGTTCCCTTTAGTTGATGGTGTTTTTTTTATAGTGCGCGTCCAGTTATAAGAGTTCTGAATAGATTTACCCGTAAATAACAAGTAACGACTTGCTTCCATCCATAAAAACAGCCTCTTCCAACAAATGAGCGCATATTTTAACTGCCATTGGATTTAAAGTTCAGCTGCTGTTTAACCAAAGTGAAGCCTAATCGTCCAACTCAATATAATTTGAGTTTAATAGTAACGCCCTACAATGACTATTCAATACAATATTTCGAATTGAACATGGTAGTAAATCGGGTTGACTGTCTTGGTAAATTGTTTTTCTCTTTTTCGGAATGAAGATTAGTGATGACGGTTAGTTTTCTACTTCAAGTGTCATTATGTTGCTAATACCTTTTGGCGCAGCCAGCAAGTAGTGTTCTTCCCCTTCGCGATCAACATAGACCACAGGTTCTAGGTCCCCTAATTCAGTTATCAATAGTTTTTTCTCTTGCTCTTTTTCAGGTTGTTGTAGTACATTGAAAGCTAATAGAACTGATGTCTTATAGTCATATATTTTAATATTGTTCTCATCATTTGTTTGATTTTTTGGTTGTGACGATGTTGTCTTAATGCTTAAAGCGGAAACCTTACAGACAGTCTGGCTGGACAGTCTGTACGCTGATTTTAGGTAAACAACCTTTCCTGGTGTGGGCGACATTTTGATTCTATTGAACCACAAATCGTGACCTTTTTGCTGGTATAGAATGACTCTATCTGGTCCGTAAGAATCCATCCTTATTATAATAATTAATAAAAGCCAGGATACAAAATATTCATAAAGATTTCCTTTTGTACTTTGCAAAAAATAGTGGATGAGTATTACCTACCAGTTGGTACAGTCAGACTCTGGGAATATGAGTAGGTGAAAAAGAGAAAGATATAATACGCGTAAGAAGGCCAATAAATAGTAAAATATTCAACAAGATTGCGTCACAAAGTGTGTAATGACAACAACTCATAATATTCTGCCTAACTGGCTATTTATATAGTGTATTTGTGACTAATTATTATTCATTTATTTTCAAGTCTAGATTTAGGGCGCAAACTGCTATGGATTGAATATACAGAATTTGTTTTTCATATGAGACAGTATTTTATTATTAAGTTGCCCAAATACAGGCCGTGGCTCTTAAGAGAATGAGGGTTAGGTGTCTGGAAATATATATATATAAACAAAGTGTGGGGACAAAGTAGTAAAGCTAATGCTTACAATGAATATATTGTGTTTTTTCAGGATACATCATTTTCCCTAGAGGATTAGAGAAAGACACGAGACTTGTGACATATAGTCAGAATTGATTAGTCTGGTTAAATAGGAAACGTCGTTCCCATAAGATTCCTGCAAAGTCTGACACCCAACTCAAAAGAATGTGTGTAACCATAAAATATTAATTATGAATGACATTGCATACTTTCAAGCTGTCAAGACTGACCTGCCAGGCTGTCTTTAAGGTTTTTCTATTTAAAATTACATTAACAGTATCATCCTCGACCAAGCTATTAGCATCTGAATTTCTGTCATCTTTTTCACTGTTGTTGTGAATTTTTGTATGTGTCTTTTTAATGAATCAAGATTAGGATATTGCTTCTCATCACAATATAGACAAACAAAAACCCCTTTATCATTCCGGATAACCTTTTTTGAGACTATTAAATAAATTATACATTAGTATTAAAAAACATGAAGCTTTAACTTGTCTTCATTCAACTCAATAGTGGTTTCTTTGGAATAACAGCAGTAAACATGAAGATTTAAGGCTTGCTTTTATGTAAACAATTTTTTACAATCTTGACAAATAGAAGAGCTCGTAGAATTAAGGATCAAAGAGAGGAAAGGCGTTAATCAGAAAATTTTGTAGAATAGGTTGTAAATCACTATGGCTAAAAAAAAAGTGGTAATATGTTGCTACTTTGGTGCACATCTGTCATTTTTTTATATAAGAGAATAGTTACCAAAGCTAAGACAAGAGATATGATATTAGCTCTCTGAGTCATGCTTTTATTTTCAGTTTTTATTTAAGTTGTTTTTGTCAAATTCCCTATTTATGCCTTTTGGTTATGCGAGTAAAATCAATTGTTATTTTTCTGCTAGCTAGTTTAATGGGTGGGGAAATAAAATTATTTTTATTCAGAGGTGGGTGTCTGCCATATCTCTTGTCTCAGCTTTAGCAACTGCCCTATTGTGGGTCGTACCTATCACAATATTTATAGTCTTTGCTTTGACTTCAGATATTGTATCCTTTTCTATATTATCTGCAGTAAAAATTGTCTTTACCAAGGCCAAATTCTCTTTATATTAGTTGTTTGACTTGATATAACATTTCTCAAAAGTATTATTATGTAAACTCTAGTTTATATGTATCTTGACCTGTCAAATGGGCACTCCTTATTATATGTCTCTTGGACTTGATGTTTCTTGTAGTGAATGAGATATGAACAGTGACATATCTATTCCTAAACTTTCTACCATATTCTTTATTCATCATACTACTGTCTTTTCTGATGCTGAAGATAGTTTCTCAACTGGGTGATCTATGTAGACCAGAAAGAACAAGTGATCTTTGAGTAGATCTATTTTCATTTTCTGTGTCTATTTAATGAAAGCAGCTAAAGTTTACACTAGGTATAGTGTAGGTTTTTCTTCTAGAAGTCTCAGATAAGACATCTTGAACTGTCCTTTTTTTGGTATTCTAGAGACAAGTGTGATCCTAATTATGAACTCTATAATATTTATTAAGTTGTTATCCTTAAGATCAGATTAAGTAGTAGATCAAAACATAATATCATAATAGTGGATACCTCTAATATCAGATCTGGAATATATATATATATATATATTTTTTTAGTATTTTATTGATCTGCTGCCACGCTCTGCGTGCAGCTTTTAAAATGCCATCAAAGTGGACTTAATTGAACAGATAAGAGATAGAGAGACAAGGGGGAGGAAATACGAAAATATAAGAAAAAAACGGAATGAAACAGGAGAGGAAATTAGACAGGAAATACTTAAGCTAGTGTACCGATGTGTTTTTCTATTACAGTGGACGCTTTTTGTGCCACAACGCCTGACAGAAAGGGTTGGTCATCAAAAACAAATTTCCAATGAGCACTCCAAATCGCTTTAGCAGTGACAGCGGAAAGGATAATCCAAAGGCCTTGATGGGAGGAACGTGGTGGGAAGCTGCCTCTGGTAAGGAGAAGGCAGATTTCAGCAAGGTTCCAGGCTGGGCAAAAGCGAGAGAGAATGACGTTCCACACCTGCCGTTTGATAGAACAGCCAAAGAAAAAGTGATACTGATCTTCAGTAGCATCTTGACAAAAGATGCAAGATGAGCTGGGGAAGCGTCGAGGTATAAATAGATTGAGACGTTTTCGGGCTGGCGTTCTATCCCAAAGCATTTTCCACCAGACTGTGCGACAGTGGTGGGGTATAGAGACAGACCAGAATTTATGCCATTGGACAGACAAATTTAGAGATGAGGGCACTTGCGGGCGAAGATGGCGTCGAAGAGATCCGGTGCTAGCTTTACCCAAACTAGTGTTGTCCAACCGTACCAAAGAAAGAAGTGAGGAAAGATCGGGGGAAGGGGTGTCAGTAGAAGGTCGATGTTCAAGGCAAGAGATAAACCAAGGACAGAGGACCATCCTTCCAGAATCAATCTGTTGGAAGAAATGACCGATATGATTACGTGCCCGAGAAAACGTACCACGAACCTTGCGGACAAGACGGTCATCAGTCTCCAGAGAAAATGCGTCAGAAACCAGAATTGTTTTCAGGTTCAGAGAAGAGTCAACAAAGGGTGGCACGTTCATCCATATTGAAGTTAATGGGAAGTGTTGGACCACAGTTGGCGGCAATTGCAAGTTGGATGGGAGAGAAGCTGGAAGAAGTGAGGTACAAGCGCGATGCAGTGGAAGAAGTGAAGTTGGGCAAGTTGCACTACTACAGGGAAACAAAAGTGCAATACTGGCAGAAGGAGCGCGAAAGTTTAGAGGAAGTATAAATTCGAGGTATGGCAGTATAAAGGAAGTAGAAGAAAAAGAGTGAGAATGCAAGATAGGGAGAATCCAGCGCAATTGAAGAGCTCGTTGTTGATGATCAGGATCAATCAGGCCCAAACCGCCTGATTTGCATGGCAGACAGAGAAGCGGCCAGCCAGGGCTACCAAAACCCAGTCGCAGGAACGAGCGAATATGAGTGCGAATGGCAGCAAAGAAAGATAGCGGTGCAGGAGTCACGTATAGCATATGCCATACTGAGCTGAGAAGAAGTGAGTTTGCCACAATACTTTTACCACGAACGGACAAGCATCTTTGAGAAAGTAGCGTGCAATGGTTCCTAAGCTTGACCAGTAAAGCCGCACGGAAGGTCTCAAGCTGGGACGGATGTGAGCTCAATGGGAAGCCTAGGTAACGGATGGCAGTGGCGGAGTGACGGTCATGTCAACTGTGAATATCAGCAGCATCCAATACAGGGCCCCAATCCAGATGAAATTGTCCAGACATAGCAACAGCAACTGTCTTATGGAGATTGACTTTCGCGTTAGAGGCTAAGCCAAATATACGCAAAAGGTTGAGTAGACCACTCATCTCGGCAGGCAGAGAAAGAAAGACGAGAAGGTCATCGGCATAAGCAAGAAGTTTGAGTGGAGGTGGTGAGAGCTCAGGAGAGGACGATGAGAGAGATGGCGGAACCAGAAATCGGAAACCACGGATGGCAGGAGAAGCGAGAATGGATCTAAGCAAAGGTTCGAAGGCCAGGTTAAACAGCAAGGGGGAGAGAGGATCACCTTGACGTAGCCCCCGGCTTTGTAGAAAAGAAGAAGATATGTGCCCATTCACATTCACGTGGATTTGAGTAGAAAAGAAGAGACCACAGATGGAGTCAACAAAAATTGTGGGGAAACCGGCTCTGGCCAGGACAAGACGAAGATACGCAGGGTGGACACGGTCATAGGCCTTCTCCTGATCCAAAAGAAGGGCAACACATGGGTCTTGGGTTATTTGTGCATGTGACATGGCAAGGCGTGTCAGCAAACCATTGTCAGCAATAAACCGATCTGCCATAAAACCCGTTTGGAATGGTGTTATGAGTGTGTCGATACCATATCGTAAACGGGACGTAAGCATTTTGGTGAACAACTTGGCGTCACAGTTTATAAGAGATATGGGTCGCCAGTTGCGGAGAGAGGTAGTGTCACCGGCTTTTGGTAGGAGAACAAGTACGGTTTCCAGCCAAGATGGAGGAAAAACACCATGCAATGCATTATTATAGACTTGAACTGCAAGATTTTGGACCGTTGGGTGACAGAAGAGCCGAGCCCATAATGGGTAGGGCAAACCATCCATCCCAGGACTAGAGTTGATGGGGGCGGCTTTAAGGACAGACAGAATGTCATCCAAGGTGACATCAGCAATGAGGTAGGCAGAGTCAGTGGAAGACAGACGGGCAGAAGGTGGGAATTTGTCGATAAGAGAGTGTGCAGCAGGATAGTCAATGGGTTCCGGCGAGTAAAGAGATTGGTAGAAAGAGCGAGTATGGCCAAGCAAATCCGCGGGAGAGGTGTAGATCGCGTCAGTGACAGGGTCGACAAGAGAGGAGATAGTTTTTGCAGCGGCTCGCTGTTTGAGCACACGAAAGAAATATTTCGAAGAAGTCTCGCCAGCTTCACACCATTTAGCACCAGATCTGGCAGCCAAGGTGGAGGCCCGAGACAATTGTATGGTGGCAAGCTCATGTTCAATGCGGAGAAGTTGAGAAGAACGAGTATGAATTGCAAGTTCATTTCGAGCACGATGAAGATGGCGTTCCTGATTTCGGAGTTGACGTTGAACTCGTTTAGAGTACGTTAGGGCGAGCTGTTTGATAGCATGCTTAATATGATCCCACCGAGAACCGGGAGACATGTCAGGAGAGAGAAAAGAGTCGGCCTTATCCAGAAAGTTGGTAATGAGAGCATCAAATTCATCATGCAGGAGATATTGCGTATTAAACCTCCAGACTCCAGAACCTGGTGGGCGAGAGAAAGGAATGGAGACTGCAAGAAGGCAGTGGTCAGTCCATAAAGGATTGATAAATGTTACATCAGGGCGTTCGGTAACAATGCTGTGTGGACGGAAAATGTAGTCGATGCATGTGCGGGTGCGAGAGCTGTGGAAAGTGGGTAACAGGGGTGAAGAAGAATTAGTGATGGCATCCACGCAATTACTCTGAATGTATCCTTTCCAGTCCAGTGGATGGCTGCGACGATGGCTAAGATCACAGTTAAAGTCCCCCAGAATAAAGGCGGGCAGGGAAGGAATGACAGTAGGGAGAGTGCGTGCTAATGAGGAGAAGAAAGTACGCTGGTGGGAAGGAATGTTGGGTGCATAAATAACCACAACTACAAAAGGATTAACACGATGGTCGGTATGTGTAACCTTGACAACGAGTGCACGGTTGTCAGGAGAAACATGCAGTTGAGATAATTGGAGGAGGGGATCGAAAGAGACGAGGCCGCAATGTGGGGTCCATAGGCTGGCCTGTGCTTGGAATGTAAGGTGAATAGATGAGTGATGTATAGGGAGTAAATGAGTCTCTTGGAGAGCAAGTAATGAAAGGGAAGGGGAAAGGGTACGAAGGTGTTGGATGAAAAGAAGTTTTGGGGATTGTGGGTTATTGATGGTAGAGAGGAGACCTCGAACATTCAAGGTTCCTATGCGAAGATGTTGTACAGTCATTTATGAACTTGGCTGACCTGAGCGGTCAGACTTTTCAGTTCCATCAGTCATAGGTGTGTTACCATCCAGATCAGTATACGGGAATGCACCTTGGGTGCGAGTCCGGAGAGTGGCCTCAAAAAGAGACTGTCGAAGTTCGTCATCAGTGTAAATTGCTGGGTTAATGCCATCATCGCAACTATGTAGGCCTCGGGCGCCTGGTGAGTGCTTGCTGGCATTGAGCCCACGGCCAGTCGGGTCATACATAGTTGTATCAAATGGAATTGGGGGATTGTCATTGTGTGGGGTCCGGTTTCTGGTCATCATGGCACGAGTATTCATCACTGATATGGAACGGCAACGTATTGTGTGTGTAGCAGGTGGGTTGAGAATGGGTGAAGCATGGGTAGGAGTCAAGGTTGATGAAGTGACTGGTGGTACGGGTGTCTCTATCATAGCGACCGAGTATTGGTGTGCGCGAAGGGACGCAGTATCAGCAAGTGCAATCTGCTGCTGCTCTTGGATAGCCCGCTCGGCTTCGATATTGTCTGGATGAGTGGGGCACTCGCGACTGTCTATGGCGTGACCAAGAACACCGCATCGTTGGCAGCGAGGTGCGCGGGGAGGACGTTTTGTGCAGGAGTGTAGATAATGCCCTTCCTCTCGGCAGTATCCACACACAGGTGTGATATCGGTGGAGCGGAGCTCAGCAAGGCAGGAAAGAGACCCACCAAGGTGGAGACGGCTTGGGAGACTGCGGACTTCATCTTGTCCAGAGGTGTCTAAATAGATAGTGGCTTCGCCACGGAAAGTACCACGGTGTGAGAGATAAGCTCTCAGCTGAACGATTTTGCCAAAAGGCCGGAATGCATTTTCGATGGGCTCGAGTAGATCTGTGCTAGGATCGCAGACATTAATACGGTAAAGATTAACCTTAACAATGTGGCTGTTAGAAGGCAATCTTGGTGTAGCAATGATTCGGGTGTTTTGATAGGTCAACCCATCGGATGTTGCTTTGGTGCGGGAGGAAGGGTCAGTAAAGAAGGCTTCTGCCAGAAGGTCTTTTGAGCAAGTATAACGGAGAGTGAGAGAGGTCATCCGGCCTACACGGTCAGAGAGAACATCATCCACGTCCCTTGTGGGAACGAGTTTTCCGAGATTAAACAAGACACTCATTGGATGGATGGTACTAGCCCATGCAGCGGATGCAAGATCCACAATCATATTCTTGTCAAAGTTGGGAGCAGTGAAGATGTGCAAAGATTTGTTCTTTGGACGTAGTGTTGTAGACTGGGCACAGTTAGGTGGGTTACCTTGCCGTAACGTGTGTGCCCTGTCCTGTGGGTTCAATCTCTCAGGGGTACTCATGTCAGAAAACGTTAATTGGTATTAACTTGTATCAGTTATATGAATTTCCGTCAGATCTGGAATATAATATTATTGCCATACACAAAATCATTATAGTCTTGACTTGTAATGTTTCATAATCAGATATACAGTTGTTGTGCTTAATTTTGGTGATACAAGTTCTAATGACTTGTTCTTACAAAAGAAGCAGGAATTAGAATGATTATTCATCAGTTTGTAATTTTAGAAATTTGTAATATTATTAGACACTACTTGAGTGTAGTCAAAGATGAAGAGCCATTTCAAAAAGTATATAAGATAACCCAAAATCAAAATAATAAAAATCATCTTTT